TAGGGCTGGCAAACTGGATCGTCTACTCTATGAGAACAAAATGTGGAGACCCTCATCGTCAGTATGGCATACCACAGTTTGTCAAGTCTGGATCCGTCCCGCATATCAAACACTCTTTATATCCTCGCACCTGTCGACCTGTCCCATTGCGCATTTGTACGTGCGTGCATCACTAGACGCCAAATATCAATGCATCAATATGGGGTAAAGTATCTTGCCGGATTCGGTCACAGCACAGCTCAACAAAATTCGCCAATTTTGCCCCGTTGAAGAGCGTACTCGGCGGAAGCAGCCTGGAAGAAATCTGCAAGTTGGATCAAGTGTAGGAACGTGGCAGAGCTTGCATGCATAACTGAGTATACTTTATCAACCCCACCTCCATACGGTTGTGCCCGCTGCTAGCCTTCTATCCGTGCTACCCATACCCCACACCCTCAAGCTAAGTCAACCTCGATCTGGACCGACCGCTTTACAGTATGTGGTTGCATGGATAGACAAGTAAGTAGAAGTGGCTTTACTGATAGGTCTACCACACAAACCAACGTACATAAGTAAAGATGAAGATATGGACGGACCACAGCATAAATGGCTACCTACCCACAGACGCACTGCACTACACTGCGCATATGGACCGCATCGCATACCCAGTACAGGATGTCTGCAGCATTTGGTACGAATTCGATCAGATGATATCCACCTGACATCCATCTCATTCGTTGCCTCGTCACTGCTCGCATTGAATGATACATACATTTATGCATGTATGTATGCATGCACGGCATCGGATCCAGCGCTGTTTACAATCTGCACCTGCTCTGCTCCTACATATCCTCCATCCTTCACCCCTCATCCTTATTTCCCCGCCTCTCTCAATTCGTCCGCTCATATCTAGTCTTTCTTCTTCTTCTTCTTCTTCCTCCTCCTCCCCGAGGAGTGAGCCCTGTCACAATCATCCTCCTCCCCTTACAATTCTTATCTGCTGTTGACATGGTTTATGGGAATGCGGAGCAAGCTCGGCACATGCCGAAGGATGGGTATGGTAGCAGCAGTACGCATGGCGACCTACTCGGATGGCCCGTTGCGCATAAAGCAATTAATATGGGTCTCGTTATAAGACCTCATGAAAGCTAAAGAGTGAGGATGATGGACTGATTGATTGGCTTTCAGGTGTTTCCGCCTCGTTGGTTTTTTCCCCCCTGTTTACTCTACATACCTATCATTTTGCCTATTCTTCTGCTCAGAGGTCTGAACATTTCGCATGTGATGTATCGTTTTTTTTTTCTTCTCGGGGGCGGGAGAAGGGAAAAATCATCATCAGATCCTTGACAAAGGCGACATGCCGGCGGTTGTCGCGGTCTGAGAGCGAGCGTCGTCGTATTACGACCCTCGGGGAATTTTCCCCTCTCCCTCATCATTGCCATGTGGTGGGTGTGCTGGCGGGCCGGATGCGTTCATGGATTATTCTTCTCTCCCTCTTACCATTTGCTGTCTATGTTCACGATAGTTAAGGATGCGAATACGTACTCAAAGTTGAGGGGTAAGGTTACAGAAGTCTAGATGTAGAGAGAAATTACAGATTTGGACTTCTCGCAAATGTTGAATCAGTTACGTATGTACAGCTCACGCGTTTGTTGGTATTTGAGAGAGCGGTGTGTTGGGGTCACATTGAGTGGGTTACCCAACGGCTGGGATTTTTGGGTATGTTTTGCTCGTGGGTATCGGTTTATCTTATTTGGATCAGTCAATCGTGAGATGTCGGGCAGGGCAAGTTCTCTTGGGGCAGATTTCTCCCAGTGGAGTCATGTTTAAGGATGAGAGTGAGAGACTGGCTTGGGCTATGTCTGTCTGATTGTATTAAGTCAGGCCTCTCTTCCTCTGCTATATTTGGAAATTGTGGTTCTGGGTTTTGAGATTTCCATTTGTCAATCTGACATTTGACAATTGAAAGATGCATCCATGCCGTCTCGGCATGGATTTCAATCCCCGTCGAGATGTCTGTCTCCCTACCTGTCTCCCCTCCTCATGCCGAATAAGCCTGAAGATGTGAAGTCAGCAAATCCTTCCGGCTGCGACTGAGTCGGCTCGGCTCCTGGCATCTCACGGTCTGGAGTGGTACGTCGTGGTACTGTCTCGTCTCGTCTCATTCGTCTCGCTGTAAATTCCCCTTCTTTTTTTTGGATTACTGTCAGCTTCTCGCTTGACTTCTGACATATACTTTCTTACGCCGCCCTCTCCGTCGTCTATCGGGGGAGTAAGAGGGGCTGGCTGGTTGATCGGCTTTGACAGCTCGGGCGCGATCCGCCTATTGTCAGCCCACGTACAGATCCGGTGAAGCTGTTAATGCCTTTACATCTTATCACGCTTCACATGGACATTGGCACATTTGACAACAGCTTGCTCTTCTTCGCCCATTGAGGAGAAAAGAGGGGTTCATCGATCTTGACAGCTCGGTTTGGTACAGATCCGGTGAAGTCTCAGATAGCTGAACGAATAATTCAAAATATGCCGTGAGCTAAATTAATGAGTTTCTTTAGTTTTGTTTATTTTTATTTATTTCTTCTCGGAGGATACTATTTTACTTTGAGAGTTGAAGGTGAGACCTTTCTTCTCGTCATCACTAGATACGTTGAGTATAGTTTTGACGCTCTATTGATTGCTTACTTGGTCGCCATTCATGACTCCTGTCCTGGTGTTCTCGCTTGTGACATGACAGTTGGTCGGTTAAACTTAGTTTAGGGGTTTTCTTTGACGGCGACCAGACGGGCCTGCATTATTATTGGCAGGCCGGTCACTTTGAGAAGAAGACTTTTCCTAGTCACTAGATACGTTTAAGTGATGAATTATTAGCAATTGTTCTCTTGGCTGTCTCTGAGTTAGGGTTCCGTTCCCTCGATGGTGAGCAGACCGACCCTGCATGGCCGTTTGCGTTTACGTTGCATTTCCTTCCCTTTCCTTGCCTTCCTTCCTTCCTTCCTTCCTTCCTTCCCGCGGCGTTCCGCACCCGCATTGCAGTCTGCAGAGCCTGTGGATTCTTCTCCCATGTACTATGTCTTGATTGTTTGCAGTGTGAGTGGTTGGAATGGATTGTCTTGGATTTTTCTCTCTGTGGGGTCGGGTTGTTTTCTGTCGATCCATTCCAACAGCCAGGCACGTTTTTTTCCCCCCTTCCCCTTTCTCTCTTTGCGTACGGCACAGTGGAGTATCGGGTTTGAATTTTCCTTGACAGCTCCATTCGGTATGGGGCTGATAGTTCAAGTGGTGGAGTTGAACCTGAACTTGACGACGTCGAGGGGGTCTAGACTGTTGGGCTGAATCGTGAGATTATGTGTTTAGAATAGTCTCTTGCAGCTGTCAGATTGATTCGAACTATTCCCTTCTCGTCTTTTTGTGCTACCTTCGGCGTGCGGATGGGTGCGGATGGTGTGCGGATGTCAGGTGCCATCCTCGTGAGTTGATTATTTCGATCCATCCCCTCTCTTGATTGACATGTGAGAGGCGCGCCGTTTGCGGACGGGGCAAATGTCCCCATTTCGAAACGTGATGGTGTGATCTTTCGGGGTGTTTGAGACCTTATTATTGTGATTGATTAAATGGATATCTCGATGTGTCTGTTTGCGGTTGACCCGCTCGGTTGCTTGTTTGCGGCCTGCTGGCATCTCGGGCTGAATGTGGAGGATACAGGGGACGGAAGGGAGGATAGCAGAAGGTTTCCAATGCTGGGGCAGACGGGAAGGACCGGAGGGAGAGGCATTCGCCAGGTCGCCTGGCGGAAGGTAAATGGGGCATTGTGTGGGACGGGGTTGACTGGGAATGCTGAGGAATGCTGTTAGGCTCGAATGGGGCAAGTTGGTCGCCGATGATTGGTAAGTAACGAATGAGATCAGACTTTTTGGACGGGCCTGTTGTGAGTTTTTCGATGGACCTCCAAGGGGGAAAAGATGGGCTGTTCTGCTGTGGTTATCACCGAAAATTCTTGCCCTTGTGCGATAAATGGTGCCTGTGGTGTGGAATGATGCTCCAGTGTTTTTCCACCAAACGAAAGGTTCCTTCGAATCACCTGCGCGCGGAGCTCGAAGAGAGAAAGCGACCATGAGTAAGGTGGACAGGAGTGTGTATGATAGCCAGTTTTGGATAGCCGAACTGATTTCCGTTGCACAAGCCTGGCGTGATAGATTTGCTGGATCTTAACGAGGAAAAGTTTGACTTTACCTACTCTGACATGACTATCTTCGTAGTATGCAATGTTTCGTTGACGATAAATGGTCGAGTATACCTTCTATCTCGAAACGGAAGGGTTTGCGAATACCACCTACAATGGAACTAAACGAACAAGAGCGCGCTTTGGAGGCGGACAGGATCGCTAAAACAGCAACAAACGCGCGGTTTTTGATTTCCTGAGAAGACTCGCTTCAACGTTGGGCTAATATTCCATTCTCTTCGGAAGCGTGACTCCTTTCTGAAGCGTTTGAGGCTGGAAGACATGATTGACTATGCGTAGGGCTGACTTCCTGACTATTGAGCCCTGTAGAGATTTTGAGTCCCCTCATCACCCTAGCCAATGTGATATTCACCCCAATCACACTAATCAAGCTGGCTTCCGGATCTCTCGATCTGGCTCGGGTTTATTTCCTACCATCTCCTGAATGCACGTCCCATAACCCCGTTCACACATCCAAACTACTAACGGGTATCAACCCAAATCCAAACAAGCCTCACAAAGCCCAAAACGCCTCCTGTCATCTGCTATCTCCTACCCCGCACTCCACTGTAGTTCACGCTATTCCGAACCGCAAACATACATCTCAGCTCTGACCTCTTGAAGATATTCTGGAGCGAATCAAGCCAGCACGTTAGACGAGGCAGCGAATCGGAAACCATCCCATTGCATCTTATCTGTTCTGTCAAATCGGGCGCTATCCAAAGCTATAACGAGGAGGCGAGGAAGCAAGGGAACGGAAGACGCTCCGATCAAGCCTTCAAGAGTCTTGGTGTAACGGTGATTAAGCACGGCTGCTGGCTTGTCCGCGTTCAGCTTTCGTTGTCTCAGGTCTCTCAGCTGCTGCCGCCGTCGATGTTGTAGTAGTCTGGGCTGAGCAGATTCCCCCAAGAAGGTCCGGGTTACTTCCGAGAGCCGGACTGCTCCGGCGCTTGGGAGTTGGGGGAGAGGTAGCAGATGGACGGGATGCTTCAGTGAGGACCGAGAGTTGGACCGAATTGTAAGTTCGTCTTTCTGTTGGTGGAGTGGATGGAGAGATGGTGCGGGATGCTAGATTGGTGTTGGTATTCATGAGTCTGAGAGAGGAAAGGAGCAGCGCTTGAGATCGAGACGGACATTTAGACAGTGGCAATATCTTTAGTAATCGATCGAATCTCAGTGAACCAGCGGGGAAAGGCCCGAAGACCACAATGTGACAGCGGCCTGGAGATACTAGCGATTCTCTATTCAAGTGATTAGTGCATCTAGTAGACAATGACAGCGTGAAGATACTTCTGATGATGAGAGCGGATTTCGACGAGCCGCTCGCGGGGAAGCATGTCTCCGAAAACAGGAAGTGGTGTAATCGTCTCCTCGAGCACGAAGAGGTGACCACGAACTATTGATTTGTCTCGGGACAAGAACATGTGTAATGGAGCTTGGCGGCGCATGTGTTGAGATCTTGTCAGGAAGAGCTGAGGGCGTAGTGATGACGCTTCCTTCTAGATCTCGACTGAGCGATTACCAAGCTGGGTCTTTCAGAGTACGAGGAAATGGCGAGTTTCCTCTTTGGAGATGGAAACAGGGCTTCCCTCTCAAAATCGAGGCGCTGCAATCGCAAGGCTCGCATGACAATCTCATGGCTAATGTTAGAATTAGCTGTCATTGGGACAACTCATAGTTTTTAGAGTGACTGTTTGGTGAGTTTAAAGGAAGAAGAACCGCGACAGCCATTTGAAGGGTGCAATAAACCCCTATTCTTAGATACCTATTCCCGGAGAGGGTTGAATGGAGATCGGACTCAAAATCTTCAAGGTCCGAGTCTGAGCCTCCACTGCATTTACAAACGCCAATAAAATAAACTGTTCTCACATGAATTTGATAATGGGTGCTATTGAAATAAAATGAAATGTACAAGGTGATTGTCGCATAAAGCGTAGGTAACGCTGCAGTAAGTAGAAAATGGCTGTCTGATATAACGTTGTCAAGCAATGTTTATTGTTATCGACCTTGTAAGCTGGATTCGTAGAATGTGGTATAGAGAACAGTGATAAATGTATGAGATGCTAAAGGTGAATTGTTTAATAATGGAGTGTAGACTGATTATATGTTTTTAACAAGGAAGAGGTGAACAAGAAATGAAACCTGTCTCGGACTGTGAAACCTACTTGGTCCAGTGCTGAATATGTACAACATCATATAGCTGTAATCGGTCTATTCTCTCCGTGATTAGTATTTGATTCTTCCATAATTAATCTGCTGCAACAATCACGCTTTCCCAAATTTTGTAGGTTCACCTACCTAGAATATTTGGTTTGTTTACCTCGCTTAATGTCGCAGGTTGAAATTATGAGTCCTCGTCGATGCCGCTTCCCGACGAGGAACATTGATGCCATTCACTTCACTAATGGCTCATATAAATAAAGTGAAGAGGAAAGCAGTGTGACAGGTGACACCAAGAGTTTATTTCATTTTGTACTTCGTCTCAAAGCCTCTGTCCATCTCCATGTGTCTACTTCTTATCCCTCAACTCATTTGCTCTTCCTAGTCAATACCGCCACCTTTCCAGTCTTTGCATCAATATTCCTGTATTCAATGACCTTTCCTCTTTCACGACTTTTGTGTGCTGGCTTTAGAGTTATTCGGCAAGATCTCGATCGTACAGCACTCCTCCCTCGCTGCTCAGTTATTTTCTGTGGTGACATAGGGATTGGCAGTTGTCTGTTAGTTCGAGAGCGTCCTCTAGGGTCGGGTTTACTGGAGTGCCGAGATGGAGAGTTTGATCGTACTGGCTCAAGTGCCTCTGGTGTCGCTCTGATTCTTGACCTGGGAGCGCGACTCGGAGACCTTGTGGCGGCAATGATTTTGTGCCTCGAGGTAGCCCTCTCTTTGGTGTGGGTGCGGGAAGGAAGGGTCTCGTATATCTCTCTTGGCCTAGACCCGGCAACTTTGTCCGTACTTTGGATCCGGATCTTGTTCGATACGGTATCATCGCTTTTGGTTTTTGAAGAATTTTGTGCGCTGGATGTGACTGGGCATCCGTGGCAGTGCATTGACCGCTTGGGCAGCAGACCTCGATCTACGATTATCGTTCAATTCTAGAGACGACTGCAGCGAAACCGGCGAGATTTTCCCCGGATATGGAGAGCTTGCTCTTCTAAACGTCCATTGAGATCTTGTCTTGGAATGTTTCCTTGATGTTTTGTTTCCAGATTGCAAGAATGCTGAGTCTTTCGTTTGAGTGGTCGTTGGATGGGAAGGTTTGGATGGTTCGGCATTTCCTGGTGCGAGAGAGCCAGTCTCCAGGTCGATCGTTTTCGCATGAAATTGGACACGTTTCTTTCCTGTGTGGTGGCGGAGAATGGGCTTTGGCCTATTCCTGGGTGATGGAAGTGGAGTCATTTGGGAAGCTGAGATGGGACTCTGGTGGCTCCGGCCTTGAGTGGAACAGTGTTTAGGCTATCACTGAAGAGCCCTTTAAGGTTTTGTTTTGGGATTTTTTTATGGAATACAAAAGTAGATGCAACAGTGTTTCGACTGATAATAATTACTTCTGTCTGTAAGTTGGTTGTCAATTGTTTTGTCGCGTTCTCACATATTGTGAATGGGTGTCTACATACCATTCTATGAAAGGGACGCTTCCATCAACTTCTAGTCCTACAAACAAAGAGCTATGTCCAACTTGGTGACATTCATGACAAAGGGAGTGAATAATTTGCCCCACTCAATTCTTAGAAGTCTAGTTGGTCCAGAATGGATGGGCTTTCGTCTTGCGGTCTTCACTATTGCACGAACCGTGACTAGTGATTTCAATCTATACAAGGAAGCAGCAGAAGGGTTCAAAGCAATCGTGTATGTAGAGCGATTTAATTGGGCACGTTGACATTAGTGAATCAGAAATCCAGAGAAGTGATGCGATGCAGTATATCACAATCTAAGAGAAAACCTCCCTACAAATGATTGTTGTGAGGACTGCGAGGATATCAGCGCTGCTAACCAGATCTATTGATATATCCTGAGCTGTTTAAATCAAGATTCAACTCAGTAAGTGTGATAGCTTGTAGTCCGAGATATGGAAGCATCCTCAAGACAGTCTTCATGAAATGACTGAAAATGCTCACCAGTGGTGAATCCATTGAAGAAATGAAGGTATTTAACTTTCGCAGTATAAGATACACATCTATACTCATCGCCGAGCCATGCTATCTCAAAAAAACTAAACCCTCGGGTTTGCAGCGACCTGCCCACTCCACAGTGAGCTCGATGAGGTCTGTTGCCTGGGTCTCCCACTCGAGCGGGCAGCTCAAAGCATAGACTAATACAAATTCCCTGCAGGAATATCAAGCATACAGTAGAATAGTGATTTCCGCCTTTGGATCCTTGCCATCCTAGCTAGGTACCAGAACCTGTCTATAGATCACGTGGACAATATCACGTGTCAGGCTGCAGTACTCTGCCAGAATGAGCCATCCAAAATGTGCGTAACAAACCAAGAGCCATTCTGTGTTGGACTGGAAAACGACATGGGGGTTTTTGTATTCTTGTTGATGCTATGTGACTGAGGTACTACCTCACCCAGGAATTCGTGCCCGCCAAGTGTAGTCCTTCAGAACGCAGCTTTGAACCTTGACATGGCGAAACGCAGCACGCAAGTAGAGGCGTCGGGTTTGAGAGACGTCTGATAGCACGCTTGAGCAGCCCCAACGTGGTATCAGCTATCTCGAAGCTTCGTACAGTAAATGCTAGACGGCTGGAGATGAAGCAGCGGTGAGCATGCAATACTTGAATAGTGCTACAAACGGCACGCACTTGCGTCATCTCTGAGAAGCTTTTGTAATAGGGCTAAGTTTCGCATCTCCCCATCTATCTGGACTTCCAAACGATCGATTCCGAAGTTCTGTACTTGAGCACTTCGTGGAATTGACACTATAAATTAAATTTAGAAACGCATAAAATGTTCAAAGTGAGGTCTCAGAAAGATAACATAAATCAAACCTAAAGATAGCAAGAAAACAAGAGGGCGTTATGGCAGGTAAAAGGAGAGGGAGGTCGTCTCAGTGTATTCGGGCGGGAAAAGAGAAGCCCTTTTCGATGGCCATTTGGCACAAGACGGTACCATCTCCTTAAATGGCATTCAGTATGGCATTTAAGACGCAGTCTGAAGAGACCATGGCGTCCATCAACAGAGCTTCCTCGCAGTTACCAAAGAGTGGGAGAGCATGGAGAATTGAGCTGTCATATCAATCAAACCACCATGGGAAAATTGAAATAAAGCGGAGGGTAAAATTTCAAAAGTCTTGTAACCAGTGTACAGCTTTTCGCCGTTTAATGGTCGTTGTTGCGAAAAAGAATACATTTCGCAACTTCCAAAGGTGAGGTGAGGTTGAAGTTGACGGTGAATTTTCCCCACATCTCGGCTAACTTCCACGAATTTTCACCGTTGCTGGTGCGCACAAACCCATCGTGATCCCTCGAGAGACTGCAATCCCAGGAACATCTCGACATCATCACCTGTACGTACCCCGACCACCTGCGCAAGCTGCCGAAGAAGCCTTTCGGCTGTGCGAAGAAGAAAATTTGCTGACAAACGCCTGGACAGCTACACTTACGGTCTCCTCAACCTCCCTCACCTAAATACCCGCGATCTGTGACGAAGGTCGTACTACCGCCATCATGGATATGGAAAAGTTGAAGAAGATGCAGCAGTCGGTACGAATTGGTGAGTGCAGCTCCAAGGGAATCTGCAGGGCTTCTGCGGCTCTGGGATCCAATTGCAGCTCCAAGACCCCAGAGCTCCGCCTTGTGTTGATCAAATACTAACTTTCTACTGCAGGGTACGTTACATTTTCTTCTACATCGAGATGAGCACGAAGGATACGACTGGGACACATAAGATAGCTATATAGAATACATTGATGCTGACAAAAGGCAATAGAGGAAAGGGTACCCCAAGAAGAAAGGTCAAGAAGGTTCATAAGACTGGCGGTGTCGACGACAAGAAGCTCCAGACCGCGCTCAAGAAGCTGAATGTCCAACCTATCCAAGCCATTGAGGAGGTCAACATGTTCAAGTCTGACGGAAACGTCATCCACTTTGCCGCCCCTAAAGGTAAGGCTCCGATCCCACCTGTGTGGCCGGGCACATAAAGTGGCATCGAACAATGGCAATGAATTCGGATGATAGACTAATACCTCCTCCTGCAGTCCACGCCGCCGTCCCCTCCAATACCTTCGCCATCTACGGAAACGGTGAAGACAAGGAGCTCACTGAACTCGTCCCCGGTATCCTCAACCAGCTCGGCCCAGACTCTCTTGCCTCCCTCCGAAAGTTGGCTGAGAGCTACCAATCCATGCAGAAGGCCGAGGGTGGTGAGGGCAAGAAGGACGAGGATGATGATGATGATGACATCCCGGATTTGGTCGCCGGTGAGACTTTCGAGGACAAGGTCGAATAGAGGAATCGCAAGCACAGCAGTGGAGGACTTGGGACATGGGAGAAGGCGTGGAGCAATGATTTGAAGGATTCTGCGGACTCTTGGGCCATGGTACGGCTACCAGCATGAATATGGCGACATTTGCGGTAGTCTTAGGGTTGCTTGCTTGTACAAAACCATACAGCGCCTTTCTGTTCTCCCCAGACCCGTATTTCTGTGATTGTGAAGTGACACATGGAGCACCCAATTCAACGAAGCATACGGTCACGTGACCACCACAAACCTGATATGGTTCTTTAGACCTGGCATTGCTGACCGTCTTTTTGGGGTTCAGAGCCTCATTCTGCATCTTCAAACGTTGCCTGGGACAAGTACCTTCCCCTTCTGGTCAGGCGGATGTCTGACTGGAACCGAGGGACAGGAAACATTTTCCCAGCTCCTATCGTGACTCATGAAAGCCGCAAAATACGAGAATTCGGGGTTCGGAATACTTGCGGTGATGACTAGGAGATACCTTATGCGGATGCCTTAATAACGACACGAACACTAAAGATATTTTAACATATATATTGGCCAGCTCGGAGGAGCACGTTGTTAATTCTCGCAAGATTTTTGAACATATACAAGAGACCTCTTTCCCAGGATGCCGGACTATGCTGCACAGTCTGAGCGCCTATGGCTACAAAAATTGACGATTGAGGACCATCTAGATGGCTATCACGCTCTGAGTACAGATGAGAACATATTACGATGGTCGTGAGTTCATGACCTGCTCGCTCCTCCTGTCTTCCAACTACATCGTAGAATAGGGCTCATCCTGACAACTGCATAGAAGCCGAGCTGCTCCTTCTGATCTCGAAGGTACAAAAGCATTATTATTATCCCGCACTGCATCAGATGAGCAACCATGGATGGAGATGTATGCCATCATGTTGCGACCTGCTGGCACAGAAGTAGCGATGTTTGTCGGCGCTATGGGTATCCTCCGCATCTCTGAAGATGGAGAGGCAGCTGAGGTTGGGTATGGAGTTCTGCCACAGCATTGGGGCAAGGGCTATGCTCCTGAAGCCTTGAAGTTATTGGTAGACCATTACTGGAAGAGTGAGAGTAGGTCATACGCAGCAGTGTCCCATGTTTATATAGGTTACAGAGGACTGATACCGTGTCACAGGGAGGGTGCAGAAGGAAAAGCTCAGCGCCGGAACAGAACCTGAGAATCTTCCTAGTCAACGGGTATTGGAGAAAGCTGGCTTTAGAAGGAAGGAAGTCATTGAGAAAGCTTTCGAGGCGCCAAATCCGCAAACGGGAGTGATGGAGGTAAGTCACATTCAGGGACTGTTACATTGCTCTGCTCTTGTTCAGCATCCACAAGCGAATCTGAGGGCATGCACTAATTCCTCGGTTTTAGTGGAGGACAGCCATAATTTGGGAAGTTGAAAGGCCGAAGGTATAAATTGTCATGTAAGAATATGTTTTGGGTGACCATTGCCTGTCAATATCCTTGTTTCTGTCGTACCTGTACCTTTTGTAACCTCGCATCCTACTGTCATGATGCAAATCGCCTCACCGGGTCGATTGCACTACCCACGTGACGTTGACTCATGTTCACCGGTCAAGTTCGATCGGCTTGCCTAAAACACTCGGTCCCGTAAATAACAGACATAGGCATGCATTTAGACTCGAATCAAGATCTCCCTCCTTGTTAATTTCATCTGTAACCTTCACAGCATGGCCGTCTATGTGGCAGAGTCCAGTCGGCTTGGCCTTCAGACTCTGAACATCGAGGAGCATCTTGAGAGCTACCACTGGCTTATGAGCAATGAGATGTCTATGATATGGTCGTAAGTACGGACTTCGATGGAAAATGATCTGGAGCTGCTTACATAAATAAAAAAAGCATGAGGAAGCCTTCTGCCAGTATTGCCGAATCACTTGAAAATATGCGCAATCACCGTCCAACTCCAGACAAGCCATGGAACGAAAGATGGGCAATTATGCTGAAGAGCGAAAAGTACGATGAGAAGCCCAAGATGATTGGAGTGGTTGGCATCGTGCGAGAACCAGAACTGGGCTATCGAATCCATCCAGACTTTTGGGGAAAAGGGTATATGTCTGAGGCTCTGACTATGTTTCTTCAGATGTGGTGGGCATTAGAAGGTAAGGCCATCCATACCTACGTACTGGGGGTAATGTCACACAAGTTTATATATACTTTGACCCATAAACCAGCCAATGCTGACTTTCCCAAAGTGAGCCAGAAGTATTCGCAACTTATTGCGGCGGCTGACGGAAAATCTCGCGAGTACACGGATTCTAATCAAGCATGGATTCATGAAAGGAGAATATAAAAAGGATCACTATGCGAGAGCATACTTGGGAGGTGAAGTCAAGAGTGATTTGCAATACTTCTACCTTGATCGACCGGACGAGGTGGAGAAACAATGAACCTCAGAGTTTGGTACAAATTTTCAGCTTGAAGTTCACAGTTTCGGCTCAAGGTCCAGGTTTCTCAATTTGAACGCCTTATGGGACCTATGAGCGAACCCAATTAGGAAGGAACTTCGAGCTGAAACGTTCATGTGCGATGTATGTGCATCCTAAAATTCTGAAATCTGTCTTCATTGCCATTGGAAGCTGGAGCTCCGTAAGTCTGCAAAGTGCGGCGTTCGGTAAGAAATCTCTTTTTATAAGCCCCAACGAACAACTACATGTATCAATATTTCCTGCATCCTATTTCGCAGCTGTTCCCCAATCTACACGAAGAAAACACAGTCATGGTTTACGATGCAGAGACTCCACGCTTGTGGCTAGAACGAGTTTCAGAGCAACATCTCCATGATTTCCACCTGCTGTGGTCATCGAAAGAATCCATGATATGGTCGTAAGTACTTGGCTATTTATTCAATTGTTAGACTTTCTCATAGCCTACAGAAAACATTTTCCCATGGAAACGACCGAACAGTCGAGGACGTTCATGCAAAAATCACTAATTTCAGTGAATCCCAAAATCGATAAATACGCCATCTTGCTTCGCCCTGCTCCAGGTTCTGAAATAAAATCTGGAACTGAGAATGGAGGCCATTCGCCGAGAATGATTGGATTACTTGGAACGGTTGGTGACGGCACCGAGATGGTGTACACGTTGCATTGTGATTTCTGGGGAAAGGGGTACATGACTGAAGCCTTGCGGGCTTTTGTGGGAAAACATGGGATTTTCTGGAGTTTAAAAGAGCGTTCTCATGTCAAGTCGCTTGTTGCAAAGATTGATACTGAGATTATTGGATCAATGAAGACTATTGCGAAAGTTGGGGCAAGGAAGGGGGAGTTGCTTGAGAAGGAGTACGCGCTGGCGAAGGATAAAGGGTCAGATGGAGAGGTTCCGAGGGAGAAGCTGAGAGATTTGATGTGCTGGTATGTGGAACAGCCTTGAGAGTTGGATCATGTCACGTTATGGAAACAAGTGTTCGACGATTAATATTTTTCTGAGCTAACAGGTGCTATAATATACGTTTTGATGTATTTTAAAGCTCCTGGAATGGCCTTAATCCACGTCCACCGCTCAATCCATCATGACACGCTAATACGCTATGAAGGTGCCAGACCAAGAAGTGGCTTGTTTCTTTCTTGCCACTGGAATAACATCACCACTTTTCACCCCTTCCTGTGTCTTCGACTAGTTGGCTCTTCAGAGAAGCTATTTCTTCCTCCGCCTTGACCGCATCGTAATCTTTGGCGTTCTCAAAATCGATTAGATGCACCACACCACTCTGTTCATCCACAAGAAAATTGTGCCGATTGACATCCCCATGAATAACCCCAACGCTATGGAGCCGCCTTACTACGGCTTCGCAAGCTGGGAGATCCTCTATACCTGCCCTTCTACCCTCCAGCTTCTCAAGAAGTATTCCCATTGGCCGCTCATTCTCGACGAGATGGCCAAGAAAAGCTGGAAATATCGTTTCAAGTTCCGGATTCATAATCCTGTCCTTCTCGAGCTTCTCGTAAACTCGAGTCTCGTTCTCCACATACCCAATCTCGAAATCGAAGCGAGCTATTTTTGCCACGAGCTCTTGACCATCCCTTTCCACGAGGCGGACACTGGCGCCAAATCGACCTGTCTCCTGAAGCCCCAAATATCAATTAATTTGGGGTGCCAGATCCTGGTTACTTCCTTTAGGGGTGATGAAGAAGTGGTGTATGTTGGTTTGCCATCTGTACCGAGATAGACTTTCAACGATGTCCAATGGCCAGGGGGAAAGGGTGGAAGGCTGTCGAGAAGAGCTGGTGGAAAAGATAGAACATCATCTAAGTCATAAATGCCGGGCTGAACAACGACGTATTTGACTTGATCGTTGACCTGGATTCTGTATTCACTCTCTGTGTCGCCATCGACATCCACATCCATCGAAAGGACCTTCCTTCGTGTTTGGGGTCCGATCTCGGTCTAATCCATCATGTTCCATTGCTGGGAGTTCCGTGTGATCGTATTATTGTTTTATCACATTTTCAAGTTTCGAGAAGATCGAGATGAGCAAAATTATACATTGTGTAGAGATGATGAGATGCCAAGCCGATGGATGTTGGTTTGGGAGGAAACCAGCAAGCTAGAACGGAGTCAACGGACGAGACACCACAAGAAGACTTCATTTACCGCGCGCGTACGGCTTGAGCTCGGAGCCTCTTTCGAGCAAGTAAGTCATCTATTCTTGATTACTCTCAACCGAAGGAATTGTAAACGATAACGACTCCACTCCCCAGGTCGTATGCCGAGGACGAAGCATGAAGCTGAAAGTCCCTGACAGGAGTCATGTGCCGTGATTGCGGGTGTTGTCGTACGGATAGTGGACATCAATAAGCAGGCACCACAAGAACTTCATGCATCATTTCAGCCGTTGCTGACGTGCATATTGAGTTCTTCGGATCAGTTCATGTCCTTATCAGGAATATCAATAGGACCACTGTGGCTTTTCTTTCAGCTGTTGCTGACATGCAGGTTAGGCGAATCAGATTGGACGGTATTGAGAACATGAACCACAAAACTTTCAGATGATATATCTGCCAATGCTGATGTGCAGATTAGGTTTTCAGACAAGGGTTTATCTGGACCACGGAACTCTATTTGCTTTATCCCCAAGAACGTATGTCCGCGATGTATGGTGTTAAACCTGGTGTTGCATGGGTACTTGTCCATTCGAAATTGATCGTCTTGAGCCAATTCCCGACTCAAGTTCACAGGAAAATTATTTGAATGCACATATATAAGCTCACAAACGCTCCCGTTAAAATGGGATTAATAAAAATCAGTACCTATCATTCACAGTCTGATTACCCCTCGTCTACCTCCGCACCACGGTTTTAAAATCCACGCAAGGAGCACTACATATACGCGTGATGAATTCATTTAAAGCAACAACTATTTTCATATTCTTCTGCGCGACTTCTGCAATGGATCTAAGGCTTCATAAGTCCACGAACATGGGAGATGCAAACCCTTGGGAAATACAAAATGTTGATACAACAAACATCTGCTGTAAGTGCCTACTGCCACTCCCCAAATGTTGGAGATATCGACTAATTACTAAAATTAGACAATGTTAAAGCCGGGTGGAATGACAACATTCATTCATTCGCGACCTCCGCGCTTGGTAGCGACAGCACTCATGTCTGTGTTTTCTGGAAGTGAGTAACATCACCCAAAACCCTTCATGCCCTCGCCCCTGCGATACTTTGTCCACCTGTCACTACATAAACCAATACTGATAAGAGTAATAGAGACTATGACTGCCAAGGTGATCACACAAATGAACTTGAGTATGCGTTCGATCTGGCGCACACCTGCAAGACGAGTTCGAAATGGCATAACAATATTTCGTCGTTCAAGTGTTGTGACAAGCCAAAATGGAGCCAATGTGTGCCAGGAGCTGCTAAGCCGACTTGTAAGCCAATGCCATAGGGCTCAGGCATCCGAAGCATAGCTCACTGATAGCTGCAAATGGCACTCGTCGCCCAACTTGTTCAAGGGGTACCGAAGGGTATGCCACGGAGAAATGGACGGCAGAGGCAGAGGCAGAATGAAGAATTGAGAAATTATCACTGAATTATCTCACTCAAGCACAGCCAAACACTCTGCCCGTGTGTACTGTTTCAGACTCTCCAGCAGACCTGAGAAAGCTCTTTCGATATACAAGACATTACACTAACCAATACATGCTTCCTGTGCCCATTCGATACTTGATACAATATGCCACACCTATCCATCTCCATATTATGCAGAAAATGCAATTAAAATTCAAATATTCTCATTCCTCAGACTGCTCGGTCTTTTCTTCGTGCCCGACATACCCCAGTCGCCACTTCTGACCTGTCCCAGCCTCTTGCTAAGAGTCGAGTACCCTTTCCCGAGACCTCCACTGGGGACATGTTGTTCCCAGTCCGCGTTCACTTCGACATCCCAATCGTCTAGATCCTGATTATCTTTGATTCCTTTCAAGCCATGTTTGTCGTGATTCCGCAGTCTTTCGATGGCGTCCATCATAACCTCCCATCCCTCGACGACTCCAGCGCTAGCTTTGCTCCCACAATCACAATCACAACCACCAGGACACTGAGTGTTGCCGGATGTATGATACTCTGATAAGCAGTCTTCGTGTGCTGCACAACCGCATGAGAGGCATGGTGCGAAAAGTGCACTGATTGGTTCCATGCAAATCGTGCAGCGTAGCTGCCGCTGTGTAGTCTTGCACTTCTCACAGCGACCAACAGCACCTCCAAGATTGCTACCAATGAGAGGCTCGAGGCGTGTGTCATGCTTCAAGCAGTAGCCTGTTACATCGAGACCTTGATCAGTGAAAGGTGACGGAGGTAGTTGCAGATGGTGATCCTTCTTGCCAAGTATGATCGGGGATGGAGGTGATGGGTCATGGCTCAAGCTATGGGTATCGTTTGAGAGAATCGAAGCAGCGAATGACTTCTCTGGGATTTCATGCTCTGTAAAGTAGTCCTTAAGACCATTAAATTTCAATATCTCAAGACGTGCCAAGGGATGACCCCAGATGTAGAGGAGCTCGGCATAAGTTCTTCGATAGCTAGCATATAAAGCGGCATGGCTGATTTCTAATAATGGAGTGCTCATACAGCCTTCATCATCGAAAGCGTTTTGATTCTCCATGGTGAGGCTGATTCCCGTACAGATCGATGGCTTCCAATCATCCTTCGTGCTTTCATCATCAGAATACGAAGACCGTTCATTGATGGTTTGCTCCTTGACACTTCCGAGGACTGTCGTATTACCCCAAGTGATTGTGCTGGGGGCAAGTGAGTTTAACATGTTCTCCACTGGACTTGGCCGTTTCCTACTTGGTGGAGGGTTTGGAGGTGAAGAAGAAGCGGTGATGGCAAACGGCCTAGAGAAGCTCGCAGCGAAACTATGGGCAATGCCTGAGTTGGCTCGTCGAAAACTGCGGGGATTGTCTGGGGACGTTGACAGACTCTGGGTTTGCTGACTGAGGAACTCAGAGCTTGCGCGATTGGACCTCAACGGTGGCGTTTCCCCACATGAGTATGACGTTGAGGCAGGGTCACTTCCCCATGCACCGTTTGAAGATCCAACTGAGCCGTATAAACCAGATGGAGTATGAGAGAATTTCGGAGTCGATACCACAGAATTGATGGGTGTTTTTTGATACATGCTCCATGCCGCGGCATCGGTTGGGAAGTAGTCGAGTGAAAAAGCAGGAGTCTTCATAGAAATTGGCGTTTGAGGCTGGGTCATGTAGAGCTCCGCATGTGAAGCTGCGTCTTTAGCAAGGGGCTCGCTGAACACACAAGAGAGCATAGCCAACATTTGTACATCCGCAAGACGCTCAAAATGATCGAAGAGATCACTAATGAGCTGTTTGGCAAGTGGATTAGTTCCCCATTTAACTCTACCCGATAGGCTGTTTCGTCGACTTCGAAAGTCATAAGAAAGATCGAGGCCGCTATCAGAGCCACTGTTGCTGCGGTTTCGCCTGACAGCATCTTTTGCAATGACAAGTATTGGTTCTCGCCGATGTGTTTGATCCAAGACTTCGAGAGGAACCTCATTGTGGAGAAGCATCGCAGCATATCTCCAGACATCTGCCAGATCTTTGTAGCCGTGCCTTTCAGCAGCCTCAGCATTTTGCTCGCACACTTCCGGACCTTCCCCGAAAATAGCATAATCTTCAGCCAATTCGGGTCTAGACGGTAGCAAATCGTTGATATCGTGCAAACAAACGATGTTTCTAGGCTTTAACGATCGTGTCCTTCCAAAACCGGTTCCAGTCCCTGTTCCTGTGCCTGTTCCGGTTCCAGCGGCACTGGATCTTTGAGACATGATGGTAGGAGACCCCCTCCGATATGGTCTTCTTCCAGACCTTCGGAAATAGTCTGACATCGGAAATCGAGGAATGCGGAAGTGAGAAGAATCGGAGTCACTCGAGGAAGACACGTCAGAATCATCCGATGTATCAGAGTCAGTTTTACTCTCGGAAGCGAGCGACATTGCTTTGATCCGGGGTATTGGCGAAGTATTGTTGTTCAGACGGCCAAATGTCTCAAATACTGGATCGCCCTTCGAACGTGCATTATTCTTTGCAACCAGGGTTTCCAAGAGTGACTTGACTTTGTCTTCCTTAGGGGGGAAGAAGCACACCAGCTTTCCATTTGCAGAGAAACGTGCTCCGCAGAGTCGAGGTAGAGGAACGTTAGCATTAGTATTTCTCGGCGCGGTTGAGCCTCCCGTTGCACTCTGCCCAATCTCTTGAGATGCTATTGCAGCAGGGATATCGTCATCGTCATCGTCGCTAGAACTTTCGTCGGCAAGAGCGTCCATATCATCATCCAAATCGCCGACGTCCTTGAAAAATGTGGTGCTAGTCTCCAGATCAACTTCTCCAAGGAGGTAGCACAGAGCTGCATCCAAACAACCCTGCTTCCGTGAAACGAAGCCAGCCGCAATTTGATGTACTTCTCGTTTGAGCCTCGCATACACATCATCTGGCATAAGAGAAGTCTTTCCCAAGGTAAAGCTCGGTGCTTTGGACTCAGGGTATTGCTCCGGAAATACTATGGTCACCTTAATGTAGATAGCATTGCCGTCATCGCCCCATGGTCCATTCATCGAAGCAACGACAGTTCGCTTGTCCATGTCAACATCCTCAAAAGTGATCTTAGGCAGTTGGTCGTGGATTCTAATGATCTCGTCATGGAGAGACTCTGGCTGATCCCAGTCTGCGTCTTCTTCAAACTCGGGGTTAAGTAGAGATAAACGCCTCGATGTGGGCCGTTTCTGAGAGGCAGCATTCTCACTTTTTGCTGTAAACTTGATCCCGCTCATCCACCCGATTTGTTTCTGGTTTTGATCATCTTGTTTAGTCAACTTCTCTTTGCCTTTCATGGCAGGCGCTCGTAAGGCCAAATTGCTGCGTGAAGAATGAGGCAGATTCAGCTTCTTCATGCCAACACTCAGAGCACTGATTTTCAGCCCGGAGCTTCCAGGTCGGGGTCCTGTAATTGTGGCAGCCCGTTTTTCGGTTGGAGTGCTTTCTACTGTACGGAATGTCTTGTACACGGCACCTTTGCGCGTGACGTTGAGCTTCTTTCTGACTTGAGTGCCTTTGACGAAACCGACTCCCTTTAGCGTTTCCGGATCTACATGCTGCAGTCTCAATTGATTATCCTCTCCCCAAGATACCAACTGGAATTCTCGGTTATCAATGCCTTCATCTGTGATACTGCCTCGACTTCTCCATAGGAACTCTTTAACCTTCGAATTCCCATGCCCGGGAAAAGTCGTCACTGCTTGCGAGAAGGCATCCTGATCCCCACTGCCTAGGCGACGATCATAAAGATGCAGGTTTCCAGGAGTATCTTGCGGCATAGCCAGAACACCCCATCCAAAAGGCGTGTGACGAGCTCGCCACACGGGGAAGTCTGTTCTAATGATACGCTCGGGCTCGTCAACATCATTCGAATAATCCCAGAACTTGATGCTTTTGTCCAAGGAGCATGTCACAACACCTGTGGACCGGGTTCGGTTCCAATCAACACCATAGATTTTTGACTCGTGGGCATTAATGGATCGCATCGGCGCCGCTCCTTTGCGGTCGTCCCATATCCTTAACCATCGATCATGGGAAGACGCAAGGACGTGAGAGTCTTGCCGATTGTATTTGACTTGTGTTGCACCAGCGAACCAATCACAGAATGTCAGGACCGGCTGTCTAGGACGACGCAAGTCCCAGCAATGTACATAACCATCCACAGCGCATGTTGCAAGCATGTCAGGATGGTGTGCCGAGAAGTTAATGTCCGTGATCGCCCTTGTATGCCCATGTAGCGTGTGCTCGATAGCCCCTTGAGAAGAGTCTTCTGGCATGTTTAAATTCCATACCAAAGCCTTTTGATTTGCAGTACTGACAACCCAATTCTCTCGTGCGGCAAAGGGAGACCACTGCACGTCTGCAACAAGCCAAGGAAGTCCATGGCGGAGATGGCGCGGAGGGTTTAAAGGATGATCGAGGTCGATTATATCGAGTCCATCGGTACTACAATATGTTAGTCGTACTTTCCGTGAACGCAATCGCAGAATAGGGTCATAGAACTCTTACGACGCAAGTGCAACATCTCGTCCAGAGGGTGAGATGGTAGCGGAACCAACTTTGCGCTCCACATGAATCGATACGTCCGCCTCGAATGTAGTGCTATCAAATGCTGACTTGATATTCTTCCCCTTCCTCGACTCATCCATCATTGCGACTTGGAAGGCTGCGCATCGTCCTCACGCTTAGGAGGGTGGAGGCGCGACTGACGTTGATACTAGATGGAGATTTATATGCGAGTTTCCGCCATGCATAGTGGAGGAATCACGTCAAGAGATCGCAATCACACATATGAGGGAGAGCAAGTTAACCCAAATGTAATAAATTTCGTAATCGGCAGTAATGCAGCAGTTTACCTTGCTACTTCGTGATCGAGGAGGTCCTTGAGCTCCTCCCCTCTTCAGGCTTAGCCAAGACGGGCGGAACTTCTATGTTGCCGTCGTCCTCCATCATCCACAGCGACGACCATCTAAGGCTGGCGAGGAAGAATATAAACATTCACGACTGTAACGAAAAAACCATCTACATTCATCGGAACTTCCCAGCGAACAGCAGGCCTCGAAGCTTCTTTCGACCTTTAAAAGGCCGAACAATCTCTTCGCTGCATTTTGCGATAGCCTCTTGAGCTTTTGCCCCACCCCCACCAAGCCTGGTCGATCTGCCTCTCTCGATCTGCCTGACCTCGATATTCAATTCCTCAGCCAGTTCTGCTGCTGGAAATCATACAGTCTCTGTTTGGATCGCTATTTCGAGCTCCACACTGCACTCCCAAGTCCGCAGCGCGGCAGACCTTCAACAATATGGCGTTGCCAAAACGAATCATCAAGGAGACTGAGAGATTGATGGCAGAGCCGTGAGTAGAATAACCGTTCTCTACTTGATATGTATACTGAATTTTCGCTTTCTGTAGAGTCCCAGGTATCAGCGCAGTCCCCCATGAAGATAATCTCCGATATTTCGATGTGTCGATACATGGCCCTACCCAGTCTCCATATGAAGGTCAGATAGGGTCCAGAAAGCTAAGAATACTCTCAATATTGACTTGGAGCAGGTGGAATTTTCAAGCTCGAGCTTTTCTTGCCAGACGATTATCCTATGACACCACCAAAGATCCGGTTCCTCACCAAGATCTACCACCCAAATATCGACAAGCTAGGCCGTATCTGCCTCGATGTGCTCAAGAGTAAGTGACTTGTTACATTCGTCTCTTTTTCTCTGATAATCACGTTATTTTGAGAAGCTAATATTCTGGTTCAGGTAACTGGTCCCCGGCTCTACAGATCCGAACAATCCTTCTCTCAATCCAAGCTCTGCTCGGCGCCCCAAATCCTGATGATCCACTTGCACCAGACGTTGCGAAGAGATGGAAGGAGGATGAGCCTGCAGCTATTGCAACCGCTAAAGAGTGGACACGGACGCATGCTATCAACTAACACTTGCGGTTGGTTGGAAATTATGATTGATGAATGGCTGAGGCAGAGGTACGAGAGATATTAAGTTGATGACGGGACGAGATACCGAGTTGGAGCGAAAGAAACGACGTTGATGATGTTAGATGGTGATGCGTTGGTGTGCATGGAATGAAGGTGTTCTTAGTGGCGCTGGTTTGGGATTTATCTTTCAGATCTTGACAAGGCAGGGTCTGGGGAAGAGAGCGGAATAGTCTACCTACTTGTTCGCGGCTCCGTTCAGCTGACTTCTCATCACTTCTGCGTACATTTCTCCTTTTCTTATTGCTCTTGTCCACTCTTGTAGCGCCGGATCCTTGTTATTCATGTTTAACCATCCACCAACCCTTTTCACCCAGCCATAACTCTCGATATACGCGAGTACAAACAGAACATTCAATGTGGAATATTGGGAAGTCTCCCAATTTGGACAGTTCCTCTGCCTACCTGATTGGAAATTCCTTCCATGTTCCGCGCGGAACAGCAAAAGGCCCTTGGCCCCCAGAAAGTCACGCTTCTTGCCCAGCAGACATTCCGTGCAAATTCCGACTATTTATTTTGCAACTTCACCACACACATATGGTATTTCTGCCAGACTACCTGTGTGAACGCTTAGTCTCATTACCATAATTGGAATCACTCAGGGGAGCTTGGCGGGCTCCTGCAAGCCACAGCTGGCCACCTTCGCCATCAGCCGCCACAAGTACGTGGGTGAAAATACCTCGGCGTCCGAGCCCGCACCTGGAGAGTTTTGGATGTGGCTGCAGGATACACGACCAATAAGGACCTCTAAAGATTCAGACACTCCGGAGCTGAACTGGAATCGGTAGTCAGATTAAGAAAGCACTCTACGGGAGATCGAGCAGCTCTAAGGTGTGAATGAGCCTGCTTCTACAGTTTTGAGAAGGTTGGGGGAGGAGACTCTTAGTATCTCTTTATTCCAAAATCCTAAGAGCTTCTAGGCTTTCAACGGTGTACATACGCGGGCCTATTCAAACGAAAAACAAGGGCTATCTCGTCCAAGATCCCTAAATTGCCCCATGCTAGCTCGTTCGGTATGGTTTGCATGGTTACGAAATCGCCGTTTGAAGGGTCTGCCATTTGTCTTCCTCCCCGCGTTCTAGTGTAACTTTGTTGGTGTGAAGCTGACCGACTATTCACATAATTCACGACGATGAAACCTTACCTATTTATAAGATATCTCTCTCATTTTCCACTGAAGAGACAAATTCTTCAATACCTGGCATATATTGCACACTACCACCCCGTTGTTGAGAGCCTCGCGCCCCTCGACTTTTGATTCTGCGGCCCTGAAATCTGCACATTCCATAAGACACTTGAACAACTCCAAATAATGTCTGCACCTGTAAGGGGTAGCATCCAATATGGAGGGAATAACAGAGCCCACAGACCAGCTGGACGGGATGTCCACAACGATCAGGTGCCGTTGGCAAACGGTGAATCTGGAACGAATGGTGAAGCATTCTGGAGCAACGTAGTCGCATGTCTTGATTTCCTAGGCTACATTAGTGGGATTCTAGTGGGGTTTCTTCGAAGTCGAGACTCAGGACTGGTTGTCTGAATGGTGGGTGGCGGGATCTATCATACTAACCACACTGCAAATGGTTAGGACACGGCCGACGGCGGTACCCCTCCTTACGCAAGACAAGGATTCCCCACAACCAAAATGCTTCAAAGATTTGGAACACCTCGAAGTTCCTCGGCGTATCGGCGATCGCGCTCAAGCAAACGGATCATGTTCCCGAATGAGATAAGTTGGTACCTAGGATTTATGAGGAGTTCCTAGTCTTTCGACCTATCTCAAACCCTATATGTCAAGACCCATCTGATAGTCACTTCGCTTGGCCATGTTGGGACCGACTGCCCGAGAAAGCTTGCATAAGCCACGATTTCCGAGGTGATCCGTCTGCGTGGCACGGGTGGCATTCGTGTTCCTGGGGAAGTCACCGCTGGTGAGTGGTTGAGGAACGTATATAACCGTCCAGCTTGACCCCGCCTCTACGATGTTCGCTTTCCCAGTTCTTTCTTATCCTCTTTCTCATACTCTTTCAATCTTTTGGCAAGTATCGCAAAATGGATCACAACGCTGCGCCCTCCCCAACGGGGTCGACGGACAAGGAGATGGACTCTAGCCACCACGTAGATGCCGTGAGAACGATTTCAAGAGTGCCCGGAAATGACCACTACTATGAGAAAGATGGGCTGAGAACCTATGGCGATGGTGAAGACCATGACCATGAACCTCCAGTAAGTCTCCAAAAGCCTTGGGTACTGGATTGTCAGGTAATAACACTCGCTAGATGACCTTCAAACGTATGATGTCCTTGATAGCCATGGCATTTCTGTGGACTGGATCCCAGATTCCTGTTTATCTTTTTGGTAAGCCAAAACTCCTCAAAGAAGTGCTGGAATGTCGCTAAAGAGATCCAGGCGGTGTACCACCATATATCTACGGCGACTTAGGAGGAGTCGATCGATGGGTGTGGTTCGTGCTAGCGAATCTGCTCGCCCTCGCTGCCATTTGCCCTTTCGTTGGAGCATTGTCTGATCTGATTGGTCGACGATGGGTTGCGATATCTGGTGGCATGTTTATTGTCGTCGGAATGATTGTTTGTGCTACGGCGCATTCCATGAACATCTTCATCGGTAAGGCGACGCACTTGAACGATTTGATGAAGGCAATTCTGATATTGGACAGCTGGCATGGCATTAGCCGGAGTCGGTGCAGGGATCAACGAACTTACAGCTTTAGCTGCTACCTCCGAACTTGCTCCAACAAGAAAACGCGGGAAATACGTTGCGGTATTGATCTTCACCATCATTCCATTCGTACGTTTCCAACTTTTACCACCTTCTATGTCAGAAGAGAGAGCTAATTGTCCATATGAAGTGCCCTTCCGTTCTTTGGGCGCAGTTGATTGCATATCACGGCTCATGGCGGTACATCGGAATTCTTTGTGGTGTGTGGGCATTGTGAGTATTTTCTGATTAAACCCTCAATTTTTTGCGATTTCGCTTCGGTTGGCGTATTGCAAGTGTCGAATGCTGACCTCTTCTTCTACAGCATTGGCGTCTCGATGACGTTTATCTTCTACCATCCCCCACCACGGGTAAACTCCTCTGGTCTAAGCCGCAAAGAAATTATCAATCAAATCGACTTTGTCGGCGGCTTCCTGTCCATCTCAGGCATGATACTTTTCATTGCTGGACTTCTCTGGGGAGGATATCAATATAAGTGGACGTCCGTTCATACACTCGTCCCTCTCCTCCTTGGAGCTGCTCTCCTCGTCGGCTTCTGCTTTTGGGAAATTTACGGAGCCAAGTATCCCATGTTCCCGTCACGTTTGAGAAAAGAGCCTCGCGTACTTGCCTTGACTCTTGTCATCACTTTCATCTCTGGCGCAAACTTCTTCTCGGTCCTTCTCTTTTGGCCGACACAAGCCTTTAACGTCTATGGACATGACCCAGTTGGTGTTGGAGTCAGAGGTATGCCCATCGGGTTCTCCATCCTTGCTGGTGCTTGTATCGTGTTGTGGTTGTTGTCCGTGCTTCGCGGCCACAACCGAGCTTTGATGGTCGGATCCAGTGTCATGATGACCGCTGGATGTGGAGCTTTGGCCGCTGCCCGACTCGACAACTTGAACGCTGTCTATGGTATCCTCGTTGTAGCTGGTCTTGGAATTGGTGGGATTGTGGTTCCAGCCTCCATCATTACGACCATCATTTGTCCCGACGATCTCATTGCAACCATAGCAGCTCTTACCTTGGCGATCAGAGTCATCGGTGGTGCCATCGGATACACGACTTACTATAATGTGTTCTACAACAAGTTTGTTCCTGCTCTGAAATTCAACATTGCTACAGCGTGCGGTAAGTCATTTTTTCCACTTTTCCTCTGACGCAACTATCCACGTTCTTGGCTCGCAAGATGTTTGTTAGAAAGCCAAGAATAAGCGAGATTCTCAGGGGTTTGTTATGGTGAAAGAACATCACTGACTTTTTGCAGTTCAAAATGATATCTTCTCAGGTGAAACTATCAAGGCTGCTGCTGAACTCACCGGCGCCTCCCTGATTGACAAGATTTTGCACTTGCCTGGTGTAGACGGCAATATCACGATTTGGAACGACATCGTGTTGGCGGGCCGGGTATCGTATGCTCATGCCTATCCTTACGTTTACTATACCAGTATTGCGTTTGGTGTTGTATCGATCGTTGCTGCTCTGTTCTTGGGAGATATCAGTCCGTACATGGATGATCATGTGGCCGTCGTCATGCATTGATTCATAAATTAATCTCAGTATGGGGAAATGAGATCCTGGCTGCAATGGACCAAATGTATCCTAGATATGCGGGTGGCTGGTCCTACGTATTGAGTACATCAATGATACATATGAGAGATGAGATTTATTACATTACCTCGTTCCCTTCCTTATCTTTTCAACAACTTTATATAATTACACTTCTCAGGCGACAGGTTTTGGCTGTCCAGAAAGCTTGACCTTGATTCCTAGTCGCCCTACTTCATCAACTCTGGCCTCGCTTCAAGATCCGCCATCAAAGTCTTCATATCCTCTTCTCCAGCATCCGCCCTCTTCTTGAATGTTCCAAGACTCTGCTTCAACCAAACCGCCTCTTCTCCAGCCTATAGTTCACATCAGCTCCCTTTTTTCCAAACCCAAAACTCACATAATAAACTCACCAACGGAATCGCAAACCCTTGCTCTCTAGCAGTGATACCAGACACAATGAATACAGCATGTAAGACCTTCAAGTTCCCCGCGACGGAATCCCCTGTCCCCCTTCCAACAACCTTGTTCCACACCTGCTCAACATCTGCAGCTAATTTCGCAAACGCTTCATCACCTCGTCCTTTTCCAGATCTCACGTGCACAAATATGCGATTCGTGCTAGGCCTGTGCTCTCCACCTACGAAATAGCCTTCATCTTCAGAGTTGGGTGTGAATTTGACGTTGACGAAGATAGTTGGCGCGTTGAAGGAGGTTGCGTGGAGAGTTGTGAGTTCTTTAGCGAGAGAGGAGCGTTGGGAAGTGGTCAGAGGGAGAGAGTGCTGAACGTCGTAGAATGGCATGTTGTTTCTGCTGTTTTGTATCGCGTGTAGTGTTTACTGTCTCGTCTCAGCACAATGGAGGGGGCGAACGCGGGGTATTTGTGTTGGAGAAATCCTCGGTTAGACGGTTGCGGGGTTGGCTTACCCCTTATCTCGACGGATGATTAATGATCTTTTATTATGATATTTCTCTGATGGTACGCAGTTGCTTGAAGTTCTAGTTGCGATTTCCTCTCGATTATTTCGCCTCATTTGAACTGTTTGACTTCATAATTGATCGACCATAGACTGGCCTTATCGCCGAAAGACCTTGGCAAAAACAAGCTTCTGATTCTCCCGAGACCCGCCTCCAAGGCCGCCGCCCTGTCAACGTCCACAGGTAAACATACCTTACCCACTAAGATCCAGAGAAGCACTGTTGAAGTACCCTAACGATTCAATCATTCATGATTGGCCCGCTGTGGGGGCCTTCTATTTGTGACTACAGACCTCTCATTACACCACTTCGCTCTGACGCCAAATTGTGGCACAGCTAGCCACACGTGAACCTCTCCACGACGAGCAAATCTCAATGTTTGAAGGACAGAATGTGGATGATTGATCTAGCAAATTGGTCATAGGCGCTAAATCTGAGTCTTAGCCTTCTAATCTAGCCCAAAGAGCACTGTCACAGAGCATAGGTTTGAGACCTTGAAATGGTTGGAGTTCCCACCAGCCATCGATGCGACACCTGCAAAACGCGGAAGAAGAAGGTAACCATGGAAAACCCCTGCTATTATATCATTATTTGATACATAGTCTGACCTTACTGACTTGAACAGTGTGACGAGAGGAAGCCACAATGTACCCCATGCATTCGGAGTGGCTGGAAATGTCCAGGCTACCATAGACGCTGGAAATTTGTCGATGAGATTCCTCAGCTCGAGGAACACTACGCCGAGAATAAATACGTAATGGACGTTTTAAATGCAAAAGATTCTGAACTAACGCTCGACACACTTCGGACGACACCCTCCGTGCCTCGATACTTCGACCCAAAACCCCTCGGTTCAGAGTTCATTTACTCCCTGAACAGCAATGTAGCAGGGATGCTTTTTCCTCTCCAACTAGCCGGATCTTTCTTCCATTTCATTCCGGCACGGCTGGGACGGAATGTTGCTCTTGACGATGCCATTCAATGCATCTGCTCCATCTACTCGAAGGCACTTCCTGCCCCCCATGAAACATCAAAAGGTACCTACCAAAGTTATGCTAGGGCCATTGCTTCCCTGAGGGCCTGTCTGGATGATCCTGTCTTGCAGATGGAATCCGAGACCCTGTGTGCATCCATTATTTTGCAGTTTTGCGAAGTGAGTCGAATCATACCACTCCGGTTTGTGGCTGACCATTGTAGCTGGTGGTCAACGTCGACAGGGGAGAATGGAGCCAGTTGCTTCTTGGGACAATCTGTCTGCTACAGTTGCGTGGTATCCAACGATATGACAACGAGTATGATCATGCGATGCTGGAAAGTCAAGTAGGTTTTATTGTAGGTGTCTCATTGGGGTCATCAACGCTAGGCATCTAATGTGCCTATCCTAGTTCGGACACTCCCTCAGATTCAGAGATTCGTCTTTCATGAGCTCTCCAGAGTGGCGAGCTCTTCTATTCCACAATTTGACGTGGCCTTTTCAAATACAACAGCCGAAAAGTCTAAAGGCTAGAACACGACTGATTGGGATATTGGTGGATTTGCCAATTCTGATCGGTTCAGCTTCAGCTGAGAGCACGTCATTCGATCCCCAATTGGACAAAAGAATTGACGTTCTGATTGCCAGATTCTGTCAAGTTTCACTCGAGATCAGGTCCTGGCTAGAATTCGAGGCCGAGCCATTCCTTACTGTCACTTCTTCCTGTCAAAACACCGACCTGATCCAATATCCGGATCTGACAAGTGCCATAAACGACTGCGTGTCTCATAAAGCTCTTTTGATGATTGAAAAAGCCTTACGTATCTTGATCGAGACACGGGTAAGGTCTAGTCAGCCTCTTAGGTCGGATCTCTCTGGTGATGTACAAGCGGCGATATTAATAGGGGACGGACATTACCCTGACACTTGGCGCCAAAGACTTATCAACGCCTTCCAGTTTGTTCAGAAAGAATGCCAATTCGCTGCTAAACCCCTTGACTTTGGTTTAAGGCACGGCGAGTCGGCAAGTTTCATTGACGATTGTTCAGCGTAGGATGGGGCATCACGGGAGCCCAGTCACAAGCTGAAATACTGTAATCCACGAAGTCGAATTACTGGAATGATATCCACATCGAGGGTAAATACGTTCTGCTGGAAAACCGCATCAACTTACGATCATCAGATCTTATCCCTAAAGAAATCGGAAACAGCAACCATATCTGCTTGCAATGCTCAATTCATTCCTGGGTTGTTTTAGGAGGCTTTATCTCCTTGGTCTGCATTGCCCATTTCCGTAACCATTGGACACGACTGTCTATGCCTTCGGCACTAAGATGGCCTTCGAACCATTCCAATGATTCTTCCACATTCTCTTTAATTTGATCAAACTTTGGCTCTTCGTAGTCCTCAACAATCCCGCTCAAGGCTCCTTGTAGATCGCCTCGAAACGAAATTTTTTCGCTGCAGTAATGCCTTGACCAGATCAAGAGTTTCTGCCAGTGCGACATTAATCCGAGTCCTGCGAAAGGAGTTAAAATGTATGCCGCATCTCCCAGAAGAGTCACACCTAAAAGACGATTTCATCTGAACCCCAACAGGAAGCATCCAAAGGGCCCTGGAGATCAGGCCCTCCGGCTTTGATGCAGGCGCTGCGAGGAGACATTGTTTCGAGTGGGCCTGAATGTTCAAGTTTGTGGAAATCAAAGTTCGATTGGAGTGAACCTTTTGCGATGAGATAGATAGCTTCCTTAATGCACGACTTCCGATTTGTTGATCCTCGTGCTCTTCCATGGATAAACAGTATCCGGAAAGCCACTGGAGTATCAGTTCCTCGGTTAGGACACTTTTCCAAGGAAACTTCAAAAGACCCAGGATGTAACCACAGGTGCCTTATGTCACCAGAATAGAAAGAGGCCACATCTTGCGAACGTTGTATCGCCTCTTCAGCTCCGCGGACTCTCCGGACCAAAAACGAGGGTCCAGAACACTCTTCACCAACTTTTCCTCGATAAGTTCGTAGTGTTGAGTCCCGAATGCCGAATGCATTGTAACTTCAGACCGGGCATCACAGGTACCAAGAACTTGTCGCCCTGGAAGTAACAAGGAAACGCTCCGCTAGACATCGGGCTTACGTCGCTGCTGTTGACTCGAAATAGCGAGAATTCGAGGAGCGGCCTGATTGGCTGGCGCGCAGCTTGACACCCATTGTTGAATTTACGTACAGCAAAGGGTGAGCCAAATTTCGTAGATTGAGGACGGACCGTCTGCCATTTCGATAAGTGTGCTAAGAAATCGATATAAAGCAGCGGAGATGCGATAATTATTCATTTCGTTCGAGGTTGATAATCATTGCTTCCAGAGCTCTATCTAGGCATCATTACTTAGCCCCTGCAAATATTGTTTACCTCGTCACTTCTGCATCAACATCCATCCCACTGACAAGAATCTCCACTCGATTTCCATTTTTTGCAACTTCTCCTTCGACGATTGGGAGCATTCGTTCTGCAAATTCAAGTCTTCAAACAAGCCATAAAAGGCAGAGAAGGCTCACCATGTCGCCAGAACTTCACAAAATCGGGATCATACTCGGCTCGACCCGTTCTCCCCGAGTCTGTCCCCAAATTGGCTATTTCATTACTAAAGCACTCACACCACTCCTCCCATCGAATATGGTATTCTCCCTCATCGATCTCTCAATCAGCCCTTTGCCACTATTCAACGAACCCGACATTCCTGCCAAAATAACTTCAAGTAGCGACTACGCCCACGCTCACACACAAGCCTGGTCTGAACTCATCTCATCACACAGCGGATTCATCTTTATCACGCCGCAATACAACTGGGGCTATCCAGCCTCTTTGAAGAACGCACTGGACTACCTGTACAATGAGTGGAAAGCTAAGCCAGCTATGATTGTGAGTTATGGTGGACATGGAGGAGGAAAGGCGGCTGCTCAGTTGAGACAAGTGTTGGAGGGTGGGCTTAAAATGAGGGTTGTAGAGAAGATGCCTGCGTTGGCGTTTCCGAATAAGGAGGCCACTGCGCAAGCGTTCAGGGGAGAGGAGATGAAGCTTCCAGATGGGGTATGGGAGAAAGAAAGTGAGGATGCGAGGATAGGATTCCAGTATATGTTGAAAATGCCCGAGGGGATATAGGGCGGAGGACAGTGCATGTTTCTTGTTGAGTTTTGAAGAATGGATAGCAATGTTCTTTAACACAAGCAGGCGCAGGGAGCAGCAGAGCGAATAAGACCTAGCAATTCTCCACCAGATACAGACATGATTTGGCAGGCCATAATTGACAATGCAATATCTCGTCAAAAAACAGAGGTTCTGAGAAACCTGTCGGCATACTGCTGTGCAAAATCCGACTCTAGGATACGCTGATATTAATTGAGATAAAGAATGAGTAGGGTTATGAAACAAGAATGCTGGTTGAAGGTCACCGAGGCCCAAGATCCAGTAAGAGAGGGAAGTCGATGACGCTAAACTTGAAGCTCACAAGCGCCTTGGCAGCCTTACCAAAGCCACTTGCATGATTTGGCAAGGCCGAACATCCAAACCCCCTCCAAACAACAACAACAATCATGGCGCGCCTCTCTTCAGCAAATTCCCCAGACCTGACCGCCATAAACTTAACCCGTCTACTCGCTCGACTTCAGCAAACTCTCATAAGCCCAGATTCTGCCACAGAATCTAGGTTGCGAACCACTTTGGAACGGGAGAAAGTCGGAACAGTGAGCAAGTACAATTCGGAGCAAAGGAGTCATATTCTGACTTGCATAAATAGAACATCGAATATGCTAGGACTTTGCTCGTAAGACTTGAGCAGGATGCGCAGACTATCAAGGTGCAATCACGGAAGCATGAAGTACAAGCAGACCTAGTGCAAAAACGAGAGGCCATCCAGCGACTTAGTGAAAGACTGGACGAGTTGAACGAGGTGAGCTACAATACGGACACTTTGTCGCTACCAATCTCTAAAATACATTAGCTTGGGGATTTTGAATCCATAGAAGAGGATTCTTCTGACGGCGAGGACCTTCTGGGCGAAGACACACCTTCAGAAGAAACAGACTCCCATGCCGACGCCGCAGAACCTCAATCTACGTCCTCCTCCATGGTAGAAACTACCCCGCCCCCATTCGTACCGCAAATACAAGCACAACCACAAGTCCGGCCTCCACCTCCCACAATCGAGTCCGAGCCCGAAAAAGAACTCCCATCCACTCTCCGAGCCCGCACCAAAGAAGCGCAAGCCCGCGCTGAACTTCTCACCCCAGCATCAACCAGCACTGGTATCTCAACCGCCACCACAGAAGCTATGCTCACACACAACCGGACTGAACAAGAGCAACTCACAGGCTCCCTCCTAGCGATGGCGTCCGCACTGAAGGAATCTTCGCGAGCATTCGCCACCTCGCTGGAAGAAGAGAAAAGTGTACTTGATAATGCAACTACTGGGCTAGATAAGAATGAGCTTGGGCTGGAGGCTGCGCAGCGGAGGATGGGATACCTGCGGACAATGACAGAAGGGAAGGGCTGGTGGGGACGCATGTTGATGTATGCATGGATAGCGGGGCTCATGGTACTGGCGATTCTGATCGTCTTTGTTATGCCCAAGCTTAGATTTTGACATACTCCTGGCTTACTGGTTAGGAGAATTGTGTTGCTGCTAGTGTGTACAAAGATCGTCGTGTGGACATTGGATATCGATCAGGCGTTTGGCGTGGAGCAGGAAGGTTAGGAGGATATCTGATGACCGATAGAAGTCGCTTTATGATTTTGCATTTTTAAGATACCAGCCATACCCTCTTCAGCCAGCGATTCAGCAATGTTATTAAGTTTTGGTAAAGCCTCGCATTAAGCTATGGAAAGGTCGTCTAGCTCCTGGTCGCGCCAGTTGCAATTAAGCTAAGTTAATCTTTTTGATGAAGAATCCCACTCTAATATACCAAGCATTCTCTGTATGTGTGTTAATGCACTTTTGTTTGGTGATAATGTTGAAACATCCCCGGTATATTTCTCTGACTGTTGCAGCCGTCGAGATGAGACCGAGCCAATAACTTGCAAGGTGTTGTTGAAAAGACCTGTAAGATATGGCGTCCCCTTTCTGCTCTCCTGTGCGTAGTCTTAGAATCCACAACTTGATCGCGCAAAGTTGGAAAGCCAAAGCAAGAAGCGGACTCAGTAAATCATGTTTTCACTCATCCCAGAAATCCACACAAGTCCCTCTTCCCCCTGGCAGCCGCTTACGTTCTCGGACCACAAACTCAGCCCAAGGTCAAGCCCTGGTCTGCATGATACTAATGATGCTAGGAAGCGACTTCAATGATTGATAATCTCTTCATCTTTCACCGTCCTCACTCTCGCTCGAGATTTCAATAGCTGTACTGCTACTGTGACCACTCATGCCGATTGGTCTACCAGCACTCACCGAGGTAAATGTCGTGTGCCGTGTACTCTTCGAATGACCTTGGATATCAGTTTCGCTGGAATCTGAATCTGAGCCGGGCTCACAATCATGATGATAGTTATGATCGCTTGAGGAGATTGACATGACACCATGGGACTCCAGTCCCGAACTCGTCGAACCTTGACTGGACCCCAATCCAGAGCCGGGATTCGATCCACAAACCGAGGTATCGCTTCCTCTATCCTCAATATCTGACATCTCACCACAGGCATCATGTCCATCCCCGCCAACCTCACTATCCGTGTCATATCCCATCTCCACATCAGCGTCTCCATCTTGATCATCTTCTACAACCTCAACCACCCTATCCTCTGGCCTGACATACCCATAGGGGAGCAAACCCGTCGGACGACCTTGAGGAGGAGGCAGGTACTTGAAGAAGTTGTGCTCTACGACCTTGCCATTCTCGATTTTCTTGGGGATGATCCGCTCGAGTCGGTCGTCCCAGTCGATGCCGGAGCGTTCCTTGAAGAACTTTTTGAAACAGGTGAATGCAGTGTGGAAGTCCATGGGGTGGCAGTCTTGGCGGTAGAAAGTGAGAGGGCGGTGCGAACGAGAGTATTTGGCGCCGAACATGTAGAGGTGGGGAGGTTTGGCGTTGGATTCGAACAGCTGGTGGATGTGGATGTTAGTTGGGTGGGATAAGAGATAAGTGCTTTAGGATTGGGTGGAGCTGGTGACATGTGGATGGTGCTTCGGAAAGGGACATACGTAGAGTGTGTATTTCTCGATCATCGTCTTTCCGTCGAGGCGGACACGCGAGAGGATGATCTTATATTCAAAGCCATCCGGGTCATAGTACATGTGATAAAGATCTGTAACAGGATTGTTAGTATACTGCTTTTGCAACGACATGGGAGGATTGGGAAGGGCAAGGCACAACTTACTGCTGTTCGAAAGCTCGTGAGCGATGCGGGCGTTTTCATCAAATCTCTTTCTCAACGCCGCCTTATCAACTTCGATACCTTTCGTCAAGTTAAAGAGCGTTCTATCAAGGGTGTAGGCTCTCTCCTTGAGAAGTCTCTTGGTCTGCTTTGGTCCGAGAAGACAGTCTTCGACCCAATCAAATGTGACAATCTGACAACGGGTTTTTGACAGTTTCCATGCTTTTTGGACTAAACAAGCAGCAAATCAGTACATTTCTACTGAAATGATAGATATAGTAACACACCTTGCTCGCTCTTCTTCTTGTATTCCTCAATAGAGCAAATGAGATGAGTAGTGTCGTCGGTGACCTTGTTCTCAAATTCACCACCATGGGCTTTGATCCACTTTGCGAGTTGCTCGTGGCTGATATCTTCATTCATTCCTTTGAATATGCCGGCAGCTGACATTGTGAGACCTTTGAATATTTGCTTCAAGGGTCGGTTGTTAGTATTGGCTTTGCGGGATGTGATTGGGTTGGTGGCGAGCCTCCTGGATCCTGCGGTGCATGGCTGTCGAAAGGGTACTCTAGCGCGTGCCATGGTGGCTATTGATGAGAAGCTGTGTTCGAAATTAGCGATCGTAGCTGGGACAGATGCTCAGCTGAGATGTGGTAGATTTGGAAGGCGAATATGGATGTCTGGGAACGGCCCAATAGCCCAGTGTAGAAATAGAGATGCTACGGAAGTGATGACCTAAGCACCACAAGTTGAAAGTATGTTATTGAAAGGAAGGAGATCACAGGTCCGTGGAAGTGATGTATAGCGACTGGGATACTGATGAGTTGGGATTTGGGGAGGATGGCCGCGTGAAAGTGCATAAACCATGTCTCAGACAAAGCTAGACGAGTTGCTATGGTTCAAGCGAGCTGAGTAAAGCTGGGTGCAGCGTGGCTGAAAGTGATCATGTGTGACGAGGAAGGCGATGTCTCGTTGCCAAACTTGTAGGGATGAATTGACCAGCCAAGTTTGCGTGTCCTGTCCAAACTGCTTTCTAATGTGACATTTGGTGAATTCAAATGATGAAGTTGAACTCTTAGGATATGCTGAAAACATTGGAAAGGAGTGCCGGTACGAAAGCAGTGGATGGAGAGGTAGGTGTAATGTAAGGGATTTATACTTACTCCGAGGTACTTGGGTGACGGTCAGAGATGTGTGTTGTGATGAAGATGCGTAAATAATTCTAGGAATAATCGTCCTCGTATGTGCTCGATGTAAAGATTTCTAATTGCATTGGAGCTAATCAGCCTGCCTTTAGTTGTAATATTACCAAGAATCGACGTTGTTGCGGTTGTTGATGCCGTTGATAGTTTCTCTGAATGAGAAGACGACAAGGCTTTTAGTCGTCAACAAACTTTGGTGAGAGCAGAGAAAGAATGCCACCAATACGTAGTTATAGTTAAGAACCGAAAGTTGTAGGTGACTCGCAACTACTTTCTCGGGTAAGTGAGGGTGCGTCTCGTTGACACCAGGGAGAGGTCGGGAACAATCAGTGTAGGATACAAGCCCTCACCTAGTGGAAAATGCAGCCTGCATCTCCAATCGTGTGTGCCAAAATGTGAGTCGGTAAACGATATTCATGAGCTACCAATAGAGTAAACAGAACAATATACTACGAAGATTGATTCAGTAGCTAGTAAAAAAATATGCAGTCCCCATGTGCCACTTTTGATCACCGAACACCCATAAATTTGCAAGTAACACATCTTACAGACGCTTCGCAACGCTCAGTGGACAATTAATACTCAATGGTGCCCATTAGGCCGTAGGAGTCCATGATAGAGCAAAACATATCCAAGCAAAACGATGTGCTTGCCACCACTAGGTTATCCCATCTTCAATAGGCCTGCTAGTGATCTTGAGTCGTATCCGGAACAACGTAAACTCTAGTCCGTGTTTGACAGATCGCGCGGAGCTTGCTCGGTGCGCTTGCGCCAAGAAAATGGAGAAGCGAATGTCAACAATCCTGGTGCATCACACAATGATAAATGCAGAAAGAAGTAGATCATATTTCAATACCCTCAGGCCCATCTAACGGACGCTCTTGGCTGCTTTGATGAAAGCTTGAATCTTGGCAACGCTTTGCACGCCGTTTTCCTCGACCCCACTAGCCGCATCGATACCGATAATCTTGTCGCTATAATCACCAACTGCTCGGACAGCATCGGCAACGTTTTCCGCATTCAAGCCGCCAGCAAGTAAGATTCGTAATCCTGGGTCTTTCGCGAGAACGTTTGAAACTTGGGTCATATCAAGTGTCTTACCGGATCCTCCAGAAAGAGAATCGAGCAGGGGAACTGTATGATATCCTCGCTTCCCGATTCCAGGCTGAGTAGGGTTGAAAACCCGAATTACTGGTACCGGAATTAGATTTGCCCACTCGAGCGGCTCCTCACCGTGGAGTTGGACGATATCTAGGTCGTATGCCTTCTGTAGCTCCAGAATCTCCTCCAATGGCTGATTCTGGAAGACACCAACGAGTAGTGCTCGATGGCTCGAAATATTTGATGCTGCATTGGCAAAAAAGTCTGAAGCCTGACTGCCAACACGGTCGCTGACCACACTTCCAGTGGTGACGCGCGTTTCGTGCACAGCTTTCGATATTGCAATAGCATCTTTGTAAGGCACATGTCTGCCCCTTCCAGGAACAAGTATCATGCCGATCAGGTCCGCACCTGCCTTAATAGCCTCAACTGCCGTCTCTGCTTTTCTTGTGCCGCAGATTTTCACAAGAAGAGGTCCTGGTGCAGACTTCAAAACCGGTTCGGAACCACCAAGAAGCTCCCTAATAAAATTTGCTGTATCTGCTGCTCGCATAAGCGCCTCTCCAACAAGAACTGCACCAACGCCATTTTTCTGATACGCCTCGACATCTTGGGATCCAGAGATACCGCTCAGAGCGCAGACAATGGTCTCTTTTGGAACTTGATCAAGAAGTCGACTGGTGGTTTCGAGATCCACTTCAAAATTTGTGAGATTGCGGTTGTTCACACCAATAACTTTCGAGCCAAGCTTAACAGCAATGACTGTCTCTTCAGGTGTGTTGACCTCAACCAAAGGCTCCATGCCGAGAGATTGTGAGTAACGGTATAGCCTTACCAGTGTCGCTTCATCCAACATCTTAACAATTAAAAGGACTGTATCAGCGCCTGCAAGTCGAGCCTCCAAGATCTGATATTCCTCGAAGATGAACTCTTTGCGTAGCACAGCAGGCCTGTTTGGCATTCCCTCGAGCGCTTGACGAACGGCACGCAAATCATCAATGCTTCCTTTGAACCACTTTGGTTCAGTTAAGACTGAAATGACACTAGCACCTGCCAAAGCATATGTTACAGCTTGGGCTGGAGCACATGTCGCCATGGAGATGATGCCTTTGGAGGGAGAAGCTCTTTTTATCTCAGCCATCAAGGAAAGGGGGAAAGGAGACTTTCGAAGACGACTAACGAAAGGGACAAGAGGAGGAGCAATATTCAGATCGTAAGCTGCTTGAAGGTCCGTCGGTCTTTGAGACGGAACCTCCTTCTGCAATGCCACTGCAGCTTTTCGGTGTGCGAATATCTTGGTAAGGATGTTCTCTTTCTTGCTCCCGTTCGCTCCATTTGTGATAGCTTTACTTGAATCAGTTGATTCTTTCTGCAAACGATCGTTTTCCGCCCAGGTCCCGCCACGCATTTGTAAAAAATTCTTGAGCATGACGCGGCCCTTCTCTGTCAGGATACTTTCTGGATGATATTGGACACCCTCGACAACGTATTCCTTGTGCCGAATCCCCATTATAACACCTTTGCCTCCGTCTGGACCTGCCCCTATCCAAGAGGAGACTTCGAGGCACTCTGGAAGAGTCGGATGTGTACCAGCGAGCGAGTGGTAACGTGTTACTGGAAGGTCTTGAGGAAGGGTGGCATACACACCTTTCGAATCGTGTCGCAATGGTGATGTCTTTCCATGTAAGATCTCTCCCGCAAAGCTTACGTCGCCTCCCCAGAGATCAATCATGCATTGCCTTCAAAGTATCAGTAAGCAACCCGATTGGTACTCAATTGAGCGACTTACTGTCCCATACAGACTCCCAAGATGGGTATCTTGCCTGCAAAATACTTGATAGCATCTCTGCTGACGCCAGAGTCCGTCTTGGGATGACCTGGACCAGGACTGATCACCAGTTGAGTCGGCTTCAGTTCCGCCAGCTCGTTGACAGTGATAGCGTCATTTCGGTAGACTTTGACTGTAGCGCCTTCTAGGACGAGATATTGGTAGATGTTCCACGAGAAGGAGTCGAAGTTGTCAATGAGAACGACATTTGCCGCATTTGCCAGAGGCGGGGATGCTTCTGGCTGCTGAGGAGAGTGGTCAATCAAGTCGAGAGCTGGCATTTTTGGAGGGGTTGAGGGAGTGATTGAATGGAATTGAGGTAAGGGACTGTGATGGATAAACGGCAAAGTCGTTGCTCAATGTCACACCTCCAGCTCTGCGCTTATTGACACATTTCTTACTGGACTTTCATTGCCCTTTTGTGTTGCGTGCTGTGTGACTCTTACCACTCATCTATTGAAAGAGCGGCGGGCGGCGATGGTGATTGATTGTCCACGGGAAAATTATAGCGGCCGCTAATCCCGCTTCCTTGACAACCCTTTTTTGGTCTAGCGTATTTCTTCCTTCGGCGCGTCAAACCAGTAGCTAAATAATATCGAGCCAGAGCCTCGCGCCTTGCCTTGCTGTAGAGCTATTTCTGCTCCACGCAAAACAGCAACGCACATTCTGGCTTGCAGCAGAGCTGGGCAGCAATGGCACCGATTCTTGCGTCCAGCTATTTCCCTCCCTTGGACAAATGTCTGGGTGGCGAGGAGCTCCTGGTGTAAGTCATCTCCTCTGTTTTCTTCCAAGGACGCTTCTAACTCTAGATTCGAGCTCCTGGAAGTCGGTTCTTTCTGCTATAACAAGCACATCAGATATTGGAGATGATCAAACAATTTTTCTCACGAGCTTCTTGACAAACGATCAGGTTCTAGAGCTTCTAGAAAATCCCTACGCCGCGTACCCTCCCCCGTCTGCAGATACCAAAAATGCCTTCGACACGAAAACCTCCGCGATCAACGTCACTCCTTCCTCAAATGCGCAGTACGACATCAAAGAAATCAAGGACGATGCGTTATGGCTCAGCAAGGCTGCAAACATTAACGAAGTCTCTGCGCTTAGAATAGTAGTGGAGGAGTGTCAATCGCGGCCCGCCGCTCAATTGCTTGGACCGTTCTCAGAGGAAGAATTGGCAAGCATACGAGATGCTGCAGGCAACAACAGATATTCGAGTTCGATCCCAGTCGGATTGATGTCGCAAGGAGCCGAACCGCAGCAGACACAGAAAGAATTTAGTCTTCAGGAAAGCCGGCGCAAGCGCATTCTCAGGACATACCTTTCCGAAAGGAGACATCTCTTGAAGTGCTCTGAAAGGATTTTCCATCAAGTATTTCTAGGCTATGGTCTTGCAGAAGAAAGCAGAGGCAATGGTTCAGATTTCGCCATTGCGCCGATCTGGCTACAGGATTTCGGAATGGGCACATTCACCAAAAAACTCAATGCAGACCAGTTCCCCGGTCCTGATGAAATCTTGAATAGGTGCATTGGAGGTGTAACAAACAATATGAAGAATCTCATGGCCGGAAGTGGCTGGTTCAGTGATGATGGCGGGAGAGAGGATATCGAAATTGAATGGACGCGGAGCCAGATTACCGAGGCAATACATTCGATGGAACTCATGTGGCAGTTTCTACAGAATTACTGCCATGAGTCTTGCTCTTCAGAAACTGTCCTGGCCTGGTTTCATCTTCAGCAAGACTACAGCTTTTTCAACAGCTTTGATTTGGTTGGTCATGGTCCTCTCTATTCATTGTCATCAATGCTAACATTTCGCTTAGGAAGAAGAGTCAGTTCAGATGCTGTTCGTTGCTCTGCAGTCTATTTCGGGAATTCTTTCTCTATCAGTACTAGGTCTGGACGCTGCTGTGGGGTATTTGAGCGATCCGCTGCTATCAGAGGTAGCACTCAGCGCACCAGGTCGCGAAATTTACTTGCGAAACCCTCAAACGATGATCGATATCACGAATATCTTAGTTCAGGCTGCGGATAATCGTCTTCACTCTGCAAGCCCTGCTATTCTTGCCTGGAGTATCAATCTTCAAACGATGACCGACCGCATGCTTGCTCAAGAAGCAGCAGAATATCATCCAGACGAACGAGCATCATCCGTCGATACGAATCTTACACTAGGGCCTGATCCGTACAAAGAAGCCTTGGAGCAAATAAACGATATCCTTGAAGAGGACGTCATCGACTATCTTGCTCGTAGTGCTATTGATTCATGCCAAGTCTTTGATGTTCTTTCATCACTGGCATCACAACTTGGCAACACCACGAGTGCGATTTTCTCGAACTTCGTCGGCGCTGAAATGCGCGGGAGTATTCTGAGTCTCATTCGATATAGTGCACGTGTCGGGTATAATGCTGAGATCGTGGGTGCCGCTGTCATGGCTTTGACTAGCGGGCAAGACTATTGGGACCTCCGTGACTCGGATCACATTTTGGAGAGTGTTGATCCAGTTGCGAAGTTCTGGAATGATCAAGCTTTGAAAGGCGTGCTCTTACAGAACGCTGTCTGGAGATACCCTTTCGAGTCGATGCCGTTGTTACAGTTGATTAGAGCGCTGGCGTATCGGTCATCGACGCCACAACAGGAAGCCCAAAAGGGAAATGACTCAGTGACGGAAGTAGTGCAAGAGAACGACGCCGAGATTTATGACCCGAAAACAATTGCAGATATTCTTGACGCCATGCCATTCTTCACATATGCTCTCCCGCCGAATTTCGTGGATTACGAAACAACACAAGAAGAGGAGAATAATAATAATATAAGACTCACTAAGGGGATCCATCTATTTGTCCCTCGGTCTTACACTTTGAGAAGCCTCTCAAGCCAATCTTCGTCGTTGGTGTCTCAGGATTCCGATTTCTACATCCCGGCGGGAACCATTGGACGAATTGTTTCCGAATCAGATCCCAAGGTAGCATATTGGTATCATCAGTACTCTGGATTTGCATATCTAGGAAAGTTGCTTGAAACCTTCCTTGCGGCGAGCGATCTTGTCGATGTTACTACCGGACAACCTGCCGATCGGGAATCTGTGAGCGAGATAATTGAGATATTTGCAGTACTTGTTTCAACCCCCAAGTCGAGATTGCCGTCTTTCGAGGCAGCCACGGAAATTTTCGAGAAAGCAAGCTCAGGTTTGAGTCATGAACGGGATATTATTGGTGTTATATTCGACATTTTCCAGGAAGAGCTGCAGAATCAATCCGCAAGCTTTGGAGCCGAAGTTCCATTGGACATCCTGGTCAGTTGTGTACACTTTATCCACGCACTGATTCCGCTATACCCTGCACGGGTGTGGCCCCTCCTTACTCATAGTGGCCTCCTTGATCTGGGTAGAGGCAGTGGGAAATTGCCTGTTATCGTTGAAGGTGTTGAACTCGTTTCAGGGAAATATAATCTCCTCGTATCTTGCTGTCGCTTGTTCGACTCCCTAGTTGAAGATTACGCCACCAATGCGATTAGAAGGAGAAGCAATATCCTACCGTCCAAATTCAGGCTTGCGAGCAGCCGCCACCAATCATCTCGCGATATATCCACCGGAATACCAGAAAGTACCGCCTCAACTATTATCTTCTCATTCGTTCGATATTTTGTCGAGGTCCTGGAGAGCTCACGAACGTGGAAATATGATCTGCAAGATGATCGCCGGCGGATAGGCAAGATTATCGGAACTTCATTCAATAAAATACTGAAATACGCTTTTGGCATTGAAGCGCCGGTGGAGCTCGAGGCTGCAGAGACCCAGGATGTGGCCAACTTTGGAAAGTCTTTAGTCCCTTTTTCACCAATGACAGAGCAAAATGGGGAAATGCGAGATGATAGGCGGACCAAGGTCATGGAAGGCTTGATGCTCGGCGCCTCGCATATCATCGAGAGTTTCCTGTCGGCGTCATCGGGAACTCTGAGGTTCCAGCCGCTCCTACGGTCATATTTCGATGGTTTGGAAACTCCAGAAACCACTGTGTATCTGAATCTGCTCGAACTATGGACGAGTCATGTTGGGTCGATACTCTCCCTCTCGCAATCATTACTCCGAGTCAAAACAATGCTTGGGCTGCTGCCCTCTCAACTCGAGGCCCAAATTTTCAAATCTTCATCGCTCATTGCGCGCCTCTATGCCGCTCACGATATGTATAAGACCAATGTGGTTGGTCTCTTCGAGGCTCTCATTGTCACTGCGTCGAGTGATGAAGCTTATGAGCCTCCTTCTCTGCTTGGACACCTCGGCCCACATACTGCCAGGAACTTCCTCCATTGCCTCTCAGATCTTGACAAGCCGCTGTCGAGGCAAGCAAATATCACTACAATATGGCATTTCTTATCTATGGTCATGAATAGCCGGCAACAATGGTTCGCTAACTACCTGCTTACTGGAAAGACCCCAAGAGACGCCATGAAGGTGAAGTCTGGCGCGAAAGAATTGGTGGCTTTGGATACATCGCTCCTCTCCACAGCTCTCGATGCACTCTCCAGAATTAATGAGCTGCCGCAGCCCGCATCACTTGCAATGCTCGAATTTGTTGCGCTGGCTCAAAATTATTGGCCATGGACAGTCTGCAATTCACCACAATATAAAGCCTTCATCGATTCGATGCAGGAGTTTGTGGGAAGGTTGAAGCCACTCGGACAATCAAAAGATCAGATCCAAAGTCTCATAGAGGACTGCTATCAGACTCGCATCGCGGCGTTTGTTGCAGAAATTTTGGCTATGCATCTCTTCCACTCACGCCAGACGGGGGCTTCTGTGCAGCTGAAGTCTTTAATCACAAATCTCTCATACTTCAAGAGATTTGCGGCGGCTGTCCCGGATTACAAACAGTCTCTCCACAGCCTATTGAAGAAGAATTTTGAAGCAAGATTTCCAGGATCCACTATAGGGGATTTGAAGCGGAGCCCTTTGGCAAGCCGTCAACTTGGCACTGGATACTTCTACGATACCTCGCTTGCCGATCAAATGTTATCACTTGACCAGGGGTGGTATGGAGTAAAGGGAAACGGACTTCGTGAGGATGTCTACAGAGCTAACGTCAACCTGTCGCTCGTCGATGCTCAAATTGTAAGCATCAGTATCGCCTCTATTATTGCTGAGTATTAACTTGATATAGGCACTGTTCCATAGCTGGAAATATCTGTCCATCGAGCTAAGTAGTAATGTCGCTGCTGAGCCGGAGGTGCAAACATTGCTGTCAGCAGTTGTGACCAACTGCTTAGTAGCAAATGGGCAAAGTCAGCCTCCTGAAGAGATCTTCTCGACACTATCCCAAACCCGTGCAGACTTTGCGCTTGTTTTAGGTCAACGTTTGGTTCAAGCAAAGTCTTCCATTCCTGACATGCAGCGACTTCTGCCTACTGTCTGGAAGACAATTGAGAACCTTCGGGGGTCCTTCGACAAGCCACTCCTTGTCGACGATGTGCTCTATTACAGGTCATTACTGAAGCTGCTCTTCCTAGCAATACGTGTCCATGCCGAGTCACCATCTCAAAACGAAAACCTTGGAGCATCAACACGAGCTAGTCAATCTGCAGCCATACCGACTATCCTTAGCATTTTGGAACATGTCGTTGCGAAAGGTCTTCGTGAGCTTGCTACATCTATCCATGATTCTCCAGCGGAGTCTTCACCAGAAGATCTTGCACTTATCACTGGTATCCTACAGTCATGTCTACGTATTCCTGGGATCGAGCTTAACCATGGACAAATTGTGGTAATGATGGTCAATAGCTCAGCACCACTCTTAGCTGTCAAGCTCTTCTCCTGGGCGGAAACTCTCACCATAGATGGTGATCCAATTTATGGAGAGCTGAGCATTCTTTTCCTTCTCGAGCTGTCTAGTATGCCTCCAATGGCGGAACAATTAGCAGTCAGTGGTATTCTGAGCCAGATCTACTCCGCCGGCATCATATCATATTTCCGACGTCCTGGTGTAAGTCCCTTTGCTGAAACCGCTGGGCTTCAACGCTGTTACAGCATTTGGGCTCGTGGCATCTTACCATTACTTCTCAACCTCCTCGACGCTGTTCAGTCATCCATTGCGATCGAAGTCGCTCAATTTCTCAACCAGTTCCCTCTCATGCTCGGACACAGCGAGCAAGCCTTTGACGCCCCAGAAACAGATCGCATCATTCCAAAGGGGCAGACTAAGTACATCACCGCCACCATCTGCTCCGAGGTCCACTCGATGTCATTACTGGTATACATCCTCACTGGTTTCAGGGAAGCCTTGGTCTCTACGATGGACATCCCAGATGTCAAATGGGACGCAGCCGGCGTATTAGAGAATGTACTGTTCTGGCTACAACCAGGCTCTAGTTCTCTCCTGAGAAGCCGCATCTTACCTATGGGTGAGAGGGAGGTAGAAGACGTGCGGAAATCAAAGAGTGCAGGAAAGACAGTCAGCACACTAGAAGTTAAAATCGTGGCGGAGTTGAGAGGCATTCGGGATGTGCTTGGCAGTGTGGATAACTCGTAATCAACGGAGATGGAGATGCAGGTGAAAAAGGGGCATTCATGGCGTTTCGGTTTGGGCCTTAGAAAAGATGACACCGGATGGTAATTGGTTATATGAAGGTTGCAAGGTGTTGAGATTAGTCGGCATGCGTACGTGCATGTATGGTAGATACCAGGCAAATAAAATAAGACCGCTTTTACAGACTTGAAGCTGAAGTCACCATAAATGTGTACGGCTTTGATGACTCCGCATTCTCGATCTCCCGCGCAAATTTACCCCTTTTCATTACAGCACAGCCTATCTATGCCATCGATTTCCTTCAGAAGGATCGTAAAGTCAAAAACGGCACGACGAAGCTGGGCTGCTTTTCTTGGGTCCATGTCCATGAAACCAGGGCTGCGTGCAATATCCCAACAGTTTGTGGTAATTTGCCCAGGGCGTGGTTTCTATTGCCTCCTGAATGCCACATTCGCCACTTTATGTCAGAAAAAGCTCGCAGGGAGGTGTGGCGATTGCGCGTCCTTGGGTCGTTGGGATTGTAGTGAAGGCCAGGGAGGTTGCGGATGGCGTGATGTTTACATCCACTGGCATTTTCTTGCATTATTGAGGGGGTTCGACTCGATAAGTTTTCTTGTCAGGAACGATACTAGATGTATTTCAACGGTCTTCTTGGCAGGAACAAACTCGTATACGTAGAGAAATTCCCAGAGATGTTCCAGGTTTGCGTTGATGGAAATGGAGCAGAGTTCAGATGTTTGATATCGGGAGACTGATCTGGGAGGAGTGGTGGTATGTAGTTTAGAAGAGCTTAATCAACCTTGTTGAAAAGTGTAATAATTTCGTAGAAGGCAGACCTGCATAATGATCATATGTGTATTTGTTCGTAAGAAGCGACTCTTCTGCCAATTTTACGTAGCATCTTCTCTCAGCAATCCCAGTCATTTGTCTGTTAAGAGTGTAGTGGACTCTATGCCTCGTTAAGTTTTTCCAAGAACATAATCACGCTTGTCAGTGCCCACAAATACAGGTCTTATCAGCTGAGTAGCGTTAGACAGATTGACCAAGATAGTTCTATGATGGAAATATTGCGTGCCTGGTTCGAGAAACGTGGGAAAGGCTCGAGAAAAAAACTGCGATTTAAGTCTTCAATTTTTATAGATTTTCAAACAGACAGACATCGATTCACTATTCCTCCATAACCACATATCACCCCTCCAAATGCCACGAGGCCAGATATCAGGCAGTCACGGCAACATTTTCTGTGGCGCTAGCCAGGGGAGGGTAAACATCTGCTAAGCGAGAGCTTTACAAAAGCGCGTCCGCTCGATTTGGTTGAGCTTCGTTCCTCTTCCAAACAACAACACCGACAAGTTCGATCTCGATCAAGTCGAACGAAGCATACTCCTCTCGACTACAGTCTGTACTTGGGTGAACTGTCTCGCGTCGTGTAAGTACTTAGCCTGCCCCTAGCTGTTACTGTGCGTACGCTAATCTTGCCATTGTCAAGATCGTTCCCATTGCGCACGTCGCAAGTTGAAGTCACCCTTCGCCTATCTCCAACCAATCGGCCCATGGTGAACAAGTTGACTTTGCGGCACCAACTTACCTCAGCAATAGCACCAAGGTAAGTAATTCCCGAACGGACATTCCGGCTTGAGCTTGCCTGACATATTTTTAGGCTCGGCAGAGAAAGCTCAATTACTGTTAGTGACCAGATAAGATGCCACCAAAAACTAGGTATGTCAATTCAATCACCCAGCTCTAAGTTCTTTCGTCTTTTTCTTACAATTATGCCAGGTCCCACGTGCCCACTTCCAAGAAGGTCAAGGTCATCCTCAACACCAAGTCCCGCCCAAGATTCATGCGCAAGCTACCCCTTGAGTTGCGCGAAATGATTTATAAGCATCTAATAGGTATGTAAATGACCCCAATGAGTGTACGAACTATGCCTCATTCTCTGGATTTATTCTATGCATGTCATACACAGCATTGCTAACGTACCGTCTGTCCATTCAGATCCTCGTACTATCGAAGTCGACTTCCTCTCCGAAACCCAAGCCGAAGCCCGCATCCAAGCCATGCAAATTTCCAAGTCCAACGCCACCAAGTCTGCCAACAACAACGCTACCACAATCCACTCAAAGTATGCCGACTTCGATAATAGCTCTGAGGACTCTTCCGATGACGACTACAAGAAAGAAAAGAAATCTTCTCCAAAAGTCGAACGTTTCCAGTTTGTTAATACCTCTGAAAATCAGCTAGTTCTCCATGCAGTCAACCGAGAAACTCGTCATTTCGCCATGAAACGATATACTCACATCTTCAAGACAGCCTCATCCCCAGGTTTGCTGTTCAACTTTAAGTTGGACTATCTTTCCTTCACAGGTCAAATGAATACCAGTCACAATGAGATGAGATACCGATTCGTTGACCGAAAGGGCTTTCAAGAGGACATTGCCCGTGTCGAAAATCTGGTCTATGTCTTCTCTCGTCATTACAAGGAGCTACAAAAGGTTCAAAATGGTACAGTCAATGCTCGCACCTTTGTGACTCGCTTCCCAACTCTCAAGAACGTCATCATTACCCTTCCACTGGAGCACTATAGCTATTGCATTTTCTGCAACCGCGATGAGAATAGTGGAGATGATTTTGGCAATGACTTGAGATCCACCATTAATACTCACATCGACGATGCTAAGTCTCACTTTGAAGACCTGAAGCAAAAGTTGAAGGATGCAGGTACTGAGTGGGTTGCCCCAGAGCTTGTTTACAAGACATACTGCCTCCGCCAACGCTGGCAACTAGTTCTTGAGGACAAGGCATCCAAAAATTCTTGATTACAGCTTTCCATTCCGTCAGGTTGTAAATGTTGTTTACTGACCGGGTCTGGCTTAGATCCTACTTCGACGAACGCACGATACTCATATGTCATTACTGGAACCTGATTCTCGGACATGTGCTACGAGGATTACATACATGGTTTGTCCGGCTGAGTATCTCCATTTTGTCTTTCAACAAACTTATTCCAGGCTCGCTGGAGTCCATTACTTTTCATACAAGTTCAACAGTCCAATATTTGAGAACTTCTCTGCTTTCAAAGGGAGCCCTTCTCAAGTTCATGCTTTCAAACTCGCTCGTCTTTTCCATCCGTGTCATCTGCTGTGCAGGATTGGCTCGAGCGAAAGAGCAAGGAATAAGACTCTATACAAGCATTGCGCACCAAAGAGAAAGTTACCTTCTACTCTCGGCGAATACTGGATGCCATTTCCACTCTTGCTTTTCCCTTGAGTCCCGAACGAAAAATAGTATCTGTCAGAGTACTTTCTTTCGTTTCTTCGGGTTACAGCTGTTTGCTTTCGTTAGCTTATATGACGGGCGACAAGAAATGACAATAAACAAACAAACGGCCTCTTCTGCTGCACTGTGATGTACTTGACGTAATCGAATGAGATGACTTCGTCGTCTCCGCCAACTGTTTCAGTAGATTTGAAGTCGCTGAACCTCTGGCCTGAGCAGAATGATATTCCGATCAGCATATTTTTTGCTCCCTATTGCCTCAATTGGACCGGAGTCCAAGCCATAAGTTATGTAGCACAGCACGCTTTGCGCAGCTCCTTGCGCTCTAGTTGATGCTGACACCCGGAATGGCACTGGATAGGGGCTCGCTTAACGGTGTTGACAAAGCAGAGTGCAGTACATTCTAATCTTTCAGCGTATAATTTGACTGAAATTGGCTCCCAACTTTTCTCAGTGTGTACCTACCAAATACCAAATATCGAGCGTGTCGCGATTTGGGGGGACTCTTCAGGAGGAGACGAAACGTTGTAGTAGTCACATGTGGCAATTCAGAACCCGGGGAAGTCGGGCATGTTCAACCAAGATTGCCGAACCTCCATAACCAAGATTCGCCCCCCGGTCCCTGAAATATGAAGCTAAAACATCAGCCTATTCTCCCCGCGCAGAACGTCAATCCGGGGCTGGCGGGGAAATCACCAAACTCGTCTGTGGCGTTGTCCAATTGGAGCGGCTCGGTTGGCAGCACGAGTCAAGGGTGGGGTAAAGATCGAAAATGGGGAAATTCCATCCCATGATCTGCATGCAACTTCAAGTGACATCGGTATATCGTCGGTAAGCCATTATCAAGGCGGCTGATCTTGGTATACTTGGTTCGACCGCTTTGAAGTCGTTTTCCACTAATCAGGGAAATGGAAGGGGAAGTGTCCGGGGAAAATTCCGATTTCAAGATGTGCTGCTCCGCCATGGAGGCGAGCGAGGGCGCGGAGGGACTCCACATGGTGGGAAAACGTTACATTGATTTGAGATTGGATATATATTTATTAAGTGTATAAGAGTCAATGGTTCACTTCCTACTTTGATTCCAGATTCACGACAAGTCAACGCAAAGTCAAGTGCAAACATGTTCTTTCGCTCTGTTGTTACGGCTGCTCTTGGCCTCGCTAGCCTGGCCACAGCTTCAAACAAAACAACAAAGTTATCAGCTGGTATTTCTATCTCTAATTCAACGACTCTTAAATTCACAGAGCTAACAAGAATGCAGAAGCTCAAGATCTATTCGACTTTTCAATGTCGATCAATGATGCCAGCTTTGACGAGTCCTACAAAGTGATCTGGTCTGATGACAAAGGACCATGGTCTATTCGCTTCACTGCTTGGTATACTGCAGGATTGCTGCACCGGAATCAAGGCAACGATGTCGAAAATGCAAAAGGAGCATTAAGGTCTATGTAAGCACAGCGAGAATAACATTTCGCAAAGGATGGGTACTGATGATGGGACAGTCTCGCGACTCAGATGACGGAGAATTTTACTTCACCTTGGTATGGTGATTTCAAGCTCTCGCCTGATGGTAAACACACGATATGTTCCCATTATTGCCAGGAACAATGGACCTAACATCCATCAGAACCCACCCCACAAGCAACCCTCTACGAACCAAAGATCTACGTAAGTTTTCACATTCTCACCCAAAACTCACAACACCAAAGAACCAACACCCATACTAGGGCACCTACGACCCCAACTGGCGCGAATTCATCGGCACGCAACTCATCCAAGTCGTCGAAGAATTCCCCCACCTCCTCGGCCCCTCCCTCACCCGCGCCATCGAAACCTCCCTCGTCCACTCCGCCATCGGCGCCATGCGCCGCAACGGCACCTTCCCACCAAGCGACAACCTCGTCCTCGCCTACTCCAACCCAGGATACATGCGCGCCCTGAACGTAGCCTGGATCGGGACCCGTCTGAACAACCAAACGTTCATCGATTTCGGCAACGCGCAAGCTACAGCTTTGTACGAACTATTCACTAAGAATGGAGCGAATACGATGGGTGAGTATAACGCTCCTAATTACTACGGGATGGATTTCTGGGCTCTGGGAGCAATGAAGAAGTATGGGCCGGAGGGCTCAAAGGTGAGAGAGCATGCGGGGGAGATTATGGAGAGGTTGTGGGACGATGTCGCGGAGCATTATAATCCTTACTTGGGTAATATGGTGGGTCCGTATGATCGGGCCTATACGAGGGATATGACTGTCCACGATGCGATTCTGTCGTTGTATTTTTGGGAGATTTTCGGGTATGGGAGGTTGGCTGTTCCGCCGAGGGGGGAGTTGGATTTGAGGTATGATGCGACGCAGGGGGCGGCGATTGCGTTGGTTATGGAGGAGGTGGAGAGGGCGATGTCCAAGGAGGCGAGGGAGAAGTTGCTGGGGAGTTTTGAGACGGGGGAGCAGAAGGAGAGGGTGTTGAAGAGGACTGTTTACTATGATCTTGAGACGGAAGATAATAGGACGACAACGGCGTGGGTGAGTAAAGAGTTGATGATTGGAGGCCAGCAGCTTGCTGAGACTGTGGATCGGGGCAAACAATTCGTGCCTGCGATTGTGCATTGGGCGGCTGATCCGGACCATAAACCATTCCCGCTCAATGGGTATTTCAGTTTGTTCCCAACTGCTACGACTATTACTGCGGTTGCTGAAAAGCAGAAACTGACGGTCAGCTATCCAAATTCAACACAGCCAGGAACGGATACGTTCCAGTTTATGCTTTCAGGTATCCCGCCTCCATGGAACTTGGCTGGGAATGTGGTGAACGGTTTCACGAACGTGCCGTGTCTGGACGTCAACGTCACTGCACCAGGACTCCAGGAGTTGCCTACCGTTTACGGATCATCGATTTACGGCTCCTATTACTACAACATCACGTATGTCGTTCCATCGAATTTCACAGGGACGCCACAAGTTGCATTTGATTTGGCGTACACTTGCCAAGTTAGCCGAAAAGGATTTCAAAAATAGGACCGAAACTAGAGCAGATAGCTAGATTCAATGAAATATTGCCAACGCCATCTTCCATTGTGGATTGGTTGTCTTGACGAGAGCGAGAAGAAAGCTGTGGGTTACAAAATGCTGACTGTTTAATCGCTCGCCTAAAGTAACCGAGCCCCTGAAGCGCGACTCGTGAAATTCGAACCCTCCTTGAAAGGCAATGCTGGTTTCTGGGAACCGCTAGAGGGGCGTACTGTAAGTAATGAGAGGTACATCGACAATCAGTGAACGGTCAATTGATAGTGATGAGGATTTCTCGACGGTTGCGAGGTTTTAAATTCAGAATTGGCCGCTTCCGTGATGCGGCAAAACATGCCCTTCTCCTTTTAGGTTTTTATTGAATCAGCGCAATGGCCCATGACCCACTTGGTGTAGTATGAATTCGGATTTCATTCTATAAGAACAAGAAGCAGGATCTACAAATTTCAATTGAGCCTTGATCTGTAATTAGCCCACGCACTACACGATGTTGATCACCAACAATGAAATTGAGCATTGGATGAATAAAAATGAGCGCCTCGAGTACTGGCTCTGTAACAGTGTTATTTTAGCCCCCTGGTTTATCTCTTGGCATGTATGATGCAAGTCTAGTGGTCAAGGTAAAACTAGCCGTGATGACTTCCGTTTTCTGGGAGATTTGCTTGGGGATCTGCGACTGCGCCAAAGTTCACGGGGCATTCTGACATTGTGGTGGCCAGGCGGGTTTTGCCTAAAGTGCTGGTGAGGAGGTCGAATCATCTGAGGATGTGGAGCTTGGACTAGTCCGTGCAGCTGTCCCATCTGTTGCTGTGCTGCCTGTTGCTGTGCTATTTTTGCCATCCTTCGAAGTGCCATCTCTTGATGTTCCATGTGTTGCGGCCCTATTTGTTGCGGTCCCATATACTGATGATTCATCTGTTGTGGTAGGATATACTGATCTCCCATTTGCTGTGGTACAGTCTGCACTCCTGGTGCTGTGGCAAGTTGTTGGTAATACGGGTGAGGCTGAAAGGGCTGCTGAAGCTGTGTCATTCCATGGAAGAATTGTTGCAGAGCATGATTCTGGAAATTTATCACCTGCTGCTGGAAATTCTGACTCTGAAATGCTGGGTTGGGGTATGCAGTATGCTGAGAAGGCGGTTGTGTGTGGTAAGGATGTGCCTGCGGCTGTTGCTGCATCAAAGGATAATTAGGTGAGAACGGATACTGGTGCTGGTTGAGCATCGTCTGTTGCTGTTGTGAGTATACTGGTCCGAAAGTCTGTATGTTATTCGAAACGGGTGTGTTCTGGTAACCCGTTGCTAGTGGAATTTGTTGGTGCATGGTGGTACTGTCAGGTTTTGCCTTGCCGTGAAACCCTATTCTACGTCTTGTCCGTTCGCCTGCTGAAGGGTCCCTTAGAGGTCTAGGTAGATATAGTCGTGATGAGCTTGTATCTTCTTTGTCATCTATTACCAGTGGATTATTGAGGGAGCTTCCATCTTGAGGGGCAGATGTCAGCGTAGGATTACCAGATGACCCTAGCTCACCATTCAGCAGCTCCCTTGACGATGACGGAGCTGACTGTACATCAGACGGTGTCAAAGGTCTTTTGTCGTTCAAACGGCTCTCCAATTGAGGAGAGTATGAGTTTTGCGTACTGATCTCAAGCCCGGAAGTCTCTGAACTTTGGCCACCAGCTTGACCTTGAACGCCACTTTCTACACTTCCGTCCACTTGAACTACTGCCGGTCTATATCTTACGATGGGCCGATGCGGTAGATCAGCGACAACCTCTCGTATTCCGTAGACAACAGACATGATTTCACCCATCGAAGCTTCTTTGAGTTGTCCCTGTGTGCTAGTCGGCCCGAGGCTGCGGTCTAAGAATGAAGTAGAATATCCTTTGGCTTCTATCTGGTCTCGGACTCCTTTCTGTACAGACAGGGGTTGATGGTCCCACACGTCAGATCGAATCCCACTGATTTCCTGTGTTCTTGACTGGGTAGAAAGTAATCCTTGGCTGTGTTGTAGATTCAGTATCGATGCAGGCCGCGGAACCTTGGAGTCAGGACCCATCCCTTCGTTCGTCTCACTCCGTTTTCTCTTAGCTAATGACAGCTCATTATCTCCTGCGGCGGTCTTGTCTTGAATATCGCTCTTATCGTTGTTCTGGTTTTGCGATTTAGAAACCTTTTGATTCTGATCGTCTATCCCAGGTTTATTTGACGTTTTTCGAATTTGCATTGAGCTATCTCCTACGTGTGGTGCTATTTCTACCTTAGCATTGGTGTCAGTGAGGTAATGACGAATGGCTGCGTACTGTTGCTATCTTCTTTGTGACAGCTTTGAATGGGCGTATCTGCAGCCTGAGAGTTTGAAGCACTATAGCTTGATTCCTGTGTACTGTCAGCTATCATCTCTTTGAGAGGCTCGCTCCTTACTCGAGGTGTATCCGTTTGGACTGCATTGAATGTATCTGTGTTTGTACCAGACTCATCTTCCAACTCAGAAGACATCTTTTCCTCACTAGTTGGCTGGCCTGGCAGCCTAGGACTATCTTCTTCAGCAGTAAGCGAATCGTCTGTTTGATCAGGCGACAGAGGTTTAACATCTTCATCGACCAACGAATCGTCTATCTGATCCAGGCTCCACTTAACGTCTTTCCAGTGAATGCTTCTCCAGCTCAAGAAGTTTTTGAACACATGATCCACGATGGGAGGTTCATCAATCTTCCTCCAACTCCCGCGAGTTCTAATCAAGGTTGTATGATTCAGATGGATGTAATCTCGCCCAAGACGCTTTATGCGGCAGCGGTCCGCCTGCGGGAGGGCGTTGAGATAAATATCTATTGCGCTTTGGAAAGAAGGGTATTTGTCGATAAAAGGCGTCAACAAGCCCATGTGTGGTTTGTTCCCACCGATCTGCAGGTAGAAGAATTGATGAGCTTGTGGATTGTTAACCTGTACAAGGACTGTGACTGAATGCGTGGAACGAATTTCCAGACAATATCGAGGGTCACATTGCTCACCTCGTATATGTGTTGATCTTGCAGGACATTATGGCAAAACCTCAAAAGCAGTTCCTGCTTCGGAAGTCTTGGAGGGTTTGGGGAGTAGATTTTTGTCAGAATGTGGAGGTACTCTGGTCGGGGTTTTCTGCTTCGGAGCTCCTTGTACTTCTCCTCTGTTGCCTGTTTTGTCCTCATTATGAATATTTGATTCGATACGCTGTTGACAAGAATGATTGAAAAAGAACGTGCAGTGCGAGATTGTCTGATCAAGATTTGAATAGATCGGGCATGGGATAGGTAGGTCGGGCCAACGCGGCGGTAGTAAAATGGGCAGTCACGAACAGGGACATATCAAGGACTTCCTTCCGTAATGACTGAGGACTAGATAGCCCAGATAATACTTGCGATACCTATACATCTAGTAGAGCTTCGAAAAACGATTCGCAGCTTCCAGAGTTGACACCAGATCATATGATGCTCATAATGCAAAATCCTGCCATTGCATGAGATTTATACTCTTATAGAAGTAGATGCAGCCATAACCACACATCTTATTGAAACAGATGAAAGTATCAATAACGAGTGGCTTTATTTCTTCCGGGGCAATAGGGACAGAAAAGAATGCCCAATGTGTGGTTATCATCTACTTAACCGACAATCTTCATGGTGAAAATGAAGGACCCCTTCATTTCACCACAGAGAAGTAAACATCGCGACGATTGAAGGACACCTTACCCACAGAACAAAACAAAAAGTGCCCAAAGAAGTGGCCCAAAAAAGCGCATAAGAACCTCACAAGAAAGATTCCCAAAACCCTTCGTATCTCGCCACGATCACAGAAGGAGCTGCACGTGACCTCACTCACCGTCATTCGAAGACCACCAAATCCTTCAAGCATCTCCGCGCCTCTTTTGAGCACGGCACTCCCTCATTTGCTGTACCTGCCACCTGTCACTTCCTTGGCGTCAGAACATTAAACGGTTTGTTTCTGTTTGTCTCGCTAACAGTACAGTACTTAGGTGCAAGAGTGACCAGCTGGAGTAAGACACCTCCTGTCTCTGGCACTGGCATGCCAACTCAGCAGCCGTTTGATAAGACCAGACCAAAATCGTGACCAGCCAGTGGATGGGCTTCCAGACTTCCAGTGACAATCAGCTTGTCATAACCAGTGTCCGTGCAACTCCACACTCTGGAGGAGGGAGAGAGAGGCCCTCGCCAAAGCATTCGCCACTTGAAACTCGGCAGTCGAACCCTGACTACAGTAGTAAGTCGAAATACGATGTGCGTGGTGATCTTACGTTTCAGGAATATAGACTTCGTATCTGTTGACAGGAGAAAGAGGTCCTAGGGACGATGCCAGAGGGACGTCAGATAGTTTGATACCCGACTGCTCTCCTCTGTATGGTTCGATACCACGTCTGCGCCTCATCGTGTCCCAAAGAACAACACTCTTGCCTTTCAACGTCGTAGATGTGATATGCAAAGCCGATCTCCGCATCACATGGAGCACCCACCAGGTTCTCGTATGGTTCGCCTCCTCGAACATCCCGTGTAAGAACTGCTTGATTAGATTGGTACTTCCAATCCCCAGGTGTAAACCTGGTTGTGGCTTGTTGTGTCGGTGTGGGTGGGATAGATTTTAAGAGGAGAAGAGTGTTGAGGAGGCGAAATTCGGGGAGAGGATTGGATATGTTGATTGGTGAATCAATACCTAAGTTCCTGACGTGCATAATTCTATTTTGGGCTCGAGGGGGGGACTGCATAAGTTAAGCTGTCCCGCCCCGCTTGTGCACGCTAGATGCTGATCCGGACCACAGAGAGTTCAGGCTTGAGGTGCCGAAGGTTTGCATGCAGAATGGATATGGATGCAAAAGGGGTCTGGGTCTGGATGTCTGTGGTGCTTTTTCCACTTCAGTATATTATGCAGGTATCGTGAGCTCTTCGTTAGCGATATTTACTCCGTCTTTTATTTCGTTTCGTTTTGTTTCGTTTTGTGTGAAGAAGTCTCACCTGGATGAACTGACACCTTGGAACGTGGAGTTTCAAGTCAATGCAGAATGCCAGGATGACGTCGATATCGTGGTCGCAATCGATAAGGTAAGCTTTTCTCGGTTGCTCCATTGAAATGTAAACAGGGATTGTAAGTTCGCGCTGGGTTGAGGCTCTTGGAATCGGGAATTCGGATCCATGCCAAGTGAGGAGCAGGGAGAGTGTTCAATTCCCGTATGAGGAAATTGTGATACTACTGTATTCATTGTTGTGTGTGATAAATACGTATTAAGCATGTGAGACCTGGCCTGAGTGAGTGAGGTGCGTGTCCGCTGCTGCATGTAAGCCTTGGTGCTGAGGTGGGGTGAGCTGAGAAGACAGGGATCAAATGAGGTGGCTGGGACTCTGGGAGACACGTTGAACCAGTTCAATAATTGCGCTGAAGTCTAGATACGAAAGTCAAAACACCACTCCAGAAGTACCTGACAGACAGCCACGCGTACAGTTGAGTATTGCTATGAACAGGCAAGCCCGAAAAGATGGCTTTGGACCTCTGAATATTCTTGGAAATGTACAGTATGGTCGATCAGTAAGTGATACACCACTTTCCAAATACCATCCAAGATTCTCGAAGACTTGGCTGCATATCGAGGACTTGCGATGCACAACCGGGACCAGGGCCCATCCACAAAACCACTCAAGAGCCAGAAGCAAGAGATTTATTATTGACCAGAGAAAGGGAGGAGAGTCATGCAGCACTAGAAAATAAAAGCGTATCTTGCGTGGCGACTGCCGGAACTCAAACCATTTGTGCGGCTTCGTTCATGTTGAGTAGAGTCGGGGGAGTATTAAAAGTTCCCCAATCCCTACCTTGCGTGAAGTTTCTCCGACTCTCTTGAACCCTTTCTCCTTCCTCTTCTGCTCTCCTCGTCACAATCGTTTCGTTTCCATACAAAACACAGTAGCATACACTCGCTCAACTTCTGTTTCTCTCAGAGACGTGCTTCGATCACCACCTTCGTTTCCGATACATAAAATTGCCGTACTGAGCTCGACCTTGAAGTCCCACTCCGCGCCATTATTAGCTTGCCAGGCTGTCTGTCAGTTTATGGTCAGTCAGCCGGAGAGCCAGATACGAAAAGAGAAGAAAACGCCGAAAGGAGCGAAATACCTCACCGCTATTATTTATCCGCCATTCCTGGAAACAAGCATTGAAGGGAGGAAGGAAGGAAAGAAAGAAAGAAGGAAAGTATCCTTGGACATCTGGTATGCACAGGGTTTTCTTTGCTACTGTATTGGTGTTTATCGTCATACGATCCTCATCTCTTTCCTGCCCTCTTCGTCCTTCCTGCTCCCAGACCGCAGAGTGAGCAGTGAGCAGTGAGCAGGGCTCGCTGGACGTGGCTGCAGGGTTCTGCGGGCGGGATCCCTGCCACAACCCGTATCCTGACCGGGATTCTTGGCCGTTTTAGTGGGCTCGGTTCTTGCTCTTGCTTTTGCCTTTGCCTCACCACGACATTTCTTGGTCGGAGACTTGGGCTCGCCTACCTTGCATGCCTTTTCCCTCTCCCTCCCCCTCCCCTTCTCCCTGTCCCTCTCTCATCCCTCCCAGCCTCGCGTCGCTACATCTCCACTTCACTGCCGTTGTAACTGCAACTACTGTGCCTAGGCAAGGGCAAGGGCAAGGGCAGGCAGAACTAAGCTAGGCACTTCCTGCCTCTGCCTTGGAGAGAGCTATATCCTCGCGCAGAGAGCTTCCCTTTCTCTTTGTTCTCCTCTTCTTTGCATCTGCACATCCGCCCCATTACAACTCACCCCATCCAACCCAATTGACTGCTTTGCCCGGTCTTCCGCTGCCATTGTCTCTCTCTCGCTCGGGACTTTGGATCGGATTGGTCGTCATCAGTTGTATCCGTAGGGTTGTCCGTCAGACCATCCACCTCATTCGTTCATTGTCGTTCAGCTGTAACAGCTTTGCATACACCACTCCCTCTATCCACTCCCTTGCGATAATCCGGTTTCCAAGACCTTGGCTACAATGGATCCAGCTAATACTTCAAGACAAGACCCCGAGAAGGCTGTATATACTCTCGCCGCTCCCTACACGGAGGCTCAAACTTCCCAACCAAAGTCCTCCAAGATGTTACGAATTCGTCAGGCTACCTTCATGTTACTTGCGGTAGCTATCATTGCCTTCGCCGTAGCATCTACCAATGGGAATCCAGGACACCCAATTGCTCGTGTATCGATATCTTCTGCGGACAGACAACGCTTCCAGGAGCTCTTGAACTCAGTCGACTCTTCAGCTCTCCATAATGTGCTTCATGTCGCAGAGGACAAATATCGACATGGTATCTTCAAGGAGGATAGGACCGCAATGGAGGTAGTTCATCAGGAGAACGCAGAGGTTGCCATAAGCTTGGTGGAGTTGGCGAAGAGACAGGCTGGAAGCAATACAACTACAACCACGGAGACAACGTCGAATAGTGTGGCGGAGCCTACTACTACACCAAGTACGACTAGTTCACCCCCGACTGTTGTTCCCACGACCTCAGAGACAAGTCAGCCTCCTCCTCCTCCTCCAACTACTTCGCCAAGAACAACTCCTCCTGCAGTTGATCCAACCCCCACTACATCTGACACCCCGACGACACCACCCAGTGCTCAACCCACGACCCAACCCACGGCTTCGACTACACAACAGCCAACCACAGGTGTTCCAACCACAGCAGCTCCTCCGCCGTCAACATCGGCAGGTCAGTCAACAAATGGTACGTTTAATGGTGGCCCCGCCGCTTATCCCTTTGCCCCTCCGCTCCCTACTCCGTCGTATGTGAGCCACGTACAGAACAGCATTTCCGTGCCGCCGACGACTTTACCTTCTTTTGCGCCCTATGTTCTCTTCCAAAACGTGAGCGACTCGAGTACTAGTACAGCATCTCCGAGTTTCACTTACGTGCCTCCGGTCCTGACTTCGATTCCAATATCGACGATTCAGAACAAGACCACGGCTCCTACTCTTTCCTTTCCGGCGTATGCTCCGCCCATCACACCTTCTCCTTATCCTTCGATTCAGAATACCTCAGTTGTTTCTAATTTCTCTGCCTCTTGTTTCAATATTTCTTCTTCACAGGCTCCTACCACCTTTTTGGCTTCTTATACTACGGTTCAAAACAAGATAGTTGTCTCCAATTCTACTCGCGACGTTGCGGCTCCTACTACTTCTCTGGTTTCGGTTACCTACGGTCCGATCCAGAATAATAGCTTGGTAACCAATTCGTCCGCGGTTCCGGTTCCTTATGGCCCGGTTCAGAATAACACTTTGATACCATCCGTTTTTGTTTCTCCTGATTGCACGTCACCGAGTAATTCAAGTTCTACAATTGCCGTGTCATCTTCTTTAGGTTACTTTTTTAACAATTCTATTTCAGGCGCGTCTCCTACTCCCTCCACCGCGAACTCTCTCCCTCCTTCGTCGAACCCTCTCCCTCCTTCATCTTCATCAACACGCGGAGGTGCTACTTCTTCCATTATCACCCAATCATCAGTATCTACAAGAAGACCGTCCTCTAACGTGGCAACAGTTCGACCATCATCTACTCTAACTACGGACGCCAGCACAGACGACACCCCAACAACCACTTCGGCACGCTCGGTTACTCAGCAAACCATCTACACGACTACCTTGGCCAACGGCGCAGTCGAAACTGTCACCCGAGTTACGGTTGTAGCAGGACAGGCAGATCAGACAGATGGGTCACCGGCTAGAACCAGCACTGCCAAGGGAAGCCTCCAGACGAATGGAGCCTCAATCAAGACTTTGGGAATGAGCGGTCTTGTAGGAGCACTGGGTATGGTGGTCGCCGGTGCTTTATAATCGACGAACAGTCAGCGAATTGCGGTCAAGCATAGGGAGGGTTGGTTGCATATTTGAATTTACAGGCATTGATTGGTGCATTTGCATAGCGTGGCGTACTGGGGACCGGAAAATACTAACTAACGACTCTCCTTAATCACGACGAAATATGAGTTTTACGGCCTGTGCTTTAGAAGAGTTTGTCAGTACATGGCGCAGACGAATTTTCTAGGCTCGGGGTCGATTAGACTGGGTGATAGATGGCTGTACTGGCTGGACGATGGTTGGATACACCACATGGAGTTGAATGTCCTGCAGGGCTGGTATAGTTGGTGGAGGTGGTAATGAGGAATGTATGATACTGTCCTTAAAGGGGCTCAAGAGTCTGACGACTTGGTACACATGGTCCTCCCAGACATAAGGGAGGGATGAAATGGATAGAGAAATAAAAATCCATCAACATACTATAAAGACCTTGTTTTCCTCTCTCCTGTGGTTGAATGTTCTATTAATTCAGTAGTTGTTTTACTGAGGAGGGAGGAGAAATTAAGAATCAGAAATCGATGATTCTTGGAATGAACCACCCACGAAGTGGGGGTCACCTCGCTTCGGCTAGGGGCAAATCCGTCCACATCTCAACCTCACTTCAACTGCTCAAGGACAACCCCTTTCCTATCAAACCGAATTCCGTATCCGATATAATCCATTTTACACGTTCCAGATTCTCTCTATAGGGACATATCGATACGACCCTACCACATTTTCTCGGCATCTCGATCCTCTCCGCCACCGACCAGATCTCGACACTCGCCGTCCACATCATCCCCGCATGCGCCGCCTAAATAATACGCGTCTGGCCTGCGAACCGTCCACTTCCAGATATTGAATTTCGACAGCAAGGTCCGTCCACTATTGAAAAGTCGATGTGGACATTTGGAGACGTTGCTTGGGGACGTGGTGGGCAAGGGGCCCAAGGTGGGGACGGAGGTGGTTGTATATAATGTGCGGGGCCTCGTCTTCTAAAGAGGAGGAAGGAGTGGAAAGGAATTGAGCTACCTACTGAGATACTGTGCATTTTGCTTGACTTGTTGATTACGCAAACTTACTTTCACGCTCGCTGTGCTGAATTGGAAGGCATTTATTGATCAGTCTTCGATTTTGGACGCTTTAAAGTTTTGAGCTGGGGATACTTCACTGGACGGACACATCTATCTCCTCAAAGTCATACTCATCCTCACACACCAACCCTCTCACACCTCACCATGACAACAACACCGCCGCCCCCCAAAATGAGCCGCCTCACCACACCCCCCTCCACCACACACACGCCCTACCTCCTCCCCTCCTTCTCCGGCGAGCTCTGGACAATCCCCACCTCTAACTCAGTGATGCGCCTCCTCGTCACCGGCAAAGAGACAGCCAACGCCTTCGCGATCGTCAGTACGGGCGGAACATACGATAAGCCGATCGGGTTCCATTTCCATCGCGAGGCGCATGATGTGTTTTTGTGTTTGCGGGGGAGCATGAATGTTTGGGCGGATGAGAAGGCGAGGACGTTGGGGGAGGGGGATTTTGCTAGTGTGCCGCCGGTGAGTTTCTGTGGATTTCTTCTTGAATTTGATGGAATTTTGGAGGTGGGGAGTTTCAGTTTGGGTTGGTGTGAGTAGGGAGGAGTTTAGGGGAGATATATAAAAGTTGAGATTTGAGAATTTCAAATCAGCGTGTTTTTGTCTCTCTTTGAACTCGTCTTTTCGGAACGAAAGAAGCGAAAGAAAGAGACAACAACAACCTCATCCCCGCTGCTCACTTACACATATGTCATACAGTATCACTAATTCCCACCTCCCAGACCACAATCCACCAATACCAAGTCACCTCCTCGCACAGCGAATTCATCGGCCTCATCATCCCCGGCGGCTGGGAAGAATTCTTCCGCTTCATCGGCGAGCCGTACACGGGACCCCTCTTCCCCACCACCGACAAGCGAAATCCCTTCGAAGTCCTAGTCCCCAAACTCATCGCCGCAACAGAACAATTCGACATGGTCCCCGTCCGGGAAAAAGCCCATTTCGACCCTCAACCTTGGGACCCTGAAACGGATGAGAAGTTACCGGGAAAGTGTGAGAGGGGAGGATATTTCTTGAGGAGTGGGAAGGGGGAGAAGTACGTGGTGGGAGGCACGGTCGTTAGGCCTCTTGCGACGAGGAGGGAGTCCGGGGGACGGTTTAGTATCTATGAGGTTCAGGGGACGAGTCTGTTTGTGGAGGAGTCGCAGGTTGGGAAGTTGAGGTTTGAGAGTACGCATCATGCGCTGTTTGTGGTGGATGGGAGTGTGAGGTTGGTGGTTGATGGGAAGGAGGAGGTGGCGACGCCGAATGAGACGGTTTTCGTGCCGGCTGGGTCGGAGTGGACGGTTCAGCCGGAGAGTAGGTTTGCGAGGTGGTATGTTTTTGCTAATGGTGGGGGGATTGGGGAGGTTTTGGCGAGTGTGGGGATTGCGTATGAGTTGCCTGGGGTGCCGGATGAGGCGGTGGGGTTTGATGGGGGCAAGGTGAAAGGGCAGGAAGGAGAGTTGGGATTTGTGGTTGGTTAGTCGGTGAGATTTAGATTGGTGATTTAGATATGTTGGTAACTTTGGTTGAGATTTGACGGTGGGACTATGGTATGATCTTGGAGGCTAGATTGGAAGATTGGGAAGAGACTGGAACTTTGGTCTATATTCATTCAGTTCAGTGTTTGTGTTCATGCATATATGGGTGTCTGTTACCAAAGATTTGCTTCCAATCTGCTACAAGTTTTTTACCAAAGACCGTTATAGTTTTGGTACGACGAGGTCAGACTTGTGCTTTGTGCAAGAGCCGCTGTCGAAGTATCGCGAACATGACGGGAATGCGACATGCATGATCTAGCTTCCTGAGGAAAACGAATCATATATGCAAATATAAAATTACTATTTCTGTATGGTTTCTGAACAAGATACTTTGACTAACCTGATTATATTCCTGCGGTGTTTGTCAGGATTGTGTTTGGTCAGGGTCGAGAAGACGCAGGTCGAAGACACATCAGATCTCTAGATCGAGAATACAGGCATAACGTCAAGCCTGTCCCCAAATCCGTTAATCAAAAATATGAACTTCTCTTGTTTGATCTAGGTTTGTGTTACTATCTTGTCATAATAATCGAACTAGCTTTGTAGATGATTTCTCTTGCAGGTGCTATTGGCGCTTTGAACCGTGGTATGTCCTCGGCATGATTTTCATAAACAATTTTATTCGGAAATATCGTGTTCTCCTTGATCAAATCAATCCAGGGTTTTATCTCTTTGTCTAATAGTACCTGTCTTTGTTCATTGTAATTGAAGACAGGAGAATAAGATAATGGAATTCTTTATTGTTGTTTCTCGCTTACCGAACGTTTAAGACAGCCATACGATTGAGCCACAATTCTCTACCAAACAGAGAAACTTCCAATTCCTATAAATTGCATGAAATACCACTGTTACTTCTGTAGGTGCATATCCTCACTACCATAAATCATCACAGATCTCCAACCCTGCAATCCTCTCCACGATGGTTCATACAATTCCCTCTCGCCGGCGTGAGATTCTCGAAGAGGCTGACTGGAGACAGCGAGCTGCTCCTCTGCCACCTGGGTTCAATCCCGATACGTTCCCAAACGCACCTTGGACAACTTTGGTGTTGTGCGACAATGCCGAGCGGCTCCCCTGTCCTCCAGGTCCATGGAACAATGGTAATAGTACGATCAGCCGCGAAGAGTTCTGTAGTTATCTTTTCAATAACGGATACGATGATATATACGAAGTCATTGATATCGCAGAGCGACAATTTGCTGCTCGTTTCAAAGCTCCCCTAGATTCACGAAGTATGGGAAAGTTGCGGCACGTACCAGCTGTTGAAGCCTATGACGCCCCTCAAGAAGGTCCTGGTGGACAGGGCGCTGCTTTTGATCATTCAATTTTTTCAGATACTCATCTTGTGAGTTCACAATCGCCTACGTTGGTTCCTGCGCAAGGACGGAGACAATCTGCCCCAGCAGCTCTTATCCAGCAGCCATGCGAAACTCCACAGCAGCCATACGAAACTCCACAGCAGCCATACGAAACTCCACAGCAGCGCTCTCCCCGAAAGACATCCCCTGGTAGCTCACACCTTCCTACTACTAGGCATTCTCCTGGTCATGGACTTCCTATCAGGCCACCTCCAACAGCTGATCAACCATGGCGAGCTAACGAGCTTGCGTTGACCGATACGTTCTCACAAAAGCCCTCTGCAACTGAAGAGCGGCTAGAGATAATGACTCCGCCTACATCTGATACACGTTCAAGTGAATCTGAAGATAACTTTAGTTCAGATACGTCCACTTCATCAGAGCTGCAGTATACGCTTGATGATTTCAAAAGCTATATGGCACGACAGATGGTGGCGGGTATCGTTTTTGAGGGGGACGTTAAGGTCGAGCAAGTGGGTGATCGTCCTGGTATGTAAAGAGATTGTCCTTAGCGAGGAGTCTAGATGATTGGTTTCCTAGAGTAGGAGTAAGAGTTTTGGCTCTGCTTGCGAAGTAAGTCTTGTTCATTTTCCTTTTTATATTATCCTCTGTCCGTCCCCATGACCAAGATTTACTAGCATAACAATATAACGAGCCTTGTTTTATATTTTTACTATTTTGCATTTGTGAAGAATTTGTGAGAGATTTCGGAACATAGATTAGAATTGAGAGACACTGGACAAGATAGCTAGAGACAAAAGACATCAAAGGTAGCGTTTGCCTGTAACCGATCAGCCGAGATATGCAAGCGAGTTTCCTCCGCTGCTCGACAAACACTCTTAGCGCCACGATGTGTACTTTTTGGTTCTCTCGATCTTTCAAACTGACAATCAAGAAGGTGATCCAATACAACTTAAGGTAGTGAGTTCCCAGGCCAGCGACACGACAGAGCGAAGGTTGCACTCAAGGCCTTGCCCACTTCGGACAACATTTATACATGTAGAAAAGCAAATCCCAACACATGCGACCATAGATTGGAGAAAGCTGGGCATCCCGTCCGCTCTGCCATACACAAACTTCAAATCGGTGGATTAGTAGTTGGGTGGGTGACCACCAGCGAATACCCACTGTTGCATGTACTTTTTTGTTCCGATGCTCCACAGCTTCCCCACTGCACAGGGTAACAATGGCTACGTCAATGAAGCCTGTTGCTTAGTCAGTAGGAGCTGAGTATGTAACTCAGTTCTATTGAGAGATCGTGAACTTATTGAGGGCTTCCGTCCTTGCGGTATACAGAATCATTTTCATCTTGCTGCAGGTACGGTTGTTTATTCTGGCTTAGCGAGGACCTCGGAACCAAGTCGCCAAGACGATACCACCTTTCGAGACACTTATCCAACCCTAGGTACCAATTCAGCCCAGAACTTCCAGGTCAAAACTAGCTTTTGTTGCACATCGCAGATCTCCATCGGCGCATTATCATCTGGAAAATGACCTCATTTAGACTTTTGGTTGATTTGTAAAGTAGGTTGGGGTGTTGACCTTGTGAGGGGGAACAGGCGGGGCATGCATGTTGATGTTGATGTTCGGACGAAAGTCGTTCGTTTCAAACGGTTAGTGATGCGAGGTAAGCCGTGCTATGCCAGAGGTATGTTTCCTTGTTCTAATCCCGGTTTGGAGATTGGTCGAATTTTGAGACGAATACGTACTTGTAATCTGTTCTTCTGAAGTTCTCCCTCTTCGCGAGAATTACCTCAATTGGCTTTCTCCTATCCACACCTTCATGGTGAATCCTGGGCGTCGTCTGAGAGATGCTGGTACATGGTTGGCCACAGTAAATTCAAATCAAGCTCGCTTGATGGCTTCCCGGGAAATCCCCCCTGAACTCAACCTGCCAGTGCACCCAAACTAAGCCAAACTCACAATTTGATATTCATGCACAATATGCGAACATCCAGGGAAGGTAAATGTGTTCCTGGAAATCAAGGTGGAGACAGTCTAACTTGGCAACGGTCTTGAGACACTTCTTATTGGTGGCCCCTTTACGTGAGGTCTGAGAAAGCTGTGCCACAGCAGGGGTGTGAACATCAACCTCGACGCCAAAAGCTGACATACTGACCATTGAACCTCACATTGCGCCCAAAAGAGTTCTTCTTTGCCTGATAATGGACACAGAGGTCTCCTTGGCTTCTTTCCTGTGTCCCCTTTCTAATATGAGGATTCTCAAGACGTGTTGACCCGCGCTTGGACATATTTGGCCAAGACTGCAGGCTCTTGTGCTTATGCCTGTCTCAAAAAGGCTTGGTCACTGAACGATTACAATGGCAACATTACAGCAGATTCAGAGCAGTGATACCAAGCCTCAAAGGAAGAGTCGTGCTGGAACGCCAAAAGTACGGACTGGCTGTCTGACGTGCAAGTACGGAACGGAGACCCTAGTGTCATGTGATAGTCAGTTGAGGAGCAGTTTGCTAATCGATTCTCCTGAGTAGGGAGCGTAGAGTCAAATGCGATGAGACCAAACCGGCTTGTCTCAGGTGTCTCAAATTCTGGGGGAGATGTGAGGGGTAAGTAATTGTTGTATGATCGTTTCCAAGTATATGTTTGATTTCTTGGTATGCGTTTCGGCATTTTGAGAGGCAGTCCCGTCCATTAGTTCAGCGTCTAGATGAGAATGCAGTAAAAGCTAATATAACCAGATATGCCGTTCCAAGATATCGTCCGAGGAGACCTAAAGATGCTCCAAGACCCATAGCGGACCCGACTTCTCGACCACTCCTTCCGCTCCTGAAGGACTCGCCTGGCACTCAATCCTATTTGGATCCAAGCGACTTTCAACCTCTTCATCGATCAATCGCAACCCAATCCTTCAAATCGCCCGACCACTACCAGTCTTATGCACACTTCCTTGAGAATACCAGCAACTCGCTTCCAGGCTTTTTCAAATCGGATCTGTGGAAATGTCTCCTCCCTCAAGCATCCTACGATACCCTATTCATCTGCAGTGCGTTGATCGCAATTGGTGCTTTGTCAGGTTGTGGGCGGAAATTCCAAGAGGACAAATTTGCTACCAGGTAAGCTAGTTTGAAGTATCTAATACATCTATCTCTGCTCATGTAATTTCGAACCTCAGTGATAGGTAGTGCTGACAATTAAACAGTGGCATGGTCATCACACCCCGCTACCGATTCGCACTCAGCCAGTACGGTACTGCCGTCTCACAGATGCGAGAAAATCTTGTAGCAGGCGAGAAAGGCTTGAACCATGCCCTTATAGCCTGTCTTCTCGTTGTCTGTTTCGAATGTATCCAAGGGAATTATTTCTCAGCACTCACACACAGCGTGAGCGGCCACAAAATCTTCAAAGATTGGCTCAATTCGAAAAATAAACAGCTGATAACCGAATCGTCATCATCAGGACCGATGCATCAGCCCAAAGGCCATTTCAATATTGTTGTGGAGGATGAACTCGTTGCTGTCTTTAGCCGCATGGATCTGCAGATTATGAGTTATATCGATCCGAGACCTGCATCGATCCACATGGAAATGAAGAATGAAGGCGAAGAAAGTGTCCAAAACATGCCGGATCGATTCACAGACATCCACGAGTCAAGAGTCTACTTAGAACTCGTCCAACGACGTACATCACACTTCATCGCTTCAACAGCAGGCATGTATCCCGCGCCAGAGAACGGGTCCTCAACACGAACGACACGTATCGCTACCGGTACCGAGACAGGAACAGTAACTGTACGCCCGGAATCAGAAACTCTGCTCCCGTCATCAGCACCGCCTGCTTTACGCATTGAATATTCAGGCTATGTGAGCGAATTGTTGAGGTGGTTCAAGGCCTTTACTCCGCTGTTCGAAAGCCTAGTAGAAGGCAGTCGAGATTGGGTGGCAGCTGCTGTTCTGCAAATCGAAGCCCAGACCCATCAAGTCATGCTGCTTTCCTCGTTCTCTTACCCGCTCGATTACTTCACCCCTACGTACCGCTCAGTCGTCGATCTCGCCGAGAAGATATCAGATGATCCTCTATTCGCACAGCGTGATCTGTATATGTTCGATATGGGGATCGTGAATCCGCTACGTCTTGTAGCGAAATGGTGTCGTGAGCCAACCATTCGGAGGAAATGTATTATGCTGTTGAGGAAGACGAAGTGTAAGGAGGGACTCTGGGATGCACTGTGTATGGCTGCTGTTACTGAGTGGCAAATGGAGATCGAGGAGGAGTATATGGATGAGAATGGGATTATTCCCGAAGAAGCCAGGTGCAGGACTGTGGATCTGAAAGTCGATAATTGGAAGAGGAGCCTGGTGGTAAAATTGGCAAGGCTCGGGACTGGGGAGATAAGAAGTACGGTCATTGAATGGTGATGAAACTGTATATAGCGGGCTTGATATTGTAATTGCCTCAAATCGACAAGATATACCCTCAATACCCCCTTGGCTTCTCAAACTTCCTCCAGTCGGCATATAATCTCATGAACACCGCTCTGCCACTCGAATCCAGCTCCGCACTAACTGCGTCCCTAATCTCCTCCGTGAAGCAGTTCAATATTGCATATAGACCTGGAATCATCTTTTCTCTAACCTCGGGCAGCATCTTCATCTCAAGCTGGCCGCGGACATAATCCTGAAGCACAAATTTCATATACTGCGCCGAGATTCGCTTAGCTTTGTCTTTCTCGGACGTGAGTGTGTTGGAGTTCCCTTGCACTACTGAGACTGTGGGGTCGCAGATTGAAAGTACGAGTTTGGTGAAGGCTTCGGCGTGGGCGGCTGTCAATTGATGAGAGGTGGGGATGAGCCAAGGCGGTGGGAGACCGAATTTGTTGGTCTTTGCGTTGCTGTGTGGGAGGGGATTAAAGAGACAACGGAGGAGCGACTGGAGCGTTTGTTGGGTGAGATGAGAGTGGCCCTTCAATTTCAGGCGTTGGTGTGTCAGTACTGATTGCATGAGCCAGCAGAGGTGCATGTAAATAGGGTGAAGATTTGGGCTTTTTGGGGAGCAAAGAATTGTGATGCTTCCGAGTGTTGCGTCGATGTTGTACTGGGATATATTGTGACGCTAAGCGTTGTTAGATTGGCATCAGCGCTATGGAGAGATGACTTACCTTAGTTTCGAGCATCATCATTAGGGTCTCGCTGATGATATTGAATTGTACGACATCAGTACATTGTCTCAGATATAGTGCGAGAATTGTATATGCTTCTGTCAGATCAAAGCTCTCCTCCTCCTCTTCGTCGTCAGAATCATCCAGAGGCCGAACCTCTTTCTTTGGTTTCCGAGTATCTGTACAATGTTAGTGGGAGTAAGAGAGAACAGGCTTGAGCAGAAAGTACCTTCAATCGATATGATGATCTGTCTCGCAGCTAGTAACTTGTCTAGCTGTTTAAGGCCTCCCAGATCTTCTCCCAACAACTCTTGGAGTAGGTCTAGCTTCTCTTCATTACCTAATCCTACAATCGCAGCATCTGTCCGAGCAATGATTGATTCTCGAGAGTACACGTCGGTGACAGACCCGCTCAATTGAGTGGAAGATATTTTGCCGTCAGCTTTGGGACCATGTATCACCATGAAAGTCTGCAGACGCTCTCCAAAGCATTCATCCGTCTTGCCAACTGAGCCCACAACAGCGTCTACGGCATCTTCGAGTCCAGCAAGCCCCGACTCAGCTATGCCGAGCGTGGAAAGGGCATCCATGATACTCAGCACTAGCAGAGAATTGCTGTCATTCTCCTTCTGAAACTTGCGAAGAGTGTCCTTCAATTGAGAAAGAATACAGTCTTTGAAAGTCGAGGTCAGGCCATCCAGGTCATCTCCTTTAATGATATCCAAATCATCCAAGGCAGTTGACTTGACACTACAGGCGCTTAATACAACTTGAAATACAGCGACGAGAGCAAAATTCAGCCGATGCTTTTTCTTCTCTGCAGCTTTGTTGACTTTCTTCTGAATCTTCTTGGAAGCGTCGGATATATAAGCACTGCTTCGCGGGTGATCCAATGTTGAAAGCGCAGATCTGAAAATGTTAGAAACGACTTTTGTAGAAGAGACCAGTAAGCTTACAAAATCGTCAGCCGGGTGAGGTCTTTCAGTGAAGCCAGATTATGGGATCTGTGTGGGACTTCTGCCTCAGCAAGAGTATCCGCCATATCGATGAGGCCTTGGAATTTCATGTCCTGTAACGACTTAGTGATCAATTCTGGTTACAGGACTCGAAGAATTTACCTCGTAAAGCTTGGGGCGGTACATTATTTTCCTCTTTAAGAAGAGAACACCGTTGTCTAGAACAGTCGATCCATACGAAAACCCTTTGCCAGTCTCCTCGCCTTCATCGGCCGGCAGCCAGCTCGACATAATCCTGCCTCTGAAGTCCTTGGGAATCTCATCAACAGTCAAGTCATTGAGACTACAAATGGCAAATGCATTGTTGCCTTGAAATTTGAGCAAAGGGTTGCTGAGGTTCGATTCGTGATCCAGAACCGTCTTAACAAAAAGTTCTGCAAAGAGTCAGTGGTCCGTCGGTTTAGCAAGATGATAAGAGGAGCCATTTACTATTGAGTGACTTATGGGTGAAAATGGGGTTGTTGATGTTGTCCGGAATGTCACTTCTTAAAGTCGAGACTCCTCCACGTAAAGACAGTCTCCAAACTTCTTGAAAAGCTTCTGGGTTACTGTGAAGCCAGCTGCTAGCTGAAGTAACCTTATTATCTGAATAAGTTGCCGATGCTATCCAGAAAATTTGTTCCAGCATTGCTGCAAGGAGCTGCTCTTCCGATTCAAGGAAAAGTCTGAAATGTTAGCTAGGCTGTGACGGACGGGAAGAGAAATGCTCACACAAGCACGTCGGGATGTTCAATGAACAGACATCGGATAAGCGCCCAAGTCATCCATCCTTTGGCTCTTTGCAAAGAATTCTGCTTCGAGCCACAATTTTCAGTCCCGAGATCTTTGTTGGCCTGAAGTTCGACTACGAGCTGAGTCACGTCTTTGGCTAGAGCTCGCAGAAGACCAAGGATGATTGGTTTATCCAACGACTGTAGTGTAACAATAGACCTTCTCTGTTTTGTGGCAGCAGTCCATGATGAACATGTGAACCTGAATATTTCGAGGGACTCCAGACCTCTGCTCTCTTTGGGCTTGCACTTGAGAATGCTCTCGGACTTGGAGAACTTCAATAGCGAGTCGAACGGTTTCGCCTGCTTCTCCCAGAGCGAGGCAAGCTTGTTCAAATCTCCCATCTGAATCCAGCTTAGAGTACGAGAAATGATCCTCCATGACCGCCATCTATACCTCAAACAGAGCTTTTTTGCAGCTTCGTCATCAAACATGATGTGGTACAACCGGGAGTTGATAGCATCAACCACCTGCTCTTCTCCAGAGACGGATCCAGCAATGGCCTCCAGAATGACGCAAACTGCATTCGGATGTTCCGAAACCTCTTCAGATAGCCAGTCTAGGATCTTGACAATCTGGGAAACGTTCAGCGACGGCTCCATGAGCTTCTGGAGTTCACTTCGGAGGGTTTCGTCCTCCCAAGCGCTGAACAGAGCCACATCAGCTCCATCTCGCAGTGCTTCGTAGGCAACGATCTGTGAGAACCAGTGCCGAATGAAGCCTGAGAGGTCGCGGGCTTTGGCGAACTCCCGCATGAGCGGTACCAGCACTGCTGAGACAACCTTTTCTTGATTATCCGACCATGTCTCAGATAATGAGGCTTTAGTTATGGCCTCCAGAAGCTGCTCCAGTAGAACTGTGCCTTCACCCAGAAGAAACACATTTGCATCCAGCTCGATGATGGTAGCCAGAAGGTCCCAATCCGCCATTGCACATTCAGAGGTGATCTCTCGCAACACCGTAAGATCCAGGTCTATTTTGTGGTTGATTGCCAGTTGTATCATTTCACACATCTGCTTTCCATTATCCCCTTTAACATATGATATCGAAGCCTTCAGCGAACCAAAAACAGACTGTAAGAACTTCTCATCTGGGGCCTTCCGTCTTCTGGCAGAACCAGTTGGGGGAACGGACCGAATGGCTATGCCGAACAGTAACGGTGCATTGTCTGTGTTTTGCAGTACAGATGCTTTCGTCAAGGTTTCAAATAGCGACTTATCAGCTTTGGCTGGTATCACGATATTACGTGCCACCAGAATCTCTAACTGCTCGAGCCAGGACGCTGGAAACTTGTCATCCTTTGAGCATCGAAGAAGGTTCAATAGAGGTCGTGTGGCATGAAGTGAGAATTGGAGATGAGGTGCATCCTCTGTAATGTGTGAATTCCAGACTTCTACGAATGGAGAGAGCCATGCTTCGGTGGAAACGGTGCCACCACCCTGCTGATGAGCAGCATGGCACAGCGAAAGCCACAATCCCAGAATAGTAGCTGCTTCTTCAGTAGTGGTCCTGATAACCGTCTTCATATACTCTGCTGAAAATACGGAAGACCGTTCCTGGTCCAGGGTATGTGATATAGCTGTCGTATTCTGTACCACGCAGTTCAATGCGGAGAATATGGCGTCAAGTAGGCTCGGTACCGAGCTGGTCTCAGAGGGGCTAGATTCTGTCACCAGCTCTCCAGACCTTCTTCTCTTCTTCGAAGCCTTCACTGTATCTTTTTCGGTCGCGCCGGGCTCCGAATTTGATTTTGCCTGTGCAGTGTTGCTTGCAGACTTCTGTGCTTCCTCCAGACTGCGCCGTACGATCGAGAGAAACTGTCGTTCGACCAGTATGCGGGCAGCACTTCTCAAAGGTATACTCCGCAGTAGAAAGCACAACAGCCTCCATGATTGAGGAGTTCTCCTGCACCATATCAGCAAGTGTACTTCTGGGAGACATTACCTACACACCTGGGAATATTATCACTTGGAGCTTGTAGTCTCTTCAAGAGCCACCTTAGGAGCCATTCTTCTCTGCCATAGTATGAAACGACTCTTTCCTCCTCTTCGCCGCCAGAACTTCCAGCTTTCGAAGACTGGCAGACCGTATCCAAACCCAGCCCAATGAACTTCGCAGCTTCCACAAGTTGGTCCTCAAAGGGTGCGGCTTGCTTCTCCAACAGCGCAAGTTGCTCTTGCGCAGCGCGGGATTTGGACGTCTGCAAAACGTGATTAGCCATCTTACTCTTCCATCAAATACTATAGATCTGAACATACCATATTTACATCCAAAGCGCAAGTCCTACATCCCATCTGCCATCTGCAGCTCCCTCGAACTTTTTTCCCATCCTCCCCACACTAAAAATGCGGCAGAATACAACACCATTCCCAATCCAGCGGCTTCCCTCACCGAACCCAAGAATCGTCAGGAACCGGGTTGGAGCTCGAGACGCCCAAACAGACAACACAGCTCCAAACACCCTATTTTTGCAGCTCAAGAATATATCGAGGTAGGTCAATTGCTTGGATTGGGGTTGAGAAATTGTGTTGAGAGAATATTAGGATCATCGAATCATGCCTGAGACGTCAATTCCTCCTCCCGCGGCGGTTGCGCGCCAAAGCAAGCCTGTTTCCGAGACGCTTTTGAACGAGAAGGTTGGTTCTCCCTATTGCCAGCTCCTGCCAGAGAAGATTTGGAAATGAGGGCATTATTTGCGGTGGATGGAAAATGAATTGGGGCTAATGCATATCTGCTACAGTGGGATCGCTGCCTCTCCTCCCTCCTCATCCGCTCCTCTCTCGGTCTCTCCTTCGGTGTCGTCTTCTCGGTACTCCTTTTCAAGCGGAGAGCGTGGCCTGCATTTGTCGGTTTGGGATTCGGTGCTGGGAGGGCTTATGAGGAGTGTAATGGCAGCTTTTTAAGGACGGGGAAGGAGGGTATTAGGGTTCAACGACCATGAGGGATGGGATACTTGGAAGGGGGAATAGAGGGATGGATGGATGGATGGGCTTGATGGGTTCAGTGATGGAGGTGTATGATTGTACAAAAGGCTTTATGCTGGGGCGTGGTTAATACATCTGGTTCTATCGATGCCGTTTGGCTTGTTGTCGTGTGACTGATGCTGGGAGATGGGCTTGGGTTGTCTCCAGGCAAGTAGCTCCGGAACGGCTGCTATTCGCTCACTTCGGTGCATTTGACATTTTTTCTGTCTTGTTTGGCTTGATGTCTCTGGAATCCAGCACCCAGTGGTCTACGCTTCATCCGGGCAGCGGTATTTCGGTCTTCACGATCTGTCATGGGGCAAAAGCCTCACTGTACAAGGCATAGAGATACACTTGTGGAAGTGAGGGGATGGCATCTTGGATCAAGCTGAATATGGCTGGGAGAAATCTAATTGGCTTGTTATGGAGAGTGTTGATTGCGTAGTTACTCTTCTTCGCACAGTATATCGATATTAGAGGGGGCTTGGATTTTTGGGCAAGTCCTCAAAAGCTTCTAACCTATCGATACGCCTGGTTAACAGTCTCATAACTATTACGTTCTATTCATTCTTGCTTCTCAGCTTCCAGCTTCGTTTTTCATTTTCCTATTCCTTTCATCCCGTTTGCTCTGGAAAGCGCTCGTCTGGTATCCTTACGACTCCCGACTGCGTCTTCTAGTCTGAAGCGTACACTCACCAACACACTCCTCCCTGTGACCATGCAACGGTCCAACACAACCACTACTCTCACTCGCTCCATCCGCATACTTCAATCTGTCCGGTCCCGTACCCGAAGGATATAGCATCCCCTCATGATACCCATATCCCTGCCTGCCATCAAAAATACCATACCCACATCTCGCACCATTACCCTCCCTCTCTTCACCCAACAGTCCTCTCCCCTCCTCACACCCCTCCCCATGACCCTCATGTCCATTTTCTCCATTCCTCCTTCCCCCAAAGATCCTCCCCCCAATCTCCGCCAACCCGCCAAGTCCCATCCTCGTGAAAACCACACCCGCATCCAGCGCCTTTTTCGGAGCCTGCTCGGCCCTATGTCTATCCCTACGCATTCTCTTCCCAAAATCCATATCGTCGACCTTCTCTTTCACGAACGTGATGCAGAACTCGACCATGATCCAGACGAGCCATGAGACGAGGGCGACGAGAACGCCGAGCGCGAAGATGAGGATGAGAAGTTCTGAGGGGGTGAGATGGTGGTGTGAGGGGCTGGTAGGTGAGTTGCTGCTGGTGAGAGCGTGACGGTTGATGCGGGAGTGGAAGGTGGGTGTTTTGGGTTGAGGGGTGAGAGGGCTGTGGTGATGGTGCGCAGACATTCTAGTGCCTCGGTGCTTGTAGATGGATAGGAATTGAGTATGTGGTAGTTTTCGACTTTGTTGTGGTTAATAGGGAGGTTGTGAGGTTGTGATATTGACGCCTAGGAAATGGATAAGAATGGAAATGCACCACCTGGGTGACAGAATTCCATGTTTGCCAACCCATGGATCTACGACCTGGTTATCTTGGAAAGAACGATGGGTGGCACTTGCCAGCTTCATGATAGCTTCATAGGTTCAGACTGAGTGTAGATAGGTATGCTTCTGGATGGGAAGTTACGAACAAGAACTTTAGCGAGAGGAATTCTGGATTTGGATCCGATATGACAACGAAAGTACATAACTAGCCTGATTCAGCCTTACAGCTTGCTTGCCTGTACCGTTGGTCCGTTGATACAAACAGAAAGCTATGAGAGAAAGATAGCTCGACTCAATAAAGAGCAAATCATGATTACAAAACAAATACACTTCCCGAGAGCTTTGGACCTAGCTGCTCAGACCATGTTTTCAGGCAACACCAGTAGAAGCGGTATCCGTTTGGAGCGAAGGAGAAGGTTCAAGAAAGTAGTGGTAGTTTTGTCTCCATGGCATCTTAGAGCACTTCAGTCCTTTGACAATGCCGGGGTACATCCTGATTGAACTTGTTGCAAACAGCGAGGGCAGGTACTCCCATCATTGTCTGAAAAGTCCAGCAGAAATAGAACGATCACTTTAGTCCCGGGAACAAGCCAACACCACGCCCCTCTGTATCACCAAAGCCCTTTTTCTTTCAAAGTGATGTAATCCCAGAATACCAAATGACACATGTACACGGGAGGCTGCATACTACTACTAAATAACTTAAGTACGCAGGTATAACATGCGCATGTCTCATTCCAGCATCTCAAATTGTGAACAAAGGCCGATGTTGCGCACTCGCTCTCCCAATGCGGGAACTGTAGCCGGGGCTCCACTGCGTATACGAACTGCCAGCACGCTTGTACACTTTGGTGTTCGGTATTTGAAGGAAGAAATACACATTTTTTTTTTTTGCTTGCTTGCACTGCATTGCCTGTTGTGTTGTGAAGTGGATGAAGCATAGTATAAGTAAAAGAAGCGAGATTCAGTACTCCACCAGCTCTGAAGAGCGAGATTTCCAACCCTGGTTTAAATCGACCAACGATGAATACCTACCTTACCTGTTGATCAATCTGAGATGAGATGAAGTCAGGTGGAAAGGGATGATCTGATCGAGGTGCCTTTCCTTTTTCTTGATAGCGCATGAAAATGAAGCCCAAGAAGCAAAGCGGCTCGGAAAGATTTGTTCTAGAAGGAAATTAGAAGGTGGAGTGGAACATGCGGGAGGAAGTCTGAGGCTTGCGCTTGCCCAGGTGGACAAAGAAGAGACCCACCCCCTTTTTGACTTTTAGTGCTTGTGCCGCCGCTCTGTATCCACTACTGAGCGCACATGATGGCGCTGGATTGAGGTATAGAGAACTTGATATAGGGAGGTGGAAGTGAAACATGAGATGGTGATTATTATTGTGGTGGCGAGTCTGGTGGAGGAGGATGAGATGGAACGTTTCTGGAAGGGTTGATGGTGAGGCTCGCTTTGCTTGCCTACCTGGTCGCGCTGTTTAAGGAAAAGGGGGGTTTGCTAGGACGGGATACTAAAGTAGTACTGTCTCGAAATGTAAAGGGGTCGATAAGTTAGCTGAGGAAAACTTTCAAGCACGTACCAGCCAAAATTGCGTTTGCCTTTGTCGAATATGTTTGATTTGCAATGATTACACCAGTGCCACCACTGACCACTCCCCATGGGCGCGCAAAGGCTCACCCTTGGTCCTAATGCGATAATTGGCTGTGCTTGATTCCAAGTTACGATGCCATCCCTGGACATGGGGTTTCTGCAGACCACGTACAGTTCTGTTTCACAAAGCTCATGCAAGCCGAGGAAGGGGCTCGAGCAGAGCCAGTAACGCAGACGAACGACGAAAGATGAAAGGCAAGGTGGACGATCAGAAACCTTGAACATCTGCTGCAGAACAACACCGTCAACGGCTCATGTCGATCTGTCCATCATGTTGGGAAGCGGTGTTCCTGATGATAACTTGATACTGAGGTACAAACCTTCCAGGGCAAACATGGACATGGTTTGAAGTCCTCAATTTTATATGCAGGTAATGGCAGGTAGGTACCCTTTTGTTAATGGCGCTATTGGACAGGGCTCTATCCGCATCCAGTCCCTCTTGGGAACTTGTGCCTGAATCCGACGATGCTCGGAAATATTAGTGCAGGATGCAGCAATTAGCATTCATTTTATATCGTCAGCATGCCAGATGTCCGTGGATTCCTCTCGCTTGGAAATCGCAGTGGTATGTAGATAGGAACTCGGATGTCGCTCCGCCAGCTTGGACAGGCATCGAAGAATCTCCAGACAGACTGTTTTTAAGACGGAGAGTGGCGCTGGATCGAATTCGCGGGAGTCCCTGCCAGTCACCACTTGCCACTGAGATGATGTGTGCCATAGTCTTGGTTGATGGACAAAGACGTTTTTGATCTGATGCTGGCTCCTGGCTCTGCCCGACTGAAACGCTCCCCTTTTACCAGGCTGCTGACCACTCACGGACATTTAAGACTTGACAATGAACCAGGTCTCGGAGATCTGATACGCCTTTCAGTATCGCATCCTGGCAGACGAGCGGTAGTTGGCTGGAAAATTCGTGAGGCACAACACTGCTGTATGAGTTGCAGTACTGTATTCATACGCTGTACATCCTGCTTGTTCTGTCGTGCTCTGAATCTGATGCGCTGCTGAGGGCAAGGGGAAGGGGAAGGGGAAGGGTCGCTGTCGTCCAGCATGCGGCCCAGAGGCTAACGCCGCCAGCTTGACATTTTTCTCTGATGTGCCGTTGCTTTTGTAGATCATGTCAGCCATAGCCATCGTCTGTCTGCGTGTCCTCCCATCTGATACTCCGTGCACACATCAGTGGTAGTCGACACACAATTGTCCATTTTATATTATCTTGTATTATATTCCATTTATATCAAGTTGTAGAGCAGCTGGTCACTCACCGGCCAGGGCATGATCTCCAGAGCGGAGCCCTGTCTGTACTGTAAGTTAAATTCACTTGCAGTCCAGTGCCCTGCAGTGCCCTGCAGCCAGGAACAATCGAGAGGAGCCGTCGCCGCCCGTCGGAGCCGAGCACCAATAGCCCCCACAATCCACGCGCTAGACTGGCGCTATTCTGCTTCGAACCACCCAACCGAGCCAACCTCCGCCGGCCTGCCTGCCTGCCTGAGGCGGTACGGTAGGGTAGGGTAGGGGACTCGGAGCAGACCAGAGCAGACCAGAGCAGACCAGAGCAGGGCAGGGCAGGGCAGGGGAGTGAACTGACTTCTAAGTTCTCCCCTTCGAGCGCTCCAGCACTTCTCCCGACCCGAACTTGTTCCTCCCCCATACCATACCATACCACTCCTCCCATCAACACCAACACCATCGCGAGCTTCTCGACGACGCTCTCAATCGCAGCATCGCGCTCTGTTCCTGGGACCCGTACCAGTATCGAGTCCATTGTTCACAGGTACGTCTGATCTCGATCTCGATCTCCGCCGTTCAACTGCCCATAATTCAAACTCTCGCCAAAGCTGAGGATCCCCTCCGACGAAACATCGAACCTTGCCCTGTGAACCTTACAGCTATCTCCATCTGTGGGCAGCGCGCATTTGTATCAACCTTAAGACCGCCACTGTACAATCAGCATCTACCGCAGACAGGCAGTCAGGCGTTGCTGCTTGTTGGTCGCTGCTGGCCTCAAAATTGCATTTCAGCTGTGATTGGAAAGTGAGACGCACGCTAACAACTTTTCGAGCAGACTGCGTATTCTGCTAGTCATCTTCGAATCTTGACCACCAAGTCAAGACCAACCGACTATATCCCCTCACAACGAGCTTTCGAAAAGCACACACTAGCCAAGATGGGTTGCGGTATGAGCACGGAGGAGAAGGAGGGCAAGGCCCGCAACGAGGAGATCGAGAATCAGCTCAAGAGGGATAAGATGATGCAGCGAAATGAAATCAAGATGCTTCTTCTCGGTCAGTAGTCCTTGAAGCTCGAGCTAATTGCGCGTCGCTGACAATTTTACAGGAGCTGGAGAATCGGGCAAGTCTACAATCTTGAAGCAGATGAAGTTGATCCACGAGGGCGGCTACTCACGCGACGAGCGAGAATCCTTCAAAGAGATTATCTTCAGCAATACCGTTCAGTCTATGCGCGTCATCCTGGAGGCCATGGAACAACTCGAGCTTCCTCTTGACGACCAGAGAACCGAGTACCACGTCCAGACCATCTTCATGCAACCAGCTCAGATCGAAGGAGACAATCTTCCACCCGAGGTTGGCAATGCTATCTCTGCTCTGTGGAGAGACGTTGGTGTGCAGGAGTGCTTCAAGCGATCCCGCGAGTATCAGTTGAACGACTCTGCTGAATAGTAAGTCTATTTATCTTAAAATTCTGGTTTTCTCGAAAGACTGGTGCACTTTCATTAGGCGCAAACAAACAAGTCGCTCCATGTCTAGCTACTAACCAACTTAACAGCTACTTCAACAACATTGACCGCATTTCCCTCCCCGATTATATGCCAGATGACCAGGATGTTCTCCGATCGCGTGTCAAGACCACCGGTATCACCGAGACGACCTTCATCATTGGTGACCTTACCTACCGCATGTTCGATGTTGGAGGACAACGTTCAGAGCGAAAGAAGTGGATCCACTGCTTTGAGAATGTCACAACCATCCTCTTCTTGGTCGCCATCTCAGAATACGATCAATTGCTCTTCGAGGACGAGACAGTCAACCGTATGCAAGAAGCTCTCACCCTCTTCGACTCAATTTGCAACTCCCGCTGGTTCATCAAGACTTCAATCATTTTGTTCCTCAACAAGATCGATCGTTTCAAGGAGAAGCTCCCAATCAGCCCAATGAAGAACTACTTCCCCGATTACGAAGGAGGAGATGATTACTCTTTGGCTTGCGACTATATCTTGAACAGATTCGTCAGCTTGAACCAACACGAGACCAAGCAGATCTATACCCACTTCACCTGTGCCACTGACACCACCCAAATCCGCTTCGTCATGGCAGCTGTCAATGGTGAGTAAACCATTCTTCAGTTTCAGAGATTCCTGCTAATGTTTTCTAGATATTATCATCCAAGAGAATCTTCGTCTTTGCGGCCTTATCTAAATACGATCATCATCTGGGTACTTTCTCGATTGGGTTACACGGCGTTGATAATACAAAATACGGCGGTCTCTTACTATACCAACTGGCTCACGCAAACAATCATACCTACAACTCATATCGACTTTTGGTCGCCTTCCTTCGGACTGGATACCATAATATTGAGTGGGGGACATGGTTTCTCTGGTGGCCAGCTATATCTGCGTTCTTCTTTTGCTTCATTGTGTCTATTTGCTTTTCCCTTTACAACACTGGTTTTCATTGCAATTGCAAGGGACAGGGAGTTTATTTCCTTTCCGAATTGTTCAGAGTACATTGCCTCCTGTTTTTTGTTTGCCTCTATGATTCCCTTACTCTTTTTTTTAATGGCGACCAAGGAGAAACTCAACCCTGCTGCTTGAGCGCTCACTCGATGATGGCTCTTTTCTGTGCTGCAGGGTGCGAGATGACGTTGCATGTGCTCTACGGATGGGGACGATATGCATTGTGTAGGATGAAGGCTGGTTGAGTGACGGGGAAGGGGATCATGAGATGAGAGATAGCGGGGGAATCGCTGACGGGCTTTGTTATCTGCTGAAGGGCAGTGGTTGGCACTACCAGGTCTTCTGCTGGCTCGTTGAAGTGAGGCTAGTCTACGGTATAGACTCATGGAGGGTAGCGAATAAAGCGACTATGATATTTGAACTTGTGCTATGGCTTTGTGATTCAAATGACCAACTAGGTCTCTTGTAATTCTTAGATGATGGGTTTTAGGGAGCTGTTCGGTGTTTGCGAATAGTGAGAACAGGAAATTGACAAAATTAAGCATCACATTCATCTGTACTCCGGTGTGCATGTTTTTATAAGATGGGAGATGATTGGTCCAGAATAGGTAGGCAGCCACGACAAGACGACGAAAGAACACCAAAGATAGAACGAGAGGGTGTCACAACCGAGCGTCATGGACCCCAACTCATCCATCCCATCTATCTGTCAACATCGAAATCCTGTGTTCACATAACCACAATCCCAGCTCTCTTCGGAACAACCTATGAAACCTCTGACATCAATTCCTACATGCTACGCTAGTATCATCACCAGCATCCACGAGAAAGCGTAGAGTGAAGTCTACATATACTTGAGGCTTCAGCGCCGCTTATCTCACTCCGCTTTGCGGGTTTGCGAAGAATCCGAGCAAGCAAGTATGAAGAAGCTCCTCACGTCTCTGCTCCATATCATCATCATCCTCGGTATCTGGACAGGTTGGCTTGGTTTGGGCTGCGAGGCGCTCGTTACGCTACACACGATTCGGAATCTAACTAACGCGACGGATGGGTATCGTGGGAGGATAGAGGATTTGGGGAGTGTGAGTGTGGATTTTGGTGGAACATGGGATGGGCAGCAGCAGGTTGTTCTGGAGATGGGAGGAGGGGGTGGGATGGAGGGAGGGAGAGGGGGTGGTGGGGTTGATGAGGGGGAGGTTGAAGATGTGAGTCGGTATTTTTTTCTTCTTATCTGTCTCTATTTCCTGATAGTTGGGTTTCTTTTAAGTCCTTTTTTTATTTTCCATGGGGTTTCATTATGAGCAGAGAGGATAGAGCTGGTCGGGATGAGAGTTGGACGAGTTGAGGTGTGGGAGAACACTGATGGCCACTTGACTGTGCGTCGCAGGATGCTGGATGTGGCGTGTAGCATATAATTTTGAGTATTCTGCACAGCTGAATGGGTCTGAATATTGGATGGAAGGATGGGTGGTAGTGGTTGAATAGCCGGTATTGAATGGTTAAAGATGCTTATCTGTTGATGTCTGGGACGAGGTTTGCAGGATTGGTTTCGTTCTGTTCAAGTCACTTCGTTTTATTTGAGTTACTCGAGATGGGGTTGGTCTCTTCGAGATGTGCTTTAAATCATATGTTTCGTCTCTACTATTTGCTTCGAAGAAAGCTAATGATATGCACAGACAGTAGCAGCAGCACTCAGATTGCTCTGTACAGACATATTGATAGAGTTGGAGAAGCCACTCGTCGTCATACCTCCTCCAGCTCTATACAACTCACCGGTATGTCTCCCCTCCCCATTCCAGTCCCCTACTTCACACCAAACATGCGTCTGAATTATACTGTCTATGCAGAGAGGAGTAGATTGCGACCAAGTCAAATCGGAATACCACGACTTCCTGGCCGCCACGGTACGATTCTTGCATGTTGTCCAGGAGAGGCAGATGGTCTGGCGATGGGGAGCGGACAGTGCCGTGTTCGACGGTGTGGGTTGGTTGCAGGGTCTCTGGGCTAGTAGGAGTACAGTAAGTCATACCAGCCCTATTTTCAGTTTGATTTCAATTTTCTTTTCCAAAACGCGCTGCTGGGGAGCCTGTACGGGTGCTAATTCTTAGCTGTCTTGTAGAACTCCCAGAATCGCAGTTTCATCGAGCAGCAGATGAGTATGTATGCTGAGACAGAGTGTTTTGGGAAGAGTAATGAGGTGTTGAGGAGGGATGTGGAGGTTGTGGAATACCTAAATGATTTGCTTGATCTGTTTGCATGAGCCGTGAAAGGAATGGGCGTGGAGTAAGGGAAGCGCGGCATTAAGTAATGGTCAATTTTATCAAAATGCATCTCAGTAAGAATGAGAGTCGAACCTTATACTTCGTTTTGGTCGTAGAACGACGTTGTTGATATGGAAGCATGGGATCCGCCTTGAATATTGTGTGCTCCACATTGAACCAGGAAGAGTCTCAATGACATCCCATCTTTGGATATCATTACGCGAAGCAAGATGACCAGAACGAGCCTAATAAAAGACAGATATCACACGGAGCTGGAGAACTCAAACAATAGTATTGTATGCTATGGCGGTGGAAGTCATCACTCATTGCTATATGCTGATAAGGAGAATCTCCTCGGCCGGCTCCTCCAAAGCTATCCTGTCATGCCAGAAGTCCCCATGTTCAAGACGAAAGGGCAGTGTGCCAAAGCCCCAGAGTGGAAGTCTGTGTGGTGCCGAGAATGGTGGAGGTGAATACAGTGGTCGGGAAGTATTGATGGAGTGTTTTTGGGAGCATCTGCAAGATGGTGCAATGAAATGAGGGCATAATCCAATGCCATGCCGTGCCATGATACCTGGAAGACACGGAACAGGTCGACGCTGGCGGAGATTTTTCGAGGCTAGGACTTCCGAGAAATTCATTAGAAATACAGGAATGATGCGAATCAGGTCCACGAGTTGGTGTAAGCTGCAAACGAAACACAGTTCCGAGCTTCGGTTTTTATAGTCTAACCAAGTCGGCGGCATTAGCGAGGTAGGTTACGTCGCTGGAGTCTGGTTCTGGTCTTCTTCCTCGGGGGAGCGGCGTCAGGAGCTTTCAATCTCTCATCACTGGGAACTATCTGTACAGACCACGAAAAGATCCACTCCAGCATCTCGCAGCAGCTTCGCAATCTCAACCGCCGCAGGTGGTGGTGGGTAATGAACAGAGTTCACCAAATTAATCTCTCCAGTAGACACGCCACCTGAGGGGCGCTCTCCAGGTGCATACTTCAAAGGAGCCGCCGCGAGGCAAATCCCGACTTCTGTATCTGCTCCACTGCTAAGCAAGTGCGGATCATCTCCACTCGTTTCTATCTAGCTGCCAGATGTCGTGGATACATGTCGATTTTGCGATCACAACGAAATTCTGGGTTTGGGAAGGTTTGTAGACAGGTTTGCCGTAGTTGGAAAGCTGCGTGGAAGTTGAAGAGAGGGACTGATTTAAAGGAGCGAAGATTCGCGGCTTTAAGCACCATTGTTCGAATGATACCTGCCTACAAGACAGCAGTATAGATTAGCGTTCAATATAATGTTGACAAGAGATAAGTCAAAGAAAACTAGAACATTTCACGTGCCTGCGACTCAGAACTGTAGGTGTTCTAAGTGAAGCTCCTACAGGAGCAACACGATACAATCGAAAGACACGGGACACAACCAATTGACAAACGTTTTCCAGCACGGTTCTACATAGAGGTGACAGAGTATCTGATGATTCGATCCTAGTAAGAGACAGAAATTTCAAACTATAGAAGCAGAAGCTACGTAGAACCCCTCGAAAGTTCAGAACTGGAGGGACCAATACGTGGGACGCGAGTAAATGATTTGTTGGGCTTCAGCGCATAGAGGCAGCAAAGGCCTCTGCTAACAAAACACGCCTGACTGTGAAACACCAGTCACGGGAGAGAAGGCATGGCATATCTCGAGCCCCAACAGATAGAGGGACGATTGAATTTCATTGTTGTTTGTAGCAGTTGAATAACTCTGTGTGGAGGAGCAAGGACGTGATTCTGAAGCAATAAGTAGGCATATTATTCAAGTCCAAGTCTCGAGACGTTTTGCAAACCAAATACACAAACAGTTCAGATCAGGTCAGAAAACGGCAATGAAAGATAGATTTTGCAACAATATGAACAATCCACAGCGGCCACCAATACTACCACGCTGGCCCAATCCAGTAGGCCTCCCCGTCTGACGGAGCGGCTAGTGGCTTTGGAGAGTCGAGTGAACAGAAGTTCCAAACTGTTCTCAGCAGGAAGACTGGGAGAAGAGTGACTTTGAGGATACAATCAACTCGAGAAAATTGCGGTAGGTAACGGCTGCTTGTTGTTGATGATTTGCCCATCGACTCCAATGTACAAGCCTCGGAGGGAGGCCCAGCACAACCAGACACTCCGGCAGTTCAGAATGAGCACAGACGGCATCCTTGATGTCTCAGTTATCAAAAAGAACCATTCATCTCCTGGCATTTTGATCCCATTTGAAGGGACAAAGATGTCACACCCATGGGGAACCGCAACTTCACCAACTTCAAGGAAGGAGTCAATCAGCCACAGCAATTATTTCCATGAATATGGCTCTCTCTCGCACTGAATATGACCGACAAGCCAGTAGTATTATGATGGTCTGCGGTTGATTTGATCGTGCTTGTGAATATATGGAAGAGAAAGAAGAAAGGGTAGCTGCGGCGAAGTGAAGTTGGGATGAACCAGAAGCGAGCCAAGCTAGAAATAGCGCTAGTTCCAATTTGCACCAGCGCAAGAACTAGCGTCGCGCTAAGAGCTGGCGAAGCTTCATCTTGAATTTTTTCTCTCTGAGCTTCAATCCCTCTTCATCCTAAACATCGACAACCACCTGCCTCGATAGTCATGGCCCTCTATGGTCAGTCGATCACTACTGTATCTGGGATACAGTAGTTTTATATATTGTCATCCCAGTGAAGGAACAGTTGTATTGGACCCTCGCAGAATTTGCAGGGGTTTTCATCAGAGTTCGACCTCACATGAGATCTTGCTTCGCCCAGCTTCGAAGCTCGCTGAGGTTCCTTTTCCTTATTTCCTTATTTTCTTTTTTGTCTCACCAACGACTACAACAATCAAAAACCACATATTGCCTACCTCTTGCGCCTCTTTGATGGACTTGAGCGTCACTTATTTAAATATCGTTCGTGGGATATAAAACCAAAGGCCTAGACAGCCCGTCCATTCCACCCTGTTGACGCAGAAAGTGCGTCAGGAGGACTAAATCGGACAAACAAACTATCTTGAGCAGACATGACTATTTATATTGACCTCGTTATCAGTTACAATGGCAGTAGGAACATATCAACGCCATGTATTTGATTAAATCTCGCAGGGGAAGAATGATTACTGTCAGCACATAACTATCTATCATTAATATATAAGAACATAAAATTCGCTCTATTGCCTTCACGTTTACCTCCGAGTTCATGATTCGTACCGTTCGTTATTTCATATGTATAGCACACAGTTCATGCATCTGGCAGGAAAGATCTCAGAAATTTCGAGGCAAGTCGGCCAGTGTTATGAGGCCGGATGTCTCCAGGATGGACCTTATTGTCTGTGCCACCCAGCGGACCTCGTTCAGCGAGCTCCAGCATCTCCTCCCCTATTGATCGATCAGTCAGTCCACGATTCATCTGCATTTTCGACCTCAAATTGACTTACAGTTGATGAACACAACTCCAAATACTTCGGTTATCATGTCATTCGCTTTGCCATGCAAGCCAGTCTCCTCGCCATTGTATAATGCCCTGAGAGGGTTGAAACCAGCCTCTCTTGCACCTCCGTTGCCTTCTTTATGGCTTCTGTATATCTCATGCAGCAGTCTATTACACTGCGCGAACGGCAAATCCTCTAGCAGCTGGCAGGCATCCAGGCTCTGCGCTCTCACGAATCCTTCTCGTCCTTTGGTCTTCTGCATATCGCAAACAACCAATGTATCGGCTGCAGTCTCTAGGTTCTCAATGCAGAGACACAGAACAAGAATTGTGCAGAAAGAGGGACCCCAGCAGTCCTTGGTGCGACCTCGAAGAGATTTTTCCAGCGATTCGAGCACAGTTGCTGTGGTTTCGCGGTGCAGTTTGTGCATTACTTGCTTCACTTGGCGATTTAGGAGTCGCGACGAGTGGAAGGATTCTGATCTGTTGAGCTGGCGACCTAAGCGTCGATAGATGGCCTCTACGGATGATGGGGTGAACGTCAAAAGACTGCTCATGAAATAATGCATGGCGTGGAGTCTGAGAGCATCCTTTACTATTGGCTCCTATCCAATCATTCGTTAGGGCACTTATTCTTCATGAACTTTTGAGCTGCGACTTACCTTTCTCGCATACTTTTGCATTGCTTCCAGCAGTTCGAAAGCGATTGGAGAGCTATTGACAGCGGAGACTTGTCCAGCGTACTGAGGGGACGCAATCATATCGTCAATGTACCTCTTGCAGAGTTTCTTCACTTCCTGTTCTGACAGTCCCAGGATACCAATCGGAACACTGTCCTGCTCCAGAAGCACCGAGTTTTGGTTGTCAATACCTGTTGTCAGACGAGACTGCAACAGCAACTCATCTGTCTTTGGTCGGAAGACATTGGTGTGCAAGACCAAGGGCTTTTTGTTGAAGGCAGCTCCAGTTGAAACCTCCACGTCGATCGCAGTGTCACGGAATCCATTCGTGTGTTCCGAGATCAATTCTTCAACCTTGTGCTTCTTGAGATGTTTGTGCAGATAGGCTGGGAAGAAGACCTCCGCATAGTCGATGAAGCCTGCTCGACAACAGAGCTGGTCAGCGGCGGGAGAGAATTGTTTCAGCTTCTGGCATCTCTCGCAAGTTGCACCTTCAGAGCACTGCTCAATTGTTAGCGGAGAATTTTACCTGCTTATCGGTAGACTCACAGGCACTTTCTGAATCCAGCACTTCCAACACGCCTTCAATTTCCTCATTCGCTTGGCTTTTTCAGCAACATTAGGATCCAGCTTTCCGCTTCTGACGCCAATTCGCTTCTCTTCATCCTCCCTATTCTCCGACACAAAGCACAATCCATCCTTGCAGATAGCAGCATGCTCCCATGTGAGCTCCGTGGTATTAGTTTTCGCTTTGCTGGATTTTCCACCTGCTTTCTTAGATGCTCGAGACTTCTCGACTCTTGACTTACTGGGCTTTGGCGACTTAGCCTCACTAGAAGCTCGACTTGGGGATGCTTCCGAGTCATGTTCTCCTTGGGGTCCTGGTGATGGCAGATACGCAGCAAATCCAGGGCTCCATGCTGTCACTTGAGGATCCACCGGTGTCCATGGGCTATCAGAATGATGCTTCACTGCTCTAGTATGAGTGATGGGCGCTTGTGTTTGGATAACGGACTGATATGCGTAGTGTTGCATTTCCTGGTAGGTAGACTCTCCTTTCCCCATGCCATACACTTGGTAAGGGTCCTCAATGATACGAGGCTCTGATTCGTTTCGTTAGCAATCCTGTTTTGAAGAAGTAGGACAAACATACCAGCACTCCACATGGTGCCCAGGAGGTACTTCGGGTCATGTTTGAAGTCATTAGCCATAGCCTCATTATCGATTTCGAAGCCAGCGCCATGTGTCCATGGTTCCTGCGGGGACGCAGAGAGTTCGGCCTCGGGTATCGGGTACAGGACAAAGTCAATGTCATGTTCCCCTATCGAGGCACGTTTCGAGTTACCAGAGTGTGCTCGATTCCTCTGATCCTGGGTATGAGCATGGTTTATCATCACCTGGCTGTTCGTACAATCTTCCATGACCACACTGGGGCTCGATTCCTCGATGTCCATCCAGCTTGGGGAAAGGGACTGTGCCATGGACCCACGCATCGATACAGAAGCTGATATGTCTGCCATGTAGTCATGCATGATGAAGTCTTCATTGGTGTTTTCTTTTTGAGATATGCCCATGCTTTGCTGGGCGAATGCGGCGTCAAAGTCGTACAAGGGTGACATGGCGGGGAAAGCCTGTGGGAGACGCGAGTCAAATGTGTCTTGTTCTTTTGACTCGACAATTCTACGCCTGTGGTGGCGTTGGGACTGGCTACGATCTGCCATTGTTTCGTATCGATGGTCAATTAATCAATCGAAGATACCTGTTGGTAATCTCACCGGGTACGACTTGATGTGACGGTTTGGTTGAGACGAGGCTGTGAACAGCAGCCACCAAGTTTGGACAAAAAAACGAGATTTTGGCAACAAAAACACACGAATCAGGCGATCAATTCACGATGGCAGGAAGCAATACATATGTGTTTGAGAGAGGATGAGAGAGCGATTTTCTCGAAGTGTCAGCAAGGACGTTACGTTGTCGAGCCCAGCTGTGGACCCTGGATCGGTGACAGAAGGATCTACCGATGCGGGATGATTACAGGGATTCGATCCTCTTGAGGGGATGAGAAGCCCCGCGCCTCATTGGGCACTGCACTCTCGTATGCAGGTCACTTGAGAGGGGGAGACGAATCGGAAACATGCGGTGCATTTTAATTGGGACACAGCCGACCACGAATTGTCTATGGATAGCTCTTAACCTTTTCTGTCACCGATTCCAACATACACCACGGCCATAGCCGACCAATCTCGCCCCAAACGTATAGTTAACAGACCTGAAAGTCCGACCAGACGCCCCGTTGCGCAGCGCTGATCCACGGAAAATCGAACCGGAGCGATACGCAGCCTCCAATGCGTGCTCAGAATAAAGCAAAGAAAACAAACAACGCCTGAAAATACGCCGACGGTAAATCAACCTGGAAAGCGTCCCTCCTGCCAAATTCGGTAATACCCCACCAAAATCCACGAACAGAATCCTGGCATGTGAAACAAATCTCACTTTCGAAAATTCTAACCCGAAACTCAAACCCGAGCATTAGGATATCCGCAAAACTGTCCTGAAATCCGTGGTGCTGCCGAAACTGTCTCGCTTATGGGTGCGGCAAAACTCCGGCATCCCAAGTCTTGGCATGAGATGAGCATGCTTCGTCGAACTCCAGCCCATGAAGTTTCCCCACGCAAGCACCAGGAGCAATGAAAAAAGCAAAGCAAAAACCAAAAGAAAATGTGCATGTCCAACGATCAAAGTCGAAGGGGTGCTAACGCCGAGCCCATGCAAACGTAAAGTCGTGAGATCATCTGGCGACATTATGCTCTATAGCGGTGGCTATGAGCCCGTTCCTGAATCTGCTGCTCAGTTGCAACGTATAAATTATCAAGGGCACTCATTGCTGCGGAATCTTTCAGTATCTTTGCGACCTGGATTCCAGCGGAAATCAACTGGAGTATGTTCCTGTCGTCCTTGAGAGGACGAGATTGGTGTTTCGCGGCGTGGCGCATCTCCAAAGAATTCTCCAAGATGGTGATAAATTGTTTTATCTGGCCATTGTACAGAACCCTGGCTGGTATCCGTCGCTTTGTAGCCAAACGCTTCAAGAGATATACCCACTCCGTCCATTCCCGGTCTTGAGGTCTCTCCACTGGTCTCATCTCCCCGTTGGCTAGTGGAATTGGAAATTGATACTTTGCAACGAAATCAAATGCACACTGAGACAGCCGATCATTGACTTGCGTAAGGATACTATCCTGCTCGTGAACGACAAGATTTGTGGGTAGATGTGGCAAATCTCTTTCCTGCTGGGCAATATAGTCCGGTGGTGGGCGTTGGAGAAACTGATGTGGTCCGTCGAATTCGTCCCTATTGGAAGGACGCCTTTGCTGGGAATGGGCTTTCCCTTCGTTCTTGGACTTGCTTACTGATTTGCTTGAAGGGTCAAGCACATAATCACTTGGGCTTGGGGATGCCACATAGTCCTCATATGTCTCGGGTGAAATCCTGCCTTGAGGTTCCCAACTTGAGTTTGGACTTGAGTACGAATTGTACCCGGGGCCGGCAGAGCCGTACAGAGCTGAGGATGCTCCCATGTTGTATCCTTTGGAAGTGTAGTCAGGTCGAATTAGGCTGGCCCCTGCAGGTACCGTTGCGATTGGGCCAGGGGGACTGTAACTGGAAGTTGATGGAGTGTATGTGGCGCTTCGAGACCGACTTTCAGTATCTTGTTTGGAGATTGAGACGAACATCTTACCTGCTTGCCGGATAGAAGGAGTTCTCGTATCCAGTTTGTACGACTTCTTGGTAGGCATTGCTTTTCGAAGGTCAGCTTCTGCCCTGGTGCCCGGGTGCAGCAATTCTTCCGTACCTTCTGGAGGCGCTCATCGTACCGATGGGTTGGATGGGAACCGGGCGCCCATATCCATAATCAGGTTGAACTTGAAGGCTTCGTCTTGATGCCATCATGTCGAATTCAGATATCTTTGTGCTTGAACAGTAAGAGAGATAAATGTACAAAGTACAAAGGAAATCAAACACGGCAAATGCTCCTAAATGTTCTCAGGAAGGTCTGGGATGACGGCACTTCCAATCCAAACTGGGTCAATTTTGCCAACTGGTCCCGCGGGCAAGATGGATCCTGGGTGTCCTGGTGCGGAAAACCCTTGAGGGTGTTAAGGCGGTGAGTGATTGGTGGCTCGCCAGATGTGTAACTTTGGGAAGAAGGAAGGTCGTGACCTATATGTTCCGAAGTCTGAGATTTGAAGCCGCTAATTTATAGACTCTTTGCGGTGAGACAAGTGGCCTTTCTATACTGTCAAGTTTCAAGGTTAAGCCATCCCAAATCCCAACCCGCAGGTTTGACAATGACCAGACGGGGCGCGCGCCAACAGTCGCATGGAGCTTTGGCCAGGATGACCTGAAGATCCAAAGAACAAAAAATTCAAGATGAGACGGTTTGCATGCAAGAGAAATTTGCCACTCCTGCACAAGTGGGCGTGGTCTGAGGTACAGAAACAGGAAGAATCTTGCACTGACAATTACTCGGCGTCAGACATGACCGAAACTGTCATGAACAAGCAAAGTGCTTTGCAGATAACACGACATTTGCGTTGCTGCTCGGCAAATATCTCAACGATGCTCCCAGGGACTTCCTTTCTCGCCTGGGATGCTGTGCTGTCAAGGGCCATTAAGGGTCACAAATCGACTATAGCGTTGTTTCTTTTGGGCACCATTGGGCGAGCTGTGGAATGGCAGCGAAGGGGATGCCGGTCGACGCCCAAGATCTTGCAAAGCGTGGTTACGATTCGCAGAGCGTGGAGATGCTATCCTCAGGCGCACGAGATGGGGGCACAAGGACTTCCCCAGACCCTGTGGTGCCCATGAGAATGGCTCCCAGGCGGTGACGATGAAATGGGGCGTCGGCTACTCGTGTGTCTGTGGTCTGTTGGGCAGCGAGACGACCAAAGCTGGTGCAGCAGCTGCCCAAATCATTAAATGTTATGCGTTAATGCCCATCAGTGACCAATGACCAGCCAGCCAGAAACGATGGTCGGGCGGCAATGAAGCGATGACGGTGCGGCTGTGTGGGGACGGCCATCGCAACGTTCAGATATGAGGTCGTCAAAGTTTAAGTTGGACCATGTCGAGCCTTTGTGGAGAGAAACGAAGGGAGTGTGAGACTGTGAGTGCGAGCAAATCGAGACGCTTGTCCCGAGGATGTTTGCTGTGTTTGTTTCAATTTGGATTCGTTCTCATTTCTGCACGGTGATGGTCTGGCGCCCGGCTTGGCCAGCGATTCGGCCACCAAAGCCCAAGGGTCCTTCTCGGCTGATGCTGTGGTACATTGCCGTAGCCTACCGTTTTCCTACTTGGCTTCGCATTGGGCCTCGTGGCATGCCGGTATCAAGATCTTTGCTGTTCTGGTTGGCGGTTGCGCTTACATTGCAGTTGGGCAAACAAGGCGAAGACCCTACTGCTTCTGAGCCCATGCACACACTTTACACGAACCTTGCGATATGCTGCACGGATTTTAAAGGCCCCTTCTCGTTGAATTCACAAATGATCAAGGCCTGATCAATGACTGTTGGTCAATTGTCTCTGGTCAATTGTCTCTGGCCAATCAAAAGGACAGTATATTCTGCCAGCGAAACTGTTGATGCTCAGGACTGAGAGTCCCTTGAGTCTAGACCTAAGAGGCTCATCACTATGAAGGACTTGATAGCAAACTCAGAAATATCCCAGGACGTGCAACGGACATATAAGGAGACAATCTCCCAGTTTTCGTCGTTTCATTCTCATGTATCTGCCCTCCTGGACGGTGGCAGAGGTTCAAACCGCCATGAATTAAGCTCTTCAAGTAGCTGAGGTTGGTGAACGTTGGTGGTACAGGTCTGTATGGTCCGGGTGAACTCTGCTAACATCAATGACTTCATTGTATAATTCAGTAATTGACGGAGATGCCTCCGTATTCCATTCTTCAGGTCTCCCTCGTCGTGATCTGCACAAGGCCGTTTTCGTACTCGATCAGATATTAGATTTTCGACCCCCACGCAGGAGAGCAAGGACGAACAGAGCAGTAATACTACGCCCAGCTGTCATATAACGATCGCCCGGCTTCAAACGTGTTTGCCGATCTTGATCCCCTATTGCTCTCGCGTACCGATCAGGACTTGATGGATCATGGAGTCATGCAAAGAGCTGAATGTTACCAAAGCCATTTGATACTTACTGTATAACTCGCCCGACATGTTCAACGCAAAAGTTATGCTGCTGAGACCCGCTATTTCGCCCTTATCAGTAACCCAAAGGGGCTAGGATAGGTCCTTGGACAGTGCACATGCACTCCTGCCCCGTTCTCTGGGATTCAATGATCAGATCACCGAGTATTGACACTCTAGGCGTGGAAGCGATCTCTTATTTTTGGCACCAAACTACTACGCGCATGAAACAAGACTCTAGACAATGAGCAGCAGTGGGAGCAGAAATAGTAATGTCACAACTTTTGGGCCAAAGCCGACGAAAGCATGCGGTAAGTAATTACCCAAGATCTATTTGTGACATCACTAATCCGGATATGATAGTTAATTGTCGGCGACAGAAGGTAATATTAATCCGGCTTGTACATCTTCCTCTATCCTAACCTAACTATATCAGATGAAATGTGAAGTGGATCCAGATCGAACATCATCCTGCAAAAGATGTCGAATAAGCCAAATACCTTGCATCTTCAAACCTCGAGCAAATGTACGTCTTAGGCAAAATCAGACGATTTTATATTTCTTTTGCTGAATCATTGCTGATCTCATCGTTCAGGCCGCCGCTATCCCTCAAGAGCTTATTGTTCCCAGTATCCTACGCCCACTTCATGAGGAGGGGCTTGACGCAGCTGAGCCCAAGCTGGACCCAACGACGGTCCTGGCCCGGTTGGCTGCAATTGAGGGACTACTCGGCATCGTCCCTTCATCCCAGCCAGTCTTGGACGACGATGTGTCCCTTCAAACCCCTGACACCGAGTCCGAATCGCCCTTTTCCGGTGTTTGGGCAGCAGCGGCGCATCTCAAACTAGCTACCCGACCCCCTCAATCTTCAAGGATATGGTCACGTGCGGTTATCAAGCAGCTCTGGCTGTCGTAAGCTCCCCAGCAGGTGTTATCGGCGAAATAAACTGATGGGAAGTTCAGGTTCCACAAGACTATGCCAGGTCTGCACTTTCTCTCCAAGAAAAAGACATCTTCAACACCTACGCCTTTACTCCTAGCAGCTATACTTTACGTCTCAGCTCTACATTCTCCTTCACCTGAATTCGCAGCTCTTGCCCCCGGGTTTTTCGTCGCAACATGTTGTGCCATTTCCGAATTGGCGGTTCCCATCCAAGCTGCTCCGCGAGCAGAGCAACATGACACCAACAGCGAAGCTGCGAAATTAAATACAGAGCAAAACGCTTTCCAAAATGTGCTCGGTCTCATCCTCGCCGGGCTCATTTCAGAGGCATTTATTGAAACAACAGGTCTATGGATTTCAATGGGTTACAGGCTGACTTTAGATCACTGCCCTGTCCACATCGATGAAAGGTCACACGAGTGGCGAGGACTGTTCTCAGGGCTTCAAGTAGGCATATTCTCAATGTCCTAAGAGATTCAGCTTACATGTACGCAGATAATCGATCTCGAACATGCCTCACTACACATGTCTTGTCCGATCCTCCCAAAAGAAGCACCTCTCCCATCCCTCCGCCAACTCCAATCAGCGGCCAAAGATCCATTCTACAGCCTCACACAGATGATGCATATAGGGCTAAGCCACTTCGTTGGTCGCGGATTACCGACAATCTGGTCTTTCATTTCATCAGATCAAGTAGAAAGCACAGTTCGACCACCGTCAGCATTTACAGAAGCGGACGGTAAAGTGATTCGAGAGTGGGCTAGGCAGCTGGATGACTGGCTGGTGCTGTGGAACAGTAATGTCCCGCATGTCGACGAAGCTTGAGAATTGTCTAATAAAGTGTCAACAGAGCCTAACGACGCCGATCTTGATGGCCTGATGGTTTTCCGGCAATATAGTCTTCATCGACTCTTCGTCCTGTCCATCTACCATCCCGCGAGGGGCTTCGATCTCTTCGCAAACAATGTAGCAAGTGTAGAGAGACATGAACTTCTCATCTCGGCTCGAGCTACCCTGAAATTGCAGAACGAAGATAAAGGGATATGGTCGAATTGGGACTTGGTTGTGTGTTTGATCCGATACCTTTTTGGCCCTTCGCTTGACCTCCATGTTGCGAGCTGACCACCTCGGCTAATTCTCTGGATTCAAAATAGATGATAACCTGGGCTGCGCTCCTAGTCTTACAAGGCATCGAAGGCGGAGTCGGCGAACCAGACGGTATATTTCCCTCAATTCTTACTACAAGTTCCTCAATCAACTTCCTCTCTTCCTCTCCCTAAAAGTCAACTTCCATTCCCAATATCCCACTTCAGTCACAGAACATACCTCTAACCTCTTCCTTTCCCCAACCCAACAGATTTCATCCTCATCCAAGCCCACCTAAACATGCTCCAATACACGCACCAGCCCTCCCCCTCCCTGCGCCACCGTCTCGCCTCCCGCCTCGAGTCCTCCCTCCAGAACATGCACACCCCGCGCCCGGCGCCTGAACCGGATGCTATGCTCGATGATGGGGTTCCGAATAATGTCGCTAATGACGGGTGGGCGATCTTCGACCAGAGGAGTATGGACCTTGCGAGGCAGAACTTGAATTTGAATCCTGGCTTGGGTCTTGATGGAGGTGGGGGTGGGGGCTTGGGAGGTACTAGTGGGGATGGGAGTGGTAATGGCAATGGTGGTGGGATGGCAGGTATGGGTGTAGGCGTAGGTGTTGGTGGAAATGTCTCTGGTGGTGGTATTGGTGGGATGCAAGGTGGGTATGATGGTGGGATCAGTGGTGTTGGTGTAGGCGGGCAGGTTGCGATGGGTGGGTATGCAGGGGAGCAGTGGATGGGTGGTGGGAATGGGGAGTATTCTGATGCATGGCAGAATACGTTGTTCAGGTTGTTTGGCAATGTGGAGGAGATGCCGGGTGGGGGTGGGAGTGGCAGTGGACTTCTATGAATGAGTGATGATTGATCGACGCCCACATCAGCATCTTACTCGTCTCAGGATCCGTGGGTACTGCTTGTTCCTAGTATTTGTGTAAATATTTGTATTTACTTGTAATGTGTGATGGACCGACAGGATTCTCCCTCATCTCGTTGATGCTTCAAGTCTTCAGCTCATCCAGTATGTTGTGCTGGATAGGTAACGTAGAGTGCGGACACATCTAATCGTCGGATACTGACTACACACAAGCGCCTTGCAATATAAAACGTACGGCTAGGCATTGTTTGAAGACTTTGCTTCATTCTCATTAGACTTCTACACATCACTTCCATCGCAAAAACCCCCTATTGCAGAACCTAAATACAAGAATCGAACGCTCTCACACATCAGTCACAAATCCTGTCTGTCCATGCATGTGGCGCATAACATCCATCCGTCCATCCATCAACAGCCAGCTTCGTCCCATTTCTCAAGCTCCATCCGGCTTTTTGCAGGGAATAGTCTCGAAGACAGTCGACGGAGCTCTAATGTGCCGTCTCCATTCCTCATCGAGAAAATCGTAGCAGAACTACCCAGCTACTTCATCTTTAGAGCAGAGCAGGCCATTCCAAAGCCTTCAATTTCGGGAAGTATTCGTTCGAGGAAGAACACATAAGATACCAACAAGTGCGTGTGACTATACTCAAACACACACGTACCAACCAGCGAATCAACCAGCCAACCATTCTTTCTCAGATCCATCCATCCAGTGTTTCGTTCCAAATATGCCACAGAATCCCACAAACATCACCTCAAAAGCGACCCTACAATATACTCAAACCGTGGTACCTTTCGCCGTAGGTGTCAGAAGAAGAAGAAGACCCGTGTGCTGAAAAAATGAATAAAATAAACGGTCTCCGGGGTATCCGATCTTTGGGAAAACAAATCATGATGTGCATACGCAGCTGTAGAAACGCGCTGAACAGGATACCGAAGGGGGTTCCGCAAAATGTTTCCCTGCTAACTCCACAACTTTTCAAATCAATCGCTCCGAATATAAATGCGGCCGTAACAACCACTCGTAATCTCACAATACCCAACGTGCTCGATGCTCAGTGGAGCTCATTCTAAAGGTTACCGTTGAGGGTGTTGTGAAATGTCTGGGACATGTGGCGTCGAAGGCTCCTCGCCGGGTCGCTCCGGGTTCTCTGGTCTTCTCATATCCATACTTTTGCCTCTCGTTGGAAATGCGGATGCAGTGCGATCGGTCGAAGCAGGTGGGCTCTTGTTACGCTCCTTCTCGGCTTCCTTCTCTTTGATCTCATCTCGTTTCTCACGCATCTTATTCTTGATCCAACCCAATGGTCCTTTCTTTTCCTCACTTGCAGCTGAACCATCGTGACTTGACTGAGGGTGTGCACCAATGAGAGTTGTGTCGGAGCTGGTTGGAACGGTATCGCCGGTGAAACTCTTGCGAGGCCGTGATGAGCTGCCGACAGAACTAGAACTGGCTCCTGCACCATTGTCTGAGCCAACGGCCTTCTTGGGTGTCAAGGCGTTGCCCAGTTGAGAAGAGTCTCGGTGGTGTCGGGATATTCTCCATCTGGATCGCTTTTCTCTCTGTTCTGCAACGGCCGCAGCATCCTCATGATGATCAGCGTCTGACTGGTCATTGAACGATGATCTGGATCTCAAAGAGCCTGTTGGAGACGTGGGCTTCAATGTGTTGTCTGATGATTGATGAAGCTCCTCCGGTCTAGTTGGGAACTGGTGGCCAGATGGGTCAGCTTGAGGAGGATCAGTAGCAGGAGGTGTGGCATCAGTGTTGGACAAGGTGGGATTCGCGGATGGGATGCTTTCTAATTGTGGATGGGCTGCAACATCGTTGGCAAGACGAGTGGGATGAAGAGCAGGAGATGCTTGGTCCTGACTGTTAAGGGACTGGGTAGAGCTTTGAGCGCTGGGATTCGAACTACCTGGTAGGCGCTTCTTTCTCAGCTTGTTTGGCTGCTTCTTCTCACTCTCGTTTGTTGGTGACCTCTGAAATAAATTAGAGATATTCCGAGGCGTTGCGGGGGTGGCGACTTGATCTCCGAGAAGTCTCTCTTGACTCGTCACGGAAGCAGCATGCGTCGAAGGGGCTAGGCTTGATATTCCAAGAGCAGCTGGAGGGGCACCAGATGTTGATGGCGAGACGCTGCGATTCTTTGAGCTTGGAGCTGCTGGCGAAAGCCCCCGAGGAGCTGAATGTGAGTTTGGCATAAAGGCAGCTGCTGTAGGCGACGGCGAGCCAGAATTCTTTTGCAATCGATTTGAAGGTAATCCGGGAGATCGCTTTGAAGGGACTGTGTTGCTTCGATGGATGCCGCCGCTGGGTGAGTGCGTCAAAGGTGGGCCATAAGCAGGGCTTGCAGGACTTGGGGCGCCATTCGATTGCTTGGAGTGACGTGAAGACACTGAAACATTTCTTCGTACTCCGCCAAACTTTCGTACACTGTCTGCGCCTACACTAGCATTCGATGCTGTTCTTGCTACGCCGGTCTTGGTCTTTCCTGGTGTGTTCGGTGTTCCTGGTGGTGGCGTTCCTCCATTCTGAACATCAGCCACAGTTTGCTCATCTGCTGCAGTACCCCTCATGCCGATCAAAAAGTGGTCCTGGTTCTCGATCAAAAAGATAAGGACGTCTTGACTCAAGCGATACTGCTCAGGCTCCATGTCATGAATTGGATGAGAAAGCATGCCTGGTTGGAAGATAGCAGAAAGGTTTGCGGAGGTCATGCGATTTTCGTCTGACTTGGAAGCAAATACTGCTAGTAAATCAAGAATGTATAGCAGAAGTTGGCGATTGAGTGGTGGCAGCTCTGTGATCAGTTGCTGATATGTGATAATGGCTTTATCAGCATCGAAATCTTCAGTAAGTTGAGGTCCATCAGCATCTCCCACTGCTTGCTTAGTGAAGCCTCTCAGTGGTTCTCGAAATCTGTCGTATAGATCTAGTGGGACGATCGGCTCCGGAAGCTGGTTAAGATATCTTCTCAGAACATTTGCGGCATCATGAACTGTATATCCTGCCCAGTCTAAACCCTTTCCATATCTATCTGGGGAGTCGAAGATGGTTCGGAGTTCCTTGATTCGCTTCTCGGATCCACTGAGTCGAAAGATTCCCTCTACATTAGTGGCTTTCGAGGTGTCAGCAATTGAGCCACAAAGCAGACGGTATATGCTCCAAGATCATTATTCATACCTTTCTCCTTTAAATACACTCCACACTTAGCTACTACGATTGGGACATATCCATAGATGTAGCTTCGTCCTTCTGCGTCAACCAATGAAATGGCTACGTTGGCATAAGTAATGCTCTGACGAAGGGGAACTCCAAATATTCCTGTAGGAGGTGGAACTGTAGTCTTTGTTTTAGCATTTGTCTGGAGCCTAATTTTCACAAAATTGACAGCGCTGGAGAAAGATGTCTTGCGTCTGCCCCTCAAGGCAGGGGTCTTATTATCGCTTCCTTCACTTGATTTATGGCAGCAATCTGCTGTAGGAACGAACGCATCACACATCTCTTCTGTGAAGACTGCAGATTGATTCGTTCCTAGCATGTCTTGTCTTTCTGCACGTAAACTACGCTCCAGATGACGTTCCACGCTTGGGATGAAACTCGAGTGCCTCCTTCTGGGTATAGAACCAGGAGCATTGAATTGATACGAGTTAGGTTGCAAAGGTGTTAAGCGCCTGCTGGAGGACAAGATATCGTGGGTCACTTCTTCATCTCCAAGAAAGCCATCTGCAATTGGTGTCTCTGTATCCATAGGATTCTCCTTGAACATGCCTTGCGTGTTGGAGTGCAAAGTAAGGACAAGGCTTCCTGTGTAGTAATTCTGCTCGGAACGAAATGGACTTGCGACAGGATACCAAGAGAATGGGGTATTACCATTTTGTTCCTGATTCTTTGGCAGAGGTTTGCTGAAAGTCTTCCACCAGCTCTTCAAGCTTTGTTTCGTTGGGGGAGATGCTGCTTGTATTGGTTGATTCACAGGAGCAGGCTGTGGGTGTGCGAAGGGTTGCTGAGCGCTACCTGAAGCTGGGGCGTCTGTAGTCATTTTGAAAGCGAACGTCCCAATCTACCAGTTGCCAGTATAGGTTCTATATAGGTTCCCAGTGGAAAGAGAGTCGCGGTGGCCCAAGAGGCCTCGACAACGTGCTGTTCTGCGCAAGCTGGGCGTGGGGTTACTGATCTCGAATTCAACTTCGGTCGCAGGATTAATTCGAAGCGCACGGCGACCGATTTCAAGGACCAACAATCCGATGCAGCACGCGACGCTGATTCTTTGGTTCTGCTAGACGTCTGCCAGGGAGTTGTGTTTTGAAGGCTTGCGATCGCTGGGCGCAAGAATCAACGCGACCGAGGGGTGTGAAGCAAGCGCTCGAATGCAAGGCCGCTGCGGCAGGAGGGAGAGTCGAAGATGAGACAGTGCGGGCGAGGGCAGGACAAGAGATCGAGGGAGGCGTCGTGCACGACACCGTTGTCTCAGATGCAGCGAGTGTTGTGATTTATGAAGTTTGTGCAGTTGTGCAGGTCGAAGGAGTAAGGGAGTGAGGTCGCAGCAGGTAGGTAGCAGGGAGCAGGTAAGAGGAGAGACGAGACGAGACGAGACGAGATGATGATGTTCGAGGTGAGCTGGGCTGGGCTGGCTGGCTGGATGCAGAGCACGCTACGGCTCCTAATCCGATCCTACCTAATCCGAGTTAGTTCGCCCTATCAGGCCTGAAGTCCAGAGCCACCACTGCACCAGGACAGAGCAGCAGAGCAGAACAGACACAGACCTCCAAAAGAAAAGAATCTGGAGTGCCTGCTGACCCTCTTAATTGTGCTGATCCCCCAAGCTGGTGCAATGCAATGCAATTCAATGCAATGGAAAAGAATAATTATCCAGCAGCCAGCCAAATAATGTAATGTGTTGGTCGGATGCACGGTATTGTCAGTATTGGACAAGCACGGACAAAGCAGAGCAGAGCAGAGCAAAGCAAAGCAAAGCAAATGCGGAGGGCAGTCTGCTCCTGGGCAGGTAGGCGGAGGATCGCTGGTGTGTGGCTTCTGACCATTCACTTATCAACTATGGCTTGCTTCCCAGACGGCCTCAAGTGTCCCTCATCAAGTAGCCGAGTGAGCCAGACCAATGGATCTGCTATTGCATTACTGTACCTTATGCCAGTACTGGTATAGCATCATTCTGGCAGGTCAAGGCAGCCGATAAATGGGAGGCGGCCTTTTCCATATTTAGAGTCACCACGCAACGGTTTTGTGTCTTGTGCCTGCATTTCATCTAGGTACACCTCCAAGGGAATACGATGGGCAACGGCGGAAACGTGGCTATGTTGAGAGGTACGTCCAGGGCATAGGACTGAATGTGTTACAGAAGCAGGAGTATCAGGACAGAGGTATTGAGAGAATTGGGAATGGCGCAGAGAGGCAGAAACATGGCGCTGATAACTACTTAGATACCCGTATTGCTCATGATCTGGAGTCCTACAGTAATTATCGTAATTTACCTAGAGGAACTCCTTGCCCAAGGGTACGGCCCCTGGTCTTGCTGCATGTACCAGCTACACGCACCGGCACCAAGATCTGGCCAGACGTCATGTCCAGGGTCCTATCCAGCTTTCCGGTGTTGTTATTGCTGGGCTGATGATATTGGTGCTGATGCCCCTCTGTCAGCCTTTGCCCACCTCTCTCTCGGCTTGTCGGCAAAACAACCACTTTAGCTCCGACATAGTGCCAAGAACTCGCCTAAATTCTCCAGCTGTGACATCGATTGAGAAAGAGGAGCTTGCTTGCTGCTACATCTCAGCCTCATCAAATCACCAACCTGGAGCCAAAGTCAACACAAACACAAGGAAACTCCCATCCAATCCCAATTACGACCAGCAAGAATACTCAAGATCAGTCAAGATGGAAGGGTTGGTGGTCCTGGACCTGGACAGGGGGTGGAAGAGCTAGCTAACAGCCTCAATAGACTTTCAGCTTCAGAGCAGAGAGAGTTCCAATCTCGCATGGAACGCAAGCAGATGAAGGAATTCATGGGCGTAAGTGCACCTCTCTTTGGACGAGTCTTTGGGAAACAAGTGGCTGGTCAATGCAGGACCCCGTTGGAAGGATCCTAAGACTACAAAGCCTTCCAATCTTCTTTTGAAGCTGCAGGGACTGGTTTTTCAGAACTGCACTGGATGTCAATCTGCAAACGTCGCGATTGCCATACTGGCTTGTAAACTACTCGGTGCTCTGGTTTGTAGACTGGGTGATGGACTTGCTCGTCCCATCTCATTGTCTAAGCAGCTATAAACCAGCACAGGACAATCAAGCTAACAATCGCCTTTCCAGATGTTCTCCAACCTCGTATCACACTGTTTCGACTCTTGCGTTGACGACTTCACCACCAAATCCCTCATCCAGCGCGAGACCGGCTGTGTTACACGATGCGTACAGAAGTTCATGGCGGGCAGTGAGCGGATCGGGCAGAGATTCCAGGAACAGCAAGCACAGATGATGAGCCAACCTCCTCCGGGGGGCAGATAGATCTTCACAAGACAGGTGATGGGATGATAGGATTTGATGGAATCACTGATGGGTGTTGGAAGAGTGTACGATAGCGAACGACGCTGCTTCTTGTATGGTATGATACCTAGGGGGCGTGCATGATCGTCGCATGGGAATAAGTGTATGAGACGGATACGGCTATGATAATGGGATCAGATTCAACTCCTGAGAGGATTTTCGTTTGGCTCTTGATGTTGGAACTGTGGACTCGGCCATCAGACATTACAAAAATAGCGCAACGTACGGGTATACAAGGAGTTTACCACACTGTGAACCGTTCAAACGAAAGCACGCTTCCACGGTCGGCAAGTGCCACCCTACCTTTCATTCCTCTTGCTTTTTGACATAATTTACATTACTCAAATTTGCCCCCTCAAAACCTCTAGCTTTGTAGCCTTTTGTGCTTGATCTACAAGCCTATCATCATGCCCCTATTATTCTTTATGTTTCTGCTTCAGCATGTAGCCTCTTTTCCATCGTCTGCCGTTGAACGCATTTTCATATCTCGTATCCTTAATCCACACCGCTTCCAATAAATCAGGCCATCGGCGAGAGCGGATTGCTTCTGTTGTTCCTTTACTTACTTGCCGACTTGACACTTACTGTCTCATTTTGCAGTTTGTAGCCCAGCAAAATTCTCTCATGTACCATTCCAATATCTATGGCAACACTTAAGCCATCTGCAGGATGCAAACGCATCAACCTTTTCCCGGTCGGGACAGGTCGTTCCCATGCCAGATAATGGGCCAGAATCGGATCTACAGCCTAGACCAGACTGGCTCTATTTCAGACTGCGAGATGCAGTTGCTTGTACAGGCTTTCGCTCCAATACGGCTGGCTGTTTCTGTTCGAATTCCAGCAAATCGGAAGATAAGCAGGCTTGGGAAACGGATCTCTGTTAGTATTGCCACGTATCAACAAAGACAAAAGGTACGTCTTTCGCTCACAAAACTGCACACGGTCTCTAAACATAGCGTCTACCTGCTCCATTCGTCTACCCGAGAAGCAACCACAACAGTTTCTCTCGCTAAAAAGCTACCAAAGGAGGTTTTCTTCAGCACACTGCATGCCCCTGAGCCTCTCTCGCGCATAAGGCACGTTGAAAGTCACCCCAATCGGCAGCGAGCCCTTTGGTCCAAACCAACACTTCTGCAGTACGCAACCAACACTTTTGGGTCCGGGAAAAGCGAGCTGTATACAGGTTGAAGCAAGCACATTGATGTGCTGCCTGGTGCGGATCGCTGCATGGTAGACGCGATTGGACGACATTCCGGTAACGATCTGACTTGGTGCGCTAAAGTGTGGTTATAGTGTTTTTCAATTGGTGTATCTCCATGGTCTCTTAATATATTAGGAAGTGTTTTAAAAATGCTGTCTTCGGAGCGGAAGATAGGTGTCTCGGATAAGAGCCAAAACAGTGTTGATGGCCGAGAATTCTCAAATGTGTTGAGAGTTCTGGCGGGAGCCTTAATCAGACTCACGACCGCCGTACTTCTCGTTGCGTTTCCAGTGGGCTTCGGAAATGCGTCCTGATTCAGAAACACTGCATGTGGAGTTTTCGATGGTGTACTGATAGATAAGACATGTTTGATGGGTGTTGTGAGTGTATATAAGACGGGTGCTTTTCTCGGAATATCTCGAGGAGAACAAGCGGATTGGAAGCATAGAAGCACATTTTCAATACCCATCTCAAATACTTTGCCCAATTCCCGATCATCCCATCACGTGCGTGTTCATTGAACTTGGGTCCATTCATTCATGTTAATCGATCTCAGTCCAAGCTTTCCTTCCGAACGCACACCATGAAATCCCTCACCCAACACCTTCTCGCACTTGTGGTCCTCGCTGCTGGACTACTTGCAGCACCACTCGGTATTCGAAGTACCGAAGCTATTCCGACACAAGCACAGGAACAAGAACGAGTGAAGGGAAGGCGTGGCGAGGGTGTCGTTTCCGTGAAGGATGCAAAGAATGAGCAGGAAGAGGATTGGGTTGCGCCTGAGGGTGTCAATACTGCTTGCTTCGTGATGTGAAAAGGCATCAGCAAGCTGTTGACAAAGGCGACTGGAGACAACTGTAGAGAATTTCTGAGAGATTTCATCAAATGGACGTGGTTGTGGTTGTAGTGGGATTCAAGATTGAAGATGTTTGTACAGTGCAGTTGTATCTTTGCTGGTAATACTGCAGCCACACCAATCTCTGCTCTCGCAAGGCGTCGTCTGTGATATTTCAGATTAGAACTTAGTCTATCAAACTATTTTAAGACCTAATTATCTCCTCTAAGTGAATTATCTGCGCAGGGTATCAATGCTCGTCGCTCATGGCACATGGTTTTCATCATGGGTGCGGCGACCTCGCAGGGCAATGAGTTGCCCTCGATGTGGGGTAACGAGTAGAGAGTAAAAGGTATAAGGTGTCAGGTGTCAGGAAATCCGTAGCCTGCAGAATTATGGCCAGATTCTGGGAGATCAATAGTCCCTTCACAGTGGCGTTTCATCAATGATGGTAAGGTACGATACCAGTATGGCAATCAAGGATGGAGTTGTTCTTTGACACCTGTGACGCGAATAGCCGTTTGCATTTCGAACTAACATTTGCTTCCACTGTTTGCAGGTTTTAAATACATTAAATTAATTTACTCATATCTACTTTTATCTAGTTAAGAGCTGAGTTCGTCATTCCACAGTTGGCACGGCATACCAGCGCCATGTTTTATTTACTTTCGCTTAAACGAACGAAGGTTAGTTCTTAGCAACACTGAGTAATTGTAGCTAGACGGGCAAAGATATCATGCTCAAGATCTGAACTCCATACTTTGAATTAACAGTATCATGATCATTATACAAATGCTTCTGTTCAGCCAAGCCTACTTCAGTAATCTTCAACTGTTCCCCATTTTCTGCCGCATCCCAGCATCCTCCACAATCTCTGCAAGATCACACCCCTCATCCACCCAATACTCCTCTACAGGCCCAGCCTTTCCCCCCTCCATCGTCGAACTTCTCGGCCCATACTCCCCAAATATGACCTCCCAGTACGAATAGGACTTCTGATCCCTTTTCAAAATTTCACGAGGTTTCGACCCAAGCGGCACCCCATCCTCCTGCATATCTTTCATGGTGTCCACGGCTCCCTCTCCAAAACGTTCAGACCATCTATCTAGGTCCCACCGAGATTCTTTGTACGTAGGACTGTCTCCGTAATCGCTCTCGTAGCCGCTTGCTCGATCCACTCTAATCGAGTTCTTGGGCCATGGCTCTGGCAATGTGTCTTTATGAGCCTCAATTCTCGCACGATGTGAACCCTGTCTTGTTGGATCTCCACTGGTAATCTGTGGTTGGTACATTTTATTCGGTCTGGAGAAGCCGAAAAAGATGTCGTCTTTTGGAGGAACGGCAGGCCGATATTCATTATCGGATTCTTTGTCGTCGGACGCGAATGGATTTCTTTGTTCATATGCTTCGGGCCCGAACTTATACTCTACTGATTTCTTCTTTTCTGGTACTTTCTTGCGTATCTTCAGAGGTAGTGTGGGTGGGATGATATCGTCTTCGTACTCTGAGTCTGAGTATGTGTCTCGCGTATGATATGTAGAGTGTTGCGGTTTGGGTGGTAGAAGCCCTTGCTCGCATTCTGCGCATAGTCTGCGCATTGAAGTTGCGTTCCCATGGCCGCAGAGCTTACACATCTTGATGACTTCCTTGAACTGGACTTGAGCATCTTGTTCTCGGCCCTGGTCGAATCCGCTGAATCTGTTCCAGTCATTCCTCTCAGAGCCCTTACCTCTCGTCTTCGGCCTCGGCAAATCATGGAACTCTCTCCCACGCCCTCTATCAACCATTCCTGGTACCTCATCCCCGGTCTCAGTATTAACCCCATTCCCATTTCTGCCAGCACTCATCTCTCTTTCCCTTCCCACTCCCAAACCCACTGCTAAAGGCCCCGGCTTCCTCTCCCCCATACAAAAGAAGCTCTCATCACTATCCCTGTCGCTCTTCCTCTCAGAATCATCCACTCGCCTCGCCAGCGTGAAAGAAGGATAGGGCATATGCTCAAACGGCTCCTTAAACCTTCCTTGTATCCCCCTCCTCTTCTCATCAATTACATCAGCCGAATTGCCAATCAAGCTTACAATCCTACTACTTGCAGATTTCGTCTTCCGCGAGCGAGATGTGGGTCGTGTGGATGAGAAGCTGGTGCGTGAGGAAGGGGGTTCTGATAGCTTGAATGCCATTGCTCCTAATATGGTTGGCGCAGGAGGTTGAGACGAAATCGAGCTTGGGAGAGAGTTATGGAGATAAGGGTTATGTGTCGGTCTAGGAGGAGGACCACGGTTCCTTCCGGTGGAGACGGCGGCGCTGGCTGGTGGGATAACTCGCTCGACTTTGCCTTCCAGCATTGCCTGGCGGAGATTATAAGCTTTAACCAATTTCTCACTATTCCCTTCCGCTTCTTCTTTTGTCATTTCCATATTCAAATCCTCGTTCCTAAGTTCAGGTTTCCAGTGTAATTTCTCCTTGACCAGGTCTGAGAAGGTGTTTTTATTCTTAAGCGAGGGGAGAGAAAAGCCTTTGGATCTTGAAGACGGACTTCCCGCTGGGATTTTGAGCGGAAGATGACTCCCGCTTGAATCATTGCTCGAGAGGAAACCCTCCTCTTTCCTCGTCGTTTTGCTACTGCGGTATATCTGCCCCTGGTAGTCTGTGTTCCCAGATTTATCATCTTTAAGGGAAGATTTTCGGTTGCCAAGACGCGGGAATAGTGTTATGGGCCTTTCTTGGCTGCTGTTGGATTCTTCATGGTGTGATTGGAGTGGGGGAGAGTTGAAATTTTGTGATATTCGACGGGAGATGAAGGTGCGGACTTTCATGGAGGCAGAGCGACGCCTGGTGCTGAGGCTTGGGAGGCCGTCTCGGGATTCATCGTGGTTGGTGTTGTGGATCTTCATGGCTTCTTGCCGGGACTGAGCCAGGGTAGTAGTAGTGAAAGACATGATCGAGTGAATTGGATATAGACGAAGTATTTGGTCTGTTGTAATAGTTTGTTGTTGATTAATGACACTTATGTTATGACATGATGTGATGTGAAATGGCACATATAAGCGTGAGAAACAATGTGTTTGCCATAAGTCATTGCAAGAAGCATGATCCGCCAGGAGATCTCCAGTGCAGAGATACAGCTAGCTTTATGACTAAATTCGGTATACTTTTGGACGACCATTTCCAGTCCACGTCTTTATACGGAAATGCCAACGCCATATTTGGATAATTCTTTGTAGACCCCTTTGTCTGAAATATCGAGCCATCGCGTCTCGGGCGAGAATACTGAAAGAAAGGTATTGTATGTTCCTTACTTGGCATGTGAAGGCGAGATGGAGGCAGGGTATCTATTTTAGGGACGAGATATTTCTTTGTTGCTAGTCAAGCTGTAGAATGACGAGGGAAGGTTAGACTGAACCTGCCGTCTCTCGATTTCTCAAAGCTTGTCTCAGCGTTCCAGAAGCACTACAAACACTTCCACAACCAAGGATAACTGACCACTCTCCTTCCTAGGAGTCGCCCACTCCCGAGTCAAAACAAACTGGGCCCCTCGCCGGGACCCAAAATGTGGGGGTCCGGCAGTCCAACAACCAAAAAAGAAAAAAAAGGATGTTGGCGATAAGCGACCGGCAGCGTCAACAACGTCCGGAAACAAACACATCGCGAAAATAGAACGCAGATAATCACGACCACTTAAGCATTAACACACCCCTGATCGCCTTTCATGGACGTTTTGTTGCACGTCAGAGGATTTAGCGTTTCTAGCGCCGCGCTAATTCATGTGTGTGTGTGCTTTGTCTTCGCATATCAGTCGAGAGCCAGCTGGGCTGCGCTGCGCCGCTTGGGGTCGAAACATTGGAATTGCAACACGAGAAACAAAACGCAAGAGATAAATAAGGCAAAGAGAAAGAGAGATGGTAAGTGTGATGAGGAGGAGAAGAGGGGTAATATGCATTCTTACTAGGGTAATAGAACAACTTGGCTGGTGAAGATGGTGTTTGGGGGCGATTTACCAACAATTCGATGACCGCCTCATGCAAGGCTACGGCGTTTGCAGAATCAACCAATCAACCATGTTACCAAAATCTCAATTCCAATCAAAACACGAGCCAGCCTTACTTCTCACGATCATCATCAAGCCATCAAGACATCCTAGATCTTCACGCCCTCCTCTTCCTTATAATAGTCCGCTGTTCTCGACCTAGCCTCTTCAAGACAAGCGTCCAAAGTACCTTCTTCACTGGCACCCTCCATCCCATCTCTAGGAATCAGACGGACTTTGAAGTCTCTAGGGATTGCTACGAGTGCGCTCTTGAACTGGTTGTAGTCTACATAGTCCGTGTTCGGCGGCTCGGTCTCGCTGGCTACGATACGGTAGCTGCAGATGATACGCATGAGTGCTGTGTAGAGGAGGCGAACGGCGATGATTTGCCCACTGCAGGCTCGAGAACCGGCACCGAAGGAAAGGTGTTGGAGCCCAGTGCTGGCTTTTTCGGCGGCGGGGTCGAGGGTGCCGTCTGAGGTGAGCCAGCGCTCTGGATTGAAGGTTGCGGCGTCGGGTCCGAAATGATCGACGTCTGTGAAGTTTTATCAGTCTTTTTTTACCTCAGTTTAGTGACCTCGGCAGCTTACCATGATTTGCAGCCTGTGCATTGATCAGGATCATAGTCTTAGCCGGAATCTTCGCTCCATCCCACATCACATCGGTGACCGTCTTCCTAGGCAGCGACATTGCTGAGACAGTGTAGAATCTCGCCGCTTCAGTAATGATTGCTTTAAGGTAAGGACTCTTTTCCTCCTGGAAACTGTTCCTCCAGGCATCTCTGATATCAGGATAATGGCGCTTGATGTCTGCATAGGCCTTCTCTTGGAAGATCTGACCTGCAGGCGTTGATAGAGAGCCAATGCAAGAAGTGAGGGTTCCGGGAATAGTCTCAAATCCACCTGATACGAGTGAGAGACAGATACTGCTAACCTCTACACCTGAAAGTTTGGTTTCTTCGTCCTTCAGGATGGCAGCGGAAATGCAAGGCTTGTCCGTCCCCTTGCGAATCATTTCCCGGACCTGGTCAAGTAGAGCGTTCAAGTACTTGTCTCTTCTATCACGTAACTCCTTGCTTCGTCTGTTCTTCTCGTTGTTAGGCCAGTACCTGAGGATCGGGATGTAATCCTGGTAGTTCTCGCTTGCACTTCTCAGGAGAGAGATAGCCGAGCCAACATATAGGATCTCTCTCAACATGCTGTCGTATACATTGTCCATGCGAATGCCATAGCACAGAGTAAGAGTAGTGTTCAGAGCATATCGCTGAATGTATGGCCGAACCGAGATCTCGACACTTCCATTCTTCGAATCTCTCGCCAAGTCTCGAACAATGCAATACGACTCCAAATCGAACATATCGAAGTACTCCTTGACTTTTGCACGGCCCAGCGCCTGGCCGGCAGCCTTCCGCTTGTTCTTACAACTCTCATCCCATGGACTACTTCCGATCGTGAAGCCTTGCGTGCTGCTGATAATACCATGGAAGGTGTACAAGGTTGGACGGTCAATACAGGCTGATTGATGGCCAATAAGCATACGCTTCGCATCTTCAAAGGAGTTGAACACTACGGCACGTGTGTTTCCTAGACGTATTTGATATACGCTGGTTCGGTATTTGCGCCACCAGGATTCGCAAACTGTGGCATGATCTTCGCCCAAGGCGAGGAGATGGCCTGCGATAGGGATGGCGCCAGGGATCTCGGGAATGCCTTTGATATAGGGGATATCTGTTGAGGTGGAGAACTGGATGGTTTAGAGAGGCGGATGTATTTGAGGGGGGCAAGGGCTTACATAGTAAATCGCATAGATAACAACGACAGCAACGCCGATGAAGGCAAACTGGTTGCTGATCCCAGGGAGGAACTTGTCTTCACCAAGCATAGCTAGAGTCGGCATCGTGATACTCAACAAGATGGTCTTATCGTCGCGACAAAGCGATTGTAAAACTCTGGGTAAGGAGATCGTTCAACATTGACAATCGACTGGAATTCACAAGCGATCAACACCCAGGGAAGATAATGCAGATTACAGAGATAAGTAACGCATGTGCACAATCAATAGATCCTCACCTGAACATATAAACCTTTCCACTCTTAACAAACAGACTCAAAGTATCCCACTTCCCACTCTTCTCTTCCATCCCAAGCCTCAACGCACTCGCGCGACTTCCCTATCACACCTTCAGTCCTGTCGTTTGATACCAGACCCCGCACTAGACGGGACGAAAAGCACCAATCACCAGCTCCTGGTTCTCATCACAATGGCATCTGGACACCGACCCCTCGATCCAGATAGGGCAGGTCTATCCGGATGGCTGTCCGTCCGGCTCGGGAATGGGAATGGGAATGGGAATGAGATTAGGAGACGTCGTTGCCGGCCGAGAGTTCCGGGTCGCCAGCCGGATTCCTTGTCTGAACCTTGAATTGTTTCCAGGTTGCTTTTGCCGTTATCTGGGTGTGAGAAGTCATGTTTCTATCAGGTGACTGACACCAAGCCACGTGTGACAGGGCTCAGATGGTCTCGATTGCGGGGTGAACATGCATGGGATAACAAAGTTCCCCCACGTCCTCTCCTGTCACACCTTCTAACAAAGCCGAGTCTTTTGTTGCACGTCGCAATTTGGCAGGTGTGATGGTGAATTTTGGAGGATGCATTTCTGCCTGCAGCTTCGGATCCTCTTGGCAATATCTTTTTTGGGCCTTGACGGCGGCGCTCATCTCCTTTGATGTTTGGCATTTATTTTATTTACTCATATATAGTTTTGGCTAGTGTAATGCGATGGCCACCAGTGAGCATACATTTCTGCTAGATTTCTATTCCTTCCTTCCTTATATCAGTGTCATGAAGTTGTCGACAATTCTCCTGACCTTCTTCCCCCGGTGTCTCAATCCGAGATGCTCCTCTCCCGACTCAAGCTCACCTACTCATCGCAATCGAACCAGGTCTCCAAAAAACAATGTCCGTCAAGTCAAATCATGTCCTCCTCAACCGGATCCTACTTCTCACTCACATGCCTCTCATACTCGATCCCCGGCGCCGGCTAACCTATCTTGAATGCAGATGCAAAGAAATCGCCGCCAGCGTCTTAGGAAAGATGGGCAACAGCTGAGAGTTTATCTGATTCAAGGAGTAGGTAGTTCTTGTTATCATATGACAGTATATATACTCTTTAGACAACGGTACATCTGTATCTGATGATTCAGAGATCTAACTGTATTACTATCTCTTCTTCCATCTCTTGAGTCCGCAGTTCCACCCTGGCAGCTTCACATTTCGATTACAGCAAGTATCGGTAATCTGGGCTCATATCCTATCACGAAAATTGTCAGCATTCAAATCTTTTGGTAACGAAACGAAACTCTCGCTTCGAAGGTCTCGCTTCCCAAGCGAGACAACAATTGGAAACAGTGACGATCGGGAAGAACTTACACCCAATTCAGTCTTCTCATACTCGGTCAAACTCAAATCCGTAGGCGCCTTATCCCTCGCTCTATTCTGCGACCAAACCGCCGCCGCATAAAGACAGCAACTAAACGCGCTCAAACACAGGAATCCAAGACAAATACTATATCCCTTCTTGTATCTCGGCGCATCATCCGGCAAGAACGCATACGTTGCGATGATACCACCAATATTTCCAAAGCCAACTTGCCACGCCGTTCCCACAGCGCGTCGGTGATGCCCGCCTAGATTCATGTTGAACCAGCAGACTATGACGGGCATAGCGGAGTAAGCGCCCATGGCGACGAGGAACAGACCAGCGTATTTGACGTTCACGTTATCGTGGACGGAAATCAGGATGCTAAAGCCTGCGATAGCGATGGAGATGGGGATGAGCGTGAATGCGAAGCGGTGTTTGGTAAAATCAGAGCAGAAGGCTATGAACATTGCGAAACCAAAAGCACATGCCCAGGGAGGAACGCTATGGAGCTGTGTTTGGATGGGTGAATATCCATACGTGGAGATAATGCCTGGCGCAAAAAAGGCGTATCCGTATGCGGGCACGATCATCCCGAAGTACATGAAGCCTCCGAGGATGACTTTGAAGTCTTTGAAAACACGGCCGATGTCGCGGACGGTTATCTTTCGCTCGGCTGCTGAGCGGCCTTGGTCTGCTTGGAGACGGGCTTTGACGTAAGTGCGTTCTGAGGCGGATAGCCATTTGGCGTCTTCAGGGAAAGAGGGGATGCAGAAGAAGAAGGCCAGGGCGACGACGCATGTAAGAACACCTTCAAGGACTAGATTGGAGAAACGAGTCAGTTTATTAGTTCGGACAATTTGAGGACGCCGACACCCGAATTTCAATATCCCGCTGACGAGAAAACCGAGAAGTGATGGATACTCACTGAAAATCCATCTCCATCCTCTGTAGCCTCTCAGATGATCCATCTTGCCAATAGCAGAGGCAAGGAGACCTCCAAATGCACCAGCAAGCGTCGTACTGCTGAAGAAGAACGAGTATCGTCTCTGTGCCTCGCTTCGCTTATACCACATGCCGATCAAGTAAAAGCAACCAGGGAACATTCCTGCCTCAAAAACACCCAAGAAGAACCGACAAGCAAGTAGCCCAGCATAATTATGCACAAGACCCTGGCAGATAGCGGCGAGGCCAAACATGAACATACAGCCGCTCAACCAGATTCTCGGGCTCAATTTCTTGAGCAGGACATTAGACGGGATCTCGAACACGATGTATGGTACGAAGAAGATTGTGAGCGCCGTGTTATATTCGAGGAGTTTCAGGTCGAGATCTTGTTGCAGACCAAAGGACTTTGCATTTGCGATGTTGACTCGGTCGAGGAATGCAAGTAGGTACAGTACGCAGAGGAATGGAATCACGCGGAAATCGATCTTGCGCATGAGAGCCTTCTCGGTGGTGTGTGAAGGGCAGACGATGTTAAGATCATCGCGTTCCGTGGTTGCGCCATGAGGGATATTTGGATCGTAGAAATTGTTGGTTTCGTTTTTGAAGCCGGTTTCTGCGTCGACGGTTGAGCCATTGGGAGATACCTCCTGGCTTTCTGGGGGTTGGTGTCAGTACGAGTATTGTAGATGAAGGAAGTCTTCCAGAGGCAAGTGGGATTTCCTGAGTTGCTTACTCTTGTCACCAAAACCAAACATCTTGACTTGCCAGGCACTGGGGTCGATGGCTGATTGTCTGCCCACCTTCTTCCTCTATATGTATAGTTGATGAGTGCTAGGCAGCTCAACGTTGCATCCAAGCTGACAAAAGACGACGCGAAAGCTCACAGAGGTAAGAACAAAGTTTATGAAGTAAGAAAGTGGTGAATGGCTAGAAGACAAATGAAATAGTACTCACACACCACTGCACCTGTAATCAGACCTCCTTCATTGCTCGCAGGAAGACAAAAAAGGTTATAAAATTGGACGATCTCCACGCCGTCATCGGCTGTCTCTGTCCCACGAGCTGGTTCATGGCCCACAAACTGTCTGAATGAGGTCTAAGCTGCAGGGAGATATGCACAAGGAGCTCGAAAAGGCTCTAAGATTCGTTTAAAAAAGCTATGAGCGCGAGGCTTTTCCCCGCAAGAGGCAAAGCGAAGACGGAAGGCTGAAGCAAGCATTTGACAAGGAAGACGATGATCTATGCCGAAGTAGGTATATATAGGGGTCGATCTGGAAGAAAATATGTTGCCATTGGGTAAGCACGAATTTGAGAGTGTGGGGTTGGCAAGCCACATCGGCGTTGAGATTTCAAGAGAGCGGCCGCTGTGCCGGATGGCCTGCCGTGCCGCCACACGCCGAAGAGGTTCGGAAAAGAGACCGAGCGGCGAATAGAATAACGAGAGAGAAAAGGGTGAGAGAGAGAAGTCGTGCAGCCTCTCTGGGATGCTGGATCACGGAGCGGAGGCTGCAAGTCACAGCAAGAGTACGTGATATAGACGTATGAGCCTGGCCTACAGCCTGAGACGTGGTGGTGCTTGTGAGTTGGTCACATGCCCGCCCACAGTCAGTCATGACCACCTCAAGACGAACCGGAACTTGTAGATGTTGATGAACCCTTACATAAGGTCAGCCGGTGCAGATTTCTCCTTGCAAGTTTGTGCTTGTGAGCACTGAGCAAGCGGTTGGCAGTCTGGTGTGGCAACAATCGAGTCAAATATTCTCTGTCCCGGCCGATTATTTTTCTGTCAATATTGATACCACACTTTGAATATGAGACTAGTCTCCTCCAACCTCTGCTCTTGTCGAGCCATGGTATTGCAATGTACCCAGCCCTCAAAGTGAGAGCGGAGGGTCCGTTCCGGTTATTATGAAAGGCTGGTTTTAACATGGCGAATGCGGAGGAAAATCGCAAGTTGCAGGGCATCATAGAGAACTTTGACCGTTGGATCGTGCTCTACCCGGGGGTTAATATTGCAATAAAGCACGCATCCAAGAATGTAGCTAGATGATATGCATCCTGCCATGTCTGCTACATTCATACCCGTGCCGTTGGCCACCAATACTGCGCAAATCCCTCGCAAACGGCCTAGATGCCGGATTAGTGAGCAGCTGTCACTTCACCTTTCATGAGCCGATCACGCCGAGAAATAACGAGAAGCTGCAGATCTTTGAGTTGTAGATGGCGATAACACCTTTGAGGCCATCGTGGAAAAGCAGGTAGCAGGGCAGGAGGAGAAGTCGTCTCCAAAAGACAGAGGACGTTGGAAATTACTCGAAGTGATCGAAAGGAGCAGGTGTGCACGTCCCCATTTCTTCAATATTATACTGGTACTGTACTGTGCGGGAGAAATGGGCAGGGATTGGCCGGATCAGGTCTGTTTTTAGTTACTCGTGTAATAAAATGCCATGCCATGCCCATGCCTGGACTGCCCTGTTCTGGGACTGATTTGCTTGGTGCTTGTGGACGTGGATGTCGGATGTCTGATGTCTGATGTCTCTTCTTCGAGCTTTTCCAAGGCGCCGGTCATGACTTCCAAGGTCCCAGTGTCTTTCCATGCCGGCAAGGGTGAGGTGCGGTGGTACGGTCATTCGATTCTTTCGCACAAGTCGGTCAGGGTCAGGGTCAGGGTCAGGGTCAGGTCAGTCAATAGAAGCCAGAGCCACAAGAGTCAGCTCGACATTAGACGCTCCACGCCACACGCTCGTTCGTTTCCAGCCCGGAAGCAGAGCCAGAGCCAGAACCAGAACCAGAACCAGAACCACAACCAGACCAGACCAGGCTCAGGCTCATGCTCGGGCCAGGCCAACACCCACCACCGCACCACTGTACCGTAACCGTACTGTACTGTACGGGTCCGCACTGCAGTGCACTGCACTCACTGCACTTCACGACCCGTCTCTTCTCCTCTCCTCATCGTCAAATTCCTGCAATTCTCACAACAATCCACCAGCCTCACTCTCTTTTTCAATCCCACGATACGCCTAACACTCACGACAAGATACCCCGACCACGACCACGCACACAGAGTAGCCCAGCATCGGACTCCTCACACACACTGCTGATTCTCTCACGATCATTATTTCCAGGCGGGCAAAGGGTTTCCGATCCGACAACATTACATGAGAAGGGGGACGACCGTACGTCAAGTCCGTCCTGGGGCGGGGCGAATACGCACCACGACCACCACAATTTCTACAAACCACACTCACTCCCTATCTCTTTGACAATTATGTCCTCCGATGGCTCTGTTCTCCCTGAACAGGCCGCTTCCGACGACAGCACGCCCCTGGACCTTCGCAAGGTCTTCTCGCATCCAGCAGGTCTGCGCACAGCCCGATATATCGTCGGTCACTTCATTCAAGCCTCGCAGAGCCAGAACCTACAAACCGCCGGTGACAATTTCTCTTCGGTTTCTCCGACGCTCTTCGACTCGAGCCCTGAGGTTGCGAATCTGCTAAAAGAGATCCTGGCCTTCAGCGAGTCAGACAATACGGTAACAGGCTCTGTTGGGAATGGCGCTGCAACAAGTAGTCTGTATGGCAACAGGGGCGGCACCATGGCAGGAGGTAAGCTGTCCACAAGATGGAAAACGAATTATTCCGACGAATTACGAACTGATCCTCTCTCAGCTGCTTCGTCACTCTCTTCCCATTTCGAACGCTCTCGCCCGCAACAGTCGCTTACAATGCCCCCTTTCAATGCCCAAACATCAATAGCCAACTCCTCCGCCAACTATTACACTTCTAATAGACCAAACGCATCTTACTCTTCACACCAACGTATGCAACTGCCCCCGGTTCAGACTATGTCCGGTATGGAGGTGTCATCGTCGTCCAAGCCATCGGGCTCGTCCTTCCATGGCACAGAATCCCCTTACCATGTTGAATCTCCTTCCGGCCGCTCTTCAACGAACACACCACAGCCCATGTCTCGACAGTCCAGTGGAAGACACACGCAAATGTCGAACTTACCGAATCCAGAGAACGAGCCGCTGAGACTCGATCAGGCCGCATCCTTTGCTGCGCAATTCCAAACGAGTCAGGGGTCAAACAATTCGCAGACAAAGATGGTAAATGGGGGATACTTCACATCAGTACAAGCAATGTCATCTTCCCGAAATCAGCCATACAACAGTACTTCCTCTAATTTTCAGAGTCGACTTCCTAATAACATCAAGAACTTCCTTCCCGTCAATAAAGCACCCAACAATAATAGCAAATCGGAGCCAGTTGCAGTTGAGCGGGCAATAGCAATCGGCAATAGGCCCTCTCAAGGAGTTTCTCAAACATCTACACATATATCGACCTCCCACGCAGCTCATTCTCCTGTATTAATCAGCCCCCACCCTGGTGTCGACCACCCTCTCTTCAAAGCGCAAAGTACCAACACCGCCATGGAACCAAAAGTTGGAAAGAAGAGGAAGCCAAAGGCTGATGGTGTCCCACGGGTGAAGAGACAGAAGACGGATAAACCTGCCGGTAAGGTAAAGCGTGTGCCAAAGGAGAAGGAAGTGAAGCCTATACCAGTATGTTGTCCTTGTTAAATTGCATTTAAGATAAGCCTAACCGTCGATCTAGGCATGCCAAAAGCTGTCCGACGATCTGTGGATGCGCATTCTCGAGTTTTCCCCGCCGCATTTTCTCAAGAAGGTCCGTCTCTGGAACAGAGCTTTTAAGGAGATGGTCGATGGTTACGATTCGCTCTTTGTCAACCAACGAATGGAAAACTTTGGGGTCAACATGCCGATTGCCAAGACGATGGGACTCACTGAGAGGCAGTATACAGATCTATTGGGAGGAAAGGGATGTTTGGAACCAGGATGTACCGACAAGAAGGCTTCCAGAACGCATTGGTCTTGGGCGAAGAGATGGTGTACGAAGTGCTGGCAAAATAAGATCGAGCGTGAGGATCGGATACTCAAGGCTCGGCAGCATGATTTCCCACAGCGCCAGATTCTCACGAAGCTCCTCGAATGTATTCCTATCGGTATGCACGACTCATTTATGAAAGCCCATGATTATATTGAGAACCTGGAGGCTCGTCCAAGCACAGCGCCACGGATATATAAGTACTATATCAAGAGCGAGGTCGATAAGATTATCGAGGAGTACCAGGCTTTCAAGCTACTGCCTTTCAAAGACGATCCGAACAAGTCTGCCGCAGAGAATGCTAGCGCGAGAACCGAACATCAGCAGAAGGAGGCCGAGGCAGCGCAACAACAGTCGGATTTCTTGGATGAGAGGAAGGCGAAGAATGACGAGCATATGCAGAGAGTCCTCAAGATCGAAGGAGCTATTCGCAAGAAGCGTCAGGAAGATGCCCAGCCATACAACAAGAACAGAGAAGGTCGCAGAGAGCTGTTCCTCAAGCGTGCTTCTGAGGAAATTCCCGATATTCCTGCAACCTTCATCACCGAGACTAAAGCTTTCAAAGCTGCCACTCGTATTTTCCGAGACGCGGGGACCGAGAGAGGTTGGCAAACCTTGAAGCCGAAAATCGAGAAGGAGTGGGAGGACAGTGCTGAGAAGCGCCGACTTGAAAGAGGTGAAGGCGCTGAGAACGACGATGATATTGCCACTATCCGAGGCGATAAGTCCCAAGATACCCAGCCTTCCACCAACTTGCCCAGCAGGGAAGCCAGCCAACCTTATAATAGTCAGCAAAATCAATTGCCCGGAATTGGTCCTCAGCGATATGACCAGGTTGACATGCAAGCCTTCATGGCAGATCGGGCTAGCAGCATGATGTCGTCGAGTGGCATGTTTGGCCCTTTTTACTCAAACTACGGAGCGAACAACAGCTACGGGAGAACTGCAGGCTCTAGCCTGCACGCGAACATGTTCTCTACTGCCTCACTTGGAAACTCCTTCTTGGACGGATCAACACAATTTCAATCATCCAACATAAACCATAATACTATTCACATGCCTACGGACTTGGCGCCGTTGTATCAGAGCAACACATATATGAATTTTCCGCACTCTTCGACTAATAACAACAACTTCTACGGCACGGGATCTGCAAATACACAGCCGGGAGAACGTAAGATCACGGTCAATTCTCTACTGGCCGATCCAGCTCCTGGTGGCTATGATGCCTATCAATGATAAACCCTTTGGTTTCTGGGTACGCATAAGAGACGATCTGGTATCTTTCTCGAAGCTTTAATCCAACCATCCAGTCTGGGCAGGACATTCAAAGACGTCGGCGACTTCATTGATTTGGTCCAGCAGATTATGCTGGGAACAAACCTTTAGGCCTGGTTTAAGCCTGCCTACAGCTAGCCTCTATTGCTTTCTCTGTACACTCTCCAGCAGCAGATATATCGACTCACGCCGCAACGTCACGTATACCTGCCTGCTGTTCATATCGTTTTCTTTTTGCTTCTTACACTGGATTTAGCGTTTCCTTTTCATTTTCCTTTTCGGGGGTTGTTGAACCTTTTTGCGCATCACATCATTCATGGATTGGCGATTATCGTGGCATGCATGGCTTTGTCGTACAATACCCAGCAAGGCGTCGGAACTGGCATACATATTGGAACGGATGGAAGGGGATGGGACATGGCGTATGAACTGAAATGAAGGGGGTCAGGATTGATTCACGTTGCTTTTCTTTGCTCTTGATTAGCTGCAGGGAGGGAGGCAGGGGTTTTATTGAATGAAAGTCTGCATGCACGGACTTGTGGTAGTAGGGCACAGTTAGTGGTTGGATGGGCTGGGGGCGGGGATCGTGATTCGCTCCCATTGCTCATGTAGGATGGAGCTTGGGAGGCAGGCACAGAGGCAGTTCGGATCTGCAAATGTGACGTTGCATAGTTGAGTGATTGAGCAAGTTGAAAGGTAGATGCACAAATGAACAAACATACAAACAAACAAACAAATTTTGCCCCGCATTTGCATACAGTGACATGCCTTGCCATATCAAATTTCAGGAAAAGGCCAACGCTCTGAATGTTTGTAAATAGACCCAGAAACTGGACTGGACAACTTCCCATTGTGAGAATTTCGCTTAAGTTGTGGCGATGCGTAGGTTTTGACCTACCTACGTACATACGAGACACATGTGAGAGACAGGGCATGGACTGCAAGGCTTGCAAAACTTGTAGACTGGGGAGACATTGATTCATCCTTCTCTGAACCCTAAAATGCCGACGGAGATGGAATCATTTACTCATTCGTTCATTCATTTATTCATTCATTTACCCATTCATTCATTCATTCATCCATTTCGTCAAATAGCTAGCTAACTTACTAATGTACATACGTAGCAGTAAACAGCTGTCTAACAACGATGTCTCCCAGGACCGTTCCTCTCATCCTTTCCAAACCAATGGAAGCCATCCTGAGCTGCCTATTACCCCACTCTATCCTCAGATAATCAATCTAGGCCATGCAACCCCTTTCCCCTTTCCGACCATGAAGTTGTTCGCTCTTTTATTCACCGTCCTCAATGTCCACCTGTCCATCCACCCACCCAAATCAAGATACGAGAATGAGAAGACGGAGCAAATGACAAGACCGGCAAGAAAAGAAGAATAAAAGTAAAGGCAACAGGGTATACACAAACGTAAACGTGAACGCATGCAAGCCCTTGCGCCTCGCCTCGCCAAACGCAATTCCCAACCAAGTAAACAAGCCGAACGTGACTGAACCAAGCAAGCAAGTATCATCGCATCTCATCTGCAAAATATGCACATGTGCGTCCATTCATTCATGAAGTACCTAAATAGATAGGCTTAAAGCTCGCTAAAAATGGCAAAGCTCTGAGCATCGCCAATGATTCAAATCCTGCCTCGTTCGACACTCGCTCACTCGCTCGCTGCAAAAAAAAAAAAAAAAAAACAGTAGCAGGCTATGCCATGCCATGCCATGCCATGCCATGCCATACTAAACAAAGTCCTGTCTGTTCCCCGATCCTGAGCCTGAGACTAAGCCTAATCCAACCAATCCCACGCCCCGAACGCCAGTATCCATTCCGGAAAAAGAGAAAGCAAAAAAAAAAGGCTCAGTAGAAAAAACATACAATCCAAAGGTTTCCATTTGGAAAGAAGCAGAAAACGAGAAGAAAACGAAGAAAGGAGTGTAGAACTTCGATATTGGATTTTGCTCCCGGATCTAAAAACAGTAGACAGTAGAAGGTAGGTCGCAGGGTAGTCCGTTGGCAAATTGGTAACGTAATCATTCGTATCGAACGCCGATGCTGATAATAGTTTATGTATGCGTCTTAAAGCCGGAGGAGCTGGTATCCTGTCCAGTGTCCTGGCAGCTTGGCAAGTTAGGGAGAGAGACTTGCTGCTCTCGTATTGAAGGACCTAAAGCCGTGAACGTAGTATATTCAGGGCGGTGGCGTGTTAGCCACTGTCGGGGTGGTTCCACCACTATGGGTGATACTCGCTGGCCGGGGCGAGGAGGGAGGGAGAGAGCTGTGCTTGGCGATCAATTGCATCTTCTTTCTCAGGGTCGACAGACGGGAGCGGATCATTTGGACCACTATAAATTGTTAGATTTCATACGAGATTATCCAGCGAAAAGAAATACGAATAGATGGGATAATATGTGAAGAAATTGAAGATATACCTTTCAACACTGCCTGTCTATCTTCAATATTGATGCCATTCACTGTACCATCTTCTTCCTTCTTCTCCCTTGCCTCTCGAAGACTTGAAGCTCGCTTGCGTTGTGGGGGCTGAACTTCGTCGTCGTTCTCCAGAACTGCTTCAAGCATTCTAATTGCGGTCATGTATGAGATTTCACAGCCTGTGAGGTCCTCATTGGCAATTTCATTGATGGCTGCTGAGCGGCTCATCTCCAAAGCTCTGTCGTACATCAGCTTCTCGGCTGTGATTCCGGAGCTCAGATGCACTCCATCCGTGGAGGAAGTGCCACCTAGCCTAGAAGCCGTCGCATGGTTACTTGGATGGCCTGGGTGATCATCAGGCAGTTTTTTCTGAGCATCAATAAGCTTCAGTCGAACGACTTCTGCCTTCTCTAGTACTTCGTTGAAGCGATTGCGGACCCATTGTACCGCGCTGTTAATTCTGTTGCCTGCTGCAGCATTGCTAGCCGAGGAGTGTGTTCCAGTAATGGCATCATTGCGAAGTTTGCGAGACCACCAGGCACCAGCAATATCCATAGATTTGGCGAGCAGCGATAATGCTTTGACATAGAGAACAAGGGCCTCTTCAGACAGAGCCACTACTGCTTCCACAGTCAATCCATCGTCCTCGTCCACGTCACCTGGTTTCTCCATTGCCGCACCGCCTAGTCCGTGATCCATAGAGGGTGCCATTGGGATGAGTTGCTTGTACTTGACTTCGGCAAAACCATACACAACATCGCTCCTAGTAGCCGACTCCTCGATCACATTGACGGCTTTCTGATCCTCGTCAATTGGACCCGTTGATTTGCCATCTCCGATCAAGCCAACTGCTCCCTGGGTTGTTGGATACACAGGAAATGGTGTGTACATCTGAGGCGGGGAGACGCCTTTCCCGATAAGATGTGGACTCCATCCAACGCCAAAGACCCTCACACTTGCTCCATGGAGCGCTTTGGCAATGGCTGAGGTTGTTCCTGAAGGACTTCCATAGGATCTTCCGAACGAGTTCTGTCGTTGGGGCACAACTTCTGGTCGGGTCCGTCCTTGAGCGATTTGTACAGCACGTGAAGGAGAAGATGGTACTGCGCCTGTGGCAGAGGTCGGGTTGCCTTGGGTTGTAGCTCTTCTTGTGATAGGTCCTACTCGAGAGGGCAGTGATGATTGCTTAATTTGTAGCCTAGGATTTGCTGCCATTTCGTCCGCGAATGCATTGACTTCAACAGCTCGCTTCTCAACGAGTACATATTCACGTTCATCTTTCACTGCCTGCTCTGCCGCAGCGATTGCTGCTCTCGTTTGAGAGTCCTCAAGGGGCTTCTTTTCGTTTGATGGCCCATCGTCAATAGAAGTTTGTCGAGATGAAATCCGTTTCTGTTCCCTCGCTGTCGAGTTAAAGGTTCGAGATGGAGGTCGGCCGCTCTGGATAGTTTCCGCATTTGGAGCTGTTGCTGACGGCTGGATGGACGGTCTTTTTTGCTCACGAGTCGTTGGTAACGACTGTGGTGCTTGTCTTGGAGGAGTGCCGGCTAGTTGTCTCACAGGGTCTACCACTTGAGTCCTCGGTGATGGCGGTGCATGCCGTTCTCTTGGTGAAGATGAAAATACTGGTGTTTCGCTTCTTACGGGCTGCTTTCTATCACTTCTTGTCGACGGAGTCCTTGTCATTGCAGTCTCTGTCGGTATTGATGATGAAACTCGCACCTCCTTTGGGCGATCATCACCAACAAGATTCGGAATCTCATCCACAACCACGGGATGCTTGAAGAAATTCTCGAAAGACAACCTAGCGGCAGGCGTTCGTTTTAGGAGGGCCTTGATGATCTCCTTCATCGGTGGACTAATAATACCATCCTTGGGAAATCTGATGTGGTCTTCGCCCTGCTCGATTTTTCGTAATAATTCCACGTGGTTGGTAGCACGGAATGGAGGTCTGCCAGTCATCATTTCGAACAACACTGTACCTACTGACCACAAATCCGCCTCAGGACCATATTTCTCGTAACGTAGGATTTCCGGCGCCATGTAGAGTGGAGACCCGCATAATGTCTCAGCCAACGACGTCGACGGTAGTGATCGGGCAAATCCGAAGTCCGCAATCTTTAGCATAGGCAGAGATGTGAGTCCAACCATAGGAATCATTGTCTCGCCGCTTGCACTCATGACCAGAGGGCTGTCCTTCGACTTTGCCAAATACTGTGGTGACGGAAGGAGAAGTAAGTTTTGTGGCTTGACATCCCGATGTATGAAATTTCGATCCCTCAAGAACTGCATGGCACTTGCAAGCTGCTTCAGAAAATGTCTGACGATGACCTCATTAAGGCCGCCAGCAGCTGGCATAGGGTATTTCCTGACCATGTCTCGCAGTGCTGGGTTGTCGGCGAGTTTATCTCTCTTCTTGATAAAGTACGAAAGATCTCCCAAAGCACAGTATTCCATTACCAAATGTATATGTGATACCGATTCTCTGCAATCTATCAGGGAGACGATGTGCGGGTGATGGAGGCCCTTGAGGATTTCGATTTCGCAGTAGAGATTATCCTTGAGCTTCTTGTTAAGCTTCGATAGATTAACAGATTTGATAGCTACGAGAGCTCCAGACGCCTTGGGAAGATATGTTAGCACCACAGATAGACTAAAATCAGATGACCTCAAAGGGAGCTCTTCGGTAAGGGGTTTGCAGCGGCACCAGGGCAAAGACGCCCGGCATTACAGCTATAACCATCATACCTTGTGTGTTCCCCTGTAAACGGTGGCAAAGCTTCCTTTGCCTATCTCGTCCTCAATGCTGAAAGATCCCACCACTTTGTCACCCGTCCTCGACCGTCTGGATGACGACGAGGACGGGGGCGGTTGTGCCGCCATATCGGCGAGTTCGAGCTCTGTCTAACAGAGATGCTCGAATCTCTTCGAACAGAGGTATCAAGTGCTACCAGGTGAGCTGAGGGAGGAGGTTTGTTGTGAGTTCGTTCTGCATATATACAGTATGGGTATCGCTGAGAAGAATCGAAGGTTCGTAGAGCTGTGTCGTTGGAGGAGGTAGGTCGGTATCGGTACAAGAAGCGAGAGGCAACAGGCAGAGCTGCTGAGAAGATGCCTGTTGGATGCAGAGCAGAGGAGCCTGGATTCGTGGCTGGCAGGTTAGGGTTCCCGGGGATGTAGCGGCTCGATGCTTTGTACACAACAAGGTTGCAGAAATGAGCAGGCAGGGCCGGGCGAGGCTGTAGGTGGTGGTGATGGAGAGGTGCAGTGCAGTGCAGTGCAGTGCAGGTTGCAGGTGTATGCGCAGGTGTGGATGCAGCGCTTAGTGACTGGAAATAGCAGAAGTACCGAGTTGCAAATGAATGGCTCGATACCGCGATGGATTGGGGATGGGGCAGAGAAATACCGTGCAGAAATGTGTGGCCGGTGGAGCGTGGCGAGAGTTACAGCTGGAAGATGGTGATAGAGTGAGAGAGGAGACGGAGGAGAGCAAGAGATGATGAGATAGATGGCTGTGGTTGTTGTTGGGGGAATGACTCTTGAGATCACGCTCGCTCATCCTAGCATCCCGTCACATCGTATCGTATCGTATCGTATCGCCCTTCGGGCTGGTAAGCGACCGATAAGCGTTATCGGTCGGTAAATAGACTGGGGATGGGGATGGGACTTTGTCTTAGACGGCTTGGCTGGTCCGGTGAGCTTAGCTGGACTTCGACTGCTCGACAGAGCTGATTACTTATTTACTCAGAAGAATCTAGCATCAGCGAGATGGCAATGTACTGTAACTTACTTAGTAGATTGTGAGAACATGCGAGCCCTTCCCCAAGTAAGATGGCTGGGCCGTCGGCGTCTTTGTCTTTGTCTTTGTCTAGTCTTCGGTGACTGACTGGGATTCGACTGACTGATCATGTCATGTCTCGAGTCGTGCCCACACCCGGACGAATCTTGATAGCCATCGCCACTATTACTAATTGCACGCCTCAAATGCCGCCATATCAAGCCAGCGAGCACCATCAGGTCATTGTACAGACATAGCGCGTCTCGGACCTAACTTCTCTCTTCCCTTCCAGTTCAGACTTTAACTGCAAGGCCAAACCCCAATCTGAGTCCTTCCAATTTCCAGCTTCTGCCACCATCACACACATCTTCACTCTCATGTCTTGGCTGCTGGTCCAGGAGCTCGTTTCGTTCCCTATCACGAAAAACGCCCTCGCGGCATTGGTCCCGGATCAATCACAAGCAGCCTTCACCCCATCTAAATATGCTCATCCAATTAGCATTCGCGGCACCCAGCAGCTCTCATGCACAATATCTTTAAGGGTGCAGACCTCACAACCATATGTACCCCCTGATCCAGTTCAAACGTTACACTTGGCTGGCTCAATGGCTGTACGTGGCAGATCTTCAAGCCTACTCATCGGCCAACAGACGGCGGCCAGGAAGTGCTGCATGCATATTTACTTTTAATCGGGGACCCAACCAGCCTTCTGAGTTGCACGAAGTCCAGAGGTCGTCCATGTCCAACATGTCACGAGATCTCGAACTCACACCTGATCTGCATAACTCCACAAGCTTCCTAACTTTGACATAAACATAAAAAAAAAGCTTTCGATTGTGTTCCAACACTCAGACGAACGTCCGTTCCCAAAACAGTGGTCCCGATCGATCAAAATGTTACCCACCCAGAATTTCCACCGCCAAAAACAGGTCTCCCCTGATACTTCCAAACGTCATGCGGACCTTCCAGAAATGTCGATCGATCAGGCACAGGAACATGTCTTATGATTGAATTCCAACCCACTATTATGCTTTCTTGCTCCGGCCGGGTGTTCTGCTCCGGGATATGCCAGGAACTGAGTCGTGAGGTGCGTGTGTCACGTGGGATACTTCACCGACTTTACGCCAGGTTGAGTTACCTTGACGGTTTCCTGGGGAGGGGAAGACTAGTTGATCTCCAATAGTTCCTTCGCCTAGAAATGCAGTGGCTGCCCTTAGATGGCTACGCTTGTGTTCATGCCCCCCAAAATAAGTCGTTCGGGTCATGGTCATAATATTCGAAACGGTCCAAATGCAGTAAATTGCCCATGGTAAGATCTGTCCGCCAATTGATTGAGTGAAATGCTCTACAAAAGGTGCGAATTCGATCGAAGTGCGGCTACAAATGCTGTCTGTCAATCTGATCATAACTGGGTGCATTAGCTTGAAATTGTCACGTATTCTCAGCACTTTCCACATCAGAAACTGCTAACCAAACATCACCTATCTTGAGTCAACACTCAAAGAGAATCGTATATTGTCAGGAAGTCTTCCCAATTTTTTGTTCCACCAATGTACCGTTTTCTTTTGCTGAAAATTCACTAACCTTCTTTCATCGCCCCCTTTGTCACGGGAGACGATACTAATGGCTTCCAATGGCATGAATAACCCAAACAACTGAAAAGAGGGAGGAGCTGAAACAATGCAGCTCTATCTGAATAGAATTCATAGATGGGCTAGTGTTATCCAGTCCATCAGGAGCAGCTATATAATGTCAACAGAAAGTGACAATATAAGCTCAAGGTAAGTCGCAGCTAAGCGAGAATCAAGAGCGAAGCAGATTTAACCTCTCTTTACCGCGTAAGAAGCAGTTTAGTTATATAGTGAAACACTTTGATTGGCCATTAGTTCTTCAGCGAAGGTATTCAATTTAATTGTACGTCGCACTGCTTTTAGTGCATGGGCGTTGTGACATCAGCCACCAGTGAGGATATACTTTTACGCGAGGATCCGGAGGCAGATTGTTTTGTTGCACATCGCACCTCTGTCCCGAGCGTGGCGGTCGCAAGGAGATTGAGATTGCATGGATCCTCCACAGCACCCAAACGATATCCATATCAGCATCACAACTTGGCACAATAGAAAGCTACAACACCTCGGTGACTCAGACACACTGTCGCAACGCTTTTGAAACCTCAGATCACTGCTTGAGTATTTCACGTGTTCGCTCACCGGTTTTTGTCCTCAAACCCTTTCTCTCAGGTCTCGTCATTCTTGCTTTCTCCCCCTAACCATTCAATCTTCGCACTCTCAGCAAGCCACGCTACCAGAGTACCGCGCGGTACGATCTCCAAACTCACACAACCATCATCATCAATAACCATGCCTGCCACTCAAGCATTGAACCACGATCGCAGCAATGACAACGTACCTTCCGCCCCTCCATCCCCATCAACCGATCCCTGGTACATGCGTCTCAGCTGCAGACTCTCCCCGCCAGACTCAACCTTCTTCACAAACACCAAGATGCTTTTCATAAACGTCACGACCTCCACTCTGGTTTGTGGCTTCTAAATCGCGCTCAAACACTTCTACGTTGTTGGATCCTGTCTTAATGTAGTCCTCTAGGTCTGCTCCCTTGACAAACTCGACCTCAAGACCTGGGTCGCTAAGCTCCTCAAATCAATATCGAGAAAGATAATCACATTAGAGTTCAGCTTTCTGCATGATTTACCAGACACTTAGGACATAGGACTACATTGGCGCAGATGTGGGCGGTTAATGCGTTGTGCTGGTTGTTGTTTTGGCAATTCCTATTTTCCGGGGATCGTTCACACATTTGTCGTCTGGTGGCTGCGGAGGCCTCAGTCTTGCTTCTATGACGATGTACCTCTGGGACTAGCCGGGGCATTTGCTCCGGATTATTTGCGAATTATTCCTAATAAATAATTTTATTCAGATTTTCGTTCTGTATATGTGCCAGTTCGGAGTCTAAGCAAGGCCCTGGCTTGTTTACTTCTAGAGTTTTGAAGATGTACTCAGCCAATGAAATGATCTCTATCATCCAATCGATCGCAGACAACTACGATCAGAATGATTCTGTTGCTCAGCCAAGATTACGAGCTATAATAATAACACTCATGCGAAAACGTAGATGTGCTGTATTAGACCTGGAAGCCTGTTAGATGTGGTTAAGGATTACATAAGCGCAAGCGAAGTGCCGCTAAGCAACCCCGTTCACACTTGGTCCAATGAAACATACATCTTTCCACATGCATCACTTGAAGACTCAATAATCAAGCTGTGCAGTTCACTCCCCTTTTGAACCGTTTTGAGCTCACCTCGATGGCCGGAAAACCCAGATGAGTTCAAGTATCAAACTGAACGACGGGCAGAAGAGGATGCCAGATGCCAAGATTGAAAATCTGCCCCCGAAAGACAATGGCCTCCATCATCTGGTCAACGAGCAGTCTGCCAAGGACGCATGGATATTGCTTCTTGTATTCCGGTGCATAAATGCTCTTGCAGTGCGAACTTTCTTTCAGCCAGACGAATATTTCCAGTCTCTGGAGCCAGCATGGCAGATGGCGTTTGGTCCTCAAAGCGGTGCTTGGATCACGTGGGCAAGTCTCGATTTCACCCTGCTCTACTCCCATATATTTCTAACAAGCAATTAGGAATGGCATCACCAGCTGCGGTCATCACTACACCCAGCTTTATTCGCCATCGTGTATTATGCAGCCGATAAGGTAATGACATTCATGGCTCTCTTCCCTCAGTTCCGAGCCATGATTCTAGCCGTGCTTCCGAATCTGGTGCAAGCCTATATTGCAGCTGTTGGAGACTACTACACGTGGCAATTGGCGGAAAGGATCTACGGAACTGGTACCAAAGTTTCAAGTGCCGTGGTACGAATTAACCTTCGCTCCTTTTCTCGCCACTCGCTGATTGGACCTAGTTTTGGATGACACTCTTCAGTCCCTGGCAGTGGTTTTGCTCGACAAGGACCTTTTCAAATTGTCTTGAGACTACACTAACGATTTCGGCTTTATATTTTTGGCCTTGGGCAATGTCCACTGGGTGTATTCTTGGAAGAGGAAGTGATGTGTCGCAGATTGAAGATGAGGATGCTAAGCCAAACTCTGCAACGAGCTCTGGTATTTTCCAAACACCTAGATCAGTTAAGCAGTACAGATCATTCCTCTTCCCACATTTCCCTCAGACTAACGCTAACAATAAAAAGCCTCCGCATTTCTCTTCTCCTGGCCGGTATTGCCTGTATTCTTCGCCCAACGAATGGCCTCATCTGGTTCAGCATCCTCATGCCAACTGTGACGAACTTCTTCGGAACCAAATCTCAAGCCTCTGTATCTGACTACGTCATTCTTCTCCGTGAAGGTATCATCTGTGGCTCGATCGCCCTTTTACTCTCTGTAGCCTCTGATCGTCTGTATTTCGGTGAATGGACATTTCCACCATATCAGTGGTTGCATTTCAACATCAGCCAGGATCTAGCAGTATTCTATGGGCGAAATGATTGGCACTACTATATTTCCCAAGGTCTACCACTTCTTCTGACCACATATGTTCCATTTACCTTGGTTGCGTTGTATCAGGCTAGTCTACTCTCATCATCGAACATTCGATTTTTATTTACGACTACAATATTCCTCACACTCGGGACCCTCTCCTTGATTTCTCACAAAGAAGTTCGCTTTATCTACCCACTTCTTCCACTCCTCCATATTCTTACAGCGCCTACAATTTCGGCTTTCTTCGAGCCTGAAGCAGCCGCGACGTCGAAGGCCAAGACAGGATCACAACCAGTCCTGGTGGCATCGACTTCCACTGTCCGCCGGAAGTCACTTTGCACTATTATTTTCCTCAACATTTTGATAGCAGGCTACACATCCTTCTTTCATCAAACCGGTGTGCTCTCGGTAACGAAATTCCTCCGCGAAGAATACGAGACGCTTGCTCTTGACGGTCGAGGTCGACTCCTGTCAGATCCAGATGCAGGAATCGACGACGAATACAAGAAATCAACAACATACACTAACGACGAGACTTTCGCTGGCTTCCTCATGCCCTGTCATTCAACACCATGGCGCTCAGCCCTGATCCATCCCGGCCTGAAAGCTTGGGCTCTTGGATGCGAACCACCTATCCACCTCGCTCCTCATACGCCTGAGAGGGAGAATTATCGCGATGAAGCAGATCGATTCTACGACGACTCGTTGAAGTTTCTCAAGGAGGAGATAAACACGAAGGATAGACCTTGGCCGAGATACATCGTTGGGTTCGAGGGCATCGAGAAGGATTTAAAGACCTTTTATGAGGGAGAGATGAAGGGGTTCATGGTTAAAGAGAGGTGGAGGACGAGGAACAGTCATTGGCATGATGATTGGAGGCGAACTGGCGATGTAGTGGTGTGGGAATTTGTCGACGGCAGTACACAGAAGTGAAGGGCATCGCATTTGGAGGTGCACAATGGCCTTCACAGACTCAACATAATTCCTACATCATCTTAATAGTCAGGCCCTGCTGGATATCTAACCGACTTCCTTGTATCAGCCAGTTATGAGGTCTACCTTTGACAGGAATTCTGGCGTGCGGAGGGGAACCATGGAGACTCGCTTGTGATCTCTTCAGACTCCTGCAACCATTCAGGATATTCAAAACAATAATGCTTCTGGCCTGAGTTTTCATTGTTTCGTAAGTGACCGGTCCCGCGCGAAGATGATATGTCTTTAGATTTTTCAATCTGTAATACTTCTGTATATCCCCCATCTTTAAAACTTACATCTGGATCGCTTATTTCTTTAAACCAATCCACATGCACTCGCAATAATCCATCCACAAGAATGAACCCCACCACGTCTCCACCACCGTCATATCCTGGTGGTCTCAAGAGACCTTCCCATGCCCGGCCAGCTCCTCCCGATCCTGAGGCACAATCACTCGCTCTTGCAATGAGAGAAGTTGTAAGTGCCGCAGTAGAAATATTGGTTACGATCTACAATGTAGGGGGAGATCCGGCTGGAGAGCGTGAGGATGCGATCATGTTCGAGAATCAGGGCTTGTCGCAGGAACAAATCAACCGAATCATACAATCCGACCAAATTTTGTTCGAGCTGAGGTCAAGGGGTGTTACGAGGAGGAAATGAAGTAGAATTTGAGGTGTATGAAGGATGCATTTTCGGAAGGGGAGCCGGCCTTAGCTGGAGGTCAAGAAATGTGTCTGTCAGGCTTAGCTATTCGGCATGTAGCTGGACTTTGTATGCACAGAATTTCCTACTCGTACAGCATCCAATGAGATGTATCTTGATTGGGGGCCCTGTTTTGTGGATCCCTTGATGTTTCCATCTGAGCCCTCGATCTTTAAGCGAGCGATGCCCCTGAATCGAACTACCAAATGTTGACACTCAATATGAGACTATTCAGAGAGGGAACCCTCTGATTCCCGTACGCCTACGAGATGAGGATCTCACGGAGCGTCGGGCAGAAATGTCCCGGTATGAACACGACAGGCTCGCTGTAAGTGGCCAGAATACAATCTGACCAGTTCATGGTATTCTTAGACGAGCCAGATAGCAGCGGTATTTTTAAAATTCGAGTATAAATTGAGCAAACGCCAACGATGATTAAAGAAGTCTTATAAAATGCCTGGGGATTTGTTGTTCAACTCGTCCTTCTCATATTAGCCAGAATCACTTGTACTTATCTACGACTTTGACGGCTCAGAACACTTCTCTTAGCAGATCTCCGGTTAGTGTTGATTGGGATCACAGTCGTGTTGGAATGTCGGTGGGCGACAACTTCAGGTGCGGGTTACAATAGGGCGGGGTACAACATAAGCACTACACAACAAACACGACAGGCTCGCTGTGAGTCGCCAGAGTACCTTGTTCATCATAATCGCGTTAGAGTAGCGCCAGATTTGATATGTGTCAGGGAAAGTTGCATTAGCGGAGTACAACGTAGCCACTACACAGCACTTTGCCCTCTCGAATAATGAGGGGTATATTTTGAGAAAGCGGTTAGTCAAAACAACCTTTAGTTCCTTCTATCCGGCTTCTTGCATTTATAAAACAACTACCCACCCGTCCCCTCATTTGTATTCCAATGCAAGAAAATAATTGAATCAACGGACTTCCTTTAAAACCGCCTCACGATACCTTGAACAGTTACCTTCCAGTTGTAAACAATGCCACGCTCAGATGTTGAATTCAAAACCGCTGACGGAGTTACTCTCCGCGGCTGGCTTTACACACCAACAACCGAAACTAAGGACCGTCTTCCATGTCTGGTCATGTCACATGGCTTCACTGCACTCAAGGAGATGGATCTCGACACCTTCGCAGAACGCTTCACATCTCATCTTCCACTAACTTGTCTCGTGTACGACAACCGAGGATTTGGTGACAGCGATCACAAGCCTGGAAGCCCACGCCAAGAAATTATCCCCTCAATTCAGACAAGTGACATCTCAGATGCTATAACTTACGCACAGTCGCGAGACGAAGTTGACCCAAGCAAAATTGGGATTTGGGGTAGCTCTTACAGCGGCGGTCATGTTCTCTGGGTTGGAGCTGTTGACAGACGTGTCAAAGCAGTTCTCTGTCAAGTGCCTATGGTAGACGGATGGGCGAACTTCCATCGCTTGATTCGTCCAGATTATATTGGAGGATTGAATGCGATGTTCCAGGCCGGTTTGTGGAATATTCTTCCCACTTAATAAATTATGCTGATACTAGTCAACTCCAGATCGTCAAGCACGAGCAACTGGCAAAGACGCTGGCGTGCTTCCGGTGGTTGATGCAGACCCCTCGAAGCCGTCAGCGCTACCAACCCCTGACGCCCATATCTTCATGACTGAGTGGGGGAAGAAGAGCAACTGGAAGAACGAAGTCACTGTGAAAACGTAAGCTGGGGCATCCTCTTCTAATCATATCAACGCGCGCTTACTAAATCGTTTCTTTTTGGCTTAGTATGGAAGCTCTTCGAGAGTACAATCCCTCAGCCCATGTCCACCACATCAGTCCCACGCCTTTGCTCATGACTGTTGCGGAAAATGACGTACTCACGCCGACAGACCTCGCCCTTGAGGCTTACTCGAGAGCTCTGGAGCCGAAAGAGCTGCATATCTTGCCCGGTGGCCATTTCGATGGGTATTCTGGTCCAAATTTTGAACGCAATGCCGGAAGGCAGGTTGAGTTCTTGAAGAAGACTTTGTGTAAGTAACAACCAGTCAATGAGAGGGGTACAGGACTAGCAGGGCATAAGAAGAAAACTTCGCGGACTCTGGAAACAATAACGCGGTCCCCATGACAACTCGTGGACGAACATCTTGCTGGAACAGCCGTGCTCTTGTTGGGTGCGATTTGAATGTATACTGCTTATACTGCTGTCCGTATGAAAAGAAGCACCAATCATATCTCATTTCAAAGTAGCTATTCAGCCAAAGGCTGAGATTGCAGATGTTTGATTTTCACCAACATGCCACTCGGCAAATGTCCACTAATTGCCATCAGCCTAAGCGAGGTCGATAGAAAGCAATCGCCTTTTCCAACACCCCATCTGCCATTGGTCGTGCCAAGAAAACGGTAGTTGAAAGCTTAGTGTCTCTATATTATGCAGTCAAACATGAGCTGGAAGCTCATTCGATCTGAACTTCGATTCAGTACTGATCCACTTCATCCCGTTATGCTGGGAACAAGAGGGGTGGCTCCCCCTGCCATTATCATTTTGCCGTCATCCATTGAGTGTTCTTCCCCGGTGTAAGAGCTCTGGAGTCAGTTGATAACTCTTGTGAGTCTAGGGTCGTGTCTGAACAACTATAGTATATTTGACCCCGCGTCATCTCGACTAAGGGATTGGCCGAGGCTAAGCACCAGAAATAGGCAATGTTATCGAGAATGTTCACAACGATTGTCCGGATCTTGAAATGATATAAGAGATCATGGAGTCTTCCAACTAGGAGAATTGGGTCCCTCTTCCCCTCTCGCAAATCTCCAGCCGCAGTTTATTCCAGTACTTGGATATCAGAATCGGTCACTTGATCTCATCAACTCCCTGATCTTCTCCATTCAGAATGATGCGAGTTCTCGTCAGTACTTTGGCCATTCTTGCAACGGCTGTCCAGGCCCAACAGACAGTATCATGGACTGAAGCTACCAGCGGTGTAGTCTACAACATAGCCATTCCAGCGGTGGATGCCGCGCCTTTCGATGTATACCTCTCCATTACCGCTCCGGCAAACATCACCTGGGCAGCCATCGCCTTTGGCGGATGCATGCTCAGAAGTCCATTGGTCATTGCTTGGAAAAACAGCACCAACGTCGTAGCTGCGCCTCGTTGGGCAACGTGAGTCATTATCATGCCGCGTCAAAGCAAATCTTAATGACTTCGAAACAGGGAGTACCACCCTCCAGTGTTGTACAACGGCACTTCGGTCGTCGTCTCCAAGACATCGTCCGTCAATGCCACGCATTGGACTGCGAATATTCTTGTCAATGGAGGAAGCTCGTGGTATGGAGGAACTGTCAAATCATCTGGCAGTGCAACTTTCGGCTGGGGCGTGAGCAGCCGTCCGCTTGGCAACCCGGCCAGCGTTGACAGCAGCATTGGATTTCATAATGTTGGCAAGGGTCACTTCGAGATCGATATCACGGCTGCGAGAAATGATCCAAGTGATTTTGAGATTATTAAGTCAAAGTGGTGAGATAGAGTGGGCTGACAGATTGGACGCACTGGTTGTTCGACACGGCGGCTACAGAAAGTAAACACAGAGAAATGAAGCGAGTATTGGTTCTACCTTGTCCCAGATCTTGAAATAGTAAATTGTATAGTTCCAGTCGTCCAGGTATCCACCCAATGTCAATCTTGGTTGCCAGCAGTCATTCTTGCACAATGTTGGAATGCCCTTACTTCTTCCACACCTCACTCGCCTCATCGTGATAGTCCTTCACCAGGCTGGCGTCAATGAGTCTTTTCTCCACGTTCATTCCCTCAGGGAAATTGCCGATCTCAAATTCCCACATCTCATCAAGCCTCTCCCTCTTTTCGTTGAATTTGATCCATTTCCACCCCTTTCTCGCACCGTCCCTTCCTTCTCCGTGTAGTTCTTCCTTCCTTTCCCATCCCTGGAGGGCTGCTGGTATATACGGTTCAAGACCGTGACTCAACTGTGCCTGCTGGCGATAATGCACACTGGGATGAATTCGCTCAACAGTATACCACTGCTCCTCTACTGCGATCTGCTTCCCAGTCTTATTGTAAAAGTTCGGCTCCCGTTCCTTCGGGAAAGCCATCAGCCAGTACAAAGGTGTGTGACTGTCATCAATCTCTCCAAGTCCGTACCCAGCTGGCAACACTTTGTTCGTAGTGTCCGAAATGATGTTTTTGACGATTCTAGGCGCATTCCAGATCGACCAACTTTCTTCAGACGGCGTATCTGCTTCTGCCATCCTCTTGAATTCGGCAATTTGGAAGGAGAGGGCGGATTCGGATAGTGCCAGATGAGGGCGGATTCGGTCAAGCATCCAAGCATAGCTAACCGAGGCAAGTTGTTCTCTGTCGCCTTTTGGGTTCTTGCCCGCGTTCGCTGAGCTACCTCCACCGACATTGATGTGTGCGCCTGGGAACCAGCACTGGCAAAGAGCCGTTTTGGGTCTTTGTCGAGGTCCTCGTGGGTCACCCTTGGGATCTATAAGTGGTGGTGGTCTAAGTTTCCAGATAGCAGGGGCAAAGGATTCTCGGCGCTCGTCGAGAGCTAGGGCTTGGTAGGCGTGTAGAATGTCTGGAGACTTAGTCAGATGGAACTTGGCTCATTTGGAAACAGATGGGAGTTCGGATTATCAAAGACTCCATTGTAAGAACCATCCTGGCATCTTGAGAATGAGGAGCCGCATGCTGGTCTCGTCCAATAGGTTAAGTTAAGGAGAAGGATTTGAGCATCGAAACGGGGCCAGATGAATATGAGAAGACTTACTGTCGTTCAACGACGTGTCGTAGAATTGATATGCTTTCTTATCTGCCTTGTACCACTTGAACCAATGCCCTAGATCAGGAATACCTAGAGCTCCAACTGTGTCCCAAACACCAATCACTTGGACTTTGATATCGGCTGGAGGGGCAATAACGTGTCCTCCTTGATCGCTGAACTTCTTCCATGGAGGGTATTCGGTGAAGGCTTCCTCGACGCCATCTTTCCTGTGGATATAGTCGTTATAGTTTGAGATGAAAACGGGCATCGCTGCAGGTTTCAAAACACCTAGCTGGCAGACAAGTCCAGCTGTAGCACGAACGGTATATGCACCTCGTGAGAAGCCAAAAAAGAAAAGCTGATCGCCTGCTCGATAATTGTTGGCCAGGAAGTTATAGGCTTCAAGAATGTTCTCGATCAATCCAATTCCCAACCCACCTAGAACGTAATGTCAGAATCTATTTACTTTTTACTTGGACAGCGAAGCATACCTTGTCGCTTCTTCTCTGTGTCAGCAATATCGCCAGTCCCAATTCCTGCGTCGTAGTAGACCACTTGCTGCCATTCCTTGCCATCCTTGTCCTTTCCAGCATTTGCAAGAACTCTGCTTAAGCGCGTAACATTGGATGAACACCCTTTTGTCGGGTCCAGAGAAGTTGCTGACTGCCAAGTCCCGTCACAGCAGATGACAAGTCTCTTGGGCTGGGCATCGACTTCTGTGGAGACAAAGGTCTTGTCGTATGTGGAAGCCATTACTGTGAGACTGGCTATGAACTGATTGGAAAGGAAACTTCAGGAGGAGGAGAGGCATAGAACTTATATTCGTATGATTTCATTTTTCGGGATGAACGAAGTCATTCCGACATATCGGGAAACACAGCGGGGTTTCTGACACGGTACTAACCAACTACAGTTTCTTGCAGGAGCTGAAAACCCGAATGAAGTGGGATATGCTCCGATTCGATGACACTAAAAGGTGCGGGCCGCTCCAGCAATTTCCGTATCTGCCATTTGACGGTGGAATCTTGGAGTTGACGATCTTTTGCTCGCTTCCGATAAGTGATCCAATTCCAAGCCTCAAATGGTGCACGGCGAACGAACGAGGCTGGCTTAAGCAAGACATGTCCCATAAGCTTGAAAGAATCCAATGAATATCAGCGGAGTATCTTGATCATGTCGCGAAGACTTCGTCAGAAATCGAGAAATCGAGAAATGCCATGGAAAGGGGCTGTCTGACTCAAGCCAATAGCACCATACTCAAATCCTAGATTGGCGTGCAAAATCCTCACTCTCACCACGCCACGTCTGTAGTTGAATAAAACAAACTGGAAGAAGAGCAAGACAACAGCCAGAACAAGACAAAAACAAGACCCAATAGATAAAATGCTCAGAAAGGAGATGAAATTTCCCAAGTAGGCATAGCCAACAAAACGCCACATTGTTCACAGGGCTGAAAAAAAAAGCGGAGCGTGGATCCCTGTGTCGAAAACAAATAAGCGGCGCTACTCGTAGATGAAGATAAATTCCACTGCAAAGGATAGGTACACTGAAGTGTTGAGGTGGAGGAAAGCTCCCCTGATCTGCTTGAAACCATGCCTTGGCCACTTAGGTAAATAGTGCATCGACGTCATGTGGGGAGGATTTGAACTTAACCACAGCAAGAGTATCTGCATGTTTTATTTCTCATGTGATTCTATCGCTACCATGGCCCATCCGTAGCAGCAAATGCGGATTACGACGCAAGACGCGATGATGCGAATTTGGAGAAAGATTCCATTGGCCATATGGTTTAGAAATCTTATACATTTGAACGAAGCATGATCTTGAGACGTTTGTTCTTCTTTTATGCAACATGCAATTCTCGACGGCTGCTAAATCCTCGTGGCACATAGCCCCTCAGCGGCATCTTGCATTCGTATCTCCTCGTATGAGTACTCGAGTTACCATGAATGTTGTCAGTGTTTCTTTAAGAGTTAGGAGCACTGGTAAGTGCGGTATAAAAGCCATACCGTCTTCCTCAATCCCTTTCCACTGCCCCATGAGACTTCTGTCTGTCTACGCTCTCCAATATGCTGCCTTTCCGTTGCGTACCACTTACTATTACTGTCCTTCTGTTAGCCAGTCCGCTCTTTGCTGTTCCAAAAGAATTTGCCGATGCCTCAGTAGCAATCAGCAATGGTCCACTCCCTTCGCCCGACGGAACATGTGGCGGCCAAAAGGCATACACTTGCACTGGTTCCTCATATGGTCCGTGCTGCTCATCCTACAACTTCGTAAGTATATGTCTCTGATGTTTCTTGCATCTTCGCGCACACAGGCCTATCTTATGTGACCCAGGGGACAGTATCTGTCCACGACCTGCTCTAATAGAGTTGACTTCTCCCAGTGCGGTAATCTATCATCCCACTGTCTCTCCTCCCATGGCTGTCAACCCCAGTTCGGAACTTGCACCACTCCATCTCCATCCATAACACCAAGCCTGGACGGCATTTGCGGAACCAAAACATCTACAACCTGTTCCGGTGGCCCATGGGAAGGCGCTTGCTGTTCCAGCTATGGTTTCTGTGGCTTCAATTCTACCTTCTGTCTGCTCTCTCAAGGCTGCCAACCCGCCTTCGGACAATGTACCCAGATATCTCCGCTCGGCACATGTGGTGGTGCTACGAATTACGTTTGTACGGACAGTACGTTCGGACCTTGTTGTTCTGAGGCGGGGTATTGTGGTTCGACACCTGCTTATTGCGGATTGAGGTGTCAAGGTCAGGCAGGCCTTTGTCTTGCGCCGAGTGAGGATGGGACGTGTGGGTGGGATAGGGGTTACACATGCCTGGGAAGTAGGTATGGGCAATGTTGCTCGGGCAGTGGGTGGTGTGGGAAGACGACGGCGCATTGTAGTGTCAAGGCGGGGTGTCAAGAAGGGTCGCTGTCAAATCCGCATCTGGGAGTCTGTAGTGAGCCGTGAGACGCTATTATTTGGAAGATTCAGGGTATGAGAGCACTTAGTGATAAGTCTGCTTTACTTGTGCATTGGCGATCGAACGGCCTATTGACAAGAGGAAATAATGATGGAATAATTGGATATTGATCGCTGCAGATTGAATTCATTATGTAATATCTCATTTGTATGGTGTTGTGTAGCACTGGCCCCCGTGGCTTCGGAGTATTTACCAGCGCTGTAGAGTTGAGTGCAGACTGCAGCCACTGTAGATGCCGACACTGATTGAGCATCAAGGCATTGGCCAAGTCGTATGCCTCCCAGGTCCAGCAGCGCCGGTCAAACCTCCCTCCTAAGCAGCCTGTATTCGCCCTTCGAACAAATCCGAGCTCGAATCCAACTCTCGAGTCTGCCTTGCACAAAGGTATCGCATCGCATCATATTCGTATCGTATTCGACAAAGATCTGTCTCCCATCATCGACATTCACCTCCCCTCGCCCTCAATTAAGAAGACCCACGGGAGACAAACTTCCTATCAGGGAGCTTGCATAGCAAAATTATCCATCTCCAGAGCCTCACACCCCGTGAAGGATGCTGGCAACGCACCACTGTAGCGAGTTCGAGGTGGAGGTCGTGGCTGGCTCTGTTACTTTTTGATAAAGAAGAAACTTTTTCTTGTTGCGCCGAAATTCGAGCTTTTGTCGTTGGATGCGGCCGCGCGGGACTAGCTTGGCGCTAAGGAGAAGCGAGAGTTGTGGGGGTGTTTGGACGGTCAGGTGAGTGTTTGCTTTCAACATCTTCCAATTCTCTCTTCCGAAGATGATGCATGATATTATGAATGGTTGTGGATGGATGTTCGAGTGGTATAATATAAAGGCAGCAAATGAACGTCTAGATAAGATTGATATTTCAGGCCATCGCTCTGAGTGAGGCGCTTCAACACCTCACTGATCAAGATCTCTTCTCAGTAGGTACGTGCCTGAAGAAATACATCAATGAGCACAGTCAGATAGCTTCGTTCGCGGTTCTTGGAATGTCAAACTGCCAGTTGCTACTAAATTTGTCCTCCTAGTCAAGCAGGACCCAGTACTTACTTGACCATGGAAATTTATCGAGATAAAAAGTGATATGTCAACACGTGATCTATCTGACCCTGTCCTCTCACGAAGCGAAGCTCTCTCCCAAGACCGCCAACGCATGTCAAGACTCAAGATCTTCCGGATAAAGCTGTACCTCAAGCCCTCACTTCTTAACAAATCCTTAACTCTTGTGTAACCCCTCAAGACATCTGCACAGTGTGCAGCGAATACGCCTCCGCGGGCTGCACAGCATTCCAGCGCTCCCGTCTGCAGAGGGACCTTCCCAAAGCAGTGTCCCAAGCCTAGAAGTTCAACGGCTTGCCCGACTTGCCCGCTACAAAATGCTGTGAGTGAGTGCCTGAAGATAAGATAGCAAATCGATCTGTCGAATTTGAGAGTCGGCAGGCTGCATCTCTGGGCAGCACTAGTGTGCTTTCAACAGTCCAGCTGCCCTTCCAGAACTTCGAAGAGAAGCATGTCACCACAATCAGCCGACCTAGAAGATAGCGGATCTTGACAGCTCTCTTGTCGTCTTCCTATACTGCCATGTTGTTTTGCGTCCTTACACTTGACCTCGAGGAGTCCGAGAGTCAAGCTCAACATGTAGAAAGATGTCAGGTGTGGATTTTGTGGCTTATCTGGAATGTGGAGTTCGAGGATCAGGTTTGACAACCTTCAGACTCACGCGCATTTGATCGTTTTGCTGCTAGATGGAAGTATATTATATATTGATTTCTAAGTCTGTGGAAATCACAACATCCCAGCACTTTAGAATGTACATTTTCCAAACGCAGAAGCAGAGAAGTCTCCGTACTGATACGCATCGTTAGCCTGATCAGGACCTCTATCAGTAGCCCCAAAAACATGAGAGGACTCATGGACAAGGACACTCGCCTTTGAGAGCCCAGGTCCACACGTATCAGTATCAGGAAGATCGAACCATCCTTTGAACAGACGTACTGTTGCTTGAGATCCTTGTCCTGCTGACTCGACGTCTGCTATGACTCCTGGGCGGCCATCTTTGATTTGTGTGGGAAGACAGACGAGGTTAAGTGTCAAGCTGAAGAGCGTCTCTTTGATCAGGTTGTAGCGATAGCTGATAAGATCCCGAGCATTGTCGTTGTCGTTCAAAGGGCCGAAGAAATGGACAAAGCGCTTGACTTCGGTGTCGTCCTTGGACTTGATGGAGGAGATGGCCGCGTCGCAGAGTTTGTTGGCCTGAGTAGCTATCTGTGAAAGGCTTATGTTCAATCCTTTGCATGTGCTGGATATCAAGCGTTTGTCTAAGATATCTTTGTCCTTGACTTGTGTGATATATTCATCGAATGATTCCCTTGTATCTACACCAGTTCTCAGTGGCAATCGGGGGTAGGATGATACGATGGAAATTAATGCTAACAGTGCCAGCCAGCCAGCAGAATTGAAGGAACGCATCTTGAGGGATATACTGTAGTTTGTTTAAAAACACTGTATGTGATGAACCAACTTTCACGTTTTATAAATGAGGTAGAGTTTTTCGGGCTTTGGAACGAATTTGACCATGCTATTGTCTCTTAAGTACTTTTTGTCCTGGTTTGTGTTTCTTGAGTCTTTGTTCCTTTAAAATTATCGAGAACAAAACAATACGTATATAGATCTAGTATCAGGGTAAGCACTGACAAGGCATTGTTCGATTTATTTTATGCTCGGTGCGACGCTCTATGAATGAACAAAGACATCGGCCGTTGATCCTTTCAAGTGGGAGGAAGATAATTCAGAGTGCCCGATTTATCTCCTCCATCAAAGATTGGTGGGGAATTGACAGAAATGCACGTTGAGACATGGCAGATCCGGCTGGGAATGATTTATTATTATCTTTCACCGAACCTCTTCCCACCCAAGAGTCGAAGCTTTTTTTGGAGAGAAACCATATGACAACGTATTGGAAACTCTCTAGACTATCCGAGAGATGTCACCAGCAGCTAGCCGAGCCAAAAAGAGACGTCGCGGGCGGCGACAGATTGGGCGTCCCCCCATGTACTATCTCATGCGCCTTTTCACCTCTTCTCAGGACAAGCCACCCGGGTCGAGGACGTACCGGAGTTCAGCTCAGGCACCTTAGCAAGGAATCATAGAGTCACATCCGTTGAGGAATAAATCAGCAGACTTACAGTTTACCTGCAATAATTGTTTGACGGGTTTCAATAACTGACAAAACTAGGTTGGGTTGTTTTCCAAGGAGTTCGCGGCCTGGAGTCAGAGGCGGGGAAGGACTGGAGCGCTTAAGATTCTCAATTGACGGGACAAGTCCGCAAAAATGACCCACAGAGTACACGACCATGTTCGTCTCTTTCCAGGAGAAACAGGGCCGAGGAAGCACTGAACTACTATGAAGCAGCTCAGTGAATTATCAGGCCTTAATGGATTGATGCATGTTCGCTTGTTGTTTTGGCTGCGGTGCAACTCCCAAAACCGGGCCTTCTTCCTGGACGGCGCACGAATACCAGTGCCAGTGCCAGCGCGAGAAACGAAGTGCATCAAGCTCGGTCTGGCCTATCCCAGATGAGCTGTTGTACATTTTTGCCACCTCGGGTTATCGTCATATATAGGATCTCATGCACATGCAAGTATCCTTCTCCTTTGGTATCTGTGCTAGCGAGCTTTTCTGTCGGTTCTGCCCCTCCTCCTACCTTCCGTTCTTGAATTCCAAGCTGAATTCCAACTGCATGAAGCGAGGCAGGCAAGGAACAGAAATAAAAGCCTCACGATGAAAGCTGAACCGGATGTCTTGCCTGAACTTGAGACGAAGGCTTGAGATGGATGGTTTAACGGTTCCTAGCCAAACTCCCGACCCCAGAGGACTTGACTTCAGGCTAGAAGGAAGACTACAGAACTCTGGACCGGCCGCTTAGCCATGTTGGTGAAAGGTGGTGGCATCGCCCATGGCGTTGGTGTTGCTTTCTTCCCGGCCTATGGATTGATACGGTTTAGCGGGCCACGCAAGGGCAGGTCTGGCGGCAAACTTTATCTGGCTTGCTTTCTGCAGACTGGTGTGCGGTGTCGAGGGTGCCTTGCTAAGGTCGTGATGGAATAATAATGGGCCGGGGGAGTGGACGAAAGATGTTTTTTTGGTGTTGGTGTGCTAGAACTTCGGCGCTGAGCCGGCTTGAGGCTATTGATTGAAATCTATCTGTGCTTTGATCGTTCGATGCCATGAGTTTCTTGCAGCTGATGATGGAGAACTGACTCTCATCAATCGGCTCGCTGGCAATCGTTTGGAGATGGAAATGGCTCGAGTCAGTGCTGCCAAAAGGGGCATCTCCTGACTTGCACCCCTCATACGGAAAATTAGTCTTGATTGTGGACTCGCAACATGCCCACTCATGGTGCATGTGGAGGAGACCCAGGCGATTTTTACTGGGTCTCAGTAATGCATCTGGACACGGACAAGCAGCACACTTTTGGCTCTAGAGCTAGAGACACACTTGAACGGTGTTTCCCGTTGAGCAGAACGTCGTCCTTCGTGCAGAGAGAGCTCTGGTTTTGTACGTAGCACAGCAGGCCTGGATGGCCGCTGGCTGTATTCAATTATTGAAATTCGCCTCCATTTCGCCGGCCACCTTGGTTTGGTGCTGCACTTGTAGCTTCCCAGCGATGCGGACCACTGGATAGACCTGGTGGGCTGGGAGAAGGCCTGGGATGGTGTGGATGGAAGCATTGGATGGCATGGTGTCTACAGTATGGGACGGATGGGGTCGATGGCTGGGGCATTATCCGCAGACAAGCATGGACATTAATCTGTATCTCGCGGAGGCGTTCTTGGTTGTGTCTTGGGCAGCAGCAAGCAAGTGGGAAGAGCAATAATATCGTCTTGTATTGTTTCACGGTCTTGAAAAGGAAATACTGCAGCATCAATTCCTCGACCCGCTATTCATACCAACCTAAATCATCACGCATCTCAAACTTTGATCACGACTCTTATTCAGACGTTTAGTTGTTTTAGCTTCCGTCTGCCAATTTAGTTTGAGTTAAAGGAGGAGCAGATCCCGGCGCATACCATAAGCGAGATAGGATCTGAGAGTAGAGTTGAGACACCCGCGAGATTGCATCAAGGTGCGTTGGGCAAAACCACGAGCTCTCTCTTCTTCTGCACTCGACCGCACCTCTCGCCTCTCGCCGTCCTTCACTCCTTTCTCAATCCACCCAGACGACAAGCTACGCGCGTTGTCCAATTGCACTGTTCATTCAGGACTTTACTGTTACTGCATTGGACCTGGAGAAGAGAAAAGTGTCGACCAATCCCGCCTTCATCTGACTGTAACACCTGCAGCCAGCGCAGCGTACGACCGACTTTCCGCCTACCCTCGCCGACTTCAGCGACGTGATAACGCATTGATTTCTGCTGGAACAATTCTCACGACATTGGGAACATCTGCCGAATACCGAATCGTCATCAATTAAGACTTGGTGCTATCCAAACTCGACCTGTTTCGTTCCTTCTCCACCGAGATTCGAACTCGCAAGCACATCCACCTCAACAACCGGCTCCCAACCTACATCAATTCACCAATTTTCCACCGCAGCCTCGCAGCAAAGTAATAATCATGTCGGGATTCGAGGAAAAGAACGTGGTCGTTAGCACCAGCGACGCCATGCCAGAGAAGTCGAATGGCAAAGTCCTCACGATCAATCGACCATCCCCAAGCAGACAAACCTCTGCTCAACAACTATCCACAATCCACGATGTCGACTCGACGCATTCCCTTACCCCTCCCGGCACAGCCACCAATGAGAAGACAATCGAGACAACCTACACAAACGCATTGACAGACCGCGACATGTACAACACGGATCTCGAAGCACAGGGCTTGACGGAACAGAAGACGCAAGTATCTGTATCGAAAACGGGTCTCCTCACCACCGCGTGCAGCAAGGTGGATTCTGCGTGGCCTGGACGGACCCATATGAAGCAACAGAGGAAGGCTGCGAAGCTTCAGCGTTCTCGTTGTGGATGCTGGGCTGGCCTGAAGAAGACGTACAAGGCCATGATCATCGCTGCTATCGTTCTCGCGATCTTGGGCATTGCTCTCGGAATCGGCTTCGGAATATCGCAGAAGGTCGGAGGCACTATCAATGATGGTAGCGGTGACCATAAGGCTGTGCCCGGCAAGTGAGAAACGACCGGTACGTCCAATCATCCCTAATTCTCGTGTTTTGTCACTGACAGTCTCCCAGATCGAAACAATTGACCGTCAACCATATGCAACGATCTTCGTCCCTCCTCTTTGTTCCGCGACATCCAGTTCATCGAGCGATACGAAACTCTTCGCCTTGAACATCCGAGCCTTTTCTGGCCTGCTTCTTTCCTTGTAAATATTCGGATCAGCATATTGTCCGCAGATTTCATACCCCACACGTAAGGCGTTTTGGTGTTGGCTCTCGCTCGTTGCTCCTTTGCAGCCGGTCTCGAGAGATGACGCTCATGGCTTCGTTCCAGAATCGACTTCGACTCTCTCTATATTGGTATCTCGATTCGTTGTTGTGCGTGTCTGGTGGATCTGTTTGTCTGGCGTACACTTTCCTCGTCCATCTTCCCGTGTCTCAATTGCTGTGCTATGGACAAGGTGTATCGACCGATCGATGGACGGATATCTCCTTTCCTCCTCCAAGGGTTGCTGGCTTTTTCCTTTCTGAAATGGAATAGAAATTCTCTGGAGTTAGAGCGGGTGAGAGAATGGGATAAAGAGTGGTATCATCCAACCAACAGACAGACATAAGGATAGATAATGGCATATTCAAGCCATGCTATGAACAGACTTCTGCCACCATTCAACTTACCAACTTACCTCGCCTTGCTTCGCCCTCCACTTCTGCCGTATGAATTGTTGCAGTGCATGTGTATTTTGTAGAAGCTGACCTCACGAAGTGAAGCTGAAGATGTCAGAGCACAAGGCTGAGCTGAATGGCCTGAAACGGCTACCACAACAAGTCAAAATGTAAGAACTAAAAGCACCACCACACAACATCAATCATACAAAAGGGAAACAACCTTTATATACTCCATTCCACACCGATCGACATTTCCGATTCCGATCTCCGGGATTGTATTGGATTTCCCAGCTCGGCTGCCATAAGCAACGCATTCCAAGTGGGTCTCAGTGTCATTTCAGGTCTCTTTTCCTGTCATTCCTCCGCCGTAAAGTCCGAATCCCGCATTTTCTTGATTGCTCGGGTGTTTTGGGGTGCCGAGTTGTGCAAGTTTATGCGAGTTGTGCTGAGGTGTGGGGGACTTGTGCATGGATGTGTGGTTCCCGCTTCCGAGTGGCGGGTGTACAGTGCTGAGAGAGAACTGCGAGATGATTTTCTTGAAGTTTTGGAAGCTTGACAATGTCGTTTGTGGATGGTTCGGAAATGAGCGCAAAGCTTCTAATCAGCTTGAGATCGAAGTTGAGAATCCTATAATCAGAAAGTCTCTGTTTGCAAGCTACCAGGCGAGCTGGCTGCAGCACATCAACAACTATTTTTCCGAGTCTCCTTTTCTTTTCCTTCAATGTTATCTGCTTATTCCGTTTCTTTTCCATGTCACCCATTTCTTTTATGGTACGACGACCGTTTTACTTATGGCACTTGCAGTGAAAGCAAGTTTATAAGTTTGTCCGTGATTTGATATCCATACGTCATTTCAGAATTGACTCCTGACGTTGGCCAATCTGTCTAAAGAGTCCTTCAATACCTCTTGAACAATCTCACCAGCCGGCATGACCTTCTTAACCAATCCCACGCCTGTTCCTGCATAAGTGGTCATTCTTCCCTTCTCACCCCAGCCCTCATCCCCCATCTTGATTGCTTCAGTATAAAGCTTTGTATTTTCCTCCTCCGACATGCCTTTCTGGCTATCCCAAAAACTCTGGTTTAGAACTCCACGAGCATTGTAGCTCTCTGGCCAACCATAGGTACCGCGGACTTTATCGTAGACTGTTGTTCTTGCAGTGGTCACACCACCATCACTCGCTTGAACGACCGCATTTCGATAGCCATTACTGATCACAGCTTCTGGGCTGGCAAGGAATCTAGTTCCCATACACACACCACTCGCTCCCAGCGTCAATGCAGCAGCTACACCTCTCCCATCCATGATACCTCCCGTTGCAATAAGGGGGATATGCCCATGTCCCTCATGAGATAGTGCGTCCGCGCATTCTGGCAATAGAGTAATAATGGAACTGGATTGTACAAGGCCGTGACCACCGGCATCCGCGCCTTGAATGACCAGAACATCTGGTTTGCAGCTTTTAGCTACATCGAGACTCGAGGCAACTGTTCCGACCTGAATCCAGATCTTCGTCTTCCCGTTGCTCGCCTTCCGGATTCCTTCCGTCCAGGAAAGCAATTCTTTCGAATCTTGAGGAGCAAAGAGCCATGCTGCTGCTGGTTTCAGTGGAGCGGCTTCGATGACTGAAAGGGTGACTGAAAGATCGGCTCCCCAGCAGATGAATCCAACACCAATTGGAAGGATTCCGTCGGGTGTATTTGGAAGTGGGGCCTTTTGGAAGGAGGCTGTTGCTTCTTCGAGAAGGGATGAAAGCGTGCTGACATCTGTTCCAGCGCCGAGGAATCCTAGACCTCCTGCTCGAGTGACGGCTGTGGCAAGGGGACATGTTGCTATGAGACGCATTGGTGCGGAGACTATTAGAGGAATTTGTGCCCAGGGGCAGTGGGACTTGAGGGATTCCATGTGAGTGAGGGACATGATGAGCGTGATGGAGAAGCTGAAGTACTAGAGAAGTCTGAGAGAGAGAGAAATATGTATGGAGATGGAGCTTTAAGTCAGCATTTAGCCGGTGTAAGACCTAACAAGCTGGCATTCAATCTGCTTTGGCCCACGATTGCAGAAGCCAGGAACTTGTCGGGCACTCGACGTAAATATACGAATGCAGCTAAATGTTGAGGAGAAGTGAGTTCGGCTATGTCGCAAATAATTAAGAGAAATGAAATAGACCAAGTGGAAGAAGAGCAGAGAGTCACTCAACCTCTGTTGATGCTATTACCGAAATACCGATTCCTTTAGTCAACAAACTTCATCCTAGTATCGGCGCTGAAGTTTGCTTCCATTACCCCGCCATTAGCTTCGCTTCGGAAGGACCAACCATTTTGAGACTAGCGCTCCCGCAGAGCCCCAGCCTTTCATTCGAAAGCCTTTGTCAACTGAACGGGAGTCAAGTCCACCTGCAAATCGCGACAACAACTTCGACTTTGACTCCACGAACGAGCTCTTTCGATCTGTACTAGATCTTCGAAGCTTTATCAGCGCGCTCGAAAATCTGGCAGAAATATCCTCAAAAAGCTCTGTATTCTAGGTCGCAAAGATGAATGCCCCCGATAGGTTTGTTGCCTCAATTTCTTCGGCGCATGCCACCACTACCCTTTAGCGGGCGGAGTATCCCATGGAGAATAAAACCATCGAGAAAGATATGCAGAGGGGCGTGCCACCTGTTGTAAGAAGGGGAGGCTAATACTTGCGACAGATTCGAGCTGTTCCTGTTGCAGGATGGGGAGAAGAAAGTCTCGGAAGAACCAGATACCCGTACGCGATCCTGCATACCTCTTGGACCCAATCAATAGCACGGAACAGAGCAACTGATTGCCACAGGTACTGCCGATAGCTCCGTCTTCACATTCAACAAAGAAGACCACACTCTCGCGAACATCCTCCGTGCCCACCTCCTCAAAGATCCCCACGTCACCTTCGCTGGCTACAAGATTCCACATCCCCTCTTCGCAAAGTTCGAGCTCCGGATACAGACTGATGGTACCATTTCACCGAAAGAAGCGCTCGTAAACTGCTGCAAGGCATTGGTGGGAGATATGGAGATTTTGAGTCGGGAGTTCACGAAGGAGTACGAGTTGCGGAAGATGGTAACGGGAGATATGGCTGATAAATAAGCATCTGGGATGAGGTTTTATGAAAGTGTATGGATGGCGTTTTGGTAATGGCTTGGGATATGCCAGCATTTATTGGCGTTTGGGTAATGGAAAATAACTGCTAGGCTCGCGTAGACCTTCACAACGCAAGCAAAAAGTTCAGCACTTGTATTGTGATGGTTTGTGGGACTCTGTGGAAATCCATCGTAGTAGAGGGTCTTGTTGATTCAGTGATTAGGGACAAGTGTCTATTGGATACTCGGTGCGTTATGGTTATTTGTTGCCTGCTTCATGCTCTGCTGCTTTATGCTCTTCTGAAGCCATGCAATAGCTGTACAATTCCGTGGTATCTGCCATTTGCCGCGCCAAAACTTGCTCTTTGTCCATTCGGACCCTGCACGGATGTACTACCCTATCCTTCAAAGAATCTCCAGAATCTGGGGGGTGTCAATGTTGATACTCTCCATATTCCACGCTTGGTTGTCAAAGACTTGAGCCCAATCTCCTCAGATGATCTCCGGTTGCCTTCATGAGCCAGATCTTGAGCAGTTGCACTTTCATCTCTAATTGTTCGAAGGCATCTTGATTTTTCATTTTCCTTTTACTTGAGACAACACGATCCGATCTCAATACTTTCATGATCTTGTCCTCCATTTCTTCATAATCAACGGGCCCTATCGTACCTCTGAGGGCTTTGGCCACGATACGGTAGCTTGAACTGTTCCATTTCCGGTGTCGTATGAGGTCCCGTATGTTTTCAGGTTCTGGCTGCATATTTTGTGGCATCCGAACGAGGTCGTCCTCGCTTTAGACAAATCCTTGGACATACTCCACAATATTCTCATGTGAAACGACGAAGTTGAGCTCATTTGGGACGCTGGATGATCCGAAAGTCATTCCAATTGCCCAATATTGTTTTGAGCTGGGACACGCCATCACATCTATGAAATGCTGTGAACTTTTTGACCTCACGATCCTCGTATTGGCTACCAAATTTAAGCGAAACTACAAAATAAACCCTACATTTCTCAGATCAGCATAGGTCTGCTAGTACCCATGAAAGAGAGATTAATTGACCTGGATTCTTCTCGAGCTGTCGTCATAATCATCATAATCTTCATAATCTTAGGTGCTTATTTGCCCAAGTTGTGGCCTATATCCTCGCTACCAAGAGCCTTCCAGCAGTAGACGAACCGATAGTTGTGGACTCTACTACCTTAGATCCTTGAATGAACCGCACACGGTTGAGTTAGACTCTTTTCAGGTGACATTGAATTCTTTGGTGCAAGAGATAAGAGATCAATATCTGAAATATAGCTGTTCTATGGAGAACTGTGGTCGGGCTGTGTTGCACTATAGTGGTGGCAAACTTTCAAATTGGATAAATCCACATGTAAATATCCCTTTGGATGTGAAGATTTTCTAGCAGACTATAATAATATGCGGTATAAAGTGGTGGAATCTCGATCAAGTCGGGCAAAAGGTAGAAACGGCATTCTCGGAAAACAAATTCAGAATCCATCTGCCACCAACCATGTAGTCGGCACCTTGCATTTTGGGGGTCAATAAGCCCATCTCTCCTCGGACTCACTCCTCTCCCTCGAAGTGTGACGTGCAGTAGTATCAGAAACTCCTGAAGCGCTTCCCCCAAAACCTGCTAAACCTTGGAGATCGTTCTGGCCTCTCCTTCCATTACCAGCAGAAATCAACATGCACTTTCCCTCTCGAACAGCCCAATCGTCATCCTCAAACACCTCCTCGAATCTTTCTTTCAAAGTTCTCAACTCATCATTCATAGCTCTCGCCCGTATTTCCCTGAGTCTCAACGTTTCCTCATTGGCAAGTTGATTGTCCTCCACTGTGCCGACTCGAAGATAGGTCAAATCGATTTCAATGCCCAATTTCTTCTTACCAGGTTTTTTGACCACGATCTTAAACGTCTTCGGAGCCAGTGCCCGGACTGCTTTCATGAATGCACCTGGATACCACATGAAGTCTGCGAAAGTGACAGGACTGACTTCCATGCCCAGTGCAGTGTGTGACATCCCCACTCGTTGTGGGACAACAAGCAAGGTCAATTTATCGATGGTGGGACTTGCTTTGGTGAGAGTAGCGAGTCCTTCGGTAGCCTTTTCGTACCATTCAAGATTCCAGCAAGGCTTGGAACAGTCGATGATGATGTTTCGGAAGAGGGAGTGAAAGGACGTTGGAAGGCTGGCTGGTTCTTCGAAGCGAAGTGGAAAATTCATATGGGGCTCACGGACGAGAGATTGGAAGGTGTTGTTGCGGAAGAGAAAGCTCGATGCCTCGAATGCGAGTTGTTTGCATACCAAAATAATAGCATGACCATGACGAACAAAGACGTTTCTCTCCATAGCCGTCCAGTTGGACTTGACCATAATAGGAGATGGGTAGATCAACAAGTGTGAGTAAATACTCTCCCGAACCTCCAATGGTACTCTCAGAAATGGCGTCTTTGCTAGGTCGTTGGGTATCGCCTCTCGTCGCTGCGGGATCATGCTTCTGAACATCGCCATATAAGCATCCTCCTCCTCATTCCTGCCCCTCTTGAGAACACGAGACTTCTGCTTTGGACGCCTGCTGGCCTTGATTGGGCTCTCCTCTGGGACTCCCCAACTGTTCTTGCTCTCCCCCATGAGCTTCTCTGCCTGCTTTGCAATGTAGTCTTGATCAAGTTCTTCGTGCAAAGATGCACGGGACAGCTTGAAGCGCTTTCGTTCGCGAGCTGCGAGCGAGGATATCCCTTTGTCCCATTCTGGAATAGGATCTGAAGGTGAGCGTGAAGGTGCTCGTCGTGTCTTGGCTGGCTTTGGTGGTGGGAGTGGAGGAGGTTTCTTCTTTGATGCTGCTTTTGCTGTGGTGGTTTTGGGAGGAGAACAGTTTGGAGTTCTCTTTGGCGGCATCTTGATCAATCGAACCTGTGACGGTCGGCAATGTTGTGAGATACCTGAAAGTTGGTTTCAAGAGATGTCTGGAAAACGATGATGGATCGGCTGAGGATTGAGTTACTGAAGTGCTGTAAGTTTTAAGACGGCCTGAAGGGATTTAGACTCAGGATAGACTTGAAGCTTCTGACTATGCTCGAATCGAAAACAGCAAGTGAGGTGATCTGAGAGGACCACATAGTATTGAAGAGATTGGAGAATTCACAGATGGAATTGCAACTCATCAAGAACTCCAGCTAAAGTTGGAGGAAAGTTGATTGCAATGAAGCATTCAAGAAAGGCAGAAAGCCTGCTGCTGAAAGATGAGCTTCACCTCCCAGCACTTGTCTTGACAAATCCGTCCCGATTTGACATGAGCCGAGAAAAATGCAAAGAGATCTTGTATGGGATGGGATGACATCAATTAACAGAGCTCAATAAGACTCTTTGCTGCTCATGAAGCTCCGTCGACGGCGATGCAATTAAAGCCTCAAGTCTGAAGCAGAATAGAAATATGATTTCAACTTGCCTCCTCATACACAGAAACTAGGTATGCGAATTGTCGAAAAGATCTGTAGACACATGCCAAAATCAACGTCAAAGATAGCCAGAAAAGCATACCAAAAATTTACGACGAGAAAAAAATCTGATTCAGCTCTTGATCTGGAAGTGGAAATTGTACAGTACTTGTGGGCTACTAATATCTCTCGAGAAAGCTCCCTCCATGTCACATAATGGTATTTATCTCCTCTTTGGAGCGTCAACACTGAGATGCCTCTCCAGTTTGCAGGAGGGAAACGCAAACCGCTGTTCGAGTACAAGAGAACTTCCAGATCCAGAGCGATTGAGAAGAGCGTCAGCTCAGAACAATACCACACCCCTGATTTCGTCGACGATGCACTCAATTGTCCCAATTATAGTTGTGATATTAGAATTAAGGACGTGAAGAGCGATGTGAAGATGAAACTGCTATTTCCTAGTGAGCATCACGTGGGTTTGGATCCACTGAAAGCCGACGTCGTGTGCCTGAACAATTCCATAAGTTCCTGCTTGCTCTTTCATCCTTCACAACGAGGATCAGGTCAACAAGATGTTGATCAACAAGAACACTGGTCAGTTGATATGTTTCTGTTTCTTGGAATTGGTAATCAACCGTAGTAGTTTTATTAGAATATTTGCTTCAAAATTTTAGATTCTGTTCTACCAGAGTTTTTTTTTTTTAAGAGAACACTGTTATTACTCTGCAAGTTCCTATGTCGCTTTGCTTTTCTTGATGCGTGTCTATAATGCTGGTTCTCAATGATATAAAGTCCAAGCGCTGTTTAAGCTGTCCTGTTCCAACTTCTCTCATGGCTTTGTGTAGATTTTACAATCTCCATCTCCGTTCCTCAAAGTTTCCACCTCTAATTCCATTCAGTCCTGACACCCAAACACAGCAATATCAACCTCCTCCATCCTACTCGTCCCTTACAAGGCCTCCCATGTACCAACCTACCACGAATGGATGAAAGATGAAGTAGGTTCTCTTATTCGCTTCCCTACCAGAAACTCCACTAACAATGGTACTTTCTAGCAAATCCAAGCAGAGACAGCTTCCGAGCCACTCACCCTGGAAGAAGAATACGCCATGCAACGCAGCTGGCGCACCGACGCCGACAAGTTGACATTCATCGCCTGTCTCCCTCTCCCATCCTCATCGTCATCCTCACTACCACGGACCCTCACCCCGGGCGCGTTCGATTCCCCAACCCACATAATCGGCGACGTCAACCTCTTCCTCACACCCTCCCACTCCCATTCCCCTTCCCCCTCACCATCTCCATCTTCATCCCAATCCCCCTCAACCCACCCCCTAACCGGCGAACTCGAACTAATGATCGCCACGCGCACCCACCGCCGCAAAGGCCACGGCCGCAGCACCATCCTCGCCTTCCTAACCTACATCACCACGCACCTCCCCTCCATCCTCTCCGAATACGGAAAGGCTCAGAACCCACCTATTGAGGAGGGGAAGGTGGAGTTAGAGGGGTTGAGGGTGAAGATTGGGAAGGAGAATGAGAAGAGTTTGGGGCTGTTTAGGGGGTTGGGGTTTGGATCTGTGGGGGGAGGGGAGGAGGAGCCGAATTATTTTGGGGAGGTGGAGTTGTGGTTTCGGGGGGATGGGGAGGTTGTGCTTGGGGAAGAGCACATGAGAAAACTGAGGGAGAAGTTTGGTGTTGAGGGGTATGAGGAGATAGGGTATGGAGTGGAGGACACGAGATGTACATGAGATGATCTTCTGCATAGAACTCTCTACCTTTGCCTCCGTTGGCTGGTATATATCCCACCCGTCGAAAAGAAGTACATGATTCTAAGCATCTTGTGTTCCAAAGACAAGGACATGATCTTCCCCTGCCAAAACTCTCTTCGTGTAGTTCTGAGTACCGATCAGGTTGTTGAGCAACCAAGGAGCCAGTGAGTCCATCGCAAACTAACAGATTGAAAATACGTCTCAGTGGTGTCCAGTCCATCTGTAGTGCAGTCAGAAGTACTCGCTCTTACCTGCCAATGTGTCACAATGACCATAATCTTTTAGAAGAACGATCAATGAACACCATTACCGACTCAATTGCACGTAATCCACAACACAGCGTTCCAAGCGAAGGAAGCCACATCAAGCTACCCCTTCAAACACGTCTAATCCTAACAAAGAACATGACCACTAAAGACACTCACTCCCTCAGTCACAATACAAAGACGAAGCTATTTCTATTTTCATCATATTCATTTCATTTCATTCCTCAGTCATAACGATCGTAACGGCAAAAGAATTGCCTTTTGCAAGAAGAAATTTCTAGTTCTCCATTTTCTCCATTCTCATGTGAGATATCCATCCATTCTTGCTTTCGCCCGCTGCCCGCCATCCCATGTCTATCTATCCCATGCGACCCCAAATCGACCCATGCGAGTGAGTGAGTCCTAAAATACATACAAAAAAAGACCAAGTCGAGGCGAAAATTGAAGTGAAGTGAATTGAAGTGAGAACGAGAGAATGGAGAAGTCAATGTCCAGCAAGCCTTAAACATCCCCTGTGGTAAAAACATCCGTAAATGATTTCCCTTTTGTTTTGAGAATATAGGCTTGCGCCAAAACAGCATAGCTGTATAGAAGTAAAAAAATTTGTTGATTGAACGTAGCGTATAGGTTTCCTTCGTGTTTCTGGTGTATCCATGGGTTCTGGCTCGGCAAAAAATAGAGCGTAGAGTATGGTGTCCAAGGTAGGGAGATTCGAGTGAGATTTAAGAGTGGTGGTGGAGATGGCGGCGGAGATGTCTGTCGCGCTTCTTGGAACCGCCCTTTGCGTACACGCTAAGAGCCATGCCTCCACCACATGTTTGGCTCTCGTCACCCTCACAAGGCATGTCGCATTTGCTTTCCTCAACAGGCGTGCTTGGAGTCAGAGCATTGGCGCAGAAGCATTGTCCACCGTACTCAGTGCCAGCCATGCTGAAGCCCCTGCTGTCACAGTAGGCAACGCACTTTGTGTTGGTGACTTCATGGTTGCCAATATTCGCCAGCTTGATGCCGGTCATGACACGATCTCTGGTATCACCAAAGCAGCCGGAGTAAGACCAGCCAGCAGCGACAGGTGAAGAATCAGTAGCGGCCGGACCAGGAGCAGTAACCGTAGTCCAAAGTACATCGCTGACTGTAACGTAACTTGTGATCATAGTATTAGATCCACCAACATCTGGAGCTGAGGCCGCTGATGGAGCAGGCGAGATTGTATAAACTTCGGCAGGCGGTGAGGCAGCGGGAGCAACAATCTTGGTTGGCTTTGGTGTAACGACGGGTTGCGCAGCGTCCTTTGAGGTAGCCTCTTGGGTTGGCGCAGTTACCTCAGGGTTGGAATCTGGGGCAGAAACAACTGGAGGAGAAGCGATTGGAGTTGCGACAGGTGCAGGGGCTGGAGCCGGAGCAGGCGCAGCATCCGTACCCCATTGACCAATTGGGTTGTTTCCGGGAAGCTTGTCCAAAACACCATCAATAACCTCATCGATAGCGCTCTCAATGTTGCAAGATGTTGAGGGATCGTTCAGTCCACCGATGAGACCAGGGCATTTATCCATGCCAGAGCTTCCAGCATCACAGTTATCAATGATCTGCTGCAGCGTCTCTGGTTCCCAGCCATTGATGAAATCAGCGTGGAGACTGTATCCTGTAGGGTCACCATTGGAGAGAACAAATGGTTGCTTGCCTTGCCCTGGAGTCCAGCGGTCTTGGAACTTGGGAGTGTTCCAGTAGACTTCATAGAACATGTGTGGGACGTGCTTCCATCCGGCTGGGCATTTGCCATTGGTAGGGTAATCCATGTTCTCCTTGTAGTTCTGGACGCCCTTGGCTGGGTTGTAGCAAGAAGGAAGGTGGATATCGGCGCGAAGAGGAGAAGCATAACCATCGCAGTTCTTGTCTGGGAAACCGGTACCCGATCCTCCATTACCTGGGTCTTGAATACCAACACCGCTGCGACCATTGGAGTTGGTTGGGTAGAGAGGAGCATTGTCGTTGGAGCGAGGGCAGGTCCATTGGATTGGTTGGATAGCACCATCAGAGTGGTCGGTGATCTGCTCTCCACCAGTGGCAGGAGGTGTACGAAGACTTGGGTTTCCAGTGAAAATTCGAAGTCCCTCAGGGAATGCCTCAATCTTATCAGTGGTAGCATCGAAGCTGGATTGAAGTTAGCAGGGATCGGCAATGCATGTTTGAAACACTCACAAGTAGTAAACATTCATGTAGAACATTTCGACGGGCTCGAGCTTGCCGGTCTTTGGGTCTTGAAAGTACAAAGCTGGAGTCCAGTAATTGCTCTTGTCATTCTTGACGCGGGAAGAGGTGCAGGTAGATTTGAGAGCCTGATCGTCGGTCATGGTCAGGGCGAACGCGTTACCACCTTGGATTGCGTGAACATGTCCAGACGCAACACCAGGATTGACAATGGGGTCCATGCGGCCCATGACCAGAGGACCCTTGCCATAGAAATGGTTGACAGCAAAGGTACGCTTGTTGGCAGAGTATGCCGAAGCAGACGCGGCACAAAGGGCCAGGAGAGCAGCCTTTGAGAATTGCATGGTTGCAGGACAATGGAGAAATCCTTGGAAGGTATTTGTACGGAGAAGAAGAAGGTCGAGATCGAAGGGAGAGTATCGCCAGGAATACTAAGTGGTCGCTGCTGCCGGTTGGAATGACTGGACTGTCTGAGTGTAGCTGTCTAAGCTGAAATGATTCAACGAGTAATGATTGGGAAACGTGTTGGCGTGGTGTGGAGTTCTTTGACTCAAATTTTTGCGTTGAAGGAATGGAAATAGTCCGTATCAACAGACAAAGGAATGGCGGCTGGTCAGTCAAGCGGACCGAACTGAATCAAGGAGTGTGAAGTACGAAAGTACAGAGAATCGGAACACGTCGAGTGCGGTGCGGTAGAGGAAGATCGAACGAAATCGCGGTGGGAAGCCAAGAAAGGAGAAGTTGAAGCAGAATAGGAAGGGAGGGTGACCTTATATTATCATTGAGGGCGGGCGGGCAGGCGGGCGGGTGAAGGTGAGGGTGAGGGCGGCAGCGGCATGGCCTAGCAGGGCGGGCGCACTATTTTGGCCTGAGCCTGACTTGATATTGACTTCCTCCTGTGCAGAAGGCGCTAAGGGCTGCAGCTGGGCAGCTGGGCTGCATATGGGCTTGGACTTCACTTTTGGCTTGGGAGCAGAGTAGTGAATGCAGGGGCAGGGACAGTGAGTGACATTACCAGCTTATTTCTTTTGTGGAGTACTGTACTGTTTCGTACCTACAACTGAGAAGGGCTGCAGTGCCATGGCGGCTGGCTCGCAGTCGCATTTCTCGGTTCTTGAACAGAGGGGCGCACGGGCGCACAACACGAAGGGGCCGAGGGGGCAAAACATGGGACGAACAGCCCTTTCTCGGAGGTATGAGGTATTTGGCCAGGGGCACATCCAAACAACCTACCTGAATAACCCAGGGTAGTTTCTGCCGTACCTTGCAGCCAGAGACAGAGACAGAGACAGAGACACGGGAAGAGAAGAGGGATCTTTGCAGGGAGACAACCGCTGCTACTGCAAGCCACCGTCGTCGCTGCTGGGTTTGGATGGAGAGCAAAGTTGTCGTCCGAAGAGAGGCTGCAGCCGACGGGAGCCATGTCGGACCGCGTGTTTCGCGCTGCCAACCGAGCCAGTCAGTCTGGGAGAAAGGCCCAGGGTCGAGCCAAGTCGCGCTGTCTGCACTCCTGGGTGGCGTTAGTTAATATAACTTTTCTCCGGCATCCCCAGTCTTCTGTTCTGTTCTGATCTGAGCTGTTTCTTGTTTCGAAGGATGCACCTTATCGTTGTTGAACCATGCCAGGGAACTCACCCGCCAAAACATTTTGTCGGTGGGCACCGAGTTGCATTGGCATGGGATGGTCCAGGCTTGAAGATCGAAACGTTGAAACAATTCTAATCACACGTCACTGGAAATAATAATGCCTCGTTCGGCATCTGCCAGTGCCAACCACAATTATACTTTTTCGAAGGCTTTAAATTTTACGATGGCCTTGCGAGTTGCAGTGTTAGGCTTCTGGGCTCTGCCTCCATGAATCGTCACTGCAATGCGGTGCCTCAGACTCCAGTGTCCATTATCATCTGGTATTGTTGAAGGAAGGAAAGTGGGATACACAAATCAGGATAGTTCTGTCCGAAGGAGTACAGCGCAGTACAGAATATCCATAAGATCGGTTGCAGTATTACCTATCTCTGGCGTTCCGTGAACTCTCGAGTGGTACATGCCCGATGCACTGCAACTCTGTACATGTAGTGATTACCTCATCTCAGGGTACTCCTGCAGGTACAAATCCAAGAACAGATCTCCGACCACCTCGAAAAAGAAGACCAGTAGAAGGCCTTTTAGTCATGAGAAATCTGTATTACGGCCTCCAAGGGGTCTCAGAAATTTGATTGACCTTACCGATCTATTTACAAGTAGTTAATTCCATTCTCAGACTACGACAATTTCTCTTCCTACACAGGGTCACGGGCAGGAAGATTAGAACTCCACTGAAGGATGAAAGGGCTGAACAACAATTTCTCACCTGACTGAACACAGGCCACACAACTCAAACTGCAATTCCAGTACGGACTCTTCTGTGCCCTTCTATCGTATTTCCTATCCCTTCACCCAGCCGAGGCACCAGGAGGTGATTCAGAACAAGCAAAGCAACCCCTCTCCAGGCTTTTCCCTCAACCCATGAAGCCATGAAACGAGGCCACGAAGACCTGCATCTCTATCCTCGAATCGGATCCCGATAACGATTTCGTACGGAACCTGCATTCGCTCCCTCCTTATCTGCCCAACTCTCTCCTTGCGGACGTCAAGGAATCTGCGCCGTCGGGCGGGAAAGTTGAGAAAAGATGCCCTTGCCATGTCACCCCACCCTTTCCCCCCAGAACCCAGCGAGCGAGGAGCGTTCCTGAACCGACCGTCCGGACGTTCCTGGCACTTTGCCTAGAACACGTTTAGTTTTGCCTAATCTACTGGGATGTACAGCACTGGCGTGCCTTTAAACTTTGCTAGGTGCTGATCAGGAAGCCTATCCGCTGGAACCCACGAGCTAAAAAGGTGGAATGTTGAGTTCAGGCTAGCTAGGCACCTGGCAAGTTGGCAGTCAGTGATTTGATCAACCCTACGGCTACTTATCCTGCTTTATCTAGGCTACTGTACTGCAGGAGTGGAGTGCTTGCAGTGCACTGCAGTGGTGGAGAAGCCCAGCTGAAGAGCCTGCACAGAGTCTTCATAAACCATGCATAAGTCGGGAGAAATGCATGTGAAGGAGGGTCTATTGGTCTGGCCTTGGACATCACTCGGTGCGACAATTCGACGTCTTTTCATCCGAGAGCTGGCCAGAAGCCTACATGTCATCATGCACTCGGAACGTGAGGGGGATCTTCAAAAGAGATCGAGGACTGAAGCCACCCGGTCGGCTTGGTCGAAAATGGCAAGTGATTCCAGACCTCCCGATCGACAATGATAGTCGACTTGTCAAGTCCTCAACCCCTCACTCAATTGCTCCTGAGTCGTCTTCTTACGAAAAACAACATCTAGCGCAGCAGCACGAGACAAAGCGAAACGAAACAACCCTACCTAAGAAGAGTCTTCTGTCTTCCGCATGCATCACCCACCAGCGCTCCAATCGTCACAATGACAAAAGAACCAGCGGTACAAACACCGTCATAAGATGACGCCCCATCATACATGACTGCCGTGAAATGTTAACAACTCCCGTCGAAACAAGCCACGGCTACACGCCCTGATTCGCCGTCACGAATAGATCTTACTCCGATCTCTCGATTTGACAGATCCTGAGTTCATCCAATCCAACCATTATTCTGACTTAAGCATTTGTGAGGCAGCGACACGCTTTCCTTTCTGTGGTGGGATGAGTGCGTAAGAAAAGGGGTCGATTGGATAGGAGTGCTTCCTGCCCCTGAAATCGTTCCCGCCCGCTCGCCGCCCGCTTAGCCGGAGCGGCTGCTTGGTCCGTGGCGCTTTGTGAGAGTTCTGAGATCATGTGATGACTATTCTTGATAAGGGACCTTGATGCAGGGTTTGTTTTTGGAACTTCTGCAATCACTGACGCAGGCGTTTCGCCTTGGGATTCTTTTTCGGGTTCTGCCGTGGTGTGAAATATCCATTTTTGGCTCTCCCTGCAGTTGATTCAGGGGAATGGACTTTGGATGGGTAAGACGGAAATCCAATTCGGGACTTTCCCGCCGCAGGGATCTGTTTTCATCCGCTATCCCTGGCGATAATCGATAAGCAAACTCGCGTGGACATGGAGGCCGGCTAGTAGTATCATGAACCACACACCCTTGAAGTAGCCTTGTTAGACCTCTCGATGGTATAGTAAACATTTGGTATTTGCGTCTACACTCCACACTGCCACTATGGTCACTCGAGGATTTTGGAATGTGTGTAGAGAAGGTCCGTGGTCTTTCTTTCATTCATCTCATTTTCGATCTTTCCTTCCTTGGCTAACTCGTAATTTAATTTTAAGGCGAATGGTTTCAAATCCGCCGTGGAAGACCTGATCGTATCGGCGAGCCCGGTGATAGATTGACGTATTCGATGATGAAATCTTTGCAAGAGGGTAGAAAGATACCAGATATATCGACGCCTATCCCATTTCCGTTGCCACTTCGGGACAAGCTGAGCTACGTCTATACAATCAACCTGCAATCAAGCACCTTGACTGTTTCATTCCATACTCACCGTCAGAACAGCGAAGATGGGCAAGGAGTATACCTGACTGTGAGAACTCTCAGCTTGGACACAATCAATCAAGCTTCGGACATGAGCATTGACGCTTTGCTACAGAATGGAAGCAACCCACTTCTCGACACGTTCCCAGAGCAAGGTTCGTTGCAGGCAGACGGAGAATATGACCTTTGGGATATAGAAGTTGGTCAACCGACCGCTATGAACGAGCTTCAACATCGCATGTTCACGGACTTCGTATACCAATGGCGGTTTTTCCTTGATGACCGCACGCTCTGGCAATATCCTTCATCGACCCTTTTTCGCAGACTGTGTATTGCATTCTTGCGTCTTGCCGCTTGGGACTTTGAGATATCTTCTGAAAGCGAGATTGCGGATCTACCCCTACGAATTAAGTCTTTTCCAGCCTGGGACAGTCCTCCTACGGATATCTACTGGTTTCATGGATTCCTGGTCGTCATTTGTGAGGGTCTCGGCCCATCATCGTCTATATCAGCTGCTGTGTCACGAGCGAGGGAGTTTCTCGGTGACCTGGAAGGACGAGTAGATGGAGTGAATTGTATCTTAATGTCGCTATGTGACATTTCTTTCGTCCAAGTCTCATCGGACTCGACAAAGTGCTCAACAGCATTTCCATTAATCAGAAATTCGTCCGCAACGGACTGTTCGCCCGGATTCCGCATACTTTCCTACTTGCTCACTTCTACTGATATTAAGAAGAGTCTTGCAACTCGGGAGGTCTTCAATGCTGTGCTTCCCCCGGAAGTTTTTACCATGATATTCAACAAAATCGCCCCTTCCGATATCGTTGCTTGTGCCCAAGCCTCCTTTACGATCGAGAAGCATTATTACTCCTCACTCCCGCAACTTCCAAACATAGCTATCCACCACCTCGGCGTTTCGATTCCTTGCTGTGGCAGCAGGAACAGCGGTAAGGGGTTGTTCTGTTCAGACTGTTATACATGGCGACATTTAGACTGCCTCGACTCGAGTGAGCGTTCGCTGGAAGATAATTGCTACATCTGTCCCAAATGTCTCCTGTTTCGAAATAAAGCTGGTAATTCCCGGGAGAAACTCATACCAGGCGGTATAGAGCGTCTAAATCACAGGTCAGATAGGCCAGAAGGGTGCCCTGTTCTGATTGGGAAGAAGAAGAAAGTCCTGCAGTTGAGAAGAGCGGCTCCAGCAGCTAAGCGGCCTGAGGTGAGACTTATGGATCCTACTTTTGACTCCCCGCACCCTAACCAGATTGATTATGTTATCATTTTTGGAGGGGTATGGACCGGTCTTGCTTATGGGCTGGATGATGTTGGTTTGTCTCGAGGAAGTGAAAGGTGTAGCTATGAGATATTTCAGCTGTGATTGGAAGAGGAACGAGATCGAATCTGGAGAAATTAATTTGTATATCTATCCTATAGAAGCACTGCAGGCGTTTAGGACTCTAGTTCTTGGACGACTTTCATACATGTATGTAATTGGATAGGCAGGATGGCCGTCCATCTGGTAGATATACAAACACACATCTTGCCCGCAATGAGGAACAGATGAGAACTTAGAGTACAAATTCAAAATCTGAGCAGCCATGGCAACATGATTTCCACGGCGCCATGCACTTCTCTGTTGTATGACCCTTTCCTGCCCTTCTTGTAGTCCTTCCGTCTTAAATCGCTATCTCATATTGGCCTTCCTTCAGGTTTGTTACTATGAAATCCCTCGGAGTCTACCTCTATTTCGTAAATAAAGTTTTACTCGGGTCTAGAAGACTTAAACAGCAGAGAGTAAATTATTATGTTTGTTGTTCTATATCCAGCTGCGTTATTGCCGGTCGGCACCCCTTTGTCGCTTTGCTCACGTCTTCCCCTCAACTGCCAAACGAAACACGAATTTTCCAGGGTTTGGGTACCCTGTAATTAAGCGAGCAACGCCTGAAATACGGACTTGATAGGCAGCTTCAGTGACCCGCTTCAGCGCTGCCCCCTAACGAAGTGTGTTGTCGGCAGTTGAGGGGACAGTCTAAAACAGAAATAGCGAAGGCCATGGGGATCTGCTTTCATCCGCTATCCCTGGCGATGACCGATAAGAAATTTCACATGGACATGGAGTTTATCGGAATCCCAACACTCTTCCATCACCCCTCGCTGCAACCCCCCACTTACAGCACAGGAACAATTGACAAGGCCAGTTCACCCAGTGCCTGATAATTCTCCTCTCCTCCAATCCATCATGTCACCCATCCCTATCACGATAATCACCGGGTTTCTTGGGTCCGGGAAAACCACTCTCCTCCTCAACCTTCTCCCGCAACTGCGCGCCCAAAACCCATCCTACAAACTCGCGCTCCTCAAGAACGAATTCGGTGATCTAGCCATCGATAGCCAGCTCGCGACCTCATCCTCCATCTCAGGCGTCCGCGAACTGCTCAATGGCTGCATCTGCTGCAACCTCGTCGGCCAGCTCGATGTCGCGCTCCAGGAGCTCGCGGAAAAGGTGCAGCCGGACCGCATAGTCGTCGAGACGAGCGGGAGTGCGTTCCCTGCGACACTAGCTATGGAGGTGAATCGGTTGGCGAGGGAGACGAAGGGCGCATATGTATTGGATGGAGTGGTTACGGTGATTGATGTGGAGAATTGGAAAGGGTATGAGGATACGAGTTATACGGCGAAGATACAGGCGCGGTACACGGATTTGGTGGTGTTCAATAAATGGGAGGGGGTGAGTGAGAGGAGGATGGATGAGTGTCTTGATCGGTTGGGTGACTTGGAGGTCCAGATTGCGTGGGTGAAGAGTGATAAGGGAAGAGTGCCTGTGGATGTTGTGTTTGGCGTTGATGGGGGGCTGGCGAGGACGCTGGGTGAGACTCAGACGAATGGACATGGCCATGATCATGCGCAAGTGAACGGGCATAGCCATTACCACGCGCAGGAAAATGGCCATAGCCATGAGAAGGGCCATCAGAGTGAAGTCGAGGTCCTCTCCATCACGCTAGAAGCAGGAGCAAGTTCAGTTGTCGATTCAACCAAGCTAGAGAAGCTTCTCAAGACCGCCCCGAAAGACGAAGTCTACCGCATCAAAGCTGTTCTCGCAGCATCATCTCCCATCGTACCCTCAGACTCGAATACCGCCGAACCCAGTCCCACTGGTCCAGGCCGGTATATTCTGAACTGGGCGTTTGGGAGGTGGACATGTACGCCGATGGTTAGCGATGAGCATAACTCGAGTAGTGGAGTTGTCTTGAGGATGACAATGATTTTGGCGAGGTATGAGAGTAAGAAATGGAAGAAGCGGATCGAGACTGCTGGATTTGTGGAGTTGGATGGAGAGGATAAGGGGACCTTAACCATTGAGAAGATCGCTTGATATACGAAGAACGATAGAGGACATAGGACACGACTCACGACTGATGATAGACGATAGACGATAGAAGTAGAGATAGAGCATCTCCGACGCCGACACAGCAACCTCAACAAGCATACCTACAGAGACATCCGAACGAATCTGTACAAGAATGCAAATCGATCTCAGAGTGTCCCACATTTTCAAAAGACTGCAATTCAAAAACACGCCATCCTCTCCGACCAGCCACCTCCAAGTCCCGCATCTTCACCTCAGTGCCCAATCACCGACTTTCAGGTTCTCAACTCCCAATCATAATATTTGTAACAAACCTCTTCCCACGAATCATAGCCGGCGATTTATTTCCTGTGCGACTCGCGAAGAATGTCAAGCGAGATCGCTCCCCTTTTCTACAAGGCTTACATTCCGCGGCACAACGGCACGCGTCAACAAGCCCAGTATATTAGACGACGCCTCCCTCCCCAATGTTGCTTCTTCATCGACATCAATACATCACACTCATTTAGTCCTGAACATTTGTTTACTGTCACTCGTTAGACGCGTATTTCCTAATCCACCAAGAAACAGACTTCCTCGCTTATTCACAACGATAATTCCACGGTTTTAAACCAGCAATCTTCAAATTACAGTCAAGATGATGTCCTCCAAGTAAGCTCATTCGTTCTCTCTTGCTCCCCAGACAGCACTCTCAAGCCTCAAAACGCGCCATTTCAACTCTGTACTAACATCCATCTCAGAGTCACCCTCCTCACCATGCTCCTCCCCCTCATCGCCGCCCAAACCTACCCCATCACCCCGTACGTCAACCAAACCATCATCTACGAGACCGCGTACATCGATATCTGCCCCACCGGAATCACCACCAAGACCTACACCATCACGCAGACCTGCACCAAGGAAGCCTGCCACAAACCCACCGAGAGCGTGATCCCACCCCACTTCGTCGTAACCACCAAGGTCTGCGATGCCTGCGCAGGACAGCCAACCGTCACTGTCACTTGCCCTATTGCCGTTGAGACTGGAGTCTACACCAACGGTACTACCCCATGCTACGGTAAGGGGTGCCCTGCCCCACCGCCTGCCCCAACCGTCACCCAGTGTGTTGGATGCCCTGGAGAGGGAGCCAAGACCACTCCTGCTGTGCCAACGAAGACTGCTGCTGGATGTGGATCTGGAGTTACCTGCCCACCCCCTGGTAATGGCACCTATGTCACTGGTGGTGCGGATGGAAAGTTTGTTAGCAGCGCTGAGGTTTTGGCGTTGAGCATGCTTGTAGGCATCGCATCATCGATTTTGTTGTTGTAGAGTCTCGATATCTTGTCTTGAGAGGTGGTTTCTTCGAGTTTTATTTTTTGATTTTCTTCTTTGTTGGTTTAATAGATGGAGGCTAGGGGTACATATGTATTGTGCTTAGATTGCTGGATTTGGTGGAGAAGTTGATAGTTGGAATTAAAAATTGCATGTTTTGCATTACTTCACTTCGTCGTTCCTTGTAATCATTATATTTCTGAACCTGAAGTCCGTTTGCATTACTTGGGTTTTCTCGTTACGGGGTCTCATTGAGTATCACTTATCATTTCGTTGAAGCAAGAAACCACTAATATTAGACGCACGTAAAATCCGGCAACTCATTGAAATGTGCTCTGGTCCACTAAAGAGGATAACTCGTATCCAATAGGTCTTGTATCATTTCGCACCTTCGTATAATGTTCGTAGATGCATCTTCAAAGCTTTCCAAGACTCAATTTTTTCACTGTTGATGGCAACGAACCCGGTTTGGTGGACGTGCGAAAGTCTCGAAGACCGAGACCAAGTATTTCAACACAAAACTTGAAAATCATGATGCTTGAATTTAAGACATCTAAAGCATTACAACGCAAATTTCGCTATGCTTAGAGCTGAAACCGTTTTGAGCCACATGCCCTTCCTGGTCATTGCAGAACAACTCGTCCCAACTGGCTAGCTGAACACGCTTCTACAGACAATGGAATCGCCATTTCTCTGTGCTGTTTCCAAAATATCTCAAGTAACCGTTCTTAAGTTCCCTTCAGGCTTGAGAATCAACCTTCTTCCCTCATGCCAAGTCACTGAGCACCAAGCTTGAGATCTCGGTTCCCGTCCATCGGCAATGTTGAGTTATGATGCCCCTTCTTCGGTATTCTCACAATAGCCCCGCTTATCATCAAAATGAAGAACACAACGGCTAATATTACAAGTAGAATCGGAGCTCCGATCTTCAGCCTTTTCAGTGATTTCTCTTTCTTACTCATCTTCACCGACCAACATTCAACGGTCATGCGTCCCCCATTGTGTCTTTCTAGATAGAGTGTCGAAACCATGGCCTTGACTATTGCGAAGCTGAGTCATGGTAGGAAATTTTCCTACGTCATAATCTGCCTCCACCAACATGATCTTCTCCAGTGAGGTCCATTTATTCATGTCAAGCGATGGTGCTCTTCCTTGCCACTCCGAGACCCGCAAAGCTATTGTCTTGACATTCTCGACCCCTTGGACCACAACTCTAAGTGGTGGCTGCCTCGTAATCCGAAACCCTTCTTGGAGGAGTTCAAGAACAGAATATCTCGGAAAATACACAATGTCCTTGTCCCAGTTCACCAATATTCGACTTTGGAATTCAGTTTCGGTAAGACCATCCAACCCGAAAGCTAAATCGTAGTTTTGCAAAACCCGTGGTCTGCAAAGGAAATCATGATACTCGACTTCGTGTTTGCTCAGCGGCGAGTATAACATAGAAAATAGTTTCTGGTGGGCTCCCGACTTGATCACATGCTCGTAGATTGGGATCAATCGAGGAGGAATATCTTCGAGAGTGGAGTTCCATATAGCGGCCCGATGTTCATCTGGAAATCGCTCCAAGTATGAAGGCTGATGACGCGATGGAAATATTGCCCCGACCAATCGTCTGCACCGCACGAAGAAAGAATCTGGCGGAACCAGTGTTTTGTTGTCGTCACTGTTTTCCTCTAGGCCATTATCAATCTGTACGGATGCTGGTGGTGCGGTATCCTGTGGCTGCAAGTCTTGCAGCTCAATTGATTGCATGTTTGCTGCCGATTGTGATGACATGTTGCTTCATATGTCGATGTTGTAGTTGCACGGCCTGTGATGATAGTGAGCGTGGTGTTTTCGGGATGATGCAGTCGATAATGAAATTCTACGATGAAGATGCTGTTAAAGCGAATGAATTATTTAGTTGTGAAGCAAGTTGGGAATGCAAATGGGAGGGTTAAAAAGTAGAGGGCCATCGGAGCAGTGGAAGGAGGAAGGCATGACCATGATAGCTGCAACGCATTGCCTTCGTTGCGGGCAAGAACATAGGAATAGTGGAGAATACTCCTCCTAACCTACTGGCAGCTCAGTGATATTCGGATTCTCATCAAAATCATCTTCATGAAAAGTAAACAAACCGTCTCGGTTACGAACGAGATCCCTCGATTTCGGAAAGGAGGCAAATCACGTGGCGGCACAGCATTCACCACGGCCCCCGCATAGCAATATCAGGTTAGACGTTGCGCCAGTTTACGCCGCATTAAGAAGTTGAGGTCTTGGAAGACATAAAAGCCTAAGATTTCAATCGACGAGTTCCTTCCTTCCATATGTTTTGCAACTGGTCTTGGTACAATAACTTCGAGACTGCTACTTCCCTCTTCACATATCACTTCGTCAGCGCTCGCCACGGGAACAATCACAAAACAACTCTGCAGACATGACATCCAATTCGAACTCACCGCCTAAGCCATGGGTAGAAACACCTTGCATAAGATCCGCAGCTCTTTCACGAGAAGCAGGATGGTACTCAAGTCTTACCCCCACTCTTGAGCTCTCACTGACATATTCCAGTAACATCTACCTCAAACTCGAGACACTCCAACCATCTGGCTCTTTCAAATCACGAGCTCTTGGAAACTTTCTCAGTAAAGCCATCATCGCTCATGGCCCCGAGAAGCCTATTCATTTCTACTGCGCGTCTGGTGGAAATGCTGGACTTGCATGTGTCGTTGCCGCGACGATGCTCAAGCGGCCTGCTACCATCGTCGTACCTATGACTACCTCCGAACTCATGATCGAGAAACTAAAGACACTGGGAGCAGATGTGGTGCAGATAGGCATGCACTGGAGTGAAGCTGATGCTCATTTACGAGAAGAACTGTTGGGCAAGGATGAGAATGGTGTTTATGTCCCGCCTTTTGATCATGAGGATATCTGGGAGGGAAACTCCACAATCTCTGACGAGCTTGAAAAGCAAATGAGTGTGAACGGGGGCTTCGACGCGTTGGTTTGCAGTGTGGGTGGTGGTGGTATGTTTTCTGGTATCATGCAAGGACTGGAGCGACATGGACACCTAAAAGGTGGAAGTGGCAAACGTGTCAAGGTTCTTGCTGTTGAGACGAAAGGAGCGGAGTCATTGAACCTGAGTGTGACCAACAAGAAGTTGTCAAGACTGCCCGGTATCACAAGTATTGCCAATTCACTGGGAGCGACACAAGTTGCTAAAAAGGCATTCGATTGGGGCATCACTGAGGATGTTACAAGCCATGTACTGAGCGACGCCGAGGCCGCAATTGCTTGTGTCAATTTCGCCGATGACGAGAGAATCCTCGTGGAGCCAGCTTGTGGAGTCAGTATCGCGACAGTATACAATGATACTTTGCAGCCCCTCCTCTTCCCGTCTCTGTCAGCTGAGGATTTTTCAAAGCTCAACATCGTCATCATAGTCTGTGGCGGCTCAGGCGTCACTCTTCAAATCCTTGAAAGTTACAAGAAAGAATATGGGCAGGATCGGGCTGTGGTGGAGAAATTTCACTCGAGGAGGATCAGAGAGGAGGGTGCAAAAGCGATCCCCACCAAGGTGCAAGCAGACTCCAAGGTTCCATTCATTTTGCACAGCGAGGAGCAACATAAAAGAGATGATGTGCTGGCCCAGGGACGTAATTTCGAGGGTGAACCCGTGGGGTCTAAACCAGCCATTGGATCAATGGAGCTTGGGGAGGTAGAGAAGCAGATCGAGGAATTTGGAAAGGTGGTTCAAACTTGATGGCTTTCGAGGTTGACAATGCTGAGGGCTTTGGGGAGGATGGCAGTCGAGGTGTGATCTGAATCCATGCATGCAAAATTAGATTTCATAGAGGTTTGCAGCACAATAGACTACAGCAATGATTTAAAAGTCTCTAATCCCTGAGTTGCTGCTATTCACTTTCCTCCCAAGACTGGGTAAAAAAACATCAGCAGCTGGGCCCACCCAGATCGCCGAAGTACTTCACGGTACATGTAACGAAATAATCAAATCCCTTCCAACCAGCCTTCTGAGGAAACTTGATTGGGATCTCAGCCGCTGCCGTAAGGGGTTAAATTTGAGCAGGCTAGCTAGCTTTTAAGTCGTGACTCTGAAACGCACCTGGTGACTACCCCTGCCAAGAGAGAAAGACTTGACCATCTGGTCAGCTTCTTCTTTTTGTACATTTCCTCCAGGCATTTGTTCTTTTTGAGTCTCGTATATGTAGGTTTGGATGCGCGAGAAGTAGTGTTTCAATTTTCGTTTGTTTTGTTTTCTTTGTTTGTTGATTGAGGTTTAGCCGACAATTGCTGGTGATGGAGTGGCCTGGGAAGAGGTATACGACCAACATGCCAGGTATGATTTTCTCACTGCCTCCGCAGTCGCGAAGGGGTACTTGGTAAGGGAGCTGGCTTTCCAACTCGGGCTTGGACTTGAACTTGGACTTGACTTGAGGTGAGGGTGAGAAGGTCAGACATGCTGCTGTGGGAAGTTGGAAAAGGGCGTTTGCGGGCAGAGGGCAGGCTAAGTTTTGCCACAACATCTCGGCGTCAAGAAGAAAGGTAGCTAGCTATTCTGTGAAGATGTACTGATGAATCTTTGCTATCATGGGGGTGCGCAAAGGCTTCAACGTTGGAAACTGTTGGAACTTCGGTGCCAATGTGTTGGAATATGATTGTGTGAGAGACAGGTTGAAATTCAACAACAGTGCGCGTTTAACGAAGATATGTCAGAACAACAGAATTATGAAGTTGAAACATAGGTACTTTATCCGTAATATTGTCGAGATCATGGAATCATGAAACACGATTACTCACTGGGCAGCTTCTGCTTTTTGCACCCTGCAAAGGAAAGTAAACAAATAACTCGCCTCGCTAACAGCCCCGGCCAAGTCACCTCAGCCCTCACTTCCACCTAGTGATTCACCCACTCTCTTTCCTCTTCACCTCACTTCTCACAGACTACGAGTTTTGTTGCATATCGCACCCTGAAAGTGAAGAAAGAATTGTCTCGTTTTGGTAAGAACACAAATCCGCCTTTTTCTGGTTCGACTAGACCACTTCACTGTGTATCATCGATTCAGAGAACTCTCTAGCTTGCACTTCTCTCACAGCCATGTATGCAACTGGAAGGACTGGACTTTAGACTGTCATTGTGTAGTTCTAAGGTGTAGCATTACTTTTGGTGGTTCCTAAAAGGGCTTTGTAGTACGAAAGACTGAGAGAGGTGTACATGAACCATTCCTTTCTGATGTTAACTCTGGTAGCAGCGGTTCCCAATCATAAAACACATTTTTAAAACGGATTGCCATTTCCAAATTCCTTCATGGTATATTCTCCAAGCGCAGTATTCCTCTGTAACTCCAATATCTCTCCCTCTCTTAACAATTTGAACGCCAGCAAGCCAACGCCTGAATCCAAACTCCACGCTCTTAAATATCCATCATTCTTTTGTCTTTCCAGGCTAATACCATACCCCAATACAGCTCTAACCTTACAGACTCATCGTGACAGTCATACTGTTGCTGTGTACCATCAATACAGGTGGGCATCCTCTACACAGGACTTCCAAATCCCCCAGATAATTCGCACTAGCCTCCTCACTCAGGCTCGTCCCCTCCACCGGACTCGGTAGCGTCGTAAACATAACCGCCGTATGCTTACTCTTACTACGCATCAACTCATTCAATATTAAATGTTGGGCACGACACGGCAAATCGTTGAAGCTGAGCGGCACGCCCTGGGTGGAGTATGTTGAGCCGCGACGAGACTGTATGTCGGAAGAGAGGTGAGATTGTGGATAGGGATGGGGAGCTTCGGACTCGTTAGTTTCGGAGATGCGGTCGGGATTGGCTATGTAGGCTGATGGGAGGCGGTTCCGACGATGAGGTGGCGGTGAGGGCGTATCAGTGAACATTAATGAGGGGCCGGGGCCATCTTCGGTCGCGACGCGGGTCATTGGGACGGGCTTGCTAGAGAATTTCGGCTGCGAGGCGTGGCGAGAGAGCGGTGGTCTCTCGGATGCGACGGATGGTGGGCGAGTGCTTGATGATTCGGGATTTGGCGACTTTGGCTCCAAGAGTGAGGCTGGTTTGCTTCCCGCGTTGTCGGATGACACTTTGAGCGAGGATGCGAGATTCGAGATTGACGATGTTTTCTTATGGGAAGGCTCGGGGTCGGATTTCTTGAAGGAAAGTTCTGGTGCGGAGGCGATCGCCTTGTCTGTTGGCGGGATGGTCTTCCTTGGACTGCGTTCCGGGACTGTGACTTCTCTTTCTCCAGTGGATTTCTTAGAGGGTGGAGGTCCTCTCATAGTATCGCCGTGGCTTCTACGTCTCTTGATCTTTGACCTATCTGGAGGAGGAGAGTTTGTGTCCGACTCGTAATCGTCCATATCAGCTTCGCTCGCAGCACTGTTAAGGCCATCATCATCCGAGTTGTATACCAAGACATCAGAATCGCTGTCAGAGCCGCTATCCGAGTCTTCACTGGCGCTTGCATTGCTTGCTTGAATAACAGTGTCAGACAGCCTGTGTGTCCGCATGCCGAGACTGACTCCCAGCTTCGTGAGCCCGCTCATGGTATGCTTTCGTTTTGACTTCTTCAGGAGCCTGCGGAGACCAAGAAATCGTTCGACACGCTCCCCACGAGGACCTTGTTGGAATGAAGCCTCTGGCCAGTTTGTTCCTACCGTGTAGATGCTGGCAATTTCTGACAGGTCTTCGGCTCCAGAAGTTGGGCCACGCTTTCCACGAATCTTTTGGAGTTCATCCCACCATTCCTGTCCCTTTAGGCATTCTTCGACCTCCTCCTCAGCATCTTTGCCTGTACTGGCACCATTGACAATGATTTCATAGGTGGGTAGCTTGCCAGAAGCCAGCCAGAAGACAAGCACCTCGGCTTCAATCCGCAGGTTCTCGAGTAGTAACTTGACTCTACCGCGTTCTTCCTCGACGTCACTCTCATATTCAACAAAAACAGCAACTCGAAGCTTGTAGGCTTTTTTCCAAGCCGGAACTGTGTTGAGAATGACGCCAAGCTGTAGAATGAGCGTATAGGTATCAAAATTGGTTGTCAGCACATTTTGCTTATTGTCGCCCTCGCCAGCAATTTCAGCCGACATCTGGATTGGCCACAGGTCGATATATTTCTTATTGTGGTCTCCATCTACATGAGGAAACTCCAGAGACGAGAACCCCTTGGCAACTGCAACATTGATCTGGAGTCGAAGGAGTAGATCCTCAAGTATGGTCACGTAGCTCGTGACGCTCATCATTGCTTCTGTCTTGCAGGTGTCAGTTGGTAATATGCCAGACATCTTTGCATCCTTGCTGTCTTGTCGAGCAATTCTCTCCCTCTCGCCCGCGGATTGACTCGGATTATCTGGCGTGGAAGGCAGTTCAATATCAACCAGCGGCCGATTTCTTCTCAGGTCGTCGAGGTTGTAGAATCCAAGAACAGCAATGTTTGGTCTCATGCCCCCAAGTCCCGAGTTCAAGACGATATTTCTAGCCCCCCACTCAACTCCAGGAGAAATAGCAATATTAACAAATGCCTTGATCTTTGAGAAGTCGATATATTTCGTCCAAGCTGCTTGCTGTCTCCGAGCTTCAGGAACAGATCCGCCGAAATTATCTGTGACAATGACATGGCCGAGGATGTAAAGCGAGCCCTTCTTCATTGAATTGCAAAACTGTATGAGCTTGTATTGGCGTCGAGGATCATTAACGAAAAGTAGGATTTGGGGACGCCAGAACTTGACATGCTCTTGTCGTAGCCGGAGGAGATATTTTCGAACTTGGTGATAGATGAGATTTTGTGACACATCGCCCCAGCTCTTTGGCGGACTCGTGTAGTGAATGATGAGAAACAGGATCACAAGAATGCCGACACAAGACGCTGCGTAGAGTCCATCTACGAAGAACATTGCAACAGCTGAGACAATTGTCCCTGTTAGAGCAGTTTGCCAATTGAAGAAGTGGAAGGACGGTCGAAAATTCGGTGCTGAGCCTATCTTGAGGAGAAAGCATGCCAAGTTCATCACTAAGAATGTCATCTGGATCGATTAGCATCTGTTTCTCCGCTTTGTGGGTGTTAGACTTACAAGATACGTCATAGTAACGAAAGATGCGATTTGATTCAGGTCACAGAGCATAGTGACTTGAGCCACGAGATAAGTCATAATGATTGCATATGTTGGCTCATCGCCTTTCTTCGTACCTTGCCCAAAAATGGAGAACCCTGGAAGTAAGTTGTCTCGAGCAAGTGCTTGTAAAAGCTTTGCTGATCCTATTACACCCATTAGGGTAGAGAAGAACGAACTCGCAAATTCTCCGGCTAGGATTACAAGACCAGATATATTGGTATCTTGAATTACATTCGCATTTCTGATGAATGATGATCGTGTTATTGTGGCAGCCATGGCGAGAATGACAAGAGTATAAAGCACAAATGTTGTTCCGAGGCCGTAGAGGGTTCCCTTGGGAATAGACTTGCTAGGGTTCTTCAAATCTCCAGACATACTAGCACCGGCAAAAATGCCGCCAGTCGCTGGGAATAGAATCCCGAATAGATCTTGGAAGGTCTCTCTACCGTGTAGCTGACTTCCAGCAGCACCCTTCGTAAGACGAGGCATGAGATTTCCAACAAAGGTGTCCACGCTCAGACCAGTATAGTCGATCCCAAGCTTTCGACTTTCAAATGGTGCAACTATGAGGGCCGAGAGCGGGATGCTGAGGGTAGCAATGACAAGAATAACCAGAAGTCCATTGCTAGCACGAGCAAAAATCGATGACCCAGCAAGACAGATCGCGGTACATACCACAAGAACAACTGTTGACCAGAGGTATAGATACCATGGAGTTTCTGGCATGATATTTGCCCAGTTTCCAGTGGTAGAACCAAAGTTCAGCTTGAGGCAGTCGATCAAGCCCACAGCATTCAAACCTGTGTTGAAGACGAATCCCATATAGAACACAACTCCAATCGATCCACCGAACTCGGGCCCAAGAGATCTTGAGATTAAATAGTATGCTCCCCCGCCTCGAACTGTCCCATTTGATGCAATTGCTGAGAGGGAGAATGTGGTGATGAGATTGATCGCATATGATGCAACTAACATGCCCATGATACCCAGGACTCCACTTTGTCCTAGGAACCGTTAGCGAAAGGACAGCCTCTCTGAGTAACACAGATTGGATTGTGTATGGCAGAAGCCTAGACTGACCAAGAATGAACCCAAAACGCAAGAACATAAGAATGCTAAGAACATTCAAACATGTTGGCACATAGACTCCAGAGAACATGCCCAGCTTCTCATCTCCTCCGACAGGTCGTGGTCCCAAGCCAGCTTTCGGAACAGATGCCTCTCCATTTGCTTTCTTCATCTCCACAGCATTGTTCTTTTGTATCTGCGTCATTTCGTCTTCTCCATCGGGGGTCGACTTCTTCCGGCCATTGCTGCCTCTTTTCCGCACTCCAGAGCTGTCCCCAATATTGAAGGTTGCGATGTGTAGCAACCGCTTTGTCAAAGAGTGTTCACGAGGAGGTGGGGTCGACTCGTTCGTAGCTGGCTCGTAAGGGTTGTTGTCGTCTGGTCCTGCCCCGTTGGCAAGTTGCTCAAGTGGATCTGGCTCGTCAATGGCCATTGACGACCTCCTGTTCAGCTCCCCTGCTTCATCCTGGGCTGTACCGGAATGGAAGTTGGAGTGTTGTCGACCCATGCCTCTGTGGGCTGGACGCAATGTGCTAGACATTGCTGCCCTGTCTAGCTACAAAATAGTAGCAAGGAAGCTCGAGGTCTGCGGGTCACGACTTGAAAGCCATGCGGCTGAATGGAATAGCTAATGGTGGTGTAGGTAGTCAAACGCTACAAATGACGGTAGTATGGTACGTAGTAAGTCAGTCCGTCAGCTGCTTGCTCGTGGTCTCGAAACCTCCAAACCCGCCTCTGACCGCTCGCCTTGTACGTCGTTGACGCAGCTCGCAGGTTTGCTGTACAGTATGAATCGGATCGTGTATCCCTGCCCCTGCACGGAAACGTCATTCCAAGCTCGGCAAAGTCCCTACAGCGCCTCAAAATATCTTCGAGTCAGATACAAATACCAGCGACCAGCCGCATGCAGCGTCAAAGAAGACAAACATGCAGCAAAAGCAACGCAACAATGCCACGAAAGAAAAAGATTGTTGATGTATATAAATGGAATGTAAATAAATGCCGCACTTCTGGCGAGGCTGTCTGTCATGTCCAAATCTATCTGCGGGCTCAAAAGATAAGCCTTGAGCAGGGATGTCAAATGCTCTCTTCTGACTGGCTGCCCGGCATCAGGGGAGCTCTTTCACGTGGACACACCAGCCCAAAAACGAGCAAGTCCGTCTCGGTCCGCTGTGGGCTTGGCGTCGGGAGAGACCCAGCAGGTGATAGCATCGATGGAGGGAGTGACTGAAGTGACTGAAGTGACCCGAGACTGGAGTGAAAACAGCCGCCGAAACAGCTAAAATCCACTTTGCCTGCCTCTTGCTGCTCCTTTCATTGTACACAATCTGGTGAGTATTGTATATATTTGCGTGGGTTCGCGGCAATACAGCAGAGTTTCCAGGCTGACTTTCACGCCCCAGTCGCTTTCCTTTTAATCAACACCGTGGGACGAGACATCAGATAAGGTCGAGGGTCCCCAACATTCTCCTGTCCGACGACAGCAATTCCCCCCCAACACGAAAACTGCCGCCATGACGACTCCTCGAGATGGCGAGTCTTCTGCTCGACCTTTGCCCGTTCCAATGTCGTCGTCGCCGGGTTCAGCAAGAGGAAGATTATCTGGCAGTCCTCTCCCACGGGCAGCCTCAACAGCAAGACTAGCTTCCCCAGTCCCGTCTCACAGCACAGTGGGAACACCACAAGTACGCCAGATACCTACGTCGAGTCAAGTTGGAGCAGGCTCTATTGTTTCTGGTAGCTTGACGCCGCTTGCTGGTCCTCCACCCCACTCTTCACAGCCTGGACCGGGAGTGTCAGCTCTTGCACTTGCTTTGTCGAATTCTTTTGGGCAGTCACCACCGAAATTCGGTACACCTCCTCTACGACCTCTTTCTCCTAGTGCTGCCGGCCACCAAATATTACCTTCTGGACTACAGAGCAATTACGGTTCATTCGACAGAGCTCGGTCAGTTCAAGGAGCGCCGGGTTGGGCCGGTCCAAGTACATATGAGGATCCCGAGATTGTGAAGAGACATCTTGTGCAGCCTACCGAAACGGGAGACGCAACTCACGATGGCATATTTGGACCTTCTATGTCATTCCGAGCAGGGTCACCGGCTGGAAAGGGGAAACAAAACAATGAGGAGATAGCACCAGGACTGGATGACGACGAGTTCTCGAGTTTGCGGCTACAAGGAGGAGATGTTACGCGGCCCATATACAGATGGACTGAAGAAGCACAAGCACGGTCTGGGCGGGGGAAAGCTCAGAGAAGCCAGAGTTTTCACCTCTCGCGGCCATACCCTGAGAATGAAGTGCTTGATATTGGGTCAATCAAAGTCCCAGGGGGTTTCCGCCGAAACTTTCTTCGACGTGCTGCAGCGAGCCCATCTCCTGCTGGTAGACATGCCGATGAGAGTACCGTGGGACTTCGTTCACAACCGAAAATGCTCACCAATAATTTTATTGAATTTTTGACGATATATGGTCATTTTGCTGGTGAAGAGTTGGAAGAAGATGACGAAGTTCTAGGACCAAACGAATACTTCTCGTCCGAAGATCATTCGGCACTTGGAGATGAGGGTAGTGATGACGATAGAGAACCTATGGAAGACAGTGCTTTGCTCACACCGGGCCGCAAGAAGAGAAAGCGCAAGGAGCGACAAGTGGAAGGGACGAATGGGTCAATGGGAGCTGCTTTACTTCTGCTGAAGTCATTCGTCGGGACTGGTGTTCTTTTCCTACCCAAAGCATACCTGAACGGCGGCATGCTCTTCAGCAACCTGGTTTTGATTGGTGTGGCACTTCTCAGCTACTATTGCTTCGTTCTACTTGTCAACACCCGCCTGAGAGTGAATGGATCATTTGGTGACATGGGTGGAATTTTATACGGGAACTGGATGAGAACTACGATCTTGGTCTCCATCGTAATCAGTCAGATTGGCTTTGTCGCTGCCTACATTGTTTTCACGTCCGAGAATTTGCAGGCTTTTATTCTTGCGGTCTCGGATTGCAAGACCCATATTGAGGTCAAATGGCTGATTTTGATGCAAATGGTAGTCTTCCTACCATTTTCGCTGCTGCGCGACATCAGCAAGCTCGGCTTTACCGCTCTGATTGCTGATGCGTTCATTCTTATCGGCTTGGTATACCTTTACTACTACGACATTCTTACTATTGTCCGACAACATGGAGTTTCGGACATTGTCAATTTTAATCCCAACGACTGGACACTCTTTATTGGAACCGCCATTTTCACTTTTGAAGGAATTGGCTTAATCATTCCGATTCAGGAATCGATGAAGAATCCCAAGAAGTTCCCTCCAGTCCTTGGCGGAGTCATGATTATCATTTCTGTGATATTCATCTCCATGGGAGCGTTGTCCTATGCAGCTTATGGCTCCAAGACAGAGACTGTTGTCATTCTCAACCTTCCACAAGATGATAAGATGGTCAACGGAGTACAATTCCTGTACTCCCTAGCTATTCTACTGTCTACACCATTGCAGATCTTCCCTGCAATCAGAATCACAGAAAATGAGCTCTTCACCCGAAGTGGAAAGTACAATCCATACATCAAATGGCAAAAGAACCTCTTCCGTTTCTTTGTCGTCATGCTTTGCGCTGGAATTGCATGGTTCGGTGCCAACGATCTTGACAAGTTCGTGGCAGTGGTAGGTAGCTTTGCCTGTGTGCCATTGGTATATATCTACCCAGTATGTCTCGTCCCTTCCACAAAATATACGGCAGCTAACAAATTACAGCCCATGCTGCACTTCAAAGCCGTATCTAAAACCACATTCCGCAAAACAACCGATGTCCTTCTTTGCATTTTTGGCCTAGTAGTAATGGTCTATACCACCTCCCTCACAGTCATCAGTTGGGCAAGTGGGACTGTAGAACCAGGTCTTCCAAGCTACTGCGACAAGCAGAAGTTGAAGTTCCCATTCTAACACCACCACATAACAAACACATCAGACTACACATTTAACCGGAATGGTTCATCCGGCCCGGGCATTGGAAAGGAAACTTGGTTTTCGGTTTTTATTAGAATTGCTTTTCTTGCATAGCGCTGCGCTGCTACCTGTTTCCTTCTCACGGCTGTAAAGTACATAGCGAGTTCTGCTTACTATTCTGTACTCGTTGCTTCCTCCCTGCATGCATACATCCATGATCCATGGATTCACTTCCGTTTACTGTTTTTCCTTTCGCAGGCGTGCGGAGCGGCATTGTTACTTATACGAGATGACTATGAGATGAGAATAGAAAGTTGAACGATTGAAAATTCTATGGACTATCTCTATCTGCTTTCCTTTCCCGCTTTGAATAAAGAACAAAATATAGGAAGCTACTGCTCCTGCTGTGTGACGTATTAACCCGGTATATCTATTAGTCACCATTGTCCTTTCTCCCGTTGTATTACGACTGCCATGCTTCTAAATACCGGCTAACCAGAGCAATACAAATCAAATGACACACGCCTAAGCCCCCCTCCATAACCCAATCCCCGATCCTAGTACCCATTAACATCCTAAAAAACCCGTCCTCATCATCCATTACATTACCCAAATCCACCACCGTCTCCTTCTGTCTAACACTTACAAACCCAGCTCTAGACCCAAACCGGCAATAAAGCCAATAATCAGAACCCCAAACAGCGACTCCGCGGTCCCGGTCCCGATGAACGATAGCTGAGCACCGCCAGTGATGACTTGCGTTTCCGAGGGCTGGGTGCCTGTGTTGGTTGCTGCTGCGGTGGTCTCGGCCTCGGTTTTGGGCTCGGCCGTAGCTGTTACGACTGGTACGGTGCTTTGGTAGGTGTGAGGTTTGGTGCTGTGAGGTTTGGTGCTGTGGGAGCTTGTTAGCTATTGTTCTGAAGGAGTCGGAAACAGGATTGGAACAAGAAGAGGATGAGGAGAAAGGGAAAGGGGTTACAGGAGGAGATAGAAGAGCGGACGATAGAGTGTAAAGGGGCTAGCAGGGAGACTATAGAAGATAGAATAGTGAGTGCGTACTATGATCCATTTGTGATGGCGGTTCCGTTTGTGATGATGGTTCCATTCTTCTTGGCAGTAGCTGAGGAGGAGAGGAAGAGGAGGAGAAGAGCAGTGAAGAGGGCGTATGGGAGGGTGGAAGTGAAGCGTGCCATTTTAAAGATGGTTTCTTACTTTCGTAGAGATGCCGTCGTGTAATAACAGCTTTTTGGTTCCTCTGATCGCTGGACCTTACACAACAAGTGACAATGTAAGTTATTATTTTCAGACCAATTGAGACTGGACAAGCGACAGTATGAGAGTACTTTTCAGAGGGAAAGGAAGAAAGGTAACTGTCCGGGGTGTATTATGGGGTTTTAACAGCTTGTGAGATGGATTAGATAAGAATGGCATACTCCATTGACACCACTGGGCTGGGAGGAATGCGGACGCGCAGATCATCCATTCCTGGGCCTGGCCTAGGAACAGGTCCCCTAGGTACCTAAGTATGTTCCAGGCGGGCCGGGAATGCGAGGCGCGAAGAACTCGTTTATTCTTAGAATTATACTCTGAAACAGAAAATGCCAATCAATAAAGTTCGCTTGCACTTGTTTTGTTTTCTTCGGCTTCGGTTGAAAAGGGGGTCCGGCACGTGCAAAATGACAGGGGTCGCGTCGCGAGAATCGCGTCTTCCATTTTGCTACAACCTTCGCAGCACATGCCTCTTGAGGAGAGAAGAAGCCGACACCAAACATGGCGTTACCAGAAGGAGAAGGCAATCTGCTGCGCAGTCCCTCGTAAGTGCCTATCTTCTCCTCACTGAATTCAAACAACGCAATTAACAATCGTCCAGGAACCACCCCCATGTACCCCTCACCCGACAACCTTCCCTCTACAAACCTCTCACGACTTACGCCCTCGAGAAAGAAAAGCACTACCAGCAGCAATATGGCGACATGTACTTCTTGCGGCTCACAAAGCTGAAGCCATCAGTAGAGGCCAACGCCGAGGAGGCATGGCGCGATTTCAATATTGCAGGCGAGGATGTCGAGAAGGTGGAGAGCGTGCTGGATGTTAGGCAGGGGAAGCTGTGTTGGGTCGCTGGGACTATCTATATGGAGATGCCGCTGAAACCGAATATTCTGGATGATATCAGCAAAGATGTGAGTTTGTTCTCTATGAGTTGGGGAGGTGTGGTTTTGAGGTGGATATTGGGAGGATGTGTGCTAATGAATGGTTTAAAGCATTGGATCTCAGCGCCACCACCAAGACAGAAATACCTTTCACCTACAGGAGAAGATCTCATCATGTTGGAAGACGAATCGGGAAGATTACGATTAGTGGGCGCGCCATTATCAAATGAAATGCTAGTCACAGGCTGCATTGTCGCTGTTATGGGGACCGAAAACGCGAATGGAGATTTCGAAGTTATAGATATCAAAGTGCCAGATCTACCACCGCAGGCAGAAAGATGGCATACTGCAGATCCGGCATCGAGAAGGAAACCTGTGGATGAGGACACAGAAATGGACGTCGACAAGCCAGCCAGCAAGAAAATTGCCATTGTTTCTGGCCTAGGATTCTCGGGCACAGATGCAGACCACTCTCTTGAGATCAACCTCCTTGCCGAATACCTTCTCGGCGAAGCTCTAGATCCAGCAGCACAGGAAAGCGTCTCGCAGATCAGCAGGTTGATAATAGCAGGGAACTCGATAGCGTTAGATAATGATGCTGTATCGCATGACACGATTGGCAATACGAGGAAGACGCAGAAGAAGTACGGGTATGACAGCAGCGCATATAACCCCACGCCTACGAAGCACTTCGACGACTTTCTTGCCACCCTTTTACCGAGCATGCCTATCACGCTTATACCAGGGTATTCGGATCCAGCGAATGTCAGTTTACCACAACAGCCTATCCATCCCGCCATGTTCCCTCAAGCAAGGACGTATGGGGTTATACCACCTAGAGCAGGAGAGGTAGCAGAGCCGGGCTGGTTTGATACGGTAACTAATCCATGGGATGGTGAGATCGAAGGCTGGAAAGTCCTAGGTACAGGTGGGCAGAATGTAGATGATGTGTTTAAGTATGTGGAGAGCGAGGATAGGTTGGGCATGTTGGAGGCGATGTGTAGGTGGCGGTGCGTTGCGCCCACTGCACCGGATACATTATGTAAGTTCTCTCCTCCCCCTACTGACACTCCTCTATTCCCCGATCACCGCTAAATGAAATCAGGGAGCTACCCCTACCAAGACGATGACCCATTTGTTATAAACTCCTGTCCACACCTCTTCTTCGTCGGCTCGCAGCCAAAATTCGACACTGCCGAGATTGAAGGCCCGGATGGTCAGACAGTCAGGTTGATTGCTGTGCCGAAGTTTGCAGAGACAGGGGAATTGGTCATAGTGGATACTGAAACGTTGGAGACGGAGCTTGTGAAGATTACTGTTGGTGTTGGTGAGAAGGAGGAGTGAGGGGAGAAGAAAAGAGATGGTGCGATAAATAAGGCGCTGGGGAATTCACTATCATGAGAAATGAATGAATGGAAATCATACCCACAATTTCTTCCTATGGTCAAGACTGCTTTCTTCGACTCCGCGTGAAAGATATATTTTCCCAAAGTTCAATAGGCTCTCACCGAGATCATTGATCATCTTGGAGCAAATGCCAGACCAAGGATACGCAGGGATGCTTTATACCATTTCTATCAAGTCTCTCGCGAGTCTCAAATTGAGTGGTTTGGAGGATGTCTTTGATGGATTCATGAAAATTAGTGATGCTGAGTGTCTCGTAGAAAGAATACGAGCTGTTGGAGATGATCCAGATACTGAGTACCTCATAAGCGACTTTCCCGTCCCATGGGATATGGATTGTCCGCAGAGACACGACGGTGGAGGTACTTGGTCATCTGGTCCATGGAACAGTATTAGACCTCAGTAAATAGACTTTCGGTCTAGGAAACGAGTCGACAGCCAACTGTGACGATGAAAAAAATGTTGGGAAATTGGAAAACCAAAGATTCCCTTGCGAGTTGTCATGGGCAGGCGAAATATTTGAAACAGAGTGCAATATTTGAGAGGCACACCTCAATCAACTTTGGAGTTTCAAAGTACAAGGCCTACAGCCTCAGAAGATACAATCTTATGTGACTAGGGAGTTAGAGGACCTAGGTAGGGCTGGCTAAGCACCAACTTTAATACTCGCTTAATCCGCGGCGAATAAAGTAAACAACAAGAACTGCAGAGGAATACTAATAGTACATCCGAACGCTTCACTCTTTGTGGAGTGAAGATAAATTGTAAGCACACTCATGACTTTAAAACGTAAAATACCTGAGTAGACTGAAGCTGGTGAGAATCTTTGTGATGGTTGTTGTGCCTCCAGACATGGCCGGACCTGCTCGCTTGACATGCGAACATCAATACTAACACCCCAATCTATCCTCTCTTGTTGTCACTTGCTCCTATAATCAGCATCAGAACTTTGGTACGTGATCAGCCCTCTTCACTTTAGTATGCTCATACTAACAATTCGCTGCTTCCACCAAACCTGCCGCACGTCTAAACCCTGCTCCGTGCTCAAAGTTTAAGTTTTCAGGTCGTGCTCAAGCTTTGAAGCCATAATGTCTCGAGCCCGCCCCGAACAAGACCTACGCTTCCTATTCGCCGCCAAAAGATGATAAAACTGGAAAAGGGCCAAGAGATTGTAGCTGAACAAACGTGACTAGCTGCTATTTTCCTGGCGCTGACCTCGTTCCTAAGCGACCCATTAGGGGCAACTCAATTTCAACCCCAGGCTGGCACCCATGCAGCTGAACATGCACCCCAATGCAACAGTTACACCAATTTTGTGCAAATATACGCAAGTAGTGCACCGGCTGCATGATCTGTGTGTATCCAGACCGACCATCAGGCAAAGACATTGTCTGTGATAGGTGGTCTGCTGAGGTAGGCAACCTACGCACTGTTTTGGCTTGCTACTCTTGCCCTGAGAATCTGCACAAGGCTGGTGTTATGGTGCACCAGCCTGTCAGACGATTTCTGGCCTCCAAGTTACCCTGCGTAGTTGTGGCGCATAGTGTCAGCCCTAGGAGCTTATATTCCTTTGTCTCTCGCACTTTCTTCCTAATGCTTGTTCCTTCCATTCTTTTGAATTACCTATTGGTCGCGACTTCCCTCTTCCTTTGACGGCAAAGGCTGATCCACGCCGAATTTGAGTAATTTGATATGTTATCTGTCGAGCTTCCACCTTCAAGCACTCAAATATAAATTTCTCCTCTATTCTCAGCCTGACACAGTACTTTTACGAACTTCCAACCCTCTCCAGACCAACAGCTCAAGCAAGGGAGCTGGGACGGAGCCGAAAGAATGTCCACTTCACCTCAATTTGAAGATAAAACGATGGACTCACACATCAGCGAGGACGGCCAAGCTGGCTCTGTCAAAATACCTGCCTCGATACCGTCAAAGCTCACACCTGGTGTCGCCATTCTATCTGACGAAGCGCACAGAGCCGTTTGTCGTGCCATTGGCGCACCTCCATCTCGTTACGAAGAACCAAAGAAGGATTCCACTCTCCGAATAGACAAGCGCATCCCAGATGGTCTGTACAAAGCTACCATCAAGAGGCGGCGCAAGGCCCAATTCTCCTACTACTTCACCGCGACCCTATATAACACCTGCTTGGTCCTTCAAATCCTACTCGGTGCCGCTCTTACAGCATTGGGATCTGCATCCAAAAAGAACGGCACTGCAATCACCATCCTCGCAGCGGCAAACACTGTCAATGCTGGTCTTGTCGCCTTGCTTCACAACTCAGGCTTGCCCGGAAGGATCAGAAATGACTGGAATGAGTACGATAAGGTTGAGATGTTTCTGGTTGAGATGATGGACTCGCGTATTGCTGAGGATGGTTTGAGTACAGCGGACGTGATCCAGACATGCTTCAACAAGTACTCGAATGCAAGGGCGACCGTTGAGAGGAATAAGCCAAATTATTACAGCGGTGCTCCGGCGACAGCTCCTGGGACTGCTGCTGGAGCTACACCGCCTGTGCTTGGTGCCAGATGAGAGGGATGGTCTGTTGTCTTGTTCAAAAACGTGGTCTGCTTGTTGTCTAGGTGGAGTCCTAGCTTGAAATTGTTCTTCAGAGTCGATTGCTTGGCTGATGTGTAGCAACGATACCGAGCCTTGTTTTCTGGCAGATTAGGCAACAAATAATATCAAAGACCATTAGGAGTATTGCTGCTCAAGCTTTGAGACTTCGTGAAGTGACTAGTCGATTTTGGAACATTTCTGGGCGACTTCTCATGGTGCATGGTCGTCATGCGAGATTGCTAGTTAGGATACCTAGGAATACAGGACTCATCAAGACACAGACTAGCACTATAGGTTCAACAGTATTGTTCTGGAATATCGGACTGGTTGGAAGATCTTCATGCTCATTATTATGATATTAGTTATTTTGTCTCAGCCACAAGCACCACATCCTACAGTCTACAGAACTGTGCCCTTAACCTGTCTCAACTCCTTGATCTTGAAATCCTTCCAAATCCCAATGAAGAAGAAGCACGGAACTAGTACTACAGTTCCAGCAATAGTGAGGTACCACATGGCATCTCCGTAAGCCAGAATAACTGCATCACGTTCTGGCGAGCCCATAGGGTAGCTCAACTGGATTGGCAGACTACCATACAACTGCGCATTTAGTGTAGCATTGCCAGGCAAATAACGATCAAGTGCCTCCGGGAATTTCTTGGTGTATATAGCAGTGGAAATCGCAGATCCAATTGCTCCTCCAACGGAAGAAAATAGTCCGATGAGCGCCAACATACTGGCAACGCCTTCGTGCGGTGCTGCAGCCATAACAGCCATTTCTTCACTGATGACCAGCCCACCTCCCCCAAAGGCGATGAAAATCTGGGTCATGATCACATAGCCGATACCGTAGTTAGGCTTTCGGAGTAGGATCATGAGCCCGACACCGAGAATTTGAAGGCAGAGATGTGCCATGGCGAGGTATTTGAAGCGTCCAAAATAACGAATCATGCCCGCGAAAATGACAGCCCAGAAACAAGATCCAATCGAGTAGATATTGTAAACATATCCACTGTTGGTGACCGAGAGACCGTGAACAGCTTGCAGATAGCTGTAGAGATAGCTGTCCCATATGTAGAAGCTCAGGAACAGGAAGCATGCCAGCATACATGCTCCAGCAACTGAAGGGTCAACGAGAAGCTTGAATGGAATGAAAGACTTTGGTGCGAGGAACTTCTCGTAGAGCGCAAATGCGATCAGACAGACACCTCCGATGACAAGCATGGCGATGATCATGGGTGACTGATATCCGTTCTTTTGGTAAGTCGATAGGGAGATTGGGAGGAGGATCAAGGTAAAGCCCGCGATAATGAGAATGAGACCAATAACTGAATCATTGTCAGTAAGTGGGTGATCAAAGTCGCTGAAGGGTTACAGACAATCAAATTCCCAGAAGTAGTGGCTAACGCTTTGCGCCAATGTACGTCCACTCTTTTCCTTGACATACAAGCCCAATTTGGTGGCCTTGCGTTGATTTCGCCAGAGAAGTGTCAGAATAGGTAAAGTGATGATAGGAGTGATAATGGTATACACTCCATATCCCCATCGAAAACCGCTAGTCTCGAGGAATGATTGAGCAGCTCTTGGACCAGCAAAGATTGTAACGATGTATGGTGTTGTTGAGAAAGCAAATACTAAAGCTCGATTCTTCAGAATTGAAGTATCTGCCATGAATACGTCAAGCACATATGCCATTCCGTTGAAGCCGACCCAGTAGAAGACTTGAGCTGCTGCGTACGTTTCCACATTTTGGCATGCAGCCATCATAACAAGACCTGCAAATATTAATATGATACCTGAATAACTTTCAGAGGATCTTGCCAATAGTAGCAAACGCAGTCATGAGCGCGAAACCTTCGGCACGGCCAACAAGATTGATGAATTTCGCGGTTGGCAGCTTCAGAACACCACCAACAATGCTCGAGACAATACCAGTCGTTGAAGTCAATGGGAGTAATGCGAATGACGACGTAACATAGGAAACTAAATTAAATTGAGTTTGCTGTTACAAACTGACGATAAAGAAGACCAGGAAGATGCTGTAACAGTATTAGCCATTGTTGTTTTTCGTTTTGGAAACATAAGTACCAGGCATAAGCAGCAATCAGCTCCTTCTTGGTCCAAGTCAAAGTAACAGCCTCAACTTTCTTGACACCAGCTTCGACACTAGGGCTTGGAATTCTCTCAAGTACATTCTCATCATCACTTGGTACTCCACTCTTCTCTCCCATGTGTGCCTGCTTGGACTGGTTGTGACTGGCGAACTCTGAATCCGTAGGCTCGGATGCTGTGCCCACAGCAAGCTCATTAGCGAGTTCATTTCGCTTTCCAAAGTTTGAAAACTATTGTGTCTCGGATTCAGTGATGTTCTGTAAGAATTTGGAAAATTATGCTAGGATCAGAAACCTACCTTCATTTTCCAAGTCTTATATTGAATAGTGATAGATCGGTATCAGTAGTCGAAGGTCAGCTTTTGATAAAGAGAGGTAGAAACGGCATCCTTTTGTATCTAGTTGCTATCTGCTGGGCATTCACCTCGCCATCGGTCCCACCGAGCACCAGGGCATCGAAACTTTTGAACGTCACATCCACCAGAGCTTGGAAGTGGGGTGCGCTTCGGGGTTTCCTCCACTAGATTGCATACTTAGCTGTAAGCGTGAAGGGTTTGTCTCCATTTAGCATGCCGAACATGCGATGGCAGGGAAGTTCTGCGAGCCAGTGGACAAGGGCCACCATTTTTGAGCCAAAGCTACCGTCGCCTCAAAAGCAACGCCTTCAGAAAGTTTAAAGGCATGAGATTCAAGTCATCTGATAAGATCTCGACCATCAGATTAGAATTTTCAGTTAGCCAAATTATCTCTTGATGCTGCCACGCGGCACAGCGAGAGAATAGCAAACCCATGGCAAGCGAAGAATCCTTCTCTCTTCAACTAGTCATGAATAAAAATCTAGACTCTTGCCAATCACAAGACAAGACCTCTAGCCATGAGGCATTTGAAGCGGACAAGCTCCAGGAAAGGCAGTCCGGCAAAATATCCTTGGGTTCTGGAAAACTCGGATGTGCTTGGCAGGTGCACAAAAATATGGGTTCAAAACAAGGGTTGTTGATCAGATAAGCATGGCTCGCATGGGTGGAAGCCCACCAATATGGTCTTCACTGCGGTCAAGAAGAGATGCGCTGATTCTATTCAACGCATTGATTAGACTTTATGTACTACTCCGAACATCGGCCTTTACCAGAAAGAAGAGGTTCTTGATTGCAAGCTCAATTCAATTCGGAGATGACAGCCGGAGAGGCCTTTATACCACTTACGAGATAGCACCCTTAGCTCATCTGATATCAGGTTAGCGCACAAGATTAGAGGATTTATACACAGACGACCCCCCCCACACGCCCCCCCCTTGCATCCAATGGGGAAGTACTATCAATGCTACTTGCGGGGCACTTGGAGTACTTACGACTGCACAGCTCTTAAGTATATTTCCAAAGGTTAGGGTTAGTTAGGGTTAGTTAGGGTTAGTAGGTTAGTTAGGGTTAGAGCATAGGTATAGCACGGGGTCCCCTCTGGGGGTTTGCTAACCGGAGCGTGGGAGATATGTGATTTTATTGCTGTTTGAGCTATTGTACCTTCGCAATTGCTAGAGATTCTGAAGCTTTTGATTCGTCTGACCAGGGGGGGGGGGGCGTGTGGGGGGGGGTCGTCTGTGTATAAATCCTCCAAGATTAGATTATCAGCGCATCTGATTAGATGGCCAAGAGAACCCAGACCCATGGACCAAACAAGTTCCGCCTTTGAGTGCAAAGTCCACGGCCTTGGGTTTCTTAGGTTCTCGAGAACTGGGGCAACGATGCAATGACCCCGGAAAGGTTTCATTCTCGGTACCAGACATTCGAGATTGGGTCGATCATTGCATTAGCTGTTGTACTCATCACTTGCACGCTTGATCTTGAGTTCCATTAAGGGAGCACACATTGAATCGTCTAGCATTAAGGACGACAAGGTGCTTCCAAACCTATTAAAAATGCTAATCTGAGTTAGATTCCTGTAGCTGAATTCCTAAAGTTATAGGCAAGCCACAACGACCACCCAGAACGAATAGCAAGAGCCCAAGAGAAAGGCGTTGCGTTGAGGGCAATGTCAAGACGAGTCTATTGACGACACACAATTTCAGCTTTCGCCCTTCCACCTCGGCTTGACTTTCTAGGCTCCTTTGTGCAAGATTTTGGCGACCAATCGCGATAGGTAGGTCCAATAATTGTTTAGTCCGGTTCACAAAAGACTGCAAGCTCCTCGAACACCTTCATTTACCAGCATTACTGTATCAGCAGAAGGTCTTGGAAGCATGCTGCAATCAATCCTTCAAGAAGGGAGCTGCGCACAGGTAGAACAGACGCAGGTTACTGCCTGTATCTGTAAATGCCAACTTCCAATTCCTCTGGAAGTAATCCCTGTGCTACCACACCTTCTAGCAACGAGTCCAGCCTTCATGTAGATCATACACTAAGTTGTCAAAGCCGCAGATCTGCAGTATCATAGAGAAATACAGGAATCACAAGAAAGACACGGCCAAATGAGACTTTGATACTGATAGAGGATGGGCAAAGAAATAATAAAAATAGCGGTTGTTATGAGACAAACTGGGGATGCTACCAAGTCTTCCCATGTCTCACGGCAATGTTCTGACATTGGAGGACGCGATCTCAGAGGGTATAGTTTGCTTTGTGGCCATGTTGGTGAGGCCGCGGGTGTATTTGACTACTGCGTTCGTATTTGAACCGTGAGATGGTATAAACAAGAACTCCATAAGGGACAAATTGGATACCCGAAATTTGGTCACACGATCTCTCTTCTATTATGGTTACACAGCACATGCTTGGGTGTAGCTCGTTAGGGCGAAAGTTCTTCGAGAAACAGCATCTTCAAGAGAGCCGAGAAATGGTTTTCCCCCGGATACTTCGCAGCATGCACAAGATTGTTTCCTAAATGCTTGCGAAACAGCAGGAAACATCTTGTACAACCGATCCTATACGTGTCTTTGCTTTGACCTCGAAAATGCGATGTGCAACAAAATGTCAGATAATCAAGGATTCCCTACTAATTTTGGCTTTTCTCGCTTGGCTGAATAGGAGGGAGACGATGGCTAATCTTGATGGGAAAAATGTCCTGGAGCTTATTTTAATGATCAAAATTCCTAGCTTCCATGTGCTCGAGGTTCCTTCGGAATAGCCGTTCAGATCCTAGTAGATTTATGTCTGTTATAGAAATGTTATTATTCGCTAATCATCTAGTTATTGATTTACCTTCAGTGTAAGCGAGAGGATATCTCTCTCTCAAAGCCACAATGGATTCGTATCAAATTCTACTATTCAAAGATCGAACGACACTTTAAAACACCCTGAGAACAAAGCCCAGGATCGAGGCAAAGCAACAGCTCCCGTTCGTGCTTTGCAGGACATGCAATATTATGCGAATATTTACTTTCGATCACACGTGAAGACGTTCTATGCCAAGACTCTGGAAAATCCGAGGCGATCCGTTATCCGAGTCCACCCCACTTCACTACGAGTAGAGGCCTCGGTTCTCCGCGTTTTCAGTCAACAACAACCGACGGAGCTGTCCAAACCCCGGCTCCCCCATATTGTACCCCGAAGTCTAGCAGTACAAGTAAGAAAGCTACTGCATCTCTACTTTCTGTAAGTACATTTCTCACGAATCTCAATACTGCTAGTTGAACATATTCTTCTCTTCTCCTCCATTTAGCATCATCCTCAATTGTGCTGGGACATAATTTACCTCATCTTGTACTGTACTGTATCGCGAACTCATTACCGCAACCATGGCTTCCCAAGGCCCCATAACGACCTCTCTCACCACCCTCCTCAATATCAAACACCCAATCCTCCTCGCCGGCATGGCACGTACATCCGGCGGGCCCCTCGCAGCAGCAGTCTCCAATGCAGGAGGCCTAGGCTGCATAGGCGGATTGGGATACACGCCCAAACAGCTCCGCGAAATCATCCACGAGCTGAAAGCCAATCTCGATTCGCCGTCCCTCTCATTTGGCGTAGATTTGGCACTTCCCAAAATAGGCGAGGGTGCAAGAAAGACGAACCATGATTACACGCATGGTCAGCTAGATGATTTGATCAATGTGACAATTGAGGAAGGAGCAAAGCTGTTCATCAGCGCGGTGGGCATCCCGCCTCCCCATGTCATCAAGCGCTTGCACGAAGCCGGTATCCTGATCATGAATATGGTCGGGGCGCCGAAACATGCGAAGTATGCCTTGGACGCAGGCGTGGATATCGTGTGTGCTCAAGGTGGCGAGGGAGGTGGTCATACGGGAGATATCCCGAATTCCATTTTGATTCCTGCGGTTGTGGATGTCGCGAGGCAGTATAAGCCAAAGATGTTGAAAGGGCAGACGGCGTTGGTTGTCGCTGCCGGTGGCATTTATAATGGAAGGAGTCTGGCGAGTAGTTTGATGCAGGGCGCTACAGGTGTCTGGGTTGGCACGAGGTTCGTGGCTAGCACCGAGGCTGGATGTAGTCAGGAGCATAAGGACGGTGTGGTGAGTGCTGCGTTTGAGGATACGATCAGAACATTGGTCGTTAGTGGGAGGCCGCTGAGGACGAAGAAGAATGCGTGGATCGAAAAGTGGGAGGCTCAGCCGGAGAAGATTAAGGAGTTGACGGAGAAGGGAGTTGTACCGCTGGAGTATGATATGGAGAAGGGTAATGATTTTGATATTCCGCACCTAATGGGTGTGGTGGCAGGTGTCATTACGAGTATCCAGCCGGCGAAGCAAATTGTGGACGAGATGGTTTCAGAGGCAGTTGAACAGCTGAAGCAGGCACAGACTTTCTTGGGCAGCAAGAGTAAGCTTTAAGCTTTAGATGATATCATGACACATTTCGCATTTAGTAATACTAACTCGTCACGACTGAGATGCTCTCGATGCTTTCAATTGTATTACAAGTTGTGCACCATTCCCAAACAGTATTTCACCCAGCAGCGAGCACTTCGCATGCTTATATAACGCCCATTATCTATCGCCTCCGCAGTAGCCAATGCCCAAACATTAAACAAAACATCTCCAGATCAGCTGAAGTGGGGTAACCTGGCAGGTATGAAGTCTTCCTGATTGTCTCCAGCATTTCCCGAAGCAGAACGAGCGCCCTCTGGCAGAGCCTCTGTACTTGGTGTTACCACGTTCTCAACAACAACATCATCTGATGTTGGTATGTTCTCCACTTGAGTAGATTCCATCTTGGTCTCTGAGATGGATTCAGGTTCTTCGGCATGAAGCCCACGCTCAACAGCCAGCTTTACAGCGGCTTGTCGTTTCCTTTCAACATCCATTTCTTCTTCGTGCCGTACCCTCTCTTCCTCGTGTTGCAAGTCTGTCAATGATGGCGTCTCCACCATGCCTGGACTTTGTACGTCCGGAGTTTGTGGTAGTGAAGCAGAACTGGCGCGATGTATCGAAGGTCTCGACTGTGATGACTGAGTGGTCCGAGATAGCGTTCTTGACACAGTCCTAGACCCAGATGGCCTCTTTCCTTTCCCGGATTTTGTCTTCCCACTACTCCTATCGTCGTTAGTTGTATTGGTCATTCTCCTCTCCAACACCATAGCAAATTCGTCGCTTAGAGGTACCGCATCATCTTCTCCATCACTGGGGAAGAGATCACCACGCGATCGCATCGAATCTGTTGTTTCACCAGAACTCGCAGTGGAGCTCCGATTTCTATTATGGCCTTTCCGTTTGAATCCTCCATCGTCGCTTTGATCGTCCGGTATGAGCGGCTCTCCCTCCTCATCATGATATTCGGACCGTTGTGCTCCTGGATGATCTTGCAAATCTGCTGCACTTGGTTTATATCTTAACGTCCCACCCAATTTAAATGGCAGTCGTCCTAAAAATCCCAGTGCACTCGTACTCGGTATAACGGTCGGGTCCGGCTCAAGACTCTTTCGTCTACCCCGCGTACCGTAACTCATCCCCCTCTTCCTCTTGGGTGCTTGATTGACTCCTGTACCTGGTCCGCTGTGTGATCCACTCCCTGCCAATAGTCTATCCAGCTCATCATTCCCCCAGCCTCCTCCTAGAGGTCCTCCACTTCCACCACCATCGTCTTCATCCCAATCATCATAGAAGTCAAAACTCAATTCTGCTCTTCCCCTCGTCCGTCCTCTCTCTCGTATGCGCCGCGCGCGTTCTTCGCGATCTGGGAAACATGGCGCTGTGCATTGTTCGAAGCTGGATGCGATTGAAGAGAAGCAGGGGTTTATGTATCTATGTTGAAAGGTCCAGATGCCAGCAGCTGCAGTCTCAGTTGCAGATTCGGCATTCTGGGAGAATTGGTTCCAGGTCTGTCGGTATCGAGGATCTTCGAGGAGAGGCGCCATTGCGAATGATGATGGTGGCCCACTACGTAATATCAAAGGTTCGAGGCATGCGGTCCGCGACGTGGTCACTGGTTTGAAGTTGGATTCGATGGTCTAGGTACAATAAAATGTGCCGAAGACCTCAGCATTCTGCGCTGGGTTCGAAAGGGGATGTTGTCAGAACGGCTGAGTACATAAGACTGTGGAGTTTGGAGGTGTTGCGGAAGTGAGTGTCGCCTTAGGCATGAAGTGGGAAACTTCGTAGCGTCACTTCACTACTGTGAGCGGGTCCTGAGCGTCCTTCGGGAAATCGCCGGGCCCTTCCGCTAGGCTCGGTTGCTGTGAGGCTGAATAACAGTCTTGCTTGTATATCTAGTACCTACCTAGACAGACAGAACCGATATGATGTAGTCTAAATAGAAGATGCAATTCTGGTCAGGTGTTTCAAATCTTTGGCAACATGCATGCCTCTACTTTGACCTCTCATAATCCTCAAACCTTGAGCCGTATACGGAAAGTAGAACTCTGGACCTCAGATTCATGAACAGGGATTCAATTCTCTCAATAGAGATCAATACCGACCATAATGGCACTTCCAAATAAACGATATTACACGTATTTGGCACCTATCAATCAATGACAGGATACAACCCAATCAGTCCTGAAAGAAGTACTCCCATCCTCCGATGACTCCCCGTAAATCTCACAATCATTACCATCATCACTGGAGCAATCCCACGTTCAAACCCGGATTCCCACCCTACAACACCGTTTCAACAACCGCCAAACAATTTAGCAGGTTTTTATTCCTCTTTGGAAGTTACATAACAATCATACATCGTTGATCTCCGGCCGAATGTTAATCCCAGTCTAGATATCTCGACACTCTCCGAGTGAGTATACAAATGGCGATTCGACATTGTTACAAATTACATTTTCGCAGCAGAGACAAGTAAATCCATTCCTGGTCCAGAAGCTATTAAACCAATCAACTACGCCAATCGACCATGGCTATTGCAGTGGAAGATACCTGGCGCTAAAGTGAACGGGAAAGTTTGCCTCAACGACTCCAGGGATACTGGAGGTTTGGGTCTGTCCTTCACAGCCTCACAACGTTTAGGCACAACCTAAGGGCGGTACATGGCGAGACGTTTTCGCTAGACAATATTTCGAGCCTACATAGAATGACTCCAGAAATAATAGAGGAACCCATTTGATTGAATGGATTTCGGTCTGTGCATCATTTGGTTACTGAAGTTTTGACAAGGCGAGCGACGAATAGCCAGGCAGGATGCAAGAACCGGCCCACACTTGTAGGAGAGACCGATTTATGTGCACATAGATGGTGATAGTCAGAAGAACACTGTTATCCAAAAAAAAAAAAGATGAAAGTAGGGAGAAAGCAGTTGAGAAATGGTAGAGAATGGCAGAGGTTCATTGAGGTAAATGGGTGGCAAAATCTGGAAATTGATGTAAGAACAGATAGCACTAACGACTTCGAAACATGATCAAGATCTTGAAGTAGAGCAGATTGCTAGCAAATGCATTGAGTGACGCTGTTGAATACACATACCAGGAGTGCAACGCTGAGGCAGCTCCAATCGCACAAGCATATGTAATACAAGCCAGAAAACATGACCGCCCGTGTTCCCTCGATCGATGCCTTAGTGCTTAATGCCATTCGCAGCAGCTGCAACAAGCCCGTTTGTTGCAGCAGTGAGGGTTGGTGGGGGGAGTGGTCCAAAGGTCTTTGGTCCCTCGAGATGCACAATCTCTTCCTCAGTATCCTCATTATAGTCACCGTCACTGCCTTCATCCCCTTCTTCCTCTTCTCCATCACCATCATCACCTTCCTCATCTTCGTAGTCGTAGTCGCTTTCGGTGTTTTCCATGTCGCCTTCGATATACTCTCCCTCGGTACTACCTTCCGCCATTGCTGCCATCCCACCAGCTACCCCTCTCCCTTGCTTTTGCATCTGGTTGATGATACTTGTCAGCTTCTCGTTCTTCTTCCTTAACGAGTCCATCTCCATATTCGTCTTTGATCTTTCTTCAGCCATCTTAAGGATATTTTGATTGGTTAGATCATGCTTCCTCGTCAAGGTCATGTTATCCTTTTCAAGGCGTTTCGTCTTTTTTGACATCTCCTCCATCTCTTTACGGAAAGTTAAAAATAGATCATTGCTGTTATTGAGCGTGTCCTCCACCTGAGTGGTATTAGTCCACGTTGTGTGTATATATATCTAACAGATGGAAGATAGATTGCGTAAGAAAACCACTGGTCACGACATCTCGACGTACCTGCTTGAATTTCTCCACATATATATTGAGCTGACTCCGCAGCTCGGTCTCCGTCTTGGAAAACGTAAGAACTTGTGAATTCAGAGTCCGAGACCTCGATACTTCCGCCTCGGCCAACTTTCTTTCTCGGTCAAATCTTGCCATGTTGTACTGGACCTCGAGTTCTTTTGATCGTAGAAGAGAGTGGAAATGCAGTTCTCGAAGTTCATACTGATCGATCAACGATTTGAAGCGTTGCTTGAACCTGAAAATGCGTCAATATTTGCTCAACAGCCACCAGAGGAGCAACAAACAGTTCTTCAACTTCGATATTGACAACCTGCGCCTGGGGATAATCCTTCGCCTCTTGGTACTCCTGAAGTTGCCATAAAACTTGTTTGAACTTCTCATCCCAGGCCGCATGATTCTCTTTTTCTGCATCTTGCATTGTCTTGTTCTCGGCCTAGGCCTGGTCAGTATCTCCGCTCCACAAGACCTATCTCCAGGCAACGGACCTTGAGACGGTTGTTCTCCCTCTGCAATTCCCTGCATAGCTTCTCCAGTTTTTCCTTCAAGGTGGTGGTCTTGCTCAAATCGGCTCTGGCATGGTCCCTTTCCTTTTGCAGCTGGTCGCCCCTCTTCTTGTTCTTCTGATTATCTCGTTCCAACCTCTTCATAGAAGTGAACAAATCGCTCACTCGTTTGTGTAGAACGTCAATTTTCTGCAAATCGTCCGTTTTCGAGGTAAGGTTATTCAGTTCCCGGTTGTACTTCTTCAATTCTCGCTCTAATTGATACGTTAGTGAGATGTACCTAGGTAATGAGCAAAATTGCGAAATTAAGAGTCAGAATAAATTTTGGACGGAAAAAGCCCGGGTTCTGCAGTTCCAGTGAACAATCCGCGAGGAAAAGTACATCCTCAGATACAATTATCCATCGTGGTGCGCACTGCTCGCCACCAGCATCCTTTTCGTGAAATATATATTTGTAGGCGACACAAGTCCAGGTCTATGTCGCCAACGGGGAGCAAGATATGAGAGATAGACCAACCGATTTCTGCCTCCTGTTCCTTGTCTCCAGCCGCATCGGACTCCAGCTGCGAAATCTTTGCGGCGATCAGATTTGATGCTTCATTTGGGTCCGTCGCTTTCTTCTTTCCCCCTTTCTTCGCTCCTCCCGACATAGCGTCATGGTGATGGTGATGATGGCCATTCGTGTAGGCAGACTCGGCGTGAGAGTGGTTCGCAGGTATGGAGGGCGCCCTCGAGCTCGCAGCAGTCGACATGGTTGTTCGGGCGTATTCACGACGTGCGGTCGTGAGATCCTTTCCTTTCCTTTCCTATCGAAGCAAAGCTGGCTGGCTCGAGCACCGCAGCTAGTCCACGATGATTAGACTTCGGCGCAAGGATAAGCTCGTGTTAATGCTGCTCTGTACTCCCATCGACTCGTACGTCTATGGTGCCGGTCCTGCGTGACAGTCTCGTCTGGTGGAGGAGAGGTGTTGCAGAAAGAGCGTAACTCGAATAGCGCTAGTCTCGATGGGTGGTCAGGTCCATAGGCAGGCTGGCAGGGAGAGTGGAAGGGAAGGATGAGGAAATGTAACGAGTGGGCCTCGAAGGAGTGATAAAAAGTGAGACAAAAAAATGCAGTAAACAATGTTCCTTTTGCTAGCTATGAGATACCAAGTCCATATCATATCACATCATATCATAGCAGAGCAGAGCAGAGCAGAGCATAGGTACCGTATCGAGTTGCTTTTCCCAGCTCTCCGGTAGGCTGAAGTACGCCTGGCTGAACAGCGACATATCCTTGTTGATTGGCTGAGAACGCCCCTCTTGACGTTCACGATTTATGCATGTCCGCCGGCCCAGCTGGGTGAGGTAATACGGTAATAAATTACCTAAATTACCTTAATGAATGGCGGCTTCTAGCGAGGTGGTAAAAACTGCCTAAGCAGGCTAAGTAAGGCAAGCAGGCAGAGGCAAGGCAAGGTAAGCACTGGCGCAAGGCTGCTTCAGACGGAGGCGACATTTTTGGCGACTTTTCGCATCTTCCTACTTTCTGTTCCTGGTCTTGTGCATACGGGTCCAGCTTTGAAGCCCGTACTCAATCGTCGACACACTACAGGATGCTGCGGAATGCATCCAAGGTAGCCGTGAGAAAGGCCGTGAGAAAAGCCGTCACAGAGCTCGCCCGATATCCCAAACCTGGAGACAAGCTGCATGGCTTCACTCTCGTGCGAGCAAAACATGTCCCCGAACTCGAATTAACCGCCCTGCATCTGCAGCACGACAAGACCGGCGCAGACTATCTACACGTTGCCAGAGAAGACAAGAACAATGTCTTCTCCATCGGTTTCAAGACAAATCCGCCGGATGATACAGGTGTGCCGCATATCCTCGAGCACACGACATTATGCGGAAGCGAAAAGTAGTCATGGCCTTTCACAGCAAGTGAGCTATGCTGACGTCTGCCAGATATCCCATACGAGATCCTTTCTTCAAGATGCTCCCGCGTACACTGTCAAACTTCATGAATGCTTTCACTGCCTCGGATCATACCTTTTATCCCTTTTCAACTACGAATAAGCAAGACTTCAAGAACCTGATGTCCGTATACCTAGATGCAACATTACATCCGCTGTTGAAACAGAGCGACTTCACACAAGAGGGATGGAGAATAGGACCAGAAAACCCCCAGGCCGTTCAATCCGCGGATGGCGTAGAATCGGAGGAAAGCAAGTTAGTCTTCAAGGGTGTTGTGTACAACGAAATGAAGGGCCAAATGTCAGATGCAGGATACCTGTATTACATTAGGTTCCAGGACCACATCTTCCCCGCCATCAACAACTCAGGAGGAGATCCGCAGAAGATTACAGACTTGACATATGAGCAATTGAAGAAGTTCCATGCCGAGCATTACCACCCAAGTAATGCCAAGGTATTCACTTATGGTGATATGCCTCTCGCGGATCACTTGGTGGAAGTCAATGCGCAGCTGAATGCATTCGAGCGTATCCAAGGAGACTTTGAGATCCGGAGACCAATCGATCTAAGTGGCGGCCCTCAAAATGTCACAGTCGTTGGACCAGTGGACCCGATGGTGGATAAAGACATGCAATACAAGACCTCCACTTCCTGGCTGATGGGAGATGCGACCAATATTCTGGAACAATTCTCACTGGGCGTTATGTCTGCACTTTTGATGGATGGATATGGCTCCCCTCTCTACCGGAACTTGATAGAAGCTGGTCTCGGGACGGATTGGAGTCCCAACAGTGGATTCGATAGTTCTGGAAGAATTGGTATCTTCTCCGTTGGACTTACTGGTGTGAAAGAAGCGGATATCCCCAAAGTTAAGGAAGCCATTCAGAAAACTTTCAAAGAAGCCCACGCAACTGGATTCGAAAAATCTAAGATTGATGGATATCTCCATCAATTGGAAATTAGTTTGAAGCACAAGACTGCCAATTTTGGTATGGGATTGATGCAGCGGATCAAACCTCAATGGTTCGAAGGAGTCGACCCATTTGAGTCACTCGCCTGGAATGACACAGTTTCTGCATTCGAAACAGAACTCGCCAAGGGCGGATATCTGGAGGGGCTGATGGAGAAGTATTTATTGAATGATAATACTTTGACGTTCACGATGACTCCGTCCACGACTTACGGCGAAGAACTTGCTGCAGAGGAAGCTGCCCGTCTCGCCGGCAAGATCGCAGAAGTTACAGCAAAGGCTGGTAGTGAAGCAAAAGCTCGTGCTCAGCTCGAGAAGCGAGAAGCGGAATTGCTTGTCGAGCAAGGCAAGTCGAATACTGAAGATTTGAGCTGTCTGCCCACAGTATATGTCAAGGACATTCCTCGGCAAAAGGAGACCGTAGAGGTGCGAGATTCCAATGTCGGGAATCTCAGTGTCCAATGGCGAGAAGCTCCAACGAACGGCCTCACCTATTTCCGAGCTGTCAACATGTTTGAGAATATCCCGATAGAACTCAGATCTCTGATCCCTCTTTTCACGGATTGTATCATGCGACTTGGAACCAAGAACAAAACAATGGAGCAACTTGAAGATCTAATCAAGCTGAAGACAGGAGGAATATCTGCCTCCTACTTTACCACGCCATCTCCACTGGACTTCACGTCTTCTTCTGAAGGAATGAGTTTCGCAGGAACTGTATTGGACAGGAATGTGCCTGACATGTTCAATCTGCTTACAGATCTCGTCCTGTACACCGATTTCGACAGTGGTGAAGCTCAAAGTCGTATCAGGCAGCTTTTGCAGAGTGCTGCAGATGGCGCAGTCAACAACATTGCGTCTTCAGGACACGTCTATGCTCGAAGATTCGCGGAAGCGGGTTTAACCTACTCTTTGCGAACGAAGGAGGAAGTCAGTGGTTTATCACAGATCAAGCTTGTCACTTCATTGGCCTCAAGACCGGAGTCAGAGGGACTTGCCGATGTCATTGAAAAGCTGAAGGCTATTCAGAAGCTAGCATTTTCACGCTCAGGCACTTTCCGCGCTGCCATAACGTGCGGTTCAGAAAGTGTCTCAGCTAACGAGGCAGCCCTTGAACAATTCTCCTGGTCGCTCCAATGGCCCAACGTACCGGACTTGAAGCCTCTGCGGCCTGACTGGTCGAGAAACAAGAAGACTTTCTTCCCCCTCCCATACCAAGTGTACTATGGTGCACTTGCACTACCTACAGAGTCCTACGTATCACCAGCTAGCGCACCCCTCCAGATTCTTTCGCAGTTGCTCACTCACAAGCATTTACATCATGAGATTCGTGAGAAGGGTGGTGCCTATGGCGGAGGAGCTTACTCGCGCGGTCTAGACGGCGTCTTTGGTTTCTACTCCTACCGAGACCCCAACCCGCAGAACACGATGTCTATCATGCGCAATGCAGGACGGTGGGCCGTCGACAAGCAGTGGTCAGACCGTGATCTTGAAGAAGCTAAGCTCTCTGTATTTCAGAGTGTTGACGCCCCCCAAGCAGTTAGTGACGAAGGCATGGCACGCTTCCTGTCAGGAGTATCCGACGAGATGCTCCAAGAGCGACGCGAGAGACTTTTGGATGTCACTAAAAAGCAGGTGCGAGAAGTTGCACAAAAGTACCTTATTGATCTTCCAGAGCAAGGGGAAGGCCGTATGGCCTTCCTTGGCGAGAAGAAACAATGGGTCGATGGCACATGGGAGACCCGTGATATGGGCATTTCTTCTCAGGAGCCTGAACTTGTGGGTGAGGAGGATGTCAGAACGGCTGCATTGGGCTCATGATTTATGATACCCCTGTACATGTATGTATATATTTGTATGATATTGCATTCCACTCCCCAGTTGGGCTCCTTTGATTAGCAGAACAAGCTCAAGTGAGTGATTTTCTGGATGGATGGATAGATCGCTTTTAGTAGGTGAGTACGTTGACGATCTTACCTTCCACAATTACCTCACTTTGTTGTCTAGCAGGCATATGAGTCTTGTCTCTCACATAAAGCCCTCGTTGATGTTGGGACTCTCTGCGGATTTCGAGATCGTTTCCTAGTCTCACTAGAAAGATGCTGTGTAACGACGGTCCGCTGTATCTCCGCATAACCAGCCTATCTGCCCGAGTCCCCGGTTACGGACTTGTCATCTCCACCCCTTCGTCTCACTCCCTTTCACCTAAAACGCATGGAATGATACACACGCGCTACGAACAGATTACCACGTCTCCAGCGTGCCTTCAATAGCTGGCAGATCACAAGTCATGCCTCCGGGCTAGCGCAAGAGCAAATTGGCGCAAATCAACCTAGAAACCAGACTTTCCTTCAGGCTTTGCCTCCTGTTGGCTGGTCGCGTGTATACTGGGAATCGCGCATCTCCATCTTATTTCAGAGCTGTCTTCCTGGAGTTTTGGGATGGCGGACTAAAGATGTGAGGACATTAGATGTGTGGTGGTGATTGTGGTGGTGATTGTGCTGATACTGCTCGTGTGGTGTTGAAGGAGGGGCTGAGGGTTGCGACAACAGTGCTTGCTGTACATGCGTGGAAAGGGGCTATGTTTACAATATGCATATCTTATGCATGCGTTATGCATGCACAGCTGATTCTGGGCTTGCAAGGCTCGACCTCATTGGAACAACTCGGCTCCGAAGCTGCAATAATCTTTGAAGTAGAAGTCCCCAATACGACAGGATACGTGCGGGCAAGACATCTGCAACGGCATCGCCTATGTTCCAAGTTCTAGACACTTGATCCTTACCTTCGTTATCCTCGCCAGTGTCCGCTGGGCTGAAGATACCCCTGACAACAGCCAAAGCCATTGCGTCATGTTCAGCGAGATTCAGGTACACGAGAACAGAACAGAACAGAATAGAGATGCGTGAAATATTCTTTTGTTGATGTCCATGCTATTTTAAGTGCTGGCTCTGCTCTGCAAACTGCAAGGCACTAATCAATTGCCGCTCGTGTACGAGTAAATGTGTATCATTCACAAACTTCAAGCCCACATGTCCTGTAATGTAATACCGTATTAAGGTAATACAGACAATTCGCGCACTCACCGCAATTGCACACAGCACAGCACAGCACAGCAGTAGTGTCCTCGTGCCGCAACGTAACTTATCCCAGTAGTGAGTGATTTTTCGTGAATAACGGGAACAGGACAGGGCTCGCAGGGCCCAAGCCCGGGAGGAGCAGGGATTGGCATCGCGGCTAATAACCCCACTAGTGCTCTCACTCTCATCGACCAAAAATTTCAGCGCGCTCCACTCCTCAGTCCTCCTCTCCCCTCCGCGACCGACCTTCTCCGCAACAACACACAACCTAAGCTCTTCGATTTTCGTCGAAGGTCCCTCCTCTTCAACACTCCCACACCACCACTACACAGCCTACAGCTTGTCCCAATCACTGCCTGTCTATTCCAATAGACAGCATACACTCTCCGGATCTGGTACGTGCTATTCATAGTCAGTAGCTTGACAAAGTTTCGGTGGTGATGCACTCGTGACAGCCACTTTGCCCCAGCTTGGCATCTATCTGGCCCTCCTCCCCTTTCATTCTTACCATCAAATGGCCTGCTTGAGCCGTTGCAAAGATTATATCTAACGGCGAATTCCCTCACAGATTCGTCGATCCAGCAAAAACCCCTCTCCAGACTGCCTTTGGTCATTTCAAAGGCCGCCCTTTACACCACGGCAACTCTAGTCTCTGATCAAGATTACTCTTTACGACCAAACCGACACATCATCAACACGCTACCCCCTCCTTCTGCTGCAGTCTCCTAAGCAGCAACTTGAGCGCTTTTTGTTCGACTTGTCGTACAACACCCCCGTTCCGTCCCCAACTTCTCAGCTGCCGCATAGGACGGGTTTAGAGGGCCTTCCTCTCGTCGAGGAAGAGTCGAGCCGACCTCGTCAGATCAGTGCAGGATCTGATCGATACAGACCTCCTTAATACTCCTTCAGAATACTAGTGAGTTGCCCTATATAGAGCCTTTGAAGCATATATGCATATATACAGTGGCTAACCCACCTCACAGCCGAACAAATACAAACAACCCTCGAGCTTCTACGAGGATATGTCACCTTCCGCCATCGAAACCATTGAAACCCAACCAAGCCTTACGAATATCCATTCGTATTATGAGAACGCAAAGAGTTCTTACGTTGAACACAACAACAATAGTCATGGCGCGAACAACCCAAAGAAACTCATCGGAGATGCTCTGAAGGAGCGAATTGAGACTATCGATCACGATGCCTGCGAGCCCGGCGACGAGGATGCTTTCTTCGTAGCTGATCTCGGCGAGGTCTATAGACAGCACATGCGCTGGAAGAAGAATCTGCCCCGAGTCAAGCCGTTTTATGGTAAGCAAGCACTTTGCTATCCGTGCATGTAATACTGATGATATGGTAGCGGTCAAGTGCAACCCTGATCAACGTGTTATCCAACTTTTGGCAGCACTTGGTACTGGCTTTGACTGTGCCTCCAAGGCCGAAATTGAACAGGTCATCAAGGCCGATGTTGACCCAAGCCGTATTATTTACGCTCAACCATGCAAGACGAACTCCTATGTCCGCTATGCCTCCAGTCATAATGTCAAGCAAATGACTTTTGACAACGCAGATGAGCTCCACAAGGTCAAGAAGCTCTTTCCTGGAGCTGAGCTTTTCTTGCGAATCTCTACCGATGATTCCTCCAGCTTGTGCCGTTTGAGCCTGAAGTTTGGAGCTGCCATGGACTCCACGAATGGACTTCTGGCTCTTGCTAAGGAACTTGATCTGAACGTTGTTGGAGTCAGCTTCCACGTTGGTTCCGGGGCTTCTGATCCCCTTGCATTCTTGAAGGCTGTCCAGGATGCCCGTATTGTTTTCGACCAAGCTGCCGCTTACGGATTTTCATTGCACACCCTCGATGTTGGCGGAGGATTCGTAAGCGAGACATTTGATGCCATGGCAAACGTCCTTCGCCAAGCCCTCGACGAATACATGCCAAGTCACATCAACATCATTGGAGAGCCCGGCCGATACTACGTCTCGTCAGCCTTCACACTGGCCTGTCACATCATCGCTCGCCGTACCATCGAGGACCCTGTCAGCCGCGAGAAGAGCTATATGGTGTACCTCAACGACGGCCTTTACGGCAACTTCTCAAGCATCATGTTCGATCACCAGAACCCCATCGCACAAGTCCTCCGTACCGGAGAGCGTACTTTATTCAACAGCGTCGCGGCCCAAGAATCTGTCGATGGAACCGAATACTCTATTTGGGGACCTACATGTGACGGCATTGATCGTATCTCCGAGAGCATCCGCTTCGACCACACGCTCGATGTTGGTGACTGGCTCTACTTCGAGGAGATGGGTGCTTATACCAAGTGCTCTGCCACTCGATTCAATGGCTTCAGCGATGCTCACGATGTCATCTATGTTGCCAGCGAGCCTGGCGCTAGAGCTTTGTTGGGTATGAACTAGATATTATGAGATTCACAGAATCGAATATCAATATTCTGGGTGACTAGGTCGATACGATATCTGCTGGAGACTTATTAGAAGGCGTTCGTTTCGTTGGTTACTTAATTCGCTTCTTCGCGGGAGGATGGAATGAAAACAGAGCAGAAAAAAGTTCTTAGATTTCCTTGCGATATCTGGATATTGCTGGCTTTTGTTGGGTAGTTTAGATGAGTAGTGCGAAACAAAAATTGCGTTTGATCTCATCTTTGATTCTTATGACCAGTGTGAAATTGTCTGAACATAATTGGGGCCAAGAATATGAGAGTGGGTATCGTTACTCATTTGTTTTGTATTTCTCGCATCGGTGTAGTGTGTGTATGCATCCTTCAGTCATGAACCAAAATCATGTTTATGTACTGCCCATCCAAGTCCCTCAACACCACAATCATGCCTGTACCTGACGCTCATTCCAAACCCATGCGATTGTCCAAGGAACCGAATCGTCCAAGTGACAAACCGCTGAGCTTCACTATCCCTTCAAACCTTCGCTATGGTCTTCATGAGCAATCAAGCCTTCTCCTTATCCTTGTTCCCTCTCCCTTCTATGTCTTTCTCCCCCGCCAACTCCCCATCCTCACTATCAGCCTCAGCATCCTCCCCAACAACATACCCACACTCCTCCTCCAACTTACCATACCTCGTCCCCACCAACCATCTATTTCCCCACCTCCTCCACACCCCGATCACTTTCCTCAATCTCTCATTCTCAAACTCCACCTTCTCAACCCTGACGGCCTCCAAAATCCCCAACGCCACACTCCTCTCGCTCAGCGGCGGACTCCGCAACATAGCACCCAGGTCCTTCAGACTCAACTCCGGATTATCGTACCACAGGAAATAGATACGGAGATTGCGGCCACGGCGGTGGTGCGTTGACAGAGGAGAGGGGGAGACGGTGTTGTGAGAATTAAGGCGGCGCTTTGGGTTCCTGTTAGCGGGGTTGTCGAGGTAGCAGGAAGTGAGGACTTCGGCGGTGTGGACGAGGGAGTTGCTGTAGCTTGAGAAGAGGGAGGGTGACGACTTGGGAGCGGCTGGTGGATCAGAGACGTCTATTTTGCGGATTAGGGAGGGGTTCTCTTCTTTGGGTTCAGAGTTGGTGTCTGAATCTGACTGAGAGGGTAAGAGAGGGTATCCCGAGAGGGCGTACTCAAGCTCGGGGTCTTCCATAGACACGCTTTCTTTCGCTTCTTGCAGTTCCTTCTCAGAGAGTTTCTTCGGTTCGGAATTCGTAGTTAAAGTGGCCTCTTCCGCTGGATCTACAGGCTCAGGTTCAGGCTCTGCTTCTTCTGCTTCAGCATCAGATGGTATCTCCACGCCTTCGGCAATACGAATTGGCAGATTGAGCTCCGCATGGTATGGAAGTGGTGGCGTAGGGTCTAAAGCCAGTCGCTTCATCTCCAACGTGTGGAAGATCTGTAGGCCAGCATACGAGTCTGAAGCAGCGTACATGATCTGCTCAAGACTAAGCTTCTTACTCCAATCCGAGACCCGAACATCGCCTTTGTACATGGGCAGATGGAGATGATCTTGCGTCTGCTTTGCAAGCGATACCAGCCGTCTATTGATTTCCCCGTACCTTTTACGCTCTGAGAACTTGACGAGTTTGTATAGATGGCTCAGTTCCAGCATGCCTTTAGTGTCAATACCAAGGTACTTGCGGAGACGCGTGCAGTCGGCTTTGATAGAGACCCCGACTTTGGTGATGGAGCTGTCCTCCATAATTTTCTTGAATCTGGGTGACACGAGGTCCGTTTTCGAGAACAGGGCCACATGAAAGAGTGCAACCCGTTCTTCATTCGCTATCTGAATGAGCGAGACGTTTTGCCTGGCGTCATTGCTTCGATATGCATTCTCTTTCCACTCAATATCGAAGCCTATGAGTGTCGAGTCGGCGAAATAGTGTTCTAGGACTCGTTCGGTGGTGTGGATGCTCTTGCAGTAATGTACCATTGTCTTCTGCGGTTTGCCATTTATAGGAGGGCCGCGGTAGAGTTGATGTGACCAGTACGATTCCATGGAGCCAGGTTCGGCGTTTTTGGCGGCGCGAAACAGCTCTTCGGTCATTTTGAGCTTGGTTGTTGTTTGAGGAAGTTCGTTTTGGGCAGGATCTTCTGGCTCTGGTTCAGGCTTTGCTTCTGGAACTTTTGTCTCTGAAGCATTTACCCCCGAGACTGGGTCTGAGGGGCCTGATTTCGAATCAGAGGATTTTGCACCATTTGAATCTTTGTTGGACTTCAAAACAGTGCCTTTCAGAGGCCCAATCTGCTTCGGATTAACTGGCTCTGGCTTAGACGCCGGGGTAACCGCATCTGCAGGCTTCTGCTCTTTTGATGTCTTTGGTTTCGGCGTAGAGTTCCCTTTCGAGTCTGCTGCTACCATTGCTATCGTCCTAGCATTTGACTGACATTCCAGTACAGCCATATCTGCAGATGCCATAACATAATCATCCTCCGCCTGCGAATGTAGGAGATGCTCTTGCTTCATTCCCTCTACAGCATTCGTGCTCATCGATCGAGGTGTTCCAGCCGCCGGTCTAAAAACAATGCCATGGTTTGGGCTCCAAGTCCCGCTGAATACAATGCCATTATTCGGACTCCAGGTTCGATTCGAGGCAGGAGTGGAGTTTACCCTTGTTGGAGTAGATCTATCGGAGTCAGAGCATTAGCATTGGAATTTCTCCTAGAGAGTTCCTAGAGAGAATCATCATACAAAGCCCTCCCTCCCATTTTCATAGCCGCTGAACGCATCTCTGTCGAAGCAGCCGTAGAATCTTTCTCAAGTGCACTCATGGCTGTCATAAGATTCCGCGGTCGTCGAAGGGACTTTCCCAACATTGATGCTCCATAATTGCCCAGGAGCATAACCGTGGGTAGGTTTGGCGCTGGCGCTGTGAATGATTGCTGGTGCTGCAGTGATGGTGGTGTCAGGCTCAGGCAGACGCGCCCTTGAGGTCCAATCGATGCACGCGTACATTGAAATTTCGAGGTCCGTGCAAACAGAGCAAACATCGCTGCGGCCGCTTCAGGATTTCTCAACTGGATCGCGAGAAGAGAAGCCCAAATGAACGGAACAGTGAACTGACTAGTTTATGATTAAATACGGCAATACGATCATCAGTGACTGTCTCATGAGCTTCAATTGAGGATTTCTTCACTACTTGAGATTTGCTGCTTTGTGAGTCTGTCTTCCTTTGTGTCTTGAGAGCTTCCCTCACGTGCTTTATATCTCTTTGTCCATGCCATGGAGCTTTGCTCTGCTTGCATCAACTGAGCTCTTCAAGCTTGGGGACCATCTCATATTTTCAACACTTTATATCATCGCTAACGATCTCAGCACGCTCCTTCGTCTGCATCACAAACCCTGAAATGGCTTCTCAACTTCTGCCTCTCGGTAAGGAGTTTCCACCCTATTTTCACACAGATACAATGCTCACATCCTCACAGAGTTAATCGACAAGTGCGTCGGATCTAAAATCTGGGTCGTCATGAAAGGCGACAAGGGTACTTGCCTCTTCGGCCTATCAACTACTCCAACTGACAATAACAGAATTCAGCGGTACTCTTCTTGGCTTCGATGACTACGTCAGTATGTACATCGTCACATCCCATTTCAAAGACCCTCACTAATAACGAAACAGACATGGTTCTCGAGGACGTAACGGAATTGTGTGTTTGCAGTTTGAGGAATTGATGAATGGTACTAACGATTCTAGCGATTATTCTGGTGGTCAGACTAAGCTCTCAAAGATATTGTTGAATGGAAACAACATCTGCATGGTACGTAGAATCTAAGGCTTGGGAGATCACAATTCTGAAATGGAGTAGTTAATACCTGGTGGAGAAGGCCCAAGTGCGATGGGTTGAGGGTTGAGGAAAGGGACTACGATGCTCTGGCAAGGGGAGCGCGACATGTTTCTTTGCGCACTTCGCTGAAGCTGTCAATTGAATTATGATTTCAAGCCCAGATGAGGTTGCATTGCCATGTCTTTTTCTCATCATGACCACTTATTTATCGCATGCTTTCAATGTTATTTTGTTCCAAGTGCTGAACTGCTCATCATCCTGAATTAAGCAGCCTGGGCATATGATTTTCTTTTGGCTGAAGGCGGCGGATGCTGGCTACCATCGAGCTGTTTGTCTTCCCAGAGCGATCGGAAGGCTAAACCAGGTGGCAGGCAACCTTGCACGATGTTTAATGGTCTTTGGAAATAACGACTTAGTGTAGTATATGCTGAGATATCCTATACAATCCGAACATCCTTCGGATAATAATTTTCTAGGAAGCGCATTCGGGCGTCATGCACCGAACCTCTGAGGGGTTTGCTCTTCAATCGGGCATTTCCTGACAGAACAAGGAGGTGAACTCACCGTATTACAACTGAATTTGGTAGATGGACTGGAGCTGCATATTTATTTTATTCTATGGGATTTGAATCATCTTTTGAGACAGTCCTGCCTTGCTTCCGAAATCGTCCTTGCATCCAGCACCGGTACATCTTCAACTGCTTCGCTCTGTTGACAAGTAACCTTCTGTCGACACCTAGATCAAGCACCTCAAATCCTGTGGGCTCCAGAGAGTCTGCGCTCTCTTGCTGATCTGCCTCCTTGCCAGTCCAAATCTTGACCAGCTCGTCACGTTCAAAGAAGTACACTCGAGTGCCATCGCCGCGAATGTAGAAGTTCTCTTCCAAATATCGACCCTTCTTGAAGCGCACTTGAGCTAGATCTCCACGGCCATAGTCTCTGAAGAGGACCTCGCCTCCAGGCTTCAGTAACCGATATGTGTTTTGGACAGATTGCTTCCATTGCGATGGTGACAAAGCGGAAAAGATGAAGATCATGATAACCAAATCAACACTCTCATCCTCAAGTCCGGGAGGCAGCACCTCGCTGGCAGCATCCCACACATCGGCTTGAATGTGCTTCGTATTATATGCCTCGTTCTCACGTATCACTTCCACAGCCTTCTTGGAGAAATCGCACGCATGTATTTTCAGATTGGGATTTTGATTATTGGCTAGGATAGGAAAAGCCGTATTGCCAGCACCAGCGCCAACCTCGAGAAGCGTTATTGGGCCAGCATCGGCTTTGGTAATCTGGGAGAGAATAGGGAATTCTTGTTGAAGCCACTTGCGATCTTTGAAAAAGTTGGCAGTGTTGTTCTTGTAAAAGTTATTCCACCACTTTGCAGGCTCTGAATTGAATCTATCTGCTGGATGTTAGCTGGTACTCAGGCCAGTCATCCAAAAAAAAATGGTATATTGGTTGAGTTGCAGATCAGATAGGAGCGAAAGACATTGCTGAATTTGTATCATTCATGGACCGAAGCCTCAGATGAACTATGCATTGATTGTTTGTTCATCAGGATGCAGGGGAATGGAAACATGAGGGGATAGGAAGAGCTTACTTTTGTCAAAGTCAGAGACAGGAGACTCTCGTTGCTTAGCATACTGTAATTCTGCATATTCTTTGTAAGTGTCGTCAGTCTCGACATGGTCCCAGGCATTGAACTCAAAGACATTGTCTTGCTCGCTGAGTAAGCGGGAGCCAAATTGGAAGGGATCTGTCCTCTTCATATTGTTCGCCGGGTCATGCGATAGATGTGGAGGGATCTGATCTGGGACATCTCCAGCGGACTGGCTTGTTACAGCCAGTGACGACAACTGATCCACAAGAACAGCTGAGGCTTCACCTGCGATCTTATCCATCGTAGGTACAGCCCGAGACAGGTGGAAGCAGCTTCAAGTTGAGCAGTTCTAGACTTGGAGAAGTTCTTGGACAATGAAAGTTGGATCACAGTTGCAAAAAAATCTCGGAGGAAGTCAGTGGGATGCGGCCGCTAGCGTGTGGTGTTGACCGGCCGACACTCTGAAGTTTACCCGAGCCGAAGAGATTCTGATGGAGCCTCGAATTCGATGACCTCAGGACAATGGCAGCATATTTGCCCAATTTTCCTGCGCCGTTGAGGACTACCACAGGGGGAGAAGTATAGTGTTCTGTTTCGTCTTTTCCTCTCACTTTCTACATTCCAATTGGTACTCTCAAAGGCAAGAAATGTCTAAACCAACTCTTCAATCGTTACGTTCAGCTTCTGCTCTTCAGCCATTCCGACCTGTTCTTCGACGAAGCTTCATAACTTTGCCCGGCACAGAGACCCAGAAGTTAACAGCCACAAGGATATTACCCTACAAGTCATCGAGTCTCTATACCATCATTGCAGACGTCGATAGTTATTCCAATTTTCTACCGTACTGCATCGAATCGAAAGTGACCAAATGGTCTTCACCAGACAAGAATGGCAAGCGCTGGCCATCTGAGGCAGACCTAAAGGTTGGATGGGGTGGATATGAAGAAATTTTCACATCGAGGCTCTTATGCGCCCCAGGGTCAACTGTTGAAGCTCTCGGTGGTGAAGCGCGAACATCTCTTCCAAAAGCAGACATTGAACACCATTCTGCAACATTCAACTCTCCCGCAGTCGCAAACAACATCTTTCAATCGCTGAGTACAGTATGGACAGTCAAACCGTTTCACTACAAGCCACCCTCAGGTCGACCGCAGACAGATAATGCAGTACTTCCAGCTCAGGAACAAACAGAGGTTCATTTGGAAATCGATTTCCAGTTCTCGAATCCGATATATGCGGCATTGAGCAAGGCTGTTGCGCCTAAGGTTGCTGGCATCATGATTGAAGCCTTTGAGGTTCGGGCAAGGAAGATTTTAGATGGGCCGGGAGCTATTGTGAAAGAGAAGGATACGATGGATAATGTGTTGAGTGCCGGGAAGAAGATTGGAGTTTGATTGGAAACCTCAGTGATCTTGAATGCGCTGCAAAGGCTGTCTTATAGATCTAGCATCTCGGCAACATAGAACTTATACGGAGGCTGTACGAATCTTTGTATATAATGCACACATCTCATATGGTAAAAACTGGGCACCACCTCCAGATTTCTAGATTAGCATAGAACACGGACAAAGAAGTTTGCAAGTAATCCCCAAACTTGACAGCTGCTAACTGCTCTGAATGTGACGAATTGTGTTGTGTAGTCGGCTGTGCTACTGTGGAGAGAGCCTCGCAGACTTGCTCAAGCTCCTATATATTGTCAGCTTTTCTCGAAAAACCGCGCAAGGCACGGAAGAGAAGTGTCTCTGAAAAACCCGTACAACTTCCGGGGACGAAAGAATGCTAGCTGTCACTTGAATGTTCAGTAATCATTGGGTAACTTTTCGTAATGTCTTCAGATTGTTCAAATCTGCCCACAGGTGCAACATAAGTAAGAATTTTACACAGGCTGGGTTCCATGCTGCCATTGCTCTCGAGAGGTATCGTATTCATACAACATACATTTCCATCGCTTTGCTTCCGCCCAATATGCAATCAATCCCTAATCATCCCTCCAGACAGACCCTCTCAATGACTCAACGTGCTCCTCCTTTTCGCCCTCCGTCTCTTTAGCAACGCCCGGCCCTTCCTCGTTCTTATCCGGCTCAAGAACCCATGCCTCCGCTTCCTGACAAAATGACTCGGATCGAACGTATCTCGTGGTGCGCCGAGAGCAGGTGTTGATGAGAAACCTCGCGCTGCTGAGGTGTTTGGAAGGAGACTCAGGACTCCACTTGGTGTGGACGTAGCAGGCGATATGATTGGGTTGTATGATACTTTTGAGGTGACAGATGATGGAAAGATGCTTGGCCGAGAGGGGCCACGAAGTGATGTGAATGTCCTAAGACGTCGATCAGAATTGAGCACTATGGGACGTAGTTGGATATACCTCTTTGTTGATTGCTGGACAAGGGACTTATGGACACTCTGCCACGAATTCGAGTATTTCGTAGGAGCAATTACGCCCCGAGAGCATCTTACGCACAGCATATTGGCTCGAGGAGAGGTGATTGTATATTCCGAGTGTTTTGCGAGATTGGTGTCGTTCAACCCGAGCTTCTTGAACTCAGAGCGCTAGCGGCCGCATCAAAAAATACCCCCAAAAAGTTCCCGATCATCCTCTCACAAAGGCGCTCAGCGATCTCACGAGCAATTGAAATTCCAGTCACCCTGAACAAGATGTCAGCCTTCCCACCTCAACGATCGGTAGCGTCCATACCAGTCTCACAAGACATCGCACTCAAATACCTCGCTGCGTACCTCGAAGCCGCGAAAAGCTCGCCCCATTTATTACCAAATGCCCGGCTCGAGCCCTCAGGACCAACAGCTGGGCCCAGCTCCTCGAATATTACAATACACAATTTACAGCGAGTTGAAGCGGGTTTGAGGGGAGAATGGCTTGCGCCTACCTTGGATCTGGAAGAGGGGAATGTTCCGATCGCAGCGGGTATGGATGATGGTACGAATAAGGAGCAGCAGAATGGTGAGGCGGAGGGATGGATGGATCTAGATCAGTATCAGAGGGAACAGAGTATTGAGGGTGGAGAGATTGGGGTTAGGGTCCCTGGTGCTGTTCAGGATGCAGAATTGGACTCGGATCTAGAGATGCTGGATCATGCACCAAAAAAGCCACTGGACAAGGCTGCGAGGAGGGAAGAGAAAAAACAGCGCTTGAAGCAGGAGAAACGACAAAGGGAAATGAAAAGGGCCGGTCAGCTTGCAGACTGAGTATATCCAAATCCTACTAAAGTTCTGAGCGGCGACGACGGATGGCCTCAATCCACGAACCTCACATCCGCCGACAGTCAAATTGACGAGATCTTGTTCATTTCACGTCTATGTCTACAACTCCCTGCCGCTGGCCTGTGCGACTTTCTCGTCCTGTTTCTCCTCCGATACACTCGCCTTCGAGTCGCCATACCATCCTAGAGCACCCAGTCTCTCCGATAAAATTGGGTGGGAGAAGTGGTAGCTTGCATACATCCAATCGGCATCCATCGTGCTCAAGTTCTGGATCTGCAGCTTGATCAAAGAGCGGGCGAGCTCGGTCGAGTAGCCAAGCTTTACAGCGAACGCATCGGCTTGGAACTCATACTTTCGGCTCAGAATGTTCATCAGGAGCTTGATGACGGTGTCCATTGGCGCAAGTGCATCTGAGAAGAGGATGAATCCAATGATGATTGGAAACTCATTATGGAATCCAAAGGATTGGTAGAGAGACTTGTTGTTAATGAATACCGAGAAGAGAGCAAAAATGTAAAAGAAATGAGCCTATGATCGGTCAACATCACCCTAGCAGTGCGAGTTCCTGAACATACCTGTGAGATGCCAAATAGTCTGGTAGTATGTCCGAGACTCCAGTGGCCCAATTCATGTGCAAGAACAGCCACAACTTCTTGTGTCTCACTCTTTTCGATGAGTGTGTCATAGATCACGATATGCTTCTTCCATGGCATGCCAAAGAAATACGCATTGCTGTGGGCACTTCTCTTGCTGCCATCAATAACGTAAAGCTCGTGGAGAGGGAAATTTAGCCTCTCAGCAAGTCCTTCAACACCAGTCTTCAGATCGCCGGGTTGAAGCGGAGACAGCTTGTTAAACAGAGGCAGGATAGTGATTGGGTAAATGGTGATCATGAAGACCTGGAGACCAGCACCAAACATCCACAGATAGTAGAAGAATCCATTTCCGGTCTTCTGGACGATTTTGAGGAAGCCAGCGAGAATCGGGGGAGCGAGAATAAATGCCAGCATTTGCGACTTCAACATATCCATAACGAACAGCTTGGGGGTTTGCTTGTTGAAGCCGAACTTCTCCTCCAGAACGAATGTATGGTAGATCGAGGTTGGCAAAGATAAGATTTGCTGAATTACGATGAAGGTAAGGACAAACACAATTGAGTGTGTGATTTCACCAGAGAAACGTGCCGGGAAGTATTGTAGGAGCCATGAGCCGGTCAACGACCATAGTTTCGGGAGGACGTCGTAGTAGATGAATGCCGTGTTTTGAATTTGACCATAGAGACCGCTGAAAAGACCAAACTTTGCCTTGGCTCGTCCATAGGCCTACCATTAATCAGTATTGACATCATGTCATTGCCTGGATTGGCTTACTTGACTCTTGTCGAAGACCTCTTGGGACACCTCCTTCTGGAGAACCTTAGGCGGGCGAGTTTGCTTCAACACTTGGTACTGGCGCAGAGAAAGGAAGCCTTCGAAGGCATATTGGGCAAGGGAGAAGCCGATGATGAGCTTCTTCCATGGGAACAAAGGACGGTCGAGGAAACGGGCAAGGCGCTGAGCAGATTATTAGTAACGTTGACTTGTACAGTTTCAAGGCTAGAATTAAGAAAATACCTGAAGAAAATCCATCGTGTCAGTCACAAAGGAATGAATAGATGGAAGAAACCGGCAAACGGCAAGCCTTGGTGGGATGTAAAGTAGATGGAGGTTGCAGGTTTCTCCAAGCCCCAGACGATCTGTCCTGACAAGGCTGGCTCGGACAGGGTTCACAGATGGAACTCCGAACAGCCGCAGGGGCTCGCTTGTTTCACCCGCGACGTGTTTCTCTGTTGACATTGCCAGTTTCGGAAACTTGTTGTAATCTGTATCAAAGCCCGACATTTATGGCCCTATTGAGACTTCTCTTCAAACCAAAGTAAGATGTCGAACTCACGGCTTCGAAAGGACGATGAGTGGTGTAAGTTCAGCGCTTCATTAGAGCTCGTAGAAGAATCAACAATTGACCAATCGCCTAAACAAGTAGCTCGGCTTCAGATCCTTCAAGCACTGCTGTCGGCTTCCGCTGAGTCTAATACTTGGAATTGTTGTTCTATTTGCTCATGTGAGAATCAATGTCTTAAACGAATCATTAGCGAACGATGAAAAATCAAGAGTAGTGTCTATGTCTGGGTGTCTACCTAGCAGATACCTTAGCTACTTTACAATTGTATACATGTGTGAATTACGAGAGAATTTCCATCTTGCCTGGCTAATTATCACTTCCTACTAAGCCGCTGATATCACTTCTCGACAGGTAACGGCGGAAACAGGCCATCCCAAGCATCTCTACCCACTGGGACCTTTGCATTCCCATATGTATCATCGGCTCCAAGCGTTGCATCGGCGAATGTCCGTCTTGACTCATGTACACCTAGCATATCGAGAAGCTGAGATGCTTTACCAGGCATATATGGCTGAAGCAAAATCCCCACAATTCTGATAGCTTCTGCGCAGTGGTAGACCGTGGAATCGATCTTGCCTCGCAGCTTTGCATCTTTCTGATCGTTACCTATGCTTTTAGCGATTGCCCATGGTTGCTGGTATTGGAGGTATTTATTTGTCTTTTCTCTTGTTAGCTGAGGATATTGGAAAGGTCCTTTGCCGACTTACCTCGTACACCGCATTCATGATAGCATGCAATGCAGCTCCCGGATTCAACTCTTCCATTTTGGCATTGGCACTTTTGCCCAAGGTCTCAAGCATCTCGACTTGCATCCTAGTGCTCTGGTCGAAGTTGGCAGCGCTTTCACCCCGAGCAGACTGAACCGCCTCGTGCACACTCCAGATCTTTGGTCGCGTGATCCTGCTGACCAGATTGCCTAGACCCCCTTGAAGCCCTTTCTTGTACCTCTCGACGATAAAATCGTTCCCGTAATCCGAATCGTTTATGATACCGCCCTCAAGGGCAAGGTAGTACCTCATTACATCTACTCCAAAACGATCAATTGCGAAAAAAGGGTTGACCACATTTCCAGTGGATTTAGCCATCTTCTGATGATTGAGTGTCCAATGCGCATGGGTGAGAACTTGTTTTGGGGGCTCCAAATCTAGGGCGAGAAGGAATGCCGGCCAATAAATGCAATGGAATCGAACAATATCTTTCCCAACCACTTGGACATCTGCCGGCCAACCGAGAGCGCTCTCCTTTCCAGGAGCCCAGGGATATCCAGCTTTCGTGATGTAGTTCACCAAAGCATCCAGCCAGACATAAATAGTCTGGCTTTCGTCGTCTGGTACAGGAATCCCCCAAGTCAATCTTTCAACTGGTCTAGACACTGAGAGGTCTTCTAGGCCGTCCGACACCCACTTCACAACATCACTCATGCGAGCTGCCGGAACGACAAATTCCGGATTTGACTTATAGAAATCGAGAAGACGATCCTTGAAAGCAGAGAGCCTGAAGTGATAATTCCTCTCAGACGTCCATTCTACCTCCTTCCCGGTCTCTTGTGATGCCATAAATGTCCGACCAGTAAAAGGATCTAATCTCTTCTCTATGGTCGATTCTGGGTAGTATGTCTCATCACTGACACAGTACCATCCTTCATGTTTTGACTCGTATATGTATTCCCGTTCTTTCAGCATCTGCCAGAAGTATTGGACTGCCTCTCGGTGGTCGGGATCCGTCGTCCTAACGAAATGGTCATTAGATAGTCCTGCTCGTTTTGCTAAGGACTTGAAAGTTTCGGCTGTCAGATCGCAGAATTCTTTCGGGGGTGTGTGAGCTTGTGCGGCTGCCCTCTGGATTTTCATCCCATGCTCGTCGGTCCCTGTACACAATATGGCCTGCTTTCCGTGCAAAACTTGCCATCGTTTAAGGATGTCCGAGAGGACCATCGTATAGAGGTGGCCAACATGAGGAGCTGCAGGATTATATTAGTCACTTGACCAATGCATATTAAAAGCATTCCGTACCAGCATTGACATAGAAAATTGGTGTTGTAACATAATACGGCTTCTCAAGTGAGCGTCGAGAAGTAGAAAAGTGCGCCTGGGAGGGAGTCTTGGCCCTGCAAGATCTGCAGACCCATTGATGAACCCCTTGATTCCCAATACTTAGCCGCAGCTGAGACCGAGTGGTAGGAACAACGCGTCGAAGGTTCATTGCTAGATATCCTGATGTTGTTTAGATTGTTCGATTGGGCTCCAGGGATATTGCACCAGCTTGCGGCAGAATCGAGCGGTGTGCGGAAATGTCAAGCCTTGCGCTTGCTTGTTCTCAGCCTTGCACATTGGAATCTGGACTTCTAACAAACAATTCGTGACCTCGAAATCTGAACCGACCAAGCCATAACATAAATACATCAGGACAAAGAACAGGCACCACAACACCACGAGAAAACCACGTTTGCAGCACCTACCTACAGCCATCTTGCTGGATATATCTCAATATTAGAACAGCCATTCAGTTAGCGATGGCAGAACCGACTGAGGACATAGAAGTGAAGGTTGCAACAAATGGTAATATGTTTCAGGCTGTTTGTTGCAAGGATAAATGCTGACAAGATTTTAGCTGCTGAGGACTTTGTCAGTGCTTACTATGCAGTTTTGAACGGCTCTAAAGGACACACCAGTCTGACTTCGTTCTACCTCAAACCTACCGAAGCACGTCCTCTCAAGCCACAAATCTCTATGAACGGCAAGGTCTTACAAGATCCAGCAGCATTACAGAGTGCTATTGCTGATCAACCCGAGCGGTCCCAATATGACGTCCAATCCTTTGACTGTCAAGTTCTGAACTCAAATTACAATGTTGGTGTGGACGACACCGCCGTTGGACCCGAGAAAGATGGCAGAAAGATGAGTATCCTAGTGCTTGTCAGTGGAAGCGTCAAGAATATGAAGGATGATGTAGGTCGAGAGACCCGAGGATTTACAGAAAGCATTATCTTGGTACCGAACTGGGAGGCATATAACCCAAAGGCACCGAAGGGTCTCAGGAAATGGCTGATCTCGAGCCAAACCTTCAGATTTGTGCTTTGACATACTTCTGGAAACAGCAAAGCTGCCTTGGATACAAGCAGACTCTGGTATATGGCGTATGGAGTCTCAAAATATTGCTGTTTTGAATATTGACTATCTGGATTTATTTGCTTCCCCTTGCCAGCTCCTTGCTTGCGTGAACTGCAATCTGCCTTGGCGTGTTTGCAATTACCATCATGCTTCTGCATTTACTTCTTTCTCCTTCTTATCTCAAGTCTCAGAGCATATTTCAAAGATATTTGGCTTACACCTGTGGCCCTGACAGCTGAAATATGGGCTCAAGTTACTGTATCCTCGTGTTGGAGTTACTTTATGTTCATGCTAATATTGATGAATTTCCTCAAATTCACCCTCTACCTGCCGGAGTGCTTCATATCAGAGCTAACAACCCCTATATCCTATATATTTCTGCTTAACCTTTTCAACATGAAACCTACAACTTCTACATCACTGACACTACCATCTCCAAAACCACAACAACCCAGAACAAAGCACAACGACATTTCAAACGACCCCACACAAGTTCCTAATAAGGCCACACTGCTTTGAGTTGATCTCTAAGCGCCAATACAAATAACGGCAAGATCATACACTCACCATTTCCAACCAGCTGTTGTATCTCATTTCAGGAGAAGAAACCCTTGGAGCCTTCCCATACGTTCAGCAGACAAAATTCCAACCATAGCAGCCGCGCTCCATCTTTCAAACATGAAGATACCATCTGGCTTTCTTGACTCCAATGGCAAGATGGCCAAAGGTGAGATCATATTGACCGTTGGCGAGGATTAAGTTGCTCTTCAAGAGTTCGGCACCATCACAGAAGGTAACAAGACAAGCTGCTTTGTACTCACATCATGTGGTGACATTCCTACCATGAGATTTGCCTTGAATGCCAACATTGCTGACCATGCCGATCTTGTCGTTGACGGTGTGTTGCGCAATTCTCTGTCCACCTCCATTGCAAAGAATTTCAAAGGAGCATTTGAGAAAGCACTTTACCAAGGAATGAAATCTTCATCCAAGCGTGGTGCGGTCAAATACTCGAAGATGCAAGTAAAGGAACTTCTCAGTTTCCCTGGTAGGAACCCCTCCCACTTTGTAACTTAGCAGGCTGACACGACAGGCTTGGTGTCAACTAACAGTAGTGCCCTGTCGGCGGTTGGTAGTCTTGAATTGAGATTGTATCGGGTAAGTCATGACACCAGCGTGGATACGAAACCCAGTGAAAAGGACTCCTTAGGTGGGGATGTCGACAGACCTCCAGCATATGAAAAGTGTGCTGAGTGGTATGATTGCATATCCAATCTCGAGTTCGACGGCCCACGTCCACCTTTTCATATCGAGTAGGTTATTTTGCTCACCTTATTTGTTGTCGATTTTAATCGAGAGCAACAGTTTCTTCGACCACAAGGAGGCTGGCAGGCCCATCAAAGAAAGAGTCCTAAAAGAACTTCCCACAGGCTGCAAGCTATGGGCTATTTTTGTCTTCTATCTTCGTTCAAGCGCGGATTTGCGAGCCCTTGGTTTCGATTGTCCGACCTCTCTATCTGCTCAATTGCTTCTTCCCACTTCCTCAACTACTTCAATTGAATTGAAAGCCAGCAACGCAGAAGGCTGCAAACAAAAGCCAGAGGATACGTTGATTGGAAACGCTCTGGTGGAAAGCATTAGTGGCCATAGTCCAGGAAACAAGTCTGACTGTAGCGAGATCGAGAAGATTGAAGCTCATCCATTAACTGCTCCAGCTTCGGCTCCCCGGACAACTTCAAACAGCCTCTTAAATATAATGGCGAGCTCGGACAGAGAAGAGGGTCTCAGTGTTAGCGAGAACTTGGAGGATCGTTCTGCTGGACAAAGTGTGACCCACATCACAAAAAGATCGATTCTTACAAGAACTACACCCCAGAATTCTCACTACTATTCAAGTCAAGGTCTCGGTTTTGTTATAAATGGCGCAAGGCTTAAAAGAGTACCCGTCATTGAGCGCCCTGAACCTGGAATGTCAGCCAATACTTCTAGCAACGATGTCCAATTGAAGCAAGATCCTGCTGACGAGTGCGACACTCCTCGAAAGTCTAGAGAAAGAGGTCTGATATTTCTCCCAGGGGTTACTGGAGTAAACACATCGCCGGCTCATAAAGCATTCCTTGAGAGACCTGCAACTGAGGACGCCGAATCTCGCGAAGTCACTCCCACTCCCGCGCATGAAGTAACCCAAGGAGATGATGGGAACAACTTCACTTACGGTCAACAAAATTCGCCACATCTCAGTGCAAGCAGGCGAGGATTTTCTCAACCACCAAAGGTACTGCCATCTATAGAAGGAGGACAATTGAGTCTTTCAGTTAGCCAGGATGAGTCGTTGGGCTCGGCTTGGAAGCCTGGAACTGCTCCTATGACTTCGTTAATGCAACAAATCCAAACAGTACAACGTGGATCAGCTAGCCTCAACGATACTTGGGCTCTGCCGAACATCAAACTCAGCAATTCGTTTGTCAAGGACTCATTGGTGTCTGTCGACGGTCAGGACAACTTGACGAAGTTTGATTTTCTCCTTCCAGACACCTTCACACCCTCGTCACCGCTAGGTACCTCACAACAAAACAAGTTCACATTTCACCAGCCAGGGAATCCCGCCATCGATAGTCAATCAGAGCCTCTCTTGAGCCGAGCTTCGGTCCGCAGAGCACCTTCTGAAGCATCATCCGAGGCAGATACCGAGGTTGCTGAACCAGAGGATACCGAAAGAATTGTAAAAGCAAGTCGGAGAAGCACGCAGACTACCAATACGAGCCGGTTTCCATCCCACCCACTTCCATTGAATGACATTTCCTTCAATTCTAATGTGACTGAGGAAGAGCAAGGCAACCATACTCATCCTAGTCCAGTTCTGGGCAGTCGAAGATACTCAAATTCTAGATCCGGCGTCGGCAGCCCACTCTCTCGATCTTCTACGGCCGACACGAAAAGTTATTCGACTCCTAGCAGCCCAATGCAGCAAATTAGAGAGAACTTGTCTGCCGAACCACTTACCCCATATAGGAACTCGTTGCCCAACTTCGAGCCAGAAACCGTTAAGAATCTCACTTCCAAACCAGGCACCAAGCAACCCATGTCCCAGACTCAAACTCCTCTAAAGCGAAAGTCTGATGCGATGGCCAGAAACGTAACCCCAGATCCAGTTTCCCCTAGAAAGACCTCTATTGCTCCAGCCGAAAGAAAGCACAGGTTTGAAGATGACAAGGCAGCGGCGAAAGCTCGGATTGCGGCGGCTGAGAGAAAGCGAGAGGGACTCCAGAAGAAACTTGAAGCGGCGAGGGAGTTGAAGCGAGAGATGGACAAGGTATATGAAGAGACAAAAGAAGCCAGTAATCTGGAGCTAATACTTGACACAGGTTCATGAGCTGCACCAAAAAGCTGCTGACGTTGAACAAGAGAATGCTGAGATGGAAGTAAGTGTTGCATGCACTTTCCGCGAGGCTAAATTAATCATTTGACAGGCAGAGATTGCGGCGATCTACGGTACGAAGAATACGGCACATGAATAGATGGGCAGGTGGGACACGGGGAGTGGAGATTGGAAGGCTTGGTTTCGATTGCCATCGTGAGAGTATGACTTTTACGAATGACTGGCACGACTGGTAATCACAACAAGAAGACCTCCAACAGTCCTGACACATCGTAGAGATGCATATCATTAAGGGAGGTAGGACACTTCCACACATGAATGCAAAGAGACTGCTATTCAAGCATTGAGGTTAATTAAAGCAGCAGCATTGTCAATGTTCCACCAAAACGCTGGTTTGGCGCCGAAACAAGAGAGCAGTCCTACCTGAAATTCTTCTGAGTTGTCATATCTTCAAGTTACCACTTGTTCAACGCATTGGCACAGGTGATACAGACAGTAGGAGAAAAGCAGAGAATACAAAATAGAGAAGTATTGATTTTATTGAAGATAAACTTTCGAATCACAATGGATTCCCTACGCAGTGGGATGTACCTAACTCGTGCCCTTTCAGAGCGACAAGGTCGTTGACTCATCAGCGAAAATGTAGTTCATAAACTCCACCCATTGAAGGAAAGTCGCGAGGAAGAGCGGATTGCCAATGCCACCGGGACAAACTCCAATGCGCCGAACACCATTGTACTTTCATCATCTCCTATGCTCTTGGGGTTCGTAAATTGGCTTTGACGCGCTCTAGAAGCTGCTCTCGAGTATCCTTCGAGTTTGGGTGGAGATTTCTCTATGATTTTCTCATGTCAGTTCAAGCCGTCCGATCCATCGAACACGAGTGAAGTATGACAGCTACACAATGGAGCTACTCCATCGGTATACATAGTGACGGAAAATTTTAGAAAACCAGAAAGTGCTTACAGCTGCGAGCCATCTACGGAGTTCCTCATAAGTCCAGCTGTCAGGATCTACATTCAAGTCAATTAAAGTCATATTTGGTGAATGGGTACATACCACCACTTGGGTCTGATTCCTTGGGGAACATATCCTGGCCCCATATTGACCAAGCGGCTACTGCAGTGATTATTCCGCCAAATGCTGTGACTCTCAGTCAAGGGTAGACTCTCATTTGGCATTGGGTACTACCGAGAAAGGTGTTCTATACAAGAGTTAGAATTGTTCTTTGGCTAGTCCTGAGAATGATGAAATAAATCACTATAGCTGTCCACTGAAGTGAATGGGCATATGTGAAAGGGTAACTTGAAAAGGCCCATAGACTCTTTTCTGGAGTCACCAGATGATCACGATAGTGAATCAGAACCTGAAGCAGCAGAAATATACATTGGGCTCAGTGAAAGAGAGACCACGTCTTGTATCTGAGAATGCCTGGTCTCATTATTTGCAAGTAACTAGACTGACCTTTGAGTTTAAAGCTTTGTCAAGAGGAGTAGGCATCTTGTTGATAATCTGACGAGGTAGTGCTGTGGCTGAGGCAACTTGGTGAGACTAGACAGCTTTCGATATTGTAGCTTTGTAGTTTAATAGATTTCGAAATGTCAATTTCTGGGCATAGCTTAATACTAATAAGAATACAAAATGAATTTGAGGACAAGTATTCACAGTCGTGCTTCCAAGGCAACCCGTCATTGCTCTCGAAACCTCCCCGCAGCCACGCGGCATCAAGCCACATCAGTGTTTACCACGTGACCTAAGTTATCTCTTATCGAGAACCGAAGCTGCTGACCTAAGCACCACACACTGAATATCGATATTCGGCATCAACGTTCAAGAAAAGATCCCCCGCAAAAATACACCTTCATTTCCCCAAGACACCGTCTAGAAAACCGCCGAAATGCCTCGCGAAATTTCAGACATCAAGAACGTAAGTTCAATTGTGCAGTGAGCCAATGCGCTCGAATTGTGTATTTTGCCCCAGCCAGAGAACTAATTTTGTTCAGTTCATCGAGATTTGCAGACGCAAGGATGCTTCATGTACGTTTTACCATTTTACCGCCTGTGAGGACCTGTTGGAAGAGAAGGGCTCGAGATAGGAAATCGGAGAGGAAATCAAGATCCTGGATCGCGACGAGAACGATTGAAAGGGTGGAGACTGACGGAATACAGCTGCCCGCATAAAGCGCAACAAGAAGTCCTCGCAAATCAAGTTCAAGGTCCGATGCCAAAGACACCTGTACACCCTTGTTTTGAAGGATACCGAGAAGGCCGAGAAGTTGAAGCAATCGCTGCCACCTAGTAGGTTATCCCATGGAAGAGAATGAGGAGAGCCCTGGAAGTCCGGAACAGAACGTTATTCATTTAGCGGAGACGTTGTCATTTCAAATGCACTGAAGGTCCGCACATGGTTTTCGCGAGCATGATCTAATTTTTCCTCCTACAGACCTTACCATCGCCGATACCCCAAAGAAGAACGCCAAGGGAAAGCGAAGCGCATAAAGGATGATGGATTCGAGGAATTGAATTGAAGGGCGAGGACGGGATATGCATTGACTTCATTTGCAAGGGGCGTCTGGCATACATGGTACGAACTTGGAACTGCTAAGCTATCATGAAGTAGCGAAGCAGAAATGAAAAAGCTACCCAAACCAACACAGTTGACTTTGACCTACCTAGTCTGAATGTGGCCCAAGGAAAGGGAAGAATGTAGACCATTCTTATCTTCGCAATCTCCATGGTAAGTAATCCAAGTATATTGATTCTTTCCATTTGAGGTTCGCTCCGTGAGAACATTTGGAGACGGGGATGACTCGGCCCATGTCTACGTAAGCGGTTCTGCCTTCTTCTAGCATCATCACCAGTTTCCTCCAAATCTTGACTTTTCGCCTTTCAACCATCAAACACATATGCTGTTAGCCAGTAATCATATTCAAACACCGATTACGACCACCAGGTACATGGATGCCAATCCAACTTCAGTATCCACCACTTCGATACCATTGCTTCAGAAATTGATGTTCATTGGTCGGCCACAGCACAATGCCGGTCACAGAATTTGCTATTATTCACTTCAAGCATGATAAGTGGGAAGAAGCGAGTCACCGAGCACCTCCTCCCCAAGCACCTTCCATTGCACCCAGTAAGTTCTCAACAAGACTAAGCACTCTGTACGAGGCCTTGGCAGCGCATTTTGCTTGTATCCTACTGTGACTCAAAAAGCAATGTAAAGTGACCAAAATAGGCCTCGAAATTCCGAGCAACGTTCTCACCAAATTGTCCACCGCGCGCGAATACCTGCAACGTGCTTCAGGACACACATTCCGCTTCTTCCAGCAATTCGAGGACCCATTCACTATTCATATTATTGGCAAATGGGATTCCACCGAATCGCACACTGCTTTTCTTAGTTCGGCTGAGAATCAGTACTTGCTGGAGCTGATGAGAGAGCACATTTCATCTGGTGAGGGAAACACGGGCATCCAAATGTGGCATTTGGATGTCGACGTATTCGACTATCCAAGCCTAAAAGATTCCTGGTTGTCAAGCGCCACACTGGTGGCCTACCAGCGATACACCATTTCGACCCAAGGCAGTGCTGATCATTCCCAAGGCTTTGACGACATGATCGCGAGAATGAGGATTGACAGATCCGCTGCAGGCGGGTGGAGGATCGAGAAGGAGGCTGAGGATGACGAGTGGATGGTTTTCTTCGACTTTAAAGTTAAAGACGACGAAAAGGTGACCCAGGGGCTGGGAGGTATGGAGCTGGCTACCCCTGTGGATGAACTTCACATGGTGGCAATTGAAAGGCTGTGAGGTTCTTCTGGCATATGGAAGAGGTAAAGGTCAAGGAAGACGAAAACGCATACGCCGTCTTTGCCAAATCATGGCTGTGTTGCCCTAAAACCTGTTGGACGGCGAGGATGGCTCCGGTGTCACTAGTTTTGCAGGAAGACTGCTGCATTTACGAGCTGGAAGTTCAAATCAAAGAAAACAATCCCCATTGTTAAGCGAGCCCTGTTGATTCAAAACAAAAGCTCATCGCCACCAGAGGCAGGCAAAATACCTAAGGGAGTAACGACAACTCGACTGCATGATAATAAATGTTGGTTGAACTATTCCCAGTGAAGACTCGTTGCTTCAAAGAGCACTTTCAGGTTTTAAAGAATGCCCAATCTCGAGTGTTACCAAGCCAAGCGAACATAAACTTAAGGTTGATTAGAGGGTGGTCATTGCTTTCAACGGGATAACCAATTTCGAAAAGAACCTTTGCTGCTGACCAATAAATGATTTCTCCATTGGGTGGGAGATCAGGTATATTGCCCCACGCCCCATGAACCAAAGATGCTAGTACAAGTTAGTGAAGCCTTCGAGATGCTGTAAACTCTCCCTGGCTCGCCTGGACATCCTTTCCTTCCTCATTCTGCCAGTGCTAACATTTATTTCGTCCCATGTCAAGCACGATAAACTTTTGAAACACACTCTTGTCATTGGACGACGTTGGATCGTGGCGATCGGCCGCTGAGACTCGACCTCGACCCGCAGGAGAGGCGAGCGACGCTGGCGTCAGAATGCTTGGGTCTCTCAGGGGTCTGCACATTTTAATTCAGCAGCCACGCCCCGATCCAGTAAGCTCAAGAATTACCCCAGTTCCTGACAGGCCCAGGGCTCGGCCTCCTCAATCTCTCCCAGTAGTCGGTCGACATCTCTGAGCGCCTGCTCATTCATACTACCAACCTTCTCTCTTGTTTGTCTTTGTCTTGCCTTTGTTGTCCGCGTCCCTAGTTACTTTACTGGATTTTACTTTCGCATTCACGGGTGCGACCGGAAAGAGCAGCATAGAGCATGCGCAGTGTGCAATGACCAGCACTCAGACGCGGCGGCCATTTGGTGGAAATCCCCTTAAGACGAGAACCCATTCGCACTCGAGTTCCAGTACTACCTCCATGCCAATCGAGACACCTTCCGACACCAGTCCTTCCCCATCTCCCTCTCTCGAGATGCCCCCGCGCGCACAAATCGTCGAAATGACCGACGCCCTAGAAAAGACCGAGATCAATGGCTCCAAGAAACCCCGCAGACCAATCAACGGCAACAAGAGAAAGCAATCGTCCCCAATGATGCCCTCATTCATGGTATCAGCGCCCGGAAAGGTCATTGTGTTTGGAGAACATGCAGTGGTCTATGGAAAGGTGCATTAAGACTTCCTATCACTGCCCCTGAGCAGTGCTGATGTTATCTAGTCTGCCATTGCGGCTTCAATCTCCCTTAGATCCTACCTCCTCGTCACAGCGCTCTCCAAATCCAAACGAACAATCTCACTTCGGTTTCCAGACATCAATCTGGCGCATACGTGGAATATCGATGACCTGCCGTGGGATACATTTTCGCAGCCTGGCAAGAAGAAGTACTACTATGACTTGGTTACTACACTCGACCCGGATCTTGTCGCAGCTATGAAGCCACATCTTGCGAATGTCTCTTTGGATGCGTCTGAAGATGTTCGTAAGGTTCATCAAGCTTCTGCCTCAGCATTTTTATACCTTTTTCTCTCCCTGGGATCGCGATCTTTCCCAGGTTCGCTATATACACTTCGTTCCACTATTCCAATTGGTGGTGGACTAGGAAGCAGCGCCTCGATTTGCGTCTGCCTAGCTGCTTCTCTCCTTCTACAAATACGCACACTTTCAGGACCACATCCTGACCAACCTTCTGAAGAGGCGAGACTTCAAATCGAGCGAATAAACAGATGGGCATTCGTGGGCGAAATGTGTATCCATGGCAATCCTTCAGGTGTGGATAATACAGTAGCGACACAAGGAAAGGCCGTTGTATACCAGAGATCTGACTATGCGAAACCTCCCAAGGTAACGCCGTTGTGGAACTTTCCTGAACTACCACTCTTAGTCGTTGATACTAGACAGCCAAAATCAACAGCTGTAGAGGTCGCAAAGGTTGCGAATTTAAAGAAGGCACATCCACAAATTACAGATTCGATCATCAATGCAATTGAGAAAGTCGCCCAGAGCGCGGTGGAATTGATTGAGCACGAAGAATTTGATAGTGAGGAGCTCTCCAGTCTGGAGTCTCTGGGGAAATTAATGACAATCAACCATGGTCTTTTGGTTGCCTTGGGAGTGTCGCATCCTCGCCTTGAGAGGATTCGGGAATTGGTCGACCATGAGGGCATCGGCTGGACGAAGCTCACTGGAGCTGGAGGTGGTGGCTGCGCTATCACTCTGCTTAAACCAGATACTCCGCCAGATGTTATGCGACACTTGGGAACCAAGTTACAGGAAGAAGGCTACAATCAGTTCGAGACAACCCTTGGCTGCGATGGTGTCGGTGTTTTGTGGCCTGCAGTACTCAAAAACGGAAGCGAGGACGATATGGGAGGAGAGGAAATTGATCAAGACAAGTTCTTGAATGCTGATGGTATTGAAGGTGTGGAAGCGCTTGTTGGGGTCCATGGAGAATCGGGAGAAGATAGAGAAGCCTGGAAGTTTTGGAGGGTGGAAGATTAGAATTAAAGAATTATGGCTGGCAACAGCACTGCTTGGGACTAGCTTTACGCTTTGGAGGTACCTGATGGGAAAGATTCAATTCGATGTATCTATGTAAAAGTACCAATTGCGAACGAAACACCTAATGTAATGTCCCATTCATAATCCGAATTACCATCCCGTGCCTATTTTAACCGATGTCAGCATTAGGTTAAGCCCTATTACTGAATCTGTTGGTCCTTTGATCTCCGTTACTATTGTTCTCGAAGCGAGGCTGCAACATTCCTCTGACCCCAAGCCTCGAGGATTACATTCTGGTTGCCCCACCATAAATTGACAATGGCACCCAAAGCCTCAAAGGCGCCCAAGCAGCAAACCAAAGATCCAGAGCCTCCGAAGGAGTGTGAGTTTATTCTCCACAGCAGTGGGAGCTACATGACTCTTTCCCTTGGCTTTGCATAGCTAATATCACCCCTCCAGACCCCACCATCGCCGCGAAGCTCGAAGCTGAATACACAGCTTCTCGACCCTACCAAGTCCTCAAAGAAACCAAAGGCTTCTCCAAACTCACAGCCAACGAGAAGAGCGCCTACGCAAATTCCATATTACTCGAGACTGGCGCCTGGAGAACGTGGCCAGCTTCGCAACAGAAAGAATTCTGGAAGCTCATCGAGCAACAGAAGATCCCCATACCCCTTCCCAAGCCGCAGAGCTTAGGGAAGGATCCCAGAGGTGTGGATCTGGGAAGCTATACGCCGGCGGAATATAAACTTTACGAGAGGATGGAGAGAGATCTGAGGGCTTTAAGGGAGAAGAGTGATAGGTTCAGGAAAACAGAGAGGGAAAGGTGGACTGAAGAGGACGTGGAAGAGGAGAGGAATAGGAGGAAACTGCTGGGTAATTTGCAAGGTAGGAAGATGGGGATCTATGAGGGGGATCCCATATGGGATGATGTGATTCCGTTGGCTCAGGATGATGGTGAAGGGGCTTTAGCTGCGATTGCCTATACGGATGAGTATGCTGAGGGTAAGTGCTATTGCTGTATTCTAAAGCAACTTCTAACATCGTATACAGCTATGGGTTATCTCCGAGCCATCATGGCGGCCAAGGAATACTCTCCGAGAGTTCTGGCCCTTACGAAGCATATCATATTACTAAATGCAGCCCACTACACAGTTTGGCTGTACCGAGCATCCACGCTCTTCGCCTTAGACTCCTCCGTTGAAGCCGAGCTCAAATGGGTAAACAAAGTAGCCCTCGACAACCAGAAAAACTATCAAATATGGCACCACCGACAACTTCTCATTGACCAAATCTATGCCAAAATCTCTTCCGACCAAGCAGCCATCCAAAAGCTCGCGGAATCAGAAACAGCGTTCATGACACAGATGTTTGCCCAAGATTCAAAGAACTATCACGTTTGGAGTTATCGCCAGTATCTCGTTCGAAAACTCGATCTCTTCAATCAGAAAGAACTGGAATCAATTGAGGACCTCCTTCAAACAGATGTGAGGAACAACAGCGCCTGGTCCCATCGCTTCTTCGTCGTATTCTCCGACCCCAAAATCTCAACACCGGGTTGCAAAGCTACGGAAAGCGATCCCAAAATCCCAGACGATATCATCGACCGTGAGATCGAGTTCGCCAAGGCAGCTACATTCGATACACCACAAAATCAAAGTCCTTGGAACTACCTCAGAGGTGTTCTACGCAAGGGAAGCAGGAAATTGAGTACACAAGAATGCTTCGCCTGCGAATTTGCCAAGATTCCGGAGGACGGAGAGGAAGACGTGAGGAGTAGCCACGCGTTGGATTTTCTGGCAGATGTATGGGCTGAGATGGGAGAGCTTGAGAAAGCAGACAAGGCGTTGAAGTTATTGGGCGCCAAGTATGATAGAATTCGTAAGAATTACTGGGATTGGAAGAGGAGTTTGTTAAAGGAGGCAAGTTTGCAGGAGAAGATGAGCGCGTTGAAGACTGGTTGAAGGTAGAGAAGCAAGCCCAGTGAGTGAAGAGCATGGATGGCTAGGCTGTACGTGTTGAACGCCAAATTGATACCCTTCATGTTATCTGCAACGGATTGTCAATTTGTTTATCCTGTGTTCCAGTCTTTGTTTCGTGCGGCATAACAACAGTTGGCAGCGTCAACATGTCACGGAAGCCAGTCCCAACCGAACTCCAGCAAATACTGGTTTACTTTCATCCCGCAAAGCAGTTACTGAACCAATTATCACGTTACACAGTCTCTTGATGGACCGCATCTATAACCGAAATCAAATCCCACGTATCCCATGTTCTATGACAAGGATGTAGTATTAGATTCCCAACCCCCATTCGCTACTTTGTCGATCTCTGACCTCATACTTACGGTCACGATACCCTCACTTAGTTCAAGCCCTACCACTCCTCCCCCCCCCCCCCCTCCCCGGCCAAAACCCCCATTCAAGCTTGATTCAGCTTCGCGATTGCCGATAGGACAGCAGATGGGGGGAGTGGCATTTGTGCTTGTTTCTGTGTGGTCGCTTGAGTCAGGTATGATGTCGTGGGGCAACAGGCGATGTTGATCGTGCTTCAGTGAGGTGTGAGTGGTGGTGAAAAAAAGGATATCTGGCCGGGCTTCACCTACTCGCTGCGAGTCGGCATGTAACGCTATGATATGACACTTTGAATAGTTTTTGGCCGACAGCTTTGTACAATATTAATATTCACAAGATTGTTACATCTATATCTACATACAAATCCTGCCAACATCCCAAAAACCAGTCACCAGTGTACCACTCTCAGATTTCACCAACTGAAATCCAAAAACCGCAAATATATCCAAACAAAGATGTTCTACGACCTCCTCACCATCCCCGACCCACGCCCTTCAAAAGCGCACCCCGATCACCGCGCAACACGCAAAGCAATCGAAGAAGAATTACCATACTTCGACGCCAAGGACCTCGGTCTGAAAGCCGGCGTGCTGGCGCTCATGTTGGGTATTGCTTGTTACCCGAGGATAAAATCGGAGCATGATGCATTAGAAAAGATTGAGAAAGAGAAAAAGAAACAGAAAATTGAGTTGGGGAAAGGGAGGAGGGAGAGGAGGAGGAGTGAGGGGTATGAGAACAGGGATAGGAGGACTAGTGATGGGTATGAGAGTTCAAGGAGAATGAGCGAGGCAGGTGAGAGGAGGAGAAGTGCGGGATGGGAGAGAGATGGATATGGGAATGGGTATAGGGAGAGGGAAGGAAGGTCGAGACGTCGTTGAGAGGTAAAGACTGCTTGGGTTTGTTTTTAATTACGATGAGATTTAGCGAATACCTTGGGGCAGGAGTTTGGAGTTAACGAACATGGTTTGATATCTGTAAGATAGTTTACCTTCGATGAGGATCCCACAGTCTTAATTGTAGAAATTCGCCTCTTGTAATGAAGCTTGATCGTCATACTCCCATTCCACTGTCCTCTATATACGAATGAGAAAACCTTATCGTAGCAGCCCTGCGGCAAGGTTTCTTCATCGGCACAAGTACTGGGACCGAGCTATTAGTATCAGAAGCCTTCGAATCAGCACTAGCACTCGTTGTCCCATCACTCATCTCGCTCTCTTTTCTAATTGAACTCCCACGTCGGTACTTTGCAGGCGCTCTCAACGTAACCTGAACTTTCGATCCTGTCTTATGCCCAGCAAACCAACCTGGATGCAACTCCCTCAACAAAGCAATATTCTTCATCTCTTCCTCGTCCGTCCTATACCTCACCACACCTCCTTCATTCGTATAATGTCTCCACTGAGCCAAAATCTGGAAACATCTCACCACGCCACCATACTTTTTAATATGCTGCACCGTATACTCGTAATCTTCTTTCGAAGATAAGTTCTCGTTGAAGCGAAGTTCTGTAGGACGAATGACCATGAAGTCTCCAAGAATGAAGTGGTGCGTTGTGTAAAGCTGTTTGGTGCGATCACCTAGCTTGGAGGATGATTGAGCCCAGAAGGTATTGCTTGTAGGCATGCCCCCGCCGAGATGGAAATTCCCGAGCTTCATCTGCTTGAGGATTATGTGGATAGCTGTTTCGATTGATAACGGTTGCAGCTCTAGGGGATAGGGCTCTGCTCTTGCCCACCAGCTCATCTTGATCAAATCGTCGGATAACTGAACGCAGACGAGCTTACGATCGAATGCATGTTCTAATGCGAAGTTACGACTCCGACAGAGGTCTTTTCCTGGTGCGCTTTTGCCACAAGTCATCACTTTCAAGGCTCCTGCAGACTTGTAGGCATCGACTTGGGAGAATGGAACGACCCAAGTTACATTTAAACCGGGCAGATGTTGACCTTGCATTCTCTGGACATTGTTGGAACGACCCGAGGATATGATGTAGATTCCAATTCCTTCCATTACATGTTTGTTAATAGCAAAAGGGGCCAGCAAGCGGTTCAAATCGTATTAGGCAGCATAAATAAAGGTCTCGTATGGGGGTATAAATCGCAAATATTCTGAATGAGTAGAGGCAGTGGAGCCTGGTTGCATGAGAGACAAAGCACTTGCTCGAATTGAGAACCATCTTTGCGCGGATGCGCAACAAAGAATGGTAGGAAGGGGGAGGTCCTGCTCGCAGTATGTTGAAATGACAAAGAGCTATTCTCTTGCACGGAGGAACAACTTATTTGGCTGAGATGACACTTCAACAAGAGTTGCACCTTGAAAAGTGAGGAAATCAACGGTGATGTATTGATTCCGAGCTCTATGGTAGTAAATTCAATGTGAAAGTATGGCAAGCATGAAAAGCAAGTTTTAAGTTGACGACACCCCTAGCTCTCAAGAGGTTTGTTGTGTGCCGACCAAAGTAATCGCCTTACAAAAAGACTACAAACCATTCCTGGCAAGGAAATTGGTGATAACTTGATATGTGCCTGTTGCATTTGGCTGTAACAGTAATGTCAGCAAATACTTCGAAGCGCCGAGAAAAAAAAGATTACCGCAGTGTTCAAGATGTGACCTGTGTTTGGTTGAATGTAGGACTGGTATCCAACAGAGGCAGGGAAGAAACTACGAGCAGCGGGCTCGACAACTCCTGGACAATACCCTCCACACATGACGTAATCATATTCTCCACTTGATAAAGGTCAGAGGGTTCATGATATAATGATATTATCTTAGACAGTGCACTCACTTGATGAATAGGACTGGAGCTTTTACGCCAGGGGATGAGAAGTTCAGAGTTCCGATAGAGAAGAACTCCAAGATGGCGATGGGCCAGCTACGGTCAAAGCTGTATTGTACAGCTGTCAGGTCGTAGTTTGGAATCTTATAGAAGCTACAATCCTAATCAGCCAGCTGTTAGAGTGATCTGTTTTGGTGGTAACTTACATGTTGATGTATGAGAAAATGTCCACAAAGGTCGCGTAAGCATTGTCATAAGCCTTCCATCTTCGGGATATCTTGTTTGCAATTTTCAGCTGCGAAGTAGCTGCCACTAGTCCGAAGACGTTTGCCATTCCACTGTTGTATCCCCATCCTGAAAGGACGACTCCATCCACAACATCGGGCTTTGCAGCAACCAAAGCATTGGAAGCGATTGAACCCATGCTATGGCCAACTAGGACAATCTTCTTTGGAACATATTGCGAGGAGCGGCGGGCAGCACGAGGAATAGATCCGGCTCTGGCGTAGCGCACTAGACTGTCCAGAACGGCTATATGGATGGAAAATTGGGCATCGTAACCACTGATACTAGGAAGAATTAGCCGGGTAAATTGAGAAGCTGAGGTGTTTTCTCGGTTGATTGGGTCAATCAGGTCACATATGAAAAATGAAATCGTCCTTACATGGTGGACTGTCCAGCCCCAACTCGGTCGTAGAACAAGACGGAATAGCCCTTCGCAACTGCAAAGTCCACAAAGCTGTAGTTGGCTGGTTGGTAGTCCGAGTCCCAGTATCTTGCTGAAGTCAGTCGCTGTAGTGGTTGCCCCCGGGCCTCACTTACGATCTATCAAGACTACCGCCGTGGGTAGCAATCAAAAGAGTAGATCCGGGTCCAGATCTGGGCTCGCAGTAGCTACCGGCAATATTGTAGGAACGGGTATTGTTTTGAACACCAGAGAATGGTATGAAAGTCGTCATGAAGTCTCGTCCTGCTAAGTATTAGCTAGCTTTCACGACATTGACCCTATATGCAGAAGCTCGAAGGCGTCATCTGATTGCACTAAAATTCAGCCTTAAGAACCAACACTCACGATTGAAGTCGAAAGTCAGAGAGGTCAAATCAATGTCAGTCTCAATCTTTGGCCGGCCCCAGACCCAGTCGGTGGTAGTAAGGGTCAAAGGGACAGTGAAGTCAACGCAGGATTTTCCGGGAGAATTTTCGGCAGCCACAATACAAACCATGAACAATGAGGTGAGAAGAAGAAGCATGAATGCTTGGGTTTTGGGGAGCATCGTATACATCGTATACATCTTGAAGTCGGTGATTTTGATATCAAGTGGTAAGAAGAGAGACTGAGTTGGGGAAATGGAGAAGAACTTGAAAGACAATTGGGTTGAAAAGTAGACGGAGATGCCTCTTTTTATAGGGAAGAGAGGTCCAGGCTTCCTCTCGCCTGTATCGGCACAGTTCCTGCCATCCTGAGAAGTCGGGGGAAAACTCCAGATGAGCTCAGTGAATTGCACTGCCTACTGTCCCAAAGTAGAATAGGGCTTGGGTAGGATGAACGAAACCGGAAATGCCAGTGATTATCAAAAGAGCCCTGAAGACTTGTGAGATGGGTCGTATTCGCAAAACACGACATCAATACCAATGCTTTAAAGGTGAAGAATAACACAATGCGGAGGTTGGACCCTAAGAGGGCCCGCGCATTCTAAATGACCACAAATGTTTCAATATACAGAAAAGTGCTTATCCATTTCGAGGCCTCGGACATGATTCCTTGCCTCTTGCCAAATTCGAAAGTCAGATATTGAAGAGCTTAACTATCTCAATGTTCAGATGCGATTGGCAACACCGGCCCAGATGCCAAATGGGTCGTTCCGCAGCCGCCGCACCATTGTTCCTAGAAAGGGTGTCACCAAGAGTACACGAAAGGGAACAAGTGACTGGACGCCACTGTCTATAGAGGTTGCAAGAAGCTGACGAAAAGGGAAGCAGATGATCAAAAGTAGCTGAGAGGCTCAAGCTCCCACTAACATTTTAAAGAGACGAAGGACTGTGTGACTGGACGGACTTAAGACGAGGAACTGAATGAGCAAAGAAATATCGAACTGTGCCGTACAAAACATGCTCAGCAACAGTCTGGTAAGCAGTTAGATGTCTCAGAGTCTTCTGATTCGACGCCGCTATCACCAACAGATACGCTGCTGAGGGTTACACAACAGACCCGGTACCCGGAAGGCAATTCCCATGGTGCAAGAGCTGTCCAGACACTGAAGCATTACAGCATCGAAATGCGAGCACGGGTGACTCAACCTCAAGATAGGTAGCTTTAGGTAGACTACCAGCGTGGATATCATGGTGTCCAATCGGTCATGATCGCAGTCAAACATCCTATTCCTTGCACCGGTCAGAAGTATCTATCGCGAGTCTTCTGCTTCTATCATTGGAGGAAAGTGCTGTTGACTTCACACATCCAACAATCTACCTGTACCTAGGTAGGTAGGTGCCCGAGGTAATGGATCTGATGTGGTGCACGCTCAGACAAGCTCTGGACGCTTGCACAGCATTAAAGTCAGGTTTTGATGTTGCTGCTGCATGCTGCGGAAGCGCATTCTGCTTCCTGATCAAACAAAAAGCGTAGATGTCCAGCTGAAGTAGATTCGCAAGGATGGCCCAGCCCTGAAAACACTCGAGCCGCTGCTTAAAAGATCACCGACGACATCGAATGAAGTCACGTGCACACTCTATATTTTGTTTCTCGCCTGCTCCCGTCTCCTTGAAACAGCCAAAGGCCAACTGCCTGTATCTTGCATATCCACATCCCTTATTTCTCGCAGTCCAGCCCTTCGCGATGCGCCCTGATCTGATCTGGTCATACCAGACTTGCGGTCCCCTGCATCGCTGCTCAGGAAATATGCACAATTATGTAATGAATAATGAGGTTGGAGTTTGGTTGCTCAAGATCCAAGCACCTCGGGAGCCGCCAGGGCAGATGTCCCCTCTTTGGCCCACCGGTCATCCCATTATTCTCAATTCTTTCCTGGGATACGGCATGCAACCAGGGGCACCAGCTTTTACAATGGTTCGTTGGGGGTGCTCGCTGAGGCTCACGCTGACGCTGTACATCAACCCATAGGGGCTGCTAAAGTATTTGGCGCCATCAGCCTGAACATGATGGTGCTGGTTCCCCTGATCTCCGCAGCTGTTTTCTTGGCTGGCCGGCAGTGAGGTGAGGTTGTTCAGAAGACAGAATTTGCGCGCTGATGACCTAGATCCATCTCCCCGCAGTTCACATCCCCGTCGCTCCCACTCGGAAGATTGGATGGGTCTTTGGGGCCACCAGTGATCAGAGCCATTCCACAAAGGACTGACCTGGCGCTTTGCCGCTTGCCCCAGTGTTTGAAACATATCTTGGCAAGCGAGTCTGACTCCATTTCCTTGAAGGGAGCGACATGCTTAGGCCCACACCTATAGCTTCAACTTGCTCCCCTGCATTCGGAACGAAAAGTTGTATGGCGGTCTTGGTACTTTCAGAGGCCAGGAGCCAGGAGGTTGGGAATCGGCATTTTGGATATAAGATGGGCCTTCCCCCTCGGGCAATGTTCGCTCGCCAACCTTGCAGTTCTCAATAACTCGGTCTCTACACATTCCTTTACTGTACTCAGTACAGAAACATTTACATTCTCTTATTCATACACTCATTCATTCTTTTTCAAACATCAATCATGATTTCTCTTGTCAAGATCATTTTATTTCTTGGGATCCTCTTTGTCCAATTCTCTTCTTCGTCTGTCATTCCAAGACATGGCCAGCACCAAGCATCACCTTCCTCAGCTCTTGGTTTTCCAACCTCTACAAATAAATCATCACTTCCTGTCTCGGTATCAGACTCGGATGACTCTGACAGCTCTTGTGAAGCCGGTAATTCCAACGATTCCGACGAGACCGATGGATTAAACGGATCCGATTCATCACCAGTTGACACTCCCTCAACAGTGGACACTGTCGTTTCCGTTCAAGTACCGGCAACATCAGCTCAGCCAACTATTGCAACCTATAGCCCTGTAGTGCCGACAAAATCAGCTTCAATCCCAGCAACGGCTTCAGCTACTGCAAACCCCACCTCTACCCAAGCAGCTGGAGAGTTCTGGCAACCGGCCGCTGGTTCTACTTGGCAAATCGAGCTTTCTGGCGTTGTCAGTGATACATCGTATCCAGCCGATGTTTTCGACCTTGATCTCTTTGATACACCTCAATCCACTATCGACGCTCTCCATGCTGCAAAGAAGAAAGTCATCTGTTACTTCTCCGCGGGAAGCTTCGAGAATTGGCGCCCTGATCAAGCAGACTTCCAAGCTGCCGATAAAGGTAGCGCCATGGAAGGATGGGAAGGCGAGTGGTGGCTCAACACCAAGACCGCCAATGTCCGTTCCATCATGGCCGCGCGAATCGATATTGCCGCAAGCAAAGGTTGTGATGCTGTCGATCCTGACAACGTTGACGGCTATGCCAATGCAAATGGTGTTGGTCTTACTTCAGCCGATGCCACAGACTACCTCAACTTCCTCGCTGATACAGCCCACGCCAAAGGATTGTCAATTGGCCTGAAAAACGCAGGTGATCTTGTCCGAGAGGTTCTTGACAAGATGCAATTCCATGTCAACGAGCAGTGCATCGAATATGACGAGTGTGAGCTTTTCAAGCCATTCATCGATGCTGGGAAGCCGGTCTTCCACATCGAGTACCCTGAGACGGCACCGTCAATTTCATCTGATGTCAAGAGCGAGAAGTGCGCTGCGGCCAACACGATGTCCTTTTCTACGGTTTTGAAAACTGAGGCATTGAATGCCTGGATTGACGCATGCTGAAGGATTTCGAACCAGCTGCTCATTGAATGATGATGTTTTACGAGTTATGATTTCTGGACTGGGTGGCAGCTTGCTGCACGAATTCGTTCTCCATCTTTTCATGGAAACCTTTGTATATACCTTCGATTCTTGAGACCCTGTTACTGTAAGGGAACACTAGAGAGAGTTCCACTCTGTGTCTTCACAAAAGCAAATGAAAAGTCTCCTACACGGAATATGACATTCAACTGAAATGAATTGAGGAGAATATGAAGTATGACCGGAAAAGTATTTCGAAATGATATTGCATGACCCCACTAGTAGATAGATCAATGATACAATCTTGAGTGGTACGTAGAAGGCGGAGACTGATTGAAGCACAAATACATCCAAAGTGCCAAATCAACTACAGTACAATCCGGCCATTAGGAAGCAAAAGGAGTAAGGATGTTGGGAGCTGCTCAGAGTATCCCCTTAACTGTGTCACGCACATTCTTTCCAGGCTGTACTGCCTGAAGCAGCACGCTAAATTTGATCATCGCGGGGCATTTAGCGCACAGGCACCTTGAGTTCTGGTGACTTTCACTTAATTTGTGTCTCGCTACAGGTCCTGCTTACAGGGCCTTACAGGCTGTGCGGGGAATCGCAGTTAAGGGGATAAGTATCAGCCTCGCCAATTTAGCGTCGTGGCCTTGTCATGCACAGCACTCCACACTTCACGAGAGACCAACTCCTTCACCCGTTCCACAGTCAACCCAATGGACCTGCCATAACCCAATACTTTGTCAATTCCGCCAAAAGGAGCTGCGATCAACCGAAAATCGCACTCCCAAGACCATGTCGAACTTCAAGCGTGCTCCCGTGCATGCTGGCGGTCCAGGCAGGAGCAGTATCCTGTCATCCTTGAAGGTCACAGAGATGGTTGAGAGCAAGCCAGTTCTACCCGCGGAGATCATATCGACTATTCTAGACTATTTGCCTATTCCAGATCTTATGAGCTTTGCCCAGACCTCAAAGCGAATGCTGGAGATGGTATACGAGGATTCGAGATGGGTACAAAGGTTACAAGTCATGGGTGTCTGGAATGAGGGCGAGGCGAGGAAGAGGTTCGAAGAGGCGTTGAAAAGGAAGAGGGAAATTATGCGGCTACGAGCAGAGGAAGAGGGCAAACGGACCGGAATCGGGGTCAATGGAGGTTCAGACATAAGAAAGACCAGCACGACACTTTTTGATGCAGGGGTGGAAGAGGAACGGCAGATGCGGTCTGTGGAAGTAGCTTCGAAAGCTCCCAGAACATCTATAGATGGCTTTGAGACCTTGACTCTATCGTCGACAGCTCAGCCCTCCAATAACTCCGCCGCTCGAGCTGCAATGTTGGACCCTGAAGCACTATTGAATATCTTCTCGGGGGTCAAGTCGATACGGGGGTCTGCTAGGCAGGAATATGCGAAGATCTATGCAGCTTTGGCACCATTTTATTTCGATCTGGCAAGGTCGAGAAGCCACATGGATCCAGTCATATTCAGGGTGTATCGTGATCCTGAGCAACAAGCCCAGATGCTGGCACATCTACAGATATTTGCCCGAAGTGACTGGGCGCAAGGGTGGAGACAGAGGGAGGAGAAGCTCATTACCATGGTTGGGATATTCGAAAATGCTGTGCTGCGAGAGTTTGAGCAAGGTTATGAGGCAATGGATATCGATGGTCGAATGCGTCGGTATGCTCACGTGTTAGCCGTTCTGAACGGCGGCCATGCAGGCATAGAGCTGTTTGTGCAGAAACATCCTATGTTCTCTGATCGAGACTATCTTGGCAACTCGATGGATTGTATCAATCAAGCCTCATCGGACGGGGTAGCATTGGAGCCTTCGTGCCAATTTTTGGAGAAGCTCTTTAAGAAGATCAATGAACAGTCTGATGTCATTGACCGAGTTTTCCCTCCTGGCGAGGATGTCTTTCAATTATTTTTGGACAAGATTGCGGAAGATATTCTTATGGAATACGTCACGCCCTTGTTCGACGAATGTCATGAACGAAGTATCCCTTCATATTTAAAAGCAGTCTCTGGGCTTTTTGAACAGACTATACGATTTGGTGCCAGTCTTCGGCCAACGAAGAATTCTGGAGATGATTTTGCTGTCAAAGTGAAAGCTGTTCTTGCAAGAGTCTTCGAGCCGCATGTGGATTTATACCTCCAAGACGAATTAGATCATTTCAAAAAGAAAGCGGAAGCAGAGGTGGGTATCTGGGAGAGTAAGCTATCTGCTCAAGATGCTACTACCGAATCATTTTTTATGGCCAATGTCAATCGGCAAGCCGACAAAAAGGATTTCTTGAGCTCCTTCAAGAAAGTCGTTATGATGCCTGTCAACGTTCTTCCCAGCTTACCGATATCTTCACCCTTTGGGGCCACGAAGGCTTTGTCTCCTGGTATGCCAGCCAATCGATCTAGTTTACAAGTATCTCCAGCTCCGTCAAGACCGCAGACTCCGGGTCTTGGTGTTGCAGGTAACCGTGCATCTACACCAACGCCACTACCTGCGGACGCCCCTACGGACGAGCTGGCCGCCAAAGCGGCTCTGATGGCCTCGAGACTGGAAGGCATACGTTCCCTGTTCAGCATTGAGGTTGCCCTTGATCTGACTCATGCTGCGAAAGCAAGCATCGAGCGAGCTGCTCTTTTCGTCCGCCTTGGTGGTCAGACCGGGGAAGAAGCTCGAGAGCAATGCGAAGCTATTTTTGTCGCCCTGCTTCAAATCCTAGGAAACCGCCACGTAAAAATAGGTTTCGACAAAGCTGTGGAGCATTTGTCAAAGTACAATCCTCGAGAAGTCAGTGAGCATCAGCAGGGAGTTGCACCCTTAGTAACTTTCTTGGAGCTTGTAAATGTCGGTGACTTGATCTCGCAAATGATTGATGTCTTTTACGAGCAACAACTCGCTGCGACGAGACTAGCCGATCGCAATGACTTCCTCGATCCTGCAGTCAAAGCTAAGAAGAACTTCGAGCACATGCTAGATGAGCGTGTGGCAGCTGGACTGAACAAGGGTATAGATGTCCTCATGGACGAAGTCGAATACCTTTGCGCAACACTCCAGCAGCCAACAGACTATAACCCTGTTCCAGCAGCTGATCCACGGCTGCAAACATTCGAAGTGGGCTCCACCAAAGCTGCCGAGAAAGTCGTCCATCTCGTCGAATCCCACACTAAGATGTTGACCGGCAGCACGGATAAAAATATGCTCGATGTTTTCAACCAAGAAGTCGGTCTGCGCCTCTTCACTGCCATCTGCAAGCACCTCAAGCGTCAACGCGTTAGCGTCGACGGTTCAATGCGTCTCATATCCGACATGAATCTCTACTTCGTGTACATACGTACATTGAAGAATCAGGACCTGCTGGAGTACTTCAAAGCATTGCGGGAACTTAGCCAGATTTATTTGATTGATCCGAAGCATGCGAAGGAAATGGCGGAGGTCATTGCGGATGGAGATCGCTTTCATGGCATCTTTCGAGCCGAGGAGGTTTATGAATTTGCCGAGAGGAGGGCAGATTGGTATTCGGTCAAGAGGGATGTGGAAAGGGCAATGTACGGGATTGGATGTGGGATTATGTGAAATGTAGATCGATCAGATAGATACCTAAATTTGGAAAGGCTTGACCCCTACACACTGAACTTTCTACTTTCTTCATCCTGGCCTGTGATCTGTAAATTGAACTGGTGGATATTGCCTTTCACGCCGGCGTCTATTCAGCTCGACTTCCAGAATCCCCTAGCGCATTCAAGCAGCATTCCCCGCAAAGACATAATCTCAGACATGTCTACAATATCCATCTATTATTTGAGAGCATAGTCTTGTTGCACATCGTACCCGAGCCGTCATTCCTGCCAATTCTTTCCATCATTCCAAGACAGGAATATGTTTTGGAAATGTCTGAGGTATCGTATTTTGTTTCTCGCTCTTAACGACGGTGAGAGAGTTTTGTTGCATTTCGCACATTTTTGTGAACTATTGATTTTAAAGACATTTATTTTTGGATTCTGGAAATGGAGAGATCGAATCGGATTCGAGGGCTTTGTTGCATATCGTACATTTCTATATTTATTGATTCTAGAGACATGCCTCCACCCGACTGCTGTATTCGGATGCTGACCAACTCCGTGCTAGGTTGATATATGGCATCCTAGACTTGGTCTCCATCTCCCCTCCTCACTCTCAAACAACCACCCCCAAAACCCTAATCAACTCCTCTTCTTCCTCATCGCTTACCCCAATTCTCCTCAAATATCTCCCCAGCCCTCCATACTTCTCTCGCAAATGACCATCCATGCACTCAATCCAGTCAGGCGGACACGTAGCAAAATGCTCACTCAACCCAATACTCCTGATCTCCACCATCCTACTCTCCTTCTCGCACTCCAGCTCCTGCTCACTCATCACGTAGTCGTGGGCAATAGCCTCCAGAGGAACTCCGAGGATGAGGAGGAGTAGTGCGACGATGAGACCGGTGCGGTCTTTGCCTTGGGTGCAGTGGATTAGGATGGGTGGTTGGGAAGGGTCGGTGAAGGCTTGGAGACATTCGGCGATTTCGGGGCCGCAGGCGTCGAGACTGTCGTAGCCGAGACCGATTAGACCGCGTGGGAGCATGACTTCGCGGCCGAGGATGGAGATTGCTTCCATGCGGTAGCCGAAGAGCATTAGGGTTACGAGTTTGCTGGGTTTGAGCGTTAGTGTTGGTAGATGTTTTGGATATAGAATAGTATTGTAGTGAGGAAAGAGGAGTAGACGGAAGGCCATGAAGAAGAGGAATAGAACGTACAGGAAGCTCCAGAATTTCAACCGCCACAACAAGTGACACTCAAACCCCTTTCCATTGACGTTTATCTCCAAGTATTTCATACCCGGTATCTTGACTGGTTCTGCAAGGGCGGAGTTGGATTGCAGAAGAGCTGGAACCTTGACATCGCCTTCACGCTTCTTGGCTTGATTTGCATGTTCGGTTCTGGAATATGTTAGTGTAGTGTAGCAGTGAAGGAGTGGGAAGTGGAGGTTGGTAACCAGGAAGTGGCCCAAGTTTGTGGAGGGCATACAATGTACGGAGATCCATGATTGTTTTGATGCCATATTCGTCTTTGAGGCGCTTCCGGTCTAGGAGAGTGGCATCATCTAATGGTCGTAAGCTTGTTCGTTTGATTGCATTGAAGAGGATAATGAGCATTCAAGTTACCTGGTCTGGCTGATCGAAAGATCTTGCCCTCCGCAACAAGCCTATGCAGAGAGTGTAAGCTCAAATCAGAGGCGGATGTGTCATGTGGTCACGATTATCGTACTTCTCTCCCATAAATTCATTGACCGTCTTGCCCACATCTCTGAAGTTGAGTATATTGTCAAAAGGCTTGCTCATCTTTCGTCGTTGCACACTCTTGGCATGTGTCTTTGTATCTGCCATGGCTGGTTATGGGACGAGGCAAGCGACAGGTATTCGTACACTACAGAAATCAAGATTTGTCGGCAATGCAAGGATGTTCGCCCAAAGTGAGTTCAAAGGGTCCTCCGCTGCTCCGCAGCCCCGATGTGGACGAGCTGGGGAAGCTCGGGAAGCTTCACAGATGCATCGAGCGAGGTCGTCGGCGAAATGAGACGAAACAGGGAAGATGCAGCGAAAGGGCCCCTGATCCTGGCGCAGATCATGGATGTACGCAGCGTACGGATGTGGAGAAGACGAACGGGTGGAACGCGTATTCCATCTTTTATGTTATCCGCAGGTAGAGATTCACAATAATGAAGATATATTTCATACAAGTGGCAACTATTACGACTTCCCTATTCCGTAACTCAATCACAACGTACTCGTACCTGAACCTGATATCCCAAGTGGCAGTGGCAGTGCTGCGGATGATTGTGATGTTCATTCGGCAATGCTGGATCGGGCTGGGGCCGGGTGTTGCTAGTGCTGCCACTGATACAGTACAGTGATACCGTGCCATTCCCATTCCCGCCTGGTGCTAGTCGCTAGTCGCTAGTCGTTGGAGGGCAATGACGTACCGCCAGAACCGACTGACCTCAACTCTACTCTGCTCTCCTCATCAGAGGAAAGCAAACAAAACAACTGATCTGATCTGATCTGCCTTACCTCTCTCTTCATCTTTCTATCTACCATATCATATCATATCATATCATACCCACTCCATCTCTTGATACTCCTGTTACTACGATTCTCTCTCCTACATCCTATCGTACCTTACTTTTCGTCTACCTTTGATTGCTTATCGAAGAGCTCCTGAAGCTGTCCAGACACGGGCTTGGACCCACAGTCAGTGAACCACCTCCACTAAGGTACCTAGCTATCTCAGCTTGATCTCATTCATTCGACACCTTCCTTTCCTCCTTCTACATTGTTCGAAAAGCATTGCGAAACTACAGGCTTCAATTTCTAATACTCAGTAAAGCTTCACCATTTCATATCAACGTCATCGGCTCGAAGCGCGAAAGTCCCGTGGTAATGGCGCAGACATCAACCGCCGCAGTGCCAACCGGGCCAATCCAGGATACGAAACCTCACACGAGCTCCACAAAACTGGAGGATCAAGCAGCTTTGGCCGCTCTCTATGTCACCAAGTACGACAACAGCAACGGCAGCCCCAAGAAGAGTGGCAAGGAGTTTCTCGATAAGGACAACAAATTGTCTTCTGCTGGTAGGTATCCTGTCGCGAATTTCGGAATGTACGGATTGGAGTGCAATTGCTTACTGTTGCAGGCGCCGCAGCTTCTCTCAAATATGCCAATCCCCAGGACCTCCCAAGCTACCCCTCCAGCGGGCTGAAGAAGAACGACTCTGCTGCCGGTGCGGCTGCGAGTTTAGGATGGGCCAATCAGAAGTCTTTCGAGCATTGGAAACCAGACCCATCCGCCTCAGCGTCTGCGGCAGCGATGCAAGCCCATGACTACAAGATGGCCCCCCTCTGGCAACCCGAAGCAAGCGCGCATGGCGCAAAGGCTGCCCTTCTGGCGCATAGAGATGGAGGAAAAGTCGAGATATGGAAGCCGGAAGCAAAGTCGGCATGGGGAAATTCTGCTGCGACTCAAGCTATGGCAAGCCATCGCCAGGGCGGTCTCTCGCCTCAACTCGACTATGGACATACAGACTTGGGTCGTCAGGGTTCGCTCTTAGCAGCAACTGGAGCTATGGCTTCTAGCAGGAAGAGAGCTCAATCTATCCCCAATATTGCGCCACAGCCCGATACATATCCAGACGAGTCCAATGCAGCTGCTAATGCCCTAAGAGCTGCCACTTCGGCGTCAAAATCTGGCAGAAAGGGCGAAATGCCAGAGGCCGGAGCTGTTCCGTACACCAACATGTCTCGGGAAATGTATACTGCTGCTCCTCCAGTTCAGCCCGAGGTCGACGAGAAGAACAGGCAGGATACTTTAAGGGCTTCTGCGGTTGCTATGGCTCAATCAATGTATCAGTACCAGCAACGACAGATTGATGCTGCCACACACGCTCAGAGTGGAGCTTCCGCTGCTCATCGAAGAAACTCCTCGCTTGACTCGGCAGATCGAGCGCAACCTATGCGCTTTAACAACCTGCAAGAGGCAGCTCAAAAGCTGGCGCAGGAAAGACTGGCTAAGCTACACGATGAGCATGCTCAGAATCGCGAGTACCGTGATTACTATTCCAGTAACAATTCGGCTCCCCAGTCAAGACTTTCACTAAGAGGAAGAAACCGAAACCGTGCTTCGAGCCTGGGAGCTTTTGACGAGGACAAGGCGCAGTCTAACAAAATCCGAGCTCAAATGTCACAATTCTCATCCAATTTGTCCCAGGTTAACGCAAAGAAAAGACAACAAGATCATGAGAAGTTGATTGCTGCTGCTCAACGAAACGTTACAAAAAGTCTACATGGTATGGACGAGAAGGTGTTTGCCGACACGGGCAAGATTGCACCATCTCTATTGAACGAATGGGAAGTCAAGGCACATGCAGCTGCACAGGCTAACAGCGCCACCCGAATGGAGAATCATGGCAAAGTTCATATTGGTGGTGGGAAATTTATCGATCAGAGCGAGATTGACAAGGTTGCAGCCCGAAATGTTCAACCAGTCTTAGACGAAATCAACGAGAAGGCGGAGGCGGAGCGAGAGAGACAGGCTGCGCTCAAAGTAGAGCAAGAAACGCAACAGCGAAAAGCAGCTGAGAAGAAGGCTCGGGAGAAGGAACAAAAAGAAATCGAGAAGAAGCTGAGACGTAAGTTTCGCAAGTCGGTTCCGAGATTTGTACTAACTTTGAAGCAGAACAAGACAAAGAGGAGAAGAAGCTCGAGAGACAAGAAGAGAAGAATGCTGCGAAAGAGAAGCGCAAATCATTGAAGTCCGAAGGAGGTGGCGGGGGGCTCACAGGTATTCTTCCTGGCTTCAAGAAAGGAGCATCTGGTGGAACGGACGCTGGAACGACAACGACTATCGTCAGTGAAAAGCCGGGTGCAGAACCTGCCCCAGATCATAGAGAGGAGCCAACTATCGCTGAACGTCGAGAATCTGCTGTTCCGACACCTATCCGCACTTCAATGGAAGACCAAGCTAGCCTACGTATGCGCGAAACTGTCGCCGCTGCAAATGGCGATGAGGTAACTCCTATGTCGGCTTCTTCAGGATCTCCTAAGGATAGCAAAGTCAAGAGTTGGCTCAAGACCAAGTTCTCTCGTCGTATGAGCAAGGGCCAGAAATCTCCCGGTCTCGAGAAGGAGAACAGTGCAGGAAGTGGATTTGTCGGTGGCGCAGCTTTGACGGGAGCGAGCGTAAACAACAGCACCACATCCTTGGGCGGAAAGAGCTCTTCTGTTCGTGAGGTCGCGACAGCTGGAACGTCTTCTGCTGCTCCAGCATCTACAAGTGCCGCCACCGAGCCCACTGTTGATCATTACGGACTCGAGACACTCGACAAATCTCCCACGCACATCGAGTCCGATCCGGAGCTTGAAGCCGACTCAGATACCGGATCTGATGTCTCATCGGTCCACAGAGCTGCTGCCCTGCCCGAGCCATCCAGAGCCAGCGAGTCAGTACAAACTACAGAGTCAACAAAGGCTGCTGCCACAGAGACTGGAACTGAAGAGAGAGGCAGACCTGTCAGCAAGATCAGTACAGTCAGTAGCATGGGACGCGAGGACGACGAAGAGTTCCAGGAGGCAAGAGATAACTTTGACGAAGACCTTGCACCACCTCCTACTTTCCCTGCTGAGAAAAGTACCAGTCCAGCAAGAACTGCGAAGTTTACGGAGAATATCTGAGGGGTGGCACTTGAAAGGCATGCCGCACAGGGGAGAGAGAATGATGATGATATACTAAGATTGTGCCTGTACTACTTAACGGTTCGTGTTTTTGGGAGCTATTCAATTCTAGCGCGGGGTTTTACGTTCGTGTCTGGGAAGGTGGCTAGGATGGGAACATGGTAATAGCCTACGGGCTTCCTTGATTTGGATTGGAAAGGAAAGGAGGGAAAGGAGGAAACGGTCGAATGTTCCGACTTGATTGAACGATTTTCCGGTGATCGTGGTTGTATTAGTCCTGCCATCTCCTGTGCTTGTATATATCGAGATGAGATGTGGACACTGCAATAATAATCTAATGCGTAGAAAAGTTTATAAATTTGGTTTTGACGTAATGTGTTTTGGTGCAACAATACAGTGCGAGCGGTCAGGCCTCTAATTTGGAATCCAATAGTTTACTTTGTGTAATTTTCTTCGAACTTTGTGGCGTTGGTACCAGATTTAAACAACTATATAGTTCAGTAGAAATATTCTTCGGAAATAAAACAAGATGTTATGAATGTTGCTTTAAGTTTTTTTGACATTGGTGCTTATAATTCTCTCTCTTCTTTCTCCTTGTTTCGTGACAAGAACGGCTATGCTAGACCCAAACGCCGAAGCTGAACAACCCACCAATCCGTGTATGTACAAAACGAGTATCGTCTGATCTAATGTTCTCATACCCAATCCATTACAACCTTCCATCATTGACCACACCCCGGGTACTCCCCTACTATCCTGTACTCTGATATGTGTCACACTCAGCCGCGTCCCAGGCGGATTAGAAGTTACTCGCAACAGGGACCCCTCCATCCTCATACTTGACCCCATTCACAGTCCTCACATCGTTACCACCCAGAGTCCTCTGGCTTTCCACCGTATTCCTCCCCTCCGGCACCCCGTCATTATTATAATACCCATTACGTCCGCCCTCCGCGCGACTTGCCTCATCATTCTGCTCCATCTGCATCTGCGTCTCTCCGCCGCCGCCACCAAACTTCTTGCTGTCATGCTTGGTCTGGACGGCAGGTAGAAGGTCGATGAAGAACGAGAAGACGTAGAATGTGAAGATGAATGCGATGGTCCATTCCAAGACGGCTGCCGCGTTGTACTTGTTTGTGAAATTGCAGGTGCCGAAAGCAATGGCGAGGACTACTTCGAGGAGGATGAAGGAGAGCTTGATCCAGAATGATGAGCGGAGGATGCGGTGTTCGCGGTATTCTGTTTCACAAGCATGTTAGGATCTAGTTCACTTTCTTCAAGAATAATAAGAAGGGATCTGAAGGGATGGGAGGGGAGGAATATGACAAATAAACATACTTATCCCCAGACGTTGGTATTCCCAGCAAACGAACACGGCGCTGATGACATATCCCCCAATGAACAACAACAGGAAAATATCATGCAGCGTAGGATGTCTCAACGTATCAAAGATACTCAGCAGAATCAACCCACAAGTCCCAATAAGCGCAAAGAACATCGACAGCCAGCTCAGCACCTTCTCCGTCAACGTCTGGTTTTTCGCCAGACGGCCACGGTGCCTTAGCCACCGTTCAGACAGGAAAGACAGGTCGAGGAAGATGGTTGTGACACAGGATCCGGCGATGAAGAGTGGTTTGAGGGATTGGGCTCCCACGTCCGAGATGTAGGCAATGCTCTGTGAGGCGTCCATTGATGCATAGTGTGGTTTCCCGGTGCTTGTCCAGTGGATTAGGAGGCCCATCAACATGCCCAGCCAGCAGAAGCCGGAGATGACGGGAAAGACCCAGTAGGATACTCCCCACATGGTTGTTGTGTTGCGGACGTGTTATCGATACTTGTTTGTTGTTGTTGTGCGAGTGAGGCCAAAACGTTGAGGGGTCGTATGAGATGCTCTACGAGTGTCGCGTGTGTTTGTTTGTTGGTTCGTTGCGAATGCAAGGCAATGAGAGGCAACAAACCAGAAGGTAGCGAAAATGAAACCTTTGTACGGTATAATGACTCCAAGAAATGTAAAGATTAGAAAGATACAAGTAGGAGAGGGTCAGAAGTCATATGGGTATTGACCTTGGCCAAGATACACGCTTATTCCACACCATGCATCCCGTCTTCAAACATCCAAAACAGGTCCTTCCTTCCCTCTCCGCCTCTATCTCCGATATGCCTCTTCCACCACCCAACATCCAGATCCAGGGCAACCACGACTGACATCATGCGAAACCTTAATCTTCCCGCTCCGTTAGATTCAATACCCTAAACCATAAAAGGCTAAGCATACGCGCAAATCTCGTGGAATAGCGGAGACAATCCATGTTTTGATGCACAGAATTAGACGTAAATCCCTGGCAATCGCGGGCTAGTGATGTCATTTCCAGTGCTTTTCTGGAGGGTTTCTCGGCTGCAGCGTTGAGATCTGCGGCGTTACGCCACAAGCCCTCGGCCAGCCACATCTAGGCTTGACCTCCCTGTCAGATTTAACCTTGTTTTGGTGGAAGCGAGCGCTCGGATGCGGGATATTGTCGGTGCGAGATCATTGGGCACAGATCAGGTGTTTGAGTTGAGACGAGGCGAGAGGGTTGAATGTTGATTTGATTTTGACAGAATACCTATGGCCAGTGTGGAGATGGAAAGCAGGGAGTGATATCTACTGGACCTCGTTCACCACCTGGTCACGATATGCCATAGCCTTACTAGCAAGTGCTTGACGAAAACAAGTGGCGGAAACAACGCGCAGATGAAAATAATATGCTGAGAGAGATCAAGTCTGGGTGTTTCAGAGAGCATGGTGATGTTGGATAGTCATTTGATTCGCACAACAATGGAAATTATTTGGCACCACCTTCCTTCAGTATCTGTGAACAGCCCAGAGCCCTTAGTTCATGGTTATTGAAGACCCAAATGTGTCCTGTCACGGCCTCCCCTGCCCCTGTATGGTATTGAATAGTCTGTACTTAGTGTCTAGTATGTGTTCCCCTCCTGCTAAATCCATGTATCCCAGTGCCCGACCTCATGTGTATCGTAGAATCGTCTCAGAATCAGAGCCTCATTCCGAAACCCCAGAAGCAACCACTCTCTCCTCCGCAGCCTCAGCTCTCAGCTCTCTCCCAATCTCAGCATCAAATCTCAAATCAGATCCCCGTAACGTTCGTCTCACCTCCCTATCTTTACTTGCTCGCTTTTCCGCGCCCCCAAACAAGCAATCCCACAGGTCTTCTTTCACGACCATTTCGCCTCCCTTCCCTCCCTTCGCTAACAAGCCTGTAAGTGAAGCTTGCTGAAGTTCCATTGAATTCGCTTCTTCCAGATTACTGTCCAGAAATTCCGTTGGTGAGACTTCTCTCTCCTTGCCGTGGCCTTGGTCACTCGCGAGTCGCTTACCAATATGTTCCATGCGGCGCCTCACGGAAAGTTGGTGTATTGATTCTTCGACGGTGCCGTCCACGAGGTAGAGCCACACATTTGTTTCTTGATGCTGTCCAATTCGATCGACCCGAGCTATAGCTTGGAGTTCGAGCGCAGTATTGAGAAGCGGTTCGCAGAGGAAGACGTGATTGGCATTGACGAGGTTAAGACCTGAACTGTGGGCTCGGGCATGTAGAAGGAAACACTCAATCCCAGGATCTTGTTTGAATTTCTCAATGCCGTTCGGCTTGTCGATAGATGTGAATCCAATTCTGTACTTGGCAAAAGCTTGGGCTATGACATCGAGGAAATCCTTGAATTGGGAGTAGATAACAGATTTGGCTCCAGGATCTGACTCGCGAAGCCAGATGAGATGCCGTGCGAGAGTATCGACCTTAGTCGTGAAAGATGGCCCATCGAGATCGGTGTTTTTAATCTCGGCCAGTTTGCTTTTACTGATCTCTGAATAGATTACAGACTTTCGCTTCGATGGCGAGGATCGCTCTTGGTGGACGTCGTGAATATCCTCCGTCTGAATCGAGAGTTCCTGGGGCTTGTAGGTAATCTGATGCATGTCGGATTGCGAGAGTTTACGCTTGCAAACGGGGCAGTTGTGATGTGCTAGATACAGGTAAGCTCGAATTTTCGCCATAGTATCGGCATCAACTCACAATGCCACCACATGCGGATACAGTCTTTGCAGTACTGATGACCACAAACAGTGAGAGCGCCAATCTCAAATGATTCTCTGCAGATCACACATATTCTTTGCTCCTCTGGGTTAGTTGCCTCCATACGTAGGTGGTCCAAGTATCTTCTCTTTGCCTTCGCTGTCGCAATCTTTCGGCCTAGACTTTCTTCTTCCTGAAGAAATTTAGCAAGAGTTCTCTCATCATTCGGGCCCTCGTAAGGGGCAACCATATCCGAGACTTGTTGCAGCTGTCTGTAGTATTCAAGTCTAGCATTCATTAACCTGGTGAGAAGTTCGATTTCTTTTTCCAGAGCTTTAACAGCTTTGTCTTGCTGGCCGAACTGTTGCTGGACTTTCTTCAACTGTTTGTCGACGATCGCTAGTTCAATAGTTGCTCTGGAATTTCCCTTCTCGGCATCTGGCCGTAAGGATGTCACAAGACCTCTGAGGTCCGAAATAATTCCCCGAAAGGAGCCCATGTCCTTGGTTGGTTTGACTTGTTGGCGAATACCAAAGAGCTCAATGGTCTTCTCAGGACATGCGCCTTCACCGTCCTTGGCAACTCGAAGAGCAACCTTAACGTCATGCTTGATGAGCTCGTTGCTTTGGCCGCTCAGAGCATCATGTCGGTCACCAATAACGGCCCTCAACGCAGCCACATACACCATGACTTCATCTTGGGTTTTAGTCGATTCCTCGTACTCATCTCCAGTTATTTCGATACCTTGCTCCTCGTCCACGAGAGGCCGAAGAAGAAATTGAATGGTCGCCTCTCTCCATTCATCCAAGACATTGGCTTGAGCATCGAGTGCGGCAGCCAGGGTATCCAGATTCTGTGATATTCGGCGACTTTCAATGCCGCCTTTCGCGGGCTCAGTTTGGAATTCTGGGATCTGAGCAAAGGATTGTGTTGTTGCTCTTCGTGAGACCTTCTTCATAAGCTTGTCTGCCTTTCCAAAAATCTGCAGTCAGTGTATTAGCAAGCAGATACTCCACAACGCAGCACTCAGGTAGGAATGTAGTTTGGGGATGCGGATTCGTCAATACATAAGACATCTCATAAATGCGAAAGAAATAAACTGACCTCCTGGAGGATCTCCTGTCTCTTCCACTTGGCCTCCTCGTAACCGTCTTCCTCTAACTTCTCCAAAGCTTTGAATTCATCGCTGTCAGATTTGGTCATCTCTTCGTTGGTCTTTACCTGGAAATATGCATTTGTGCGGAAAAATATGGCCATATGCTCTATCTCAAGAGCTGTCCGAAGCCTGTTTCGATATGCGCTTAAACGAGAGGACGGATCCACTCTATGGTAATGTCAGTCAGTCTTAAATTTATTCTTCAGGGACTCGCATACTCTTCCTGCTCATCGTCGCTTTCGTTCTCACTTCCCAAGAGGGCAACCTTTCCACCGACAGACTTTCCTGTCTCAGCTATTGATATCTCCTGATGAAGTTGAGCCCTGCACTCTTCCACGATATCCTTAGCCTCATTTGCAGCTTCAACCCAGATTTCAAGGGCCTCTTTGACTCGAGGTGAATTCTCGAAGAGTTGGCCACGCTTTAGTTTAGTAATCAGTAGGGTCCGCTGGTCGGTTCTGATTGAAAGGTCTGTATTCTCCATCATGGTGCTCAAAACTTGATCAACAGTTCGCAATGGGCCATCCTTTTGTCCCAGAGCTCTTCGATTTCGCCCTCCAACCTCCGGATGGAGAGCTGTTTGTCTTAAACGCACCAGCCATCTTCGCATGATATCAGAAAAGCTTTCTGGATCCCACTCATCTATAATAGGGGCTCCCTGGTTATCAAGGCCACATTCTGCGCACATTTGATTGAAAAGCTCTTGGTAATGTTGTTCCTCGATTGGAGTAAAAGGCATGGTGATTACGTATCGTCTCTGGGCCGGAAGCTTCAGTTCATCACGAACGCTCTGTTTGGAATGACGGAGGGATAACGTGCCAAATAGCTTTCGAAACTCGGGTTTATGTGATGAGATCAGGGAGGACCAGACATGCTTGATGGAGGCGTATGGCTCGCACCGAAGGAATACCAGGAGACCGAGAAGATCGTTGACATCTTTGCGCACTGGAGTACCAGTAACACACCAAGCATTGATTCTGGGAATCATTCTTGCAACAATCGCGGCATTGCTAACTCCACTTTCAATCATCTGTGCCTCATCTATCAAACAACGCCACCTGAACAAAAAGTTAGTATCGTTGCCTGCACTCTCGGATGGTTTAGATGCGCGTGAGCCGAGCCCGGGCGGTTTTTATCTCAAATTGACCTGAGAGCAGGTTAAACTCACCATGAAAGCATCATCAGAGGCGACTTGGGTCTAGGATACTTTGATTCCCGACGCAAAGTCTTCTCTGGATTCAGCTGGGTAAAATGAATTTCTGCGGCAAGGACAGAATATGTCGAAATAACAACATCTGATGATGCGAGGTCATCCATAAGATCCGTAAAGTTTGACTTGCTATGTGCCTTAATACCTTCATAGTGCATAACTTTCAGGCTTGGGCCATGTCTGTTGATTTCAGAAATCCACTGTCGAAGAATAGACGGTGGTGTAATTATCAAAGTTGCTCCTGTTGGGCGGATATTCTGAGCCGTGATGATATCATAAACCTGAGCTTGTTCCTGTGGACGTTTATGGAGGGAAATCAGCGATATCATCTCGACGGTCTTTCCAAGGCCCATCTCTTCCGCTAATATCCCGCCTTTCAGCTGCTTCTCTACTTCGATAAAAGGTGAAGGGTCCAAAGTGATGAGACCAAACAGATGGCTAACGTAACATGTCTGGCCAAGATCATCGCTACCTTGAAGGAAGGACAACGGGAGTTCTCCGCTAGCTCTTGGAGCTAGGTTGTTAAGGCCTTCGGCCGACCATCCAAATCCTTCTCTCTTCAACAGCCACTGGACAGCTCGCTTCTGAAACGGATACAGCTCAGTCTCCAACCCCTCTACCTGCATCGCCGTGACTTCGTCATTTCTGTCAGGCGAGTGTACACTCTGATAGAAATCTTGAGGCGACCACTTCTCTGGCTTGGACGCATGTGGATCGGGAAAATATCTGGCCAACACTTGGCGGACAGCATCTGTTTTTACAGAGGCTTGTCCAAGGCTGTATGGTGAGGAAGTTGTATTCCACTTGACTGTGAATGTTATTTGTAACACATCACGGCCATTCTTTTCAAGCAAGACCAATCCAAAATCGGTCCAGAGCTTTCCTGGAGCCTTGGAGGTGGAATCGTGGTTCACCAGAAGCGCCAGGTACACGTCTTCCAAGCCATCTTGGGGTGGCAAAGGTGCATGGAACACACATTGCTTTCTCTCATCCACAATCTCGATATACTCAGGACCCCAGTGCCGTATCCAGGACACATATGGTCGAATCCTGTCCTTCTCCAGCGGAGCATCGAATTGAGACAGCTTTGATCCTGCAAATTCAATCTCCCAAGTAGACTTCTTCACGATAACATGCTCATACAAAGGTTCTTCGGTTTCCCGTGACACGACCTTTTGTCTTTTCTTGGGGGGTTCGGATGTGGCGGTTGAACCCAGCATGAACTCAATTAGCCTATCAGGCAGGTCCCTCGCCGGTAAGGAGTCGATGGGCGAGTGGGTCCCGGAGGTCGAAGATGAATTACCTCCTCCATGAGGGGTTGCAATACTTGACGACGAAGACGATCCAACGATGCTGTCAAAGTGCCTGGCGTCCCCGATGCTGATGGGGCCTCCCCTGGCTCGCCTAGCGGTTGCCTTCGACCGACCCATCGTGACCCAGACGCGGCTTCGAAGTGATGGACCGAGCCTTCAGCATCAAAATAAGTATTTCATCTCGCAAGAAGACAGCCAGAAGTATCTGGAATAAGTGGCACTTATTCCGAGCCAACACAAGAATCGTGGGTTTGTAGAAGGAAAGTATGTAAGAGGCAGGGAGGAGAGAGCGAGAAAGGCGAAGTCCAGCTGCAGGAGGCGACTCGCTTAGTGGCGTGCCGCCTTATCACGTGGCTAGCCTGCCAAGAGTGCGAGCTCTGGAACTTGCCGTTCGAAATAAGGCTTGCTCACGTCGTCTACATTATTTCAACGACAGCATAGCTCAACAGTGTATCTTCCTTAACGGTAAATTGTGTGCATCTTCTAATAACGTCCAGCAATCTAATGATTCTCTACAGGACCTGCACATTATGGTTGTCAAATACTCCCAACTGCGAGCAATTCCCTCCTTTCTTCTACCTTTCTCCCAATCAACAAGAATAACACACGCACGATGTCTTCACCAGCGAGTAAAGGCCAAACCAATTCCAAGCCCAACACCCTTCGTCCCGAACGCAGAGACTTTCCTCACTCTTATTGGTCGAAATTTGAGTCAACATGCCTCGAAAATACCTTCCTGGAGAGCTCTGTTCTCCTTGACCTCCGCACAACTAAAAGAACTGGGCGTTGAGCCCCCTCGAAACAGGCGATATTTACTACGGTGGCGCGAAAAGTTCAGGACCGGTCAGCACGGGATTGGAGGGGATGCGAAGTTTGTCAAGAAGGGTGTTGCGGAATTTCGGGTCGCAGAAATTGCAGTGTCAATTCCGGATTCTGCAACAGCAACGTCAACAGTGGCGAAGCACAAGGTTGTAGTCAATGTGGCAGCAGGAGGTGGTGTTCCGGAGACATCAGCGGAGAAACTTGTGCCTGTCAAAGGCTTGAAGATTAAGGGAGCGCATACAATTGTCGGACCTCACGTTCTGCCACTCAAAGGGGGCAAGGCAGCCAAGATCGAGGTGAAGGAAGGATTGTGGGAGGAGCGTAGAGGACATAAGATTGATGGTGGAGAGAGGCGCCAAGCAGAGGTTCGAGCTAAGAAGAGAGGAGAGGAGAGGCGTTCTGCGAGGTAGACTCAGCTCGCGTGCATGTGTCGTTCATGTAAGATATTTGGGGCTATGCTGTATAGATATTAGATTGCAGCTCAAATTCTGCACACTACTGGCAAGGATGCTTCATCCAGGCTGTTAGGGCTCTGGTCTTGACTTCAGAATCCTTCCTTCACAAGGCTGCATATCAGGTTTGATACAGAACGTGTTCCATCGTGAACGAAAACGGCTATTTACGGAAGCAAGATACGCTTTATGAGGCATTAGTATTCTGGCAAGGTGGCCAGTGCCGTGCAAGAGCATCCGTAGGGCATACTCGGGGTCAGGTAATTGGGGTCATATGCCATTGTTCAACGAAGAACTTACGGCTTCGGTAACGGCGTGGAGTCAACAGATACCCGTCAATGGCCGAAATACCTCAGATCACTCTCGACGAGAGATCTGACCAGTCCCAAGGATCAATTCAAGCTAAATATACCGATCTAGCGCAATTCTAAGGTCCCCACCATTCCCTGTCAACCGCAAAGCGGCATCGGCAGGTCTGCTACCCACCGCTGTATGAGTTTCCCCGGAGTAGCCTTGTTTTTCTGTGAATCATTCAATCATCCGGCAGACCTTGCTCAGAATATGGGTCTGTCCTTAACAAGATGGGCGAAGCAGCGCGTGGGAGATGTGTTGCTGCCGCCCATTGGAGATGAAGGAAATAGTCGGGGTAAATATGCTCCCTCTTACTTCTCTCAGCTCAGGCAGAGAAATTACAACTCGGTCTGCCCTTCAGGCAGTACCTGCGTGTACGTTTGCTATTCAAGAATTCGCAAGCAGACGCGACTTCAAGAAAACAAAGCAGGACCTCGGCCAGAGAATTAGGCGGTCTTGGAATTGTATGGAGGAGGTATGGAGGGTGCAGACCAGACGAGACCCCAGACGGCAAGCGAAAGGGCTGCACGATGATGATTTTACCTATGCCTTTCAACTAATGTTCCGCGACTCACGATCTCCTTGACATGGGAAAGGCGCCAACGGCCAGAACTTTCCCGTGGGCAAGTATGCGTCATATCCGACGTGTGACCCGCGCATCAACAGATGCGGGTGCTTGAGGATGCGCGGATGCGAGGTGAAGACTCATTCCCCCGTGCACTGGAGATGGCCAGGCGCATTCAGATTACGGCAGCAGGGCCGCGAAAAGTCGCTTGAACGACCGCCCAAGACCGAGACGAGAGTGATGCCTGATTTCTGACACCAACACCCCCGGCCAATTTTTCCATTCCATGCCTCCCTACCTAAGGTAATTAGTGGGTACCTCCGTACTGCCTATCCACACACAGTACCTACCCATATGCAGGTCCCATACCCATCTGCCTGGTCCCCTCGGTCCCCTCCTTCAATGCCCATGTCCCTCCTCCTCCCGCTTGTCTCAAGCCCTGAACTATGAATTGACCGCTACAAGCCATCTGGTTGGGGAGTTCCAGCTGGCCGTGGTGCCTTTGTTTTTAGTGCTGTCGCCATCCCGGTACTGTAGGGTAGTGAGGTACGCTTCCCCTCCCACCTAAAATTGGCGTCCGTTTACTTTTTTGACATCCTGTAGGTAGGTCCGCTCCCTATGATCAACAAGCCTTCCACTGCACTAACCAGGATCCTCGGATTGCCCGTATTCTCCACGCCTTCAGCCATGTGATCGGTGACCAATGAGGATGTTCCCGTCGTTTGGCTATGTGTGAGGCATAGTGAAGGTTGCCTTATGGAAAAGGTAGGGGTTCTATCATCTTTTGCTTCCGAAGATTCACCTGCGTCAGGTTCGTCGTGGCTGTCATATTGAGTCTAAACCCTTTTGGAAGCAGTGCCTACGCTGCTATTTAGATTCATCCCACTCATACTCCACTCTCCTTGAAGTGTCAGTCGGTTATATATCTTGCCTTTCTGCTGTCTCGAAATTTCATACTTCGCCATAATATATCACACACCCATCTTCAGCTTGGAAGAAGAAGAGTTTCTCCTACCTCTCAATAGATTTCAATCATACATAGATTCAGATCTCGTGCACTGTGCTCATTCTTATACAGCACAACCGCTGTTGACTTGGTACTTTGCAAGCGAGCTGACTCCTTTTTGTCGAATGACCGCGCAACCTTTTACCGAAATTGTACCCTCCTTTGCCAGTCCATGAACAACAAGTTCCTTACTGTCCCTATCTAAAGGTAGATGTTAGTTGCAGTTCAATCTACAAATCTCCACTGGCCGCTAATATCCAAAAGGGACTCTCAGATCTATGAGAACGAACCCGCTAAAGATTCCGCTCAACAGCAATCAACGAGCGACATCCCCATCATCACAATTGACGATCCTGATCAGAATCGAACCGTTCATTACGAATCCTCCTCAACCGAAACAGAGATGTCTTCTTCCCACCGTTCCTCTCACCACTCCTCCTCCTCAAAGTCAAAGCATGCATCTTCGAGGTCTAAATCCAAGAAGGACGACTGGTCAGAGATCACCGATCCTGAAGAGAGAAGACGCGTTCAGAATCGAATTGCGCAAAGAAAGTTCCGTTCGTATTTCTTCAATTAGCGAGTTTCTTGAAGTAACAGCTTGTAGGAGACAAGGCCAAAGAAGCAAAGGAACGCCAGGAAAGAGATGCCGAGAACCAAGCTCACGCCGGACACTCCTACAATACCCCCGACCCCGGTGAAATGGGAACGGACGATGAATTGTCCGGTCTTCCCTGGGGCTCGTTGTCATTGAAGCATGTGGTCTCGAAGGGCAGAGCAAAAGAAGAGCAATCGAGGAGGGGTTCCAGAACACATGAAGGTCGAAGTCATTACGATAGTCAGGGACCAATGTACGATCAGAGAGACGGATATTACGAAGTAGACTCAACGTATTACGAAGATCCAGATAGATCATATTATGATTATGGAAGTGGAGGAAGTGGCCATGGAGGTAGCTCTCATTGAGGCCAAAGCTACGTGTCGATACTTTACGTGAGTTCAGAAACTCGCCACCACCCTAATCCACTACTAACAAGATATAGATGCACCTGTTTTCGTGTTTTACGACTTGATGATCCCACGAAATTATTCCCCCTCTAGTATTTCTGTTTCTCTTCTCTACTTGGAATTAGATTTCGGCTATCCGGTTACTACTTTCTACAATATGGGAGCAGTGGCCAGCGACGGAGTTAGGCACCTTTCTGCAGTAACACGCTTCTGTAAACACTTATTTTCATCACAACATCGATTGTGCTCGGGTACTAAATTCTACTTACTTTTCTTACATTCCTGTAAGAATTTCGGGAACTATGTGCGTAGAACGTGGGTGCGGGCGAGTCATCATTGTGACTCTCAAGATTTTCTCTTATTCAGCTGTTAACTGTGTTGATCATTGGGTGGCTCGTACACCCAAGTTCAGCTCACCGTGTACAATCATCAAAACTTTACTTCTGCTGTAGGCCGGAAATAAGAATAGATAGAAACTTCTGCCAAACATAGAACGTGCCTCTCCTGCACTCGGAGCTCAACACCGGGACCGGTGTAAACAGCGGTGTTAAAGCTTTGACTGTCGTGAGTCTTTAGTTCTGAGCCATGGGGATGTGGCCAGGATCATGCTGCATGCAGCTCGAAGGTGGATATTCTCCGAATTACAAGGCAGAAGCACCCAAAAGCAGATATGGCCAGTCAGATCCTTTGTTTGATTGCAAGCCAAGCCCACCCAAGATTCACATCAGGAGGCATCTGGATTGAATAGCTGAGGTAACCTGCCATTCCCAAACTCATGCAAATTTAGCCGTTGCATGTCAGGGACCTGGGTGGGGCCAGCTTCACTCAGTAAAGTGATGGGATTCAGGATTCCAGCCACAAGGCTGTTTTTCTCAGTATAGCTGAACAAGTCACAGACAGCAGGACGGAGATGGCTGCTTGGTGCTCCTTTCTGAGTGGTCAGAGGGTTTAGATGGGGACGGGTTTGGGCGCTGTGTGCATGGAAAAAGATCGACTATGTCGTCCAAAATAGAACAACTAACTTTAGCGATCGGCACACCGGGATGCTTCATCAATACAGTACTAGTAGTTTCTGTGAATTAATCAGTAACCGCGATCTTGGAACTTCTAGATGCGCGGAATGGAAGCGTGAGCCGCAAACTTGTAAAATGAGTGAGTAATCCTGGTGTGAAGCTGAAGCCCCTCTCTCACGACGGGATTGGCAGCCCTATCGCTTGAGACGATCATTGCCATTGGCGGTACTTTTGATCGAGGCTTACCGGCACCAAGAAGTGGTATACGGACGTATTGCAAGAACCCTGGAGATGGTGTTTTTAGGATTCTTAAACGTCCAACAAATAGAAGGCTCGGAGTAAACCCAGTTAGTTACTCATCCATGAACAAGTACATGTGCGGGAGGAATCGAGAGATGCAGGACGGGCTATCTCCTGGAGATATACCGGAAAGGGACGACACTACCGCGGGAAACATCGAATCTCCACAGCTTTTTGCTTATGTAGAGGTGGAATGGCAGCATTGGTGAATGGAGGTGCCTACCTCGATTAGTCCCTACAGGTAACTTAGAATAGAAATCACTTGCAGAATGCATTCATTTACTTTGTTGTTTGCCCATAGTAAAGTGTATGATATGATGTGGTACGTACGAGTTTACTTCCAAGCCGAGTGATCATTGCTCCTACGTATACTTACCTTCCTTCCTACCTATCTACCTCCGTATGTCTAGGTACCTACCTGCCTTATGCCTCTGCCTCCACTCTTCCCTCTCCCCTTCCCCCTCCACCCCCTCCACTACCGGCCCCTGTCACACCGTCCTGACCATCTGCCCCATGCCCTTGGACATCAAATGTGGCCCGCAAACGTGGGGCACTGACTGATCTGATCCGGCTCCACCTGCCAATCTCGCCAGTCGCCAGCCTGTCTCGCCTGTCCTCCAGCCTCCTCATCCCTGTCGAAGCTTATTTTAAACTACCACTACTGTACTGTACCTTCCGTACCTCCCTTTCGTTACGCGACAACAGCGCATGGGCATGGGCATGGGCATGGGAACAGGAGCACTAGCAAGTAGCGATGTCGTGGCTGAAGTGAATCCTCACGACCATCCGTTCGTTCCAGCGAAGTCAAGCAGCAAATAGCCCAACCATTTCCATCACCACCTCATACAGCACCCACACCATATCACACCCGGCGCCATCCACCGAGGATCCAATCGCAGACATACCGAGCGCAGTATCGAAGACTGACAGCGCCAGGGGCAGCGCGGTTTCGACAGACTACCTATCGAGCAGCAGACCTGAGGGCTGAGGGCTGAGGGCATCGAGGGAGGGTTGTCGCGATGGAGCTCAACCAGGCTATGTCGCCAGGCTCGACTATTGCGAACTCTGAGATGGACGACCAGATGACGACACGCCCTTCTTCGCCTACCCGCATCGATCCGCGAACTTCTTTGAAGCACGTCCTGGACAACAACCCAGACTCTCGCACCAACACCCCGCCAGTCCAGGTAGCCAGAGCAACACCAGACATGACTGAGGACGACGATGTCAGAACTCCTGGAGGGGCTGCTGAAGCTCCATCCAAGCCGGCTGCATCGCGCAAGCGTAAAGACCCCCCAGGAGGCGCGCAGATCTCGCTGCACGCCGCCAACAAGATCAAACACCTGAAGAAGGATGATGGAGTCCCCCTGTGGCGCAAGGATATTCAATATGATTTTCTAAAGGCTGTATTTGATGATCCTCAGGAGGTGTTCACGAATAGCTACGACCCTAGCAAACCCAAGCAGAACTTTGCAGACCTGTACATCGATACCATGGCCCGAAGCAGCAAGACAAGCAAGATCCTGAGGGACAAGCTGCTAACAGAGCACGAACCTGCTAAAAATATGGCCATGGTCTGCTTGCTCGTGAACCTTGGCCGGATGAATACCACCTTGAATTGTGAGTGTAGCTGTCTACTACTCGCATGCCTCTGCTGACATTTCCTAGTCTTCCCAGAAATGAGAGCACAACTTCGGACGTACCATGCGATTCCTTCCCTACAAGCACACCAAGATCCGAATTCGTACAAGCAGTTGCAGGACGCACCACGACTGAAATCAATACTCAAGGGAGCTTCGGAGGATCGGCAAGAGCCAAACTCGCTGGAGAAGATCAAGGCTCGAGACGTTCCTCGCACAAACCCTGTCAACCTGATCTTCATCCTCGCCCAGTTCGCCCCAAAGGTTACCGAGCTACACTTTCCACCTGGGAATGAGTTCTATGATATGCTAATTGCGGAAGATCTTTCAAGCCAGTCTCGCGCGAGAGCCTTCCTGTGGCTGATGTGGTTCTATTTGGAATCCGACTTTACTGAAGAAGGTGCAGAAGAGAATCCCTTCGGAGCTGGCGTCGACTACGAGGTCGATGTCAGAAACCAGGGTGTACCAAGATTTACCGTCTTGACTGCTGAGGAACAAGAGGCGGAGAATTTCGACACGCAAGAAGAGCTCGACTACGGTTATGCCAAGATGAGGGAGAGAAAGCGAATCATCGAAGCTGACCAAGCTGCCTTCCAAGCAGAGCATGGTCCTCCAAAGCGTGGCCCAAAACCAAAGCTCCACCTACCCCCCGAGGACGGTGGTCTCAGCCCAGCAGTTCACCTTGGCCGCATCAGACCTAAGTATGAGGAAGGTAGTCCTGCCCTGCGAGGCTTGATCCGGCCCAAGTACGAGTCTGATATGGACAGTACACGCTCTACACCACCACCCCGTGCACTCGGTGGAATGCGCATCCAGAGCGTGCTCAACACTGGAAAAGGCCGTGTATCATTGAAACACCAGATCATGGAAGGCTCTTCACCAGTCGCGCATGCTGGAGAACAAATGCCGATGAGACGCTCGCGTCCTCTTACTGCACATCAACTGGCCGTTGAACGCAACCGAAATCAACGTGTTGATTACATTCTCAGCCGAGGATTGCGGAAGAAACATCATTTCTCTAAAAAACAACGAAAGCAAGACGGGGTCTTCTGCCGCGCTCTACCACGATTGAAACAGATCACCGATCCTTTCGAAGACAGCGAAGACGAAGAAAGTATCGTGAAGGATCCAGGTCCCTTTAAAGAGCGAGGCCTGGGCGGCCTTGTGCCATTGGATTATGAAGAAGATGATTTTGGAGAAGAACTTTCTGCATACGCTGCTGCTTTCAGGCGTACCACGCGAAGACTAGATCGATGGGAGGGCCAGAAAGGCCTGGGTGTTATGGGAACTGGTCGTATTGCTCCAAAGGACGATGCCAACGGTCATGAGATCGGCCGAGATAACGACGAGACAGAAGATGAGCATCCCGCTAGTCAACAACAATTACCAAGATCCAATGGTCATGCTCGTATCGATGAGGAAGAGGATCTTGATGATATGGAAAAGGAGATCTTAGGCATGGGTAGTGAGGCGGATGACGGAGATGAAGATCTCGATGATGTCGACAAAGCATTGTTGAATCTTGGGGGTGGTGATGAAACTGAAGACGAACCTAGTGATGGTATGGATGTCGATTAGGGAATCGACTGTGTGTTACAACTCATGGCATGGCATTGATCGGCGGGCGTTTCCTGGGAGGCTGGGATGGTTTCTTATTTCAAGCTCGGCGGAAGTGTAAGATATGCTTCAATGAAGCGCGTGAACGGAGCAGTTGGCAGAGCAGAATTTATTAGAGCAAAAGCACGTCTACAAGCAAGGTTTTGATATTTCTGTTATGTTGTGTACATTAGGACTCAAAATCTTATCACCTCGCAGGAGCCGATGATCCTCTCTGCCGTGAGGATTCTCAACGGTGTTTCCGTGGCTTGATTTCGGTTGTGCAGATGGCATTATTGGTATCTATTCTTCCCAACTTAGGCAAGTTGCCTCTTCCCCGGAGCACGTATCAGTTCACTTCTTACAAAACATAGACATTCGGGCTTGCTTACTGGTTTACGTACCAACACATATTCATCATCCGCATATTTACTCTCGGCTAGGAATCGCACATCTTCCTTTCTTCGATCCGTTTCTCACGCATGTTTAGCGTGCTATCCTGTGGCCAGCCGCCCAACAGCAGTTCTGTTAAGCTTATCCGCCACACCACATCAAATTCTCACCTTTGGCCATCACATTGAGATATACGCTTCCTGTCTTGCTCGATACTTTAGCTTAGTTTACCTCCTGTCGTCTGACCTCTTCCTTCCTTACCTGTATCTCAAACCTGCACAACACCAACCTCAGCCTTCCTTGAGAACCACTAAAACCTCCAGGTGGTTTTGATGCATAGTACACGTCTCGAAGCTTTCCAAGAACTTTATCGTGGCCTGAGCATCGTTGCTTCGCTACACGAGAACCTCGTCTTTGGTTCTGCTCCTTTGCCTTGGCCTTCATTCACCTTGTCAAGCGGGTCTGTAAAGTACCGTCTACCATTCAAGACATTGAATGTATCGTCTTCAGTAACGTTGCTGACAACGGCTTCTTGAAGTCTACCACTCTACTCAACCCTGCTGCATTTCATAATCACAACTTACCGTGCTCGACTTCTCCTCGAACTGATCAACAATATTGCACAATCGATCCTCGGTACAAGGGAGGTTGCTACGGAAAGTGAGGTCGATCATGGATTCCCACTCGGAAAGACCCAGCTTCAAGGGCGAATTCATGGTATATCTCACCCCTTCAATCAAGAATTCTACTGACAAACCATAGCTTCCATCTGGTCCACTAAGTCAGTCGATCGACAGATTGTGTGAAAGAGCATTGATGGCACTTCCATTCGTTGGCATGTTTGTCGGCGTCGACGAGCTTGTGCCAATCAAGGCAATCTATGCTATCTACGATCCCAGCAATTGTGGCATCGCATACGTTCGTGGAGATGGCACATTCGCTGTCGCCAGTCGTATTTGCTTTACCAAACAATTCAAGGACTCCTGTATACCTCTATTTCGATCACAGCGCACTTACCTGCCGGAACTGATGGCTAGATCGGCTCTATACTATCGTCAAGTTAATTCTAAAGAGGTGTTTCCTGCCCAAATCCTGGTCAAATTTCCGACTCAGAGCTCAGTGAAGGCCTCGCTTACATATATCGGCGACCTAGTTATGGACTCTTGCCCAGCATTGTCCAATTTCGACGCTACACCAAAGGGTCCAGACCTGGCACCGCCGCATGTTGTCTTGGAGGACAAACCTACGTGGGATTTCAACACTGCTGGCTTCCAAGCGATCACTGCCCCAGGCGATGATATTGTCGACAGCAAGTACATTGACTTCAAGCGTCAGTACCCTACTGTTCGGATCAACTCGGTGGACTTTCAGCATGCAGCATTTTGTCTCGCAGGGTTACTTAAGCAAGGCATGATCTCCTTTCTCCACGAAGGACAAAATGACCGTCGCTTCTTTGTTGGAAACCAAACGCCTGTGAAGCATCCAGCTTTTGTCACTCCTTTACGAACAGCTAGAGGATGGACTGTAGACTGCTTCCTTGCACGGTTCGAGAGGTTTCAGGATATCTACACGACGGAGACCTACGCCCAGATTCCAAACCCCGTCAACTGGCTTGAGGCTGAGATGGCAAATGAGGCTCGATTAGAGAGATGGAACGTTCCGTGGTCAATCGAGTCTGACAAAAAAGATGATTCGGTGGTTAGTTGGGAATTATTGAAGGTCATGCCGTTCAGAACTCGAGGTGATTCAAAGGAATATCCAAAGTCACTAATCCCAAAGGTAATCTCATGCCCTGGATACACCTTTTGCCCGCTAATAGCTCTTTGATAGGCTCCACGACCTCTGAGGCTCAATGACATCGTCACCAAGTCTGGTAAGCTCAGAAAGTCCAAATACGCCAAGAAAGAAAGAAAAGAGCGACAGAGGGCAGATCAGGCAGCAGGTCGTGGGAGTTACGCCCCTGTCGATCTCGCAGAAGAGGCTGGCTTTATTCCGGGTCATATGGTCAGCAGTCCTAAGGCCATCAGAGGACGAGACAGGCTCAACCACAATACTGGTTATCAAGTGGGCCAGGCTTCTCATATCAACAGACCTGAGATTAAGGCGCCAGTGGCAGGTCAGAAGCGAAAACACAACAATGGCCAAGGCTCATTCCAGAATCCTGCTGTCTTATCCGACTCTGACGAGCCAGAAGAGATACAAGAGAAACCTGTAGAGCACAACCACAATGTCGAGGTCGAAATTGAGGATGTCGGCAGCGATTCTAGCTCGGGAAAACACCGAAAGAAGAAATCTCGTCGTAAGAGCCAGTCTCGCAAGACAAAAACTTTCGTTCCTGGCGCCGATGTTCTCTTCGCTTCACCCGGTAGGACTTTAAGAGACGTGGAGGAACTGGGCATCAGAATGGGATCTGCAGCCAGTTCACCACAAGAGATCCTCCAGTCATTTCGTAGAGGATGCGACACTTCTCGCGCACACCCAAAATTCCAACTGGATGTTCCAGAGAGTGATGGGGACCACGAGACATACAGGATTGGGAAGGAGAGGAATGGTAGTCGGAAGTCTGCGCAACAATTTGATATTGGGCGCGGGAGCTCGACAGTGCTAAAGAGGTCAGTACGTTCTTTCAGGTCAATACTGCAGCGATCAACCCTTGCAAATCCTGACAATTAGTGACTTGATAAGTGGATATCTGGGCTCTTTAGCTGACAACCTCAGACCAGGAAGTTACTACCGCCAAGCCGAACATGGTCAAGATGCCACACATGTGAACTACGAAGAGCCACATAGCACTTCATCTTCCAACAAACGCGTGTCTCTTGGATCTCCCTTCGTAACTTCGTGTTCGGAGCCAGAATCCAGGAGTGATTCTAGCTTCGACTTCTCGAACGATGAAGTTTCGGTCTATGGGACCACTTCTGGACCTCAAGTACCCAAGTACCCCCATGAGTTAACCAACAAATTCGAGAACCGCTCGCCCAAATTCACCAGACCAGCCGCTACTAGGGTCGACGACAATGATTTCAGTCCAATCGACCTAGATAGCATCCGTTCTACACCCACCAGCGCATCCACCTACGCTAGCGATATAGAAAACTTTCCCATCAGCACATCCAGACAGCCAACCGTATCTCTAGAAACCAAAATCTCATCACCCATTGTCCCTGATATAATGCTTTCAACGACCAAGAGCGGCAAATTATCCAATCCACACACCCCGTCACCACAAACAGGTGATAGATTCTATGATCACATTGATCGAGCCCCAACGACTGATCGTCTGGGGTCATGCCACTCGAAAAGGCAAGAAAGAACTCAGTGATTTCAGGCGGAATCCAGTGCTTCCCTCCACGCAAGACTGCCTCGTCCAAGGAAGCTATCGAGGACACAGCATGTGGAGTCGGTTTCGAAGGGCAGGTCCATATCGATGAGGAGGAACCTGAGCTGGACGCTGATCGTCCTGGCCAGCAGCTCTTCTTCGACAAACAGAGCCAGAGAGGCTAGATATGTCCAGAAACATGCTTCAGGACAGAGCATCTCAACCCGAAATAATTATCAAGGACGAGGACGAGGATGAGGAGAACCCATTCGCCGGCGTCAATCAGGATTATCGGAAGCTTCAACGAGCAACTCGTAATCGAGAGCATATGTTCATGGCTGAGCCCGATCAGTCCGCGATCGATGAGCGCTCGCATCCATAATTTGGACATGGCGGTAAGAATGGCGTCTCAAAACCTTCCCTGGAGATTCTCAACGACACAGACTCGCATAATAGCCTCAATCTGCTCTCCCAACATCAATTACGTACTCGCGAAGGCCTCAGAAACAGGCTGTCTTGCATAAGTTAGCTATGTTTGTCATTTATAGCAAGCATACTTATTCTCAGTATCGGCCTCTACTCCTGCGCGTGGAGCTACTTTAACATTTCATGAAGTAAATAAACAGAGCTGCAGCGTAGATCTGGGCTTAATAAGATAATTTACTTGGGCAGTTTGAGGGATAAGTTTGTAATAAGTTAATCGCTGCATCTCGTATACAAATGAACTAGTGCAAAGTCAGGCATAATGTGATCGTTGAAGTTGTTTATTTTCGAACTCGCTTGTGACGAGACTCTAAACTCTGTCGCGCCAAGTTACGGGACGCCTAGGGGGCATCCAATGGGAGCAGTTGTCGTACAGGTTCTAAATTGCTGATGAGTCTCAACTGATGCTGTGGGCTCCAAAGGTCCATGCCGCATCGATCATACACGCTGAGGGGATACAAAAGGCTATTGGAAAAGCTTTGCTTGCCCTTTGATCCATTCCTGGAACGTCACACCACTTCCATCCTTTCTATAAAAGGCAAGACATCTCAAGTAGGTTTGGATGGCGTCAAGTTCCTCAACAAGCACTCCTTGAGTTCTCGACTGCAAGGTGACAGGGCTTCCGAAGCACTTTATAAATAGATTTTTAGCAGGGCCAATGAGGGTTTGGTAGATAGCCCTTGCTAACTTCTCGCTGCCGAATAGCCAGTGAGTATCACTTTCGTGTAGTGTCAGTAGCACTGGTGTGGATGCCATCTTCTGAACAAACAGGTTGTTCTGACGAGTAAGAGTGCTTGTCCATGACGCGATGAAATCGTTCGTGTTCTGTCCAAAGTCCGAGCCTCGCCCAGGAGGTCGACCACTAGCAACGTCTTCCTTGTACTTCTGTGTTATGGCTTCTTGATCAGGCAGAACGCCTCTGAGCCCCATGAAGCCAGCAAAATTCGTCCCTGAGCACATCCAAGTAGCTAAAGCAGAAGCCGCACTGTCCCAATGGCCTCCAAAGACAATTTCAGCATGCTCCCATGAAACTCTGTTCTTTAGCTGTTTCTCAAACCCAAGGGCTCTTCCCTCTGACTCGATAATCTTTCTGACAGCATCCATGGTATACCTCAGGCTTTCGTACATTTTGACGCTACTTTCACCTTCTTCGTCATAAATACCAAAATCCACCCACATCCTACGTTTCTCAATACTCTTATCGGCTTTGACGTGGCAAATGAATGGTGCAGTTGGGAAAATCCACCTCACACCTGGGAGCTCTTGCTGAAGTGTCTTTCCGGATGAGCATTTCGTCGCGTCAAGTAGTTGATGCTTCAATTTTGCACCACTGCTGTCATTGGCGTGGAGTAAGACAACAGTTAGCACTCTTCTATGCCCTGGCAGCGGCTCAACAATCTCCAAATCGGGAGGTTGGCTGTCACAATCAAGATAACTTCCACAGCCTAATCCTGCCGTTAGACGCTCCAAGATAGGTGTTGAGACTTCCGAGCCCACTCCCGAGTCATTTACTGTGTCGATTGCACGAACCCTCGATACGTTGTAAGGTGTCACAGTAACGTCCGACTGCGAGGAAATATCGCCCTCCTCAATGTCCGAGAATGATCGGTCTTCATCTTTGGAGCTGTCTATGAACGGTGGTGAGTGGCCTTCTGTGGCTCGAGCCGAGGTTCGTTTCCGCTCTTGGGTCATTTGTAATGTGTTGGAGTCAGTTCGGTACTTTCAAATGAAGTTGGATCAACGGGTATGAACTGGTCAAGTGTCGAACTGGTCTGCTTTCTAAGCTATTGCATCGAAGAGACAATCTTTGCAGAAGCCGTCATGGCAGATATTCTACAGGATAATACGAAACTGTAACAATGGCGTTATGAATGACTTGCACCACGAGATGGTTTACATGCGTCTTTATCTGTGTCCTGGACTGCGGGAAAACAACCAACGTAGCCTGGAGTCCCCATCCGGCAAGAGCGAGGCTTACGCTAACAACCCGCAAGCGAGGCAGCTATGTGGTCCGCGATGAGACACCAGCAGATGGCCGGCAAGACGGTTTCTTCTCCTGTAAACCTAGCTACGCTGGAGAGAAAGGGGGGTGGGGGGGCAGTTGTGATGGTTACGCAATGAGTTGATATCCAAAGTGCAACCTTCTTGCTGTCCATACTTTCATAATTAAAACGAAGTAAACAAGGTGAAGCGAACGTCGCATAGTCCAGCACCCGCTATTTTATACTAGCTCCATTATCAGTATCGAGAAATGGGCCCGTCCAAGAAGTTTCAATGCATTTGATCGCTTCATCGCATGTAAAGTGCTTCGTATAACTCGCCTCAATTTTTGCACCTAATTCTCGCCAATCTACTGAACTACTCACTACTTCTTCCTTGGTCTCTTCCTCAGCACTGTTCGCAACACGGGTCTTCTCTCATATGCTTACGATGCCATTTCCACCAATTTTAAAACTTCCATACCTATCCAGCGCTGGCCTAGAGCTAGATGCTTCTGATGTGGGATTGCTTTGTTTACAAAGCACCAAACCATTACAATGCCCAATCTCTTTAGAATTCCCGTAATTCGAAATTCTTTCACATCATCCACGCTGGTTTACTTCGCAGCCAAGACCTCAGTATAAGTGACCAGGGGTTGGACCTGATAGAACCAGGACTTCTTGAATTATCAACCAGCAGGGAATTCAAGAGTCAACTACCTTAAGCAAGCCACACCCGGACGAATTATCTCGCATTTCATCGTTCACTGAAATGACATATGTATTTGTTTCCAGGCTGTTTCCATCAATCTCATTAGTAATACCCAAAACACAACGCCTCGCAATGCACGAAATACATGTTTCCTGCCGATTCCACGAACGCCCCCCGGAAAGTAACTATTCCTTTACCCAAACCCCAAAATCCTCTTTCCTAATACCACTTCTTTCACACATGCTCCTGAAAATGCCTCCTTGTTCATACAAAGCATACGGCGTATCCAACTCTGCAATTGTGCCCTGATCCATAACGCAAATGCGATCATAGTTGATGATTGTCTTGAGTCTGTGAGCGATGCAAAGTAGTGTTTTGCCTCGGAATCCCGTGGCGATCGTGCGCTGGATCTTCTCGTCTGTTTCCATATCTACGGACGATGTTGCCTCATCACAGACGATGATTTGTGAGCCTCGTACCAGAGCTCGTGCCAGTGCCATAAGTTGTCTTTGGCCTAATGAGAAATTGAGGCCCTCGTCTTCCACGATGCCGTCAAGGTGGATGCGACCAGGGGACTTATCATCTAGGCTTGCCTCTTCCGATATCAGGTCAGACTGGCGAAGAGCGCTCCAGAGTGCTAAGTCAGTGTGCTCGTTGAATGGATCAAGATTACTGCGAATAGTTCCCTTGAACAGTGTTGGGTCTTGAGGTATGATAGCCAAGCGAGATCGTAAGTCCTGGAGTCCAATTGTGCTTATATCCAGCCCGTCGATTGTAATAGAACCTCCGGAAAGTTCGACGAGACGGAAGAGTGTCGACATGATACTAGATTTGCCAGCTCCAGTGCGCCCAACAACACCAATCCGTTCGCCACCTCTAACATGCATGCTGAGGCCAGACAGAACCAGTGGCAAATTCTCTCGATATCTCATTTGGACATTGTTGAAGATGATCTCACCAGATTCTGGCCAAGACTTCCGTACTTCGACTGTATGAAGCGGCGCTTCCTCTTCCAGCTGAGTTCCGTAGTAGTGAAGACGCTCCGTGGCGTTCATTCCGTTCTCCACCTCTGCTAACTGTCGAACTGTAAATTGAATCATCTGAACAATCGCGAGGATATAACTGAGAACCAATCCACCAATCGATGGATTTACATTGAAACGAGATGTAACAACCAAAAGGCCAGTCACAAACACGAGTAAATTTCCAATAACGTCTAGCCGTGTAGATAGCCAACGCTGGTTTGCAAAAGTGAGATAATATGCACTGTTCATCTCATCAATTGCGTCTCGAAGGTTCTTGACGAATACGCCTTTCAATCCATACGCGCGGATACAAGCAGTGCCGGAAAGGCCCTCGCTAAATTTGGCGAAAACGGTGGAACGCAGGACTGATTCGAATCGCTTCATCTCTCGAGCCGACGCACGGTAGTATGCAGCGGAGAAGATGAACATGAGAAACAGAGGTCCAAGGGCAATGGCGAAGTAGTGAAAGTAAGCGATGATCAAACCGAAGACGGAAAGAATCATAGCCATGGTCAATAGATACATTCTCATAGCATCTGACAAGTTATTGTCCATAACGTCCACATCTCGTGAAAACCGATTCGTGATCCGGCCTAGAGGAGTTGTATCGAAGAAAGACATCGGCGCTCGAAGTGCGCGTGTGATCGCTCTGTTCAACATTGTCTTACTGGCATTGGTACCCATGAATGTGAGGAAGACAGAGAAGAGGAACATCGTCAGAGCCTGTGAAAATCCGAGAGCGGCATATACCCCAATGTAAACTCCTTTCGAGTAGCCAAATTCTGGTACGGATCAGCATTTGAATGTGAGAGTAAAACCCTAGAAACTTACTATTGCTTGTCCACCACGAAAGCCAAAGACTGGTCGAGATGTTTGCTCCCTGGGACGCCAACAGGAATATGAATACCAATGGAGTATTGATGATGTTGCCAGCGCGCATGTAGTCAAAATACACTGACCAAGGAACGCTCTTGACAGCTCGTTCCTCGGCCTGCATTAACGTGGCACCCTTGCGCTTCTTCTTAAAGACCTTCTTTTCACCCTCAATTTCATCCTCGTTGACATGATCTTCGTCATCATGCTTTTCCTCGACAGCCGTGGTTTCCATAAGAAGCTGGAATCCGGCATGATCTCTCATGAGATTGTCGAAAGTATCAACTGCTTGAATTCTGCCATCCTCCATCCAGATAATACGATCGCAACGATTAAGAACCCAAAGCTGATGTGTTGCCAGGATCCTGGCCTTGTCTTTCAGCAGTCCCAAAATCGCGTTATCGAAAATGTGACGACCAACATGGGCGTCTACAGCTGATAGAGGGTCATCCATGAGTATCAGATCGGCTACATAAATTAGCATTGATCTGGAACTGGTCTGGAAGTACAACATGACGTATGCGGAGCAGTGAAACAAAGGATAGGTTCGGAGATAATTTACGCTCCACTTCGTACATACCATCAAAATAGATCGCCCGAGCGATGTTGAGACGTTGCTTCTGTCCACCAGAAACTGTAATTCCGCGTTCCCCAATCTCGGTAGCATCTCCTTGGGGAAGCATCTCCAAATCTGGTTCAAGAGCACACGCCTTGATGACCTTCTGATACCTGAGAGCAGTCAGCAGGGTGAGGTGATGCTGGCCCAGTAAAACTTACCATTCCTTGTCCATTTCTCTACCAAACAGAATGTTTTCCTTCACACTTGCATTTTGAATCCAGGCGTACTGTGGACAAAATGCCCTGCTTGCTCCGATCATTATCTCGCCCCTGCCCTTATTTGTCATTCGCATATCACCCGCGAGAGCGGCAAGCAATGAACTCTTTCCACTTCCAACCCCGCCAATGACAGCAACCAACTCATTTCGTCCGATTGAAAATGACATGTTTTGTAACTTGAACGGCTCGCTATCCCCAGCCAGAGTACTTGTGTCATCAGGCGTCGTTACGCCAGATAAGTCGTTCTTAGTTGATGCTAGCTTTGCAGCTTCCTTTTCAGCTTTATCGGATACCTTTTTGGCCTTCTTGTCGGCCTTGATAACTGCCTTGCTTCTCCCAACGGGAACAGCATGGTCTGGATCCTGCGTTACTGTTCTTTCCCAAGTAAAATCTGCGTTCTTCAGCTCAACAGCCATTTCGGCGCCTGCATCGAACTTTGTGTTCTCGTCCTGATCTTCACTCAAGAGGTACTCCTGAATACGAATGATCGAGGACCAAGCGTCTGTGACCTGACCAATGACCAACGGAAGTAGATTTAGTGGCAGGCGAAGAGAGTTGAAGAGGGCCAGCGATGAGAAAATTCGTGCAGGCGCAAGATCGTGACTCGTCAGGGAGTATGTGATGAATGCAAGCATAGATGAAAAGACTGGAAGTGACATAGAGACGGCGTTGATCGCGTTTCTGATTGCAAGAAGAATTTGAATCATCTTTATCTCTTGATCACGACTAAACGAATGGGGAGTCAGTACTAATGCTTCAGACATGTTTGGAAGATGGGTGCATGCGTGTTGTGAACGGAGTGGTGGGGACTGATTGTATCCTGGTGTCACTTACATGTTCTGAAGTCTTTTCAGGAAAGCACTTTCCCAGCCAAAGAATTTTACAAATCTCACAGACTGTAAAATTTCTTGGGTAAGGCTGACTCTCTGATCTGTAACTTTGTTGATTTTCTTACGCCTCGCGAAGAGAATTTTTACGACCTTCGTTAGGACGGGCAAGCCGATAACGAGCAAAGAGAAACCAGCCAGAGCACTGTAAGTCAAATTGACCAGAAGTAGTATCAACGTGATTATACATGAGATAGGGGCGGTCCATATCAAGTGGAAAAGGCCTGAAGCCTGGTCGATTCGATAAGTGTCGACAGACATCAAGTTCACAACTCTTCCGTTCGCCCAACCGGTCCCGTCCCCAGCTACTCCTCGAGTTGTATCCGTCGGTTGCTTGGGCGATCCTTTTTTCGCATCTGCCTTGGCCTTCACATCGTTCTTGGTCTGCTTTTCATTCTCGGTGTCTGGCCCAGTTTTGACCTCTTTCCCGCCAGCCTTTGCACGCCCAGAAATATTCATAGCTTTCTCAAAGATGACCGAGATGAGTACACCTCTGGCTTGTCCTCCGACCATCATTCCACGGTATATGAAATGGTTGGTGCCCAGACTCTGAATCATTTGCATGATGGTAATTCCGAAAACCAGACCTAAGCCCTTTCCAATGTGCGGCGGTGGGTCGCCCCTCTGTTGCGCAACATATGCATCCTGGGCAAATTGAATGAGGAAACGAAGTGTAAACGGGGATATAACCTGGAGGATGTTCGAGAAGAACTGACAAATGCCCCCAAACCAAAACTCGAATTTAAAAGTCTCGTGCATCGACCATAGTAGAGGATATTTGTCGCCTCTGTTAACTCGCTTTTTGAATGAAGCCTGCAGTTTCAATGTCATGGCCTCTGCTGATCGATTGGGGTTGACTGTCCAAATGTCATTTTGTTCTAGTGTCCGCTTGTAGCCAACCTGCTTGCTATCAGCTTGATTATCTGCGTATGTCCTGGAGAAACCTACCGACATGATAGGCGCTACCCATTGGAAATAGACCTGGCTCAGGAACGAGGCAGTATATTCTCTCGACACAGTCCGAGTTTCTGGAACTGGTGGCACTTGACCCCACCGCAAAGGATTGAGCTTCTTGTGCCATGGTCTCCTCTTCTCTGGTCCATCTATTTGGGACTCGGTTTCTGAGAAAGCGCTGGTTGTTGTCGCATGGCTTTTCGTCCTGTCGATATGCGGTCTTTTCTCGTCCAAGTCTTTTGATCTGCTTTCCGCGCCACTTTCGCCGGAAGCATGGCCATGTGCCTTTATCTCGATATACTCCTTTTCGTAGCCGTCGACGTCGAGAGGTTCTTCATGATTGGTATTTTGTGTAGCTGCTGCAGGATCGCTGGCAGTGGCGGCCTCGGGTCTGTACTCAACCTCGGGATCTTGGCCCGGTTGTGTCATGTTGTTGCAAGTTTTGGCAGCAGCACAACATGCGGGGAAAGCAAATGGGAAACAGGATAGGACGACAGGAAGAAGCGACGAGAGAGGAGGAAAGGGAGAAAAGCAAAAGGCAGAGAGGAAAGCCGCAAGATGCTAAATTTCTTCGGGATTGTAACGGGCGACGGCGACTATTTGGAAGTCCATGTCATCTTTGCGCCATGGCATAGCATGGACTTTTGATCCGTAGCCACGGTTTAAGGCTAGCAAGGCGAGAGCGAGGGCGAGGCCAACGTAAGGTACGGCAAATACGAGCAGATAGATAGGCTCCGAGCCCGACCTGCGATGCGATGCGATGCGATGGAAGACAGTCGCAGTGGGGCCGGGGGGGTGGACCATCCCGTCCATTCCATTCCATTTCTCATCCTTTTTTTTTTGGTGGCAGAACTTCCAGTCACCTTCCCCGGCCGTCGTAGCGCGGTGGCTGCTTAGATACAGACACATTGCAGTGGGGTGAAGTCGAGTGGATGGGGGTGGAGTGGAGTGAATTGGAGTCCTTGTAAACCCCACTACAGTACGCGTAGGTATCGTTATCATACAGTATTATTCACCTGCAGAGCAGAGGAGGTAGATACTTCCTCAGGTAGTCAGGCTATGACAGCTGCGTCCGCATTTCAATCGTCTAGTCTAACTCTACCTCTCCCCCGTCCTTTACCGTAAGCACCGTAAGCTCTACTGTAGCTGCTATGGAAATCCGAGAGGTTGACAAGGGTCGCGATGGTAATTTATCATGGTACGCATCGCAAACAAATGTTTCCGTCTCAAATCAAGTCAATAGAAGTCATCATCAGTACCCATACCAAACCTTCTTTACGCGAGATGTAAGTTTAAGCTGGATCCAAGGGTCTAGAGCTACAGTATTAGACGCGCCGTGCAGTCGCACGCAACCTTAACCTACTTCCAACTAAAGTTTTACCGTTCGACTTAGCTTGAACGTTCGGAATATAGAATTTCCCGGAGATCTCATCCTGCAGTGCAGTGCAGTGCAGTGCAGCTCGGCGTTGAGATCTTGTTGCCTTCATCCTGGCCGGTCCTGGTCCTGGTCCTGGCCCTGATCCTGGTCGTCAACAAGCATTGCAAGGTGGGGTGGGGTGTCTGGGTCTGCGTGTTCCCTAGGAATCCGAACTCATAATTTACCTAGCCAGCACGGATCGCTATCGATCGATTAGAAGAAACTCTTTCTCAGTTAAGCATTCTCTTACAGAAGTCAACATGATGTACTCTTTATCCCTGCTTGCTTGCTTGCAAATAAATTTACAAAGAGCAGGGCGCTGTGTCCTCGGTCAAATGCTGCATGTAAGTTATTCTCCAGGTCGAAGTCATGACATGTAGCATTTGGTCGTCTAGAGGCCAAGACAGGGCACGGTCAAAGAACCAACCAAGAGTGGAGTGGGCACACCCGCGTAAATCCTTCCGACGGCCACGGCCACGGCCACGGCCAACTGCTGAGCTTCAAGGATGGAGGATGGCAAGTTGGAAGGTGTCACGCACTCACAAGCTACCTAAAGCACCTACCTAGGTATGCTTTCCAATTGTATTTGTAATACAAGAGCAGTGATGCTCACCGACGTTCTGACACGCAAGCCACGCATTTCCGCTTCCGTCGCGCAGCCATTGATTGGGAGGGACCAAGGGGGAGGGACAATTGGAATCGGCATGGACTTAAAGGTTGCCGACTACCGGTAAAGTCCGAGTCACGTTTACTGCATAGACAGAAGACAGACCCTCAGCAGGTTGGTAATCGTACCTGTCCTTCTACAGTAGGTAGGCACAGAGAGACTTACTCGCTACATCTTTTAATGAAGACATTCATCTTGAGCGACGCAGGCATTGAAACAAGTGCGGTTCCAGAACAGCAAAACTTTCCTTTGTGAAGAAGAGTGACCGAAGTACCGGGAGTCGTGGTAACAGGATTATGCCTAAATGCGAAGATATCTCAACACAAGAGGTAAATGACATCCTTTCCTCATTTCCCGTTTTCATTCCATGGCCTGCCTTGCATCCAACACCAAGATTGGCCGCATACAATATATCATAGGTTCTGGAGTGTCAGGTCCATAGAATACAAGCAACGACTAGCCCTTTCGCCATACTACACAAGGAACGCGCTATGACAATTGCTATTGGCAATTCTTCACGTCTTATTTTAAGAGACCCAGTCAGATACAAGCGGTCAGCTGCCTCTTGTTCCCATATCCAGTGCTGCAAGACTTTATTGTTCTGTTCGTTGCCTTGACCTCACTGCTTATTGATATTCTCTTGTTGATATTGTCGACCTTTCCGACCTTAGAAATATATTGGACTTTAAGACTGACGTTCACCAACATATTTTCGATTGTCTCCAAGTTGCCACGTTATATCTAGAACTTCGCAGCGTGCAGCCAGCTTATTGCTTATGGGCACTAATATTGGAAAGATTAAAATCCACGACAAAAGTAGCCCTTCCAACGCTTTGCCTAATTAGGAAAGGTCAATCCAAGCCGGCCCTCCCGCAGCCGCTGTTCCATACCTCTGGTACGAGCACGAACCTCAACGAGCATTGCCATGGCTTCTTGACGAACTACCACAGGCATCGTTTACTTAATAATTGCATCTATATGCTGCCGATATGATCTTCATACATCTCATCAAACTTTCGATTGCCAAGTGCTACTTCTCCTCCAGCCCCCTCTCACCGGAGCCTGTTGGATCACCTCGTTTTTAGTGTCCACTCGTTCACCCTCATAAAGCTTAACATACTTCTATCATGCCCCACGCTAAGTCTGTTGCCTGGTGACTACTCGCGACGATTGCGGAATATTGCTCAGATTGGAATGCCGTCTCTCGGTATGAACAAAACCTGGCAGCGCTTACTGTCACTCAAGCCCAGGAAGCCTGACCAGGATCAACCCACTGGCATTAGTAGGATTGATTCCACGTTCACTGATGAAGCTTGGAATGAGTCTGGTCTCTTCGAGGCTCACTCCGATGCAGAAACACAGCCATATGGCACCCAAGATGCCTCTCGGCTCGTCGGCCATGTGCAATTATCAAGTCTCCACTACAAGCCATTGAATGAAGCGAAGCAGGATATCCGGATTCTCAATATCACATCCGGGCCGAGCGCTGAAGATATTGTCTGCACTTTGGAGCACTTCTCTTGCTCTCAGAAATATCCAAATTACACTGCACTGTCGTACTGCTGGGGCACTCTTGCTAATGCTGTATCAATTACTGTTGACGGTGCCCCGGTCTTGGTCACAATCAACCTGGCAGCAGCACTCAGAGCTCTTCGCTCGAACGGCCATTCCAATATCTGGGTTGATGCAATATGTATTAATCAGAATGACGAGACCGAAAGAGGTCAGCAAATCTTACGAATGAAAGCCATCTACAGAAATGCTTCCACAACCATAGCTTGGCTGGGACCTGATCACAAGAACCAAGCCGCTGTTGCTTTTCAACGGCTCAAGGTACTTGCAGCACGGAAGCCCGAAGACGAGTTTGAGAATGCCATTGCGGCACTTTTTACTGGCTATACAGCCTGGCGGAATGACCCTGGATGGTCTTCCGTCAAAGTCTTGATGGACTTTGCATATTGGAAGCGGACATGGATCATCCAAGAATTGGCTCTTTCGCGGTCCGTTCTTTTCTGGTGGGGACAGTCTTCGATTGGTCTTGATTTGCTTGATACTGCCATGGCAAATTTACGGGAGAGGAAACCCAAAGACTATTTCGAGAGTGGCTACAAAGACATTCTGTATCTCTTGGTTATCGTCGGAAAGACACGCAGCAAACATGGTCGAGATTCAAAGGGCATGAACCTCGATAGACTCCTAACGTTCTCTTGTCGGTCACTTGCGACCGAACCTAGGGACAAGATCTTTGGCGTTCTTGGATTGAGCTCTGATGGCTCTGCATTGATTCCGAATCCCGACTATCGAAAGCCTCTTGACACGATTCTACGTGAACTCACAACCTCGATGCTACTTCGCCATGATAGCAAGAACAAAGTTGGACCATCAGATCTGATCTGTATCGACAACCCAACAGGTCCAAAAAGACCTGAGCTGCCGTCTTGGGTGATAGATTGGACGAAGATTTGGAAAGGGCCGGCAGGCAATTTCTGGGCTTCCAGTGTTGAGCGAGGCTTCCAGTCAGGATACTTAGCTTCAGGCAAATCAAACGCTAATCCACTATTTTCCGAGGATGGAATGACCCTGACGATTCGTGGATATGTTGTTGACCGTGTGTGTAGCTTGAGTGCTGTGTATCTCATCGGTGGCAATAAGCCAAAGGCTTTTCTCAGCGAAGGCAAGTCAGGCTCGGCTCTCCAGCATTCTATAGGTCAAAATGTTTACGGAGGTGAGCGCGGTCTTTTCGAAGCGATTTGGCGCAGCCTCATTGCCGACAGGATTGCACACAAGAAGGGCGAACTGTCGACTAAGCAGGCACCATCGTCGTATGGCAGCCACTTCGCTCGTATATGGTCCGGAGACCTCGAGCGACCGCAAGGCGAGCGGCTCAGACACACATATGACTGCATTACAGCCGTAAAATCATTTGAAATCTACGGACGGACATTGGAAGATTGGTCTCGCTTCAACCCACCCGAATCGAATGCACCGGACAAACATGCAGATTACGACGAGATTGGCATACAGGATTTTGGAGTTGGCAGACCCATGCCTGGATTCGAACCCAATGGAATGGAATTTGTATACGCCTGCAAGTTTCGAGATATGTTCCACCGAAGATTGCTCACGACACGCAAGGGTTATGTCGGTCTAGCTCATGCTCAATCGGAGATTGGTGATATGATCTGTGTGCTTGAGGGCTGTACTATCCCCATGACTGTCCGACCTTGTAACCGCGGGTTTAGGCTTGTGGGCGATGCCTATGTTCATGGCATCATGAATGGAGAATTCTGGCAAGCACAGCCCCTATCATCAATACAGGAGTTCGACCTCAAGTGACAGGTCGAGAGAGGCTAAGCCACTTGGGCATATCCAACGCAATTTTTCATTCTTTTGGCACGACAGGAACGATTTTGCAAGCCAGACATATTATCTTAGTCTCATTCACCAGTTGCCACCGACTTGCTGTGCCATCCACGTGTATACCGACATCGCTAGGACGAATACTGCAAACATACTCCACCACGTAGGAATGGATGGTTAATGTATAGCATCTGATTTCCCTCTGATGTATGCTGTCAGCAGCGATCCTCGTACATAATATCCGGCACATATCTCAATGAATATTTCAGGGGGAAGGGGCCAGACTTGAATGTTCTCATCAATTTAAAACAGCCTTGTTCTGATGTGAATATGTACATGTACGCAAATTTATTCTCGTATGTCACGGCTCTTGTGAGTCTAGGTTCAATGCCTCAAGAAGTATTCTAACATCCGTGGGTAATTCGGCGTTCCTAGGCCCGTCACTGGGTCCCACCCGGGGGTCGCCTTGAAGCCATCTGTACCACATCCTGGGTTCGAGCCCTTTGTAATGTCATTCAGCATACGAGGATTCTTATAAAGGGCGGGATCTACTTGAGGAGTTAGCACATACTCGCCTCTTGTGATGCGATCCATCTCCTTCAAGGCGACTCGAAGCGAGAAAAAAAGAGGGGGCAAACAAAAACAGATAAGCGAGCGATCAAACGACCAAATTCAACTTACTCAGAAACCCGACACTTGCCTTCCCCATATTCATCCTCGCCTCATTGATAAGCGTTATAATCGCTCCAAATACAGGTGTACTAGCACTCGTCCCATACAGCAAGTAATCATAGCTCCCAACCAGCGCAACCACATATCCCGCTCCGTTCGCACTCACGTCCGGGTACGCCCTTGCGTTGGCGGTGCTATTCCACCTATCCTTCCCAAAACCCCTTTTACCACTCTCGAGATCTTTAGAATATTTCTTGAACCAGCTACTCACCGCTTTGGATTGATAAGAGGGCATGGCGAAAACATCGGAGAATCCACCGCCCGAGAATATCTTCGTAGAGCAGGCTATCTCAGGGGCCGTGACAGGGGCGTTGGGGGCGATTTGTGTAGCGCCTACGCTGGTGATATAGGGACATGTACTGGGAAAACTGGGGGCGAAGCGTCCATCCTTTCCCTCATTGTATTCGCCGCTTGAAGGGTCGATGCAGCGATCTAGGCTTGCCGCGACACCATAGTCGGCAGAACAGTAGAGGAAGGTAGTTCCCGCAAGACCGAGTTTGCCGTATTCGTCGCATTGTCGCTTTTCGTAAGCTGGCGTGAGATCGTGCTCATTGTAGGAGTAGGATGTGCTGATAACCTTAGTTGCGGACTGCAATACAGAAGATAACATTAGCTGCCTATATAATTTATGAGGACTACTCGTGGACGTGGAAATATGTGAACATGGTGGAAAGTAGCACATTTCGAATAACCTAAGACAATATGCAAGGAGCAGAAATATGACTTACCCAACCTCCACAATTCCTCGGCCCAGCATATCCTCCAGGGAGCTTGCTAGGATAAATAGCATCAATAATCGGTACCGTAACATTTTCCGTCTGCCCATCTCTGGAACAATAAGTCTCATCCAACGAGTCCAGAAAGTTGTTAAACGAAGTCCACTGCGTATTTACCAGATCTCCAACCTGGTACAACGTCACATTCAGTGGATTTACTAGCGCCATCGCATACTCAAGATCGAGGTTTGCTTCGATATTTTGGCCGAAATTGGGTGTGTTGTAGACGTTTCCGCCATCGACTGAGCGGAGAGAAGGGCGTCTCTGGACTTGGTTCTTAGAATAATTGCGGAAGAACATATCGAGATCGGATGCGAGGTAGGATTGGGGCGTGTATTGGACAACACCGAAACTGTTCTTTGGCTGAAAAGGGTCAGGTTTGGGTATGGTAGAACACCTGGCTGCTTCACACGCGACGTCTGGAAACACTTAGGGCGAGATAGCTCACATTCAACTTCGTCCTATGATCTAGTTCCGGGATGCCATAGAGCGCCCTCAGGCAGTCGGGAACTATATTGTTCGCGCAATCCGTCAAATTGTGGAGGACTGGCTTGGGCTTTGGGGAGAGCTTTGGGGCACAATCGTTGCCCTTTCCCCATTCCCCAAAGCCTGCTCCTTTTTCCTTCTTAGCTTGGGGTATGTTCTTCCTCGCTCTGATTCTGGCATCGAAGTGTACGGTGGGGGTGATGAAGTCGATGTGGCCTCTCACGTGTCTAGATGCATGTCAGTGTGATTTCCGTCGTAGACTTCAGACTCACAACCAGAAGAGTGCTGTCACACTCTAGGGTCAGTCTCTCCAATTTCAGGATATGCGAGAAAACAAGAAACTCCCAGCAACACTCACTCAGGCACACTATACTCTTCACAAGCCACATGTCCCGTCCCACTGTCCTCATGCTCCCACAGCCAATACTTCGTTCCCAGCAAGCTCTCCGTCTCCCCTACCGTTGTATTGACGTTTAACCACCCTAAACTTTGGCTACTCCAAACCATCTTTCCATCAAAGCCTGCATCGACAAGCCACTGCCATACAGTGTTCATGCTCTCCGCACTTGGCTTGAACGTCTCTGCGATCCGGTGATGGCTCCAATACTTGCCGTATTCCTTAGAACCTGGTGTCGAAACCGAAAGGAGACGTTTCTCAAGGTCGAATAAGTTCGACTGCTTGAGCGCGATGCGCACCGTGATCTCCACGCCGGGAGAGACACGAGTACGTTTCGTCCATCCGGTTGGAGGAACACGCCGGCGCTCATGCAGAACGTGGCTCCAACTCCTCGGACTCACTGCAACAGGAGATGAAAACGAAGTGGACAAGCACAAGAAAACCAGCGCCAGGATATTCAGCAAGACCATTGTAAGCGACATTCACCCAGATATCAATTCTCTTAGAGCCCACACAAGCTCATCCATTATTTAAGACGAACATCATTCCGTAGCTGGAAAGCTAACAGCGGGCTCCAAGTCGCCGCAACGGCAGCTCCGACTATATTAAGGACAGCGGAACTTCGCTTTGCACATTCTCTACATGGGAATGCCGTTGGCCGGTTCCAGACTTGGGGGACATAAAGTGGCGTGCATAGCAAAGTGTCAGTTGACAGATATTAGACGAGAGGGGCATAAGGGGAGTGTGACCGTGAGTAAATTAGGCTTTGATTGAAGTGCCATCGGAAACTGATAGGAACGGCTGAATCCGCCTAAATGCAGGAACCATCAACTTTCGGTTGGCGGACGGACTAGGAGTCTTCAGGACACTTCTCGTGGGGAAGTTTGCTATTGGGGGTGCGGATTGCTATTGGGGGTGCGGATGACTGCGGCCGGATGAATTTAAAAGGCATTTGAAGTCTAGGCTTTGTTCGTGTCTGAAATGGGTCGTGAGCCGTGAGGTCAAGTGAGTCGAGACCTGATGTGGTGGCAGCGATCCCAAGGAAATAGCAATTTCGTGGCAGCTAATGTCTGGCTTTGTTGATTTTCCCAGAAAATGTTCCAAGTAAATAATATCACGGATGCCGTTGATCTCTCTCTCAATATTCACAACTCGTCTGGGCTCCGCACAGAGCCTAGATAGAAAGGTTTGCTGCTTGCTACGAACGGTGTATCGGATACACTGAAATGCAGAGGATATCAATCCGGTGATCCCAGGCTTTCACTTCGCTGAGATTGACAAGAAAAATGCGCCCGGCATCCCAAAGCGCCTCCCTCTCTTGCCCGGTCACGACGACCTGCCCACCTCCAGAACCCAACCCGATACCAAGGAACCAAAACTCGGACACGAATTATCCAATCCCACCATCAATCCGTTATCATTTGTCACCCGTCTATTCTAAACAGTCCAGAGAAAGGTTGTTCCCGAAGAGGAGAGGTAACGAATCGCTGGCTAAACAACTCCAGACAAAGGAACAATGACAATGAGAAGGTCATATATCAAGCAAATGTGAGATACCCGACGCTAAATCCAACAAGATCGCAAATAACAATGGAAGGACATAAAAACAACTTCCGCATCTGACATCCCCTGTGAGACAGCCAAAACCCAGTCTTGTGGACTGGGAAAAAGACATGCCTCCCTGAACTATGCAATTGTAAGTTTCTTTCTCCATCCCTCCTCCAATACCAACACCGGTGTCTCGATACAAAAAGAATATACCCTGAAAGCCCTAGATGGGACAGCTAAAGGAAACAAATCGGACAACATTCCACCCATGATATTGACAGTCCCAGAGGGGATAATGGTGAATCAGGTAGCTCGGATCCATGGTTATGGTAAAGCTGCCAGTTCGTTTCGCATACTGAAATTCAAGATCACTCTGTCGCGCAAGAGACCAAATGCTAGGTCTTGATTAAGGGTCGGCGCAAGAAAAAGCAATTACATGACGACACATGGGTCTGGTTCAGCTTTTTTTGGACCTGCGCTCTTTAGATTTGGTAGACGGGGAAAGAGTTTCGGCAGTACATACCTTTTCCCGACGACTTAGCCGCGGGCTTCCCAGCCATCCAACCTAACATTCCTTTGGCTTCTGGTTTTTTCTTCTTCGGCGGCGGAGATGCGGGTTTCATGACCAGAATTGGAGATCCACCTGGACCACGCCTTTCTCGATACTGACCTCCAGGACCCGGAGGCGGCATATTACTTCGGAATCCAGGAGGCGGAAGTGGAACTTGCCCTCCCCTATGAGCTGATGGGGGAGGCACTGGTGGAGGGCCACGCCCTCCTGCGCCATGAGCTCGATGGCTACTTCGTGGTCTCTCGGGTCCATGAGGGTTGAAATGGTGGCCAGGTGGTGGCCCTGCATGGGGCTTTGGCTCAGGCATAGGCCACATGTGCATGGTAATCGCCCAGTCCGGTTCAATCATAGTCTCCCAAACCTGCGGAAGAATGATTTCTCCGTTGGGGCCGATCAGATCGTAATGGCCTTGCTGTACATGTGGACCAATGATATCTACGTGCAAGAATGCCTGCTTGATAAGCTCTTCCATTCCCTAGACTCAGTTAGCAGATGAAACTATGGGATTTGAGATGACTAACAGCCCAGTTTGCGCAAAGATGGAATGGGAAGCTGAACTTTCTTCCCACTGCGTCCTTGAACCGGATTGGCTTTTTTTTATCCTCCGGCGCAGGGGGAGCCAATGCTTTTGCCAATGCTTCAGCAGCTTCTTTCTTGGCCTTGGCCGCTTCCTCCTCTGCCTCCTTCTTAGCCTTTGCTGCCTCTTCTTTCAACTTTGCTGCTTCATCAGCAGCCTCTTTCTTGACTCTGGCGAGCTCAGCAGCAGCTTCAGCCTTAGATTTCTCCTCTGCAGCCTTCTCGTCCGCTTTCTTCTTCTCAGCTTCGGCAGCCTTCCTAGCGTTCTCAGCTCCCTTTGCCACACCCGCCTCTCGCTCCTCCTTCAGTTTCCTCTCCCAAGCGGCCTTTTCCTCTGCAAGCTTTCGCTCTGTTTCCGCTGCGGCCTCCCTTGCGGCCTTCTGGGCAGCTTCGTAGTTTAGAAGTGCAATCTTCTTCTCCTCCTCCAGCTTTCTCTCCCATAAAGCCTTCTCCTCGGCAGCCTTTTTCTGAGCCTCAGCCGCATCCTCGGCCGCCTTCCTCTGAGCAGCTTCGTAGGTGAGCAATGTTTGCCTCTTCTCCTCTTCGAGCTTCCTCTCCCAGGCGGCCTTCTCTTCAGCTGCTTTCTTCTGAGCTGCTGCTGTTGCCTCAGCGGCAGCCTTTTGAGCTGCCTCGTACTTCAACAGTGTCTCCCTCTTCTCTTCCTCAAGCTTCTTCTCCCAAGCTGCTTTATCTTCAGCAGCTTTCTTCTCTGCGATTGCTCTCGCTTCGGCAGCTGCCTTTTGCGATGCTTCATAAGCTGCGAGTGCGGCTTTCTTCTCCTCTTCCATCCTCTTCTCCCAAGCGGCTCGGTCCTCCGCTGCTTTTCGTTGAGCTTCGTACTCTTGCCTGACGCGTTCCTCCCTGGCGCGTTTCTCCCGCTCGTCTCTTTCTGCCTTCTCCCTATCAAGTTGTTGCTGTCTCATCATGACATCGAGAACTGCCAGCTTCTTTTCAGTTTCGGGATCCAGCTGAGGCGTACCGACTACAGAGGGATCACTTGGAGGCCAATGGGGCTGTTGCTGATACTGCATATGATGTTGTGGAGGTGGCATGTTCTGAAATGGGCTTCCAGGAAAACCACCGAAATTGTTCTGTGGGTAATGGACCATGTCATGGCCATTGTAGACACCAGGAGTGCTATGGCCAGACATTGGGTGGTGGTTTCCATTGAAGTAGCTAGCTCCAGGAGGCTGAGGCGTCGGTGGTTGGGGCGAGAAAGGGTTTTGAGGAGGGTACTGATACCCTCCTGGAGCTCCATAATGGGTTAAAGCGCCTGGAGCTCCACCGAATGGAGGCGCATATCCTCCTCCGCCTGGGACAGAGTAAGAACTTTGGGCATAGCCGGGCTGAGGCCTTGCACCACCATAAGGCCCAGGTTGTGGTGCAGGGTATCCTCGGCCATAGCCCGGATAGTCTTCTAGAGGGTCCACGCTTGATGGTGGTGCCGGCACTGGGTGTCGGTGTACTCGTGAGACAGGTGGACGTCGCGATTGTCGCTCGCTAGTTGTATGTCTGCGAGTTGGCGCTCGTGATGTAGGTGGGGGTCGACTCTCACTCGTCCTATATCTTGCTCCTGTTCGAGGACGAGACGCTGGTCGAGAAGCGGACTCGGAAGGGTCAATTTCGTCTGTTTCGTCAGGATAGACTGGATCCCAGGAATCGTCTAAAGGGTCAGAATAATCGTTGCTACCGACGTGTGAAGGGACGTGGACGCCGGTACCTGATGAACCCTCTTCGTCAGTGAAAGAATTCGAACGTGAGTCCGACCGTGAGCTGACTGTAGGAGAATTGTCGATTGTAATCGTGGTTGTGGGGGCTGAGAAAAGTGTTAGCAGAGTTTCAAGAAAGCAAAGCAATGGTAGCAGAAAGCCAGAAAGCAGCGCAGACTCACGCATCGGGAATTCTGTTCAGGAATTATCTCTCGCTCGCGACTTCGAGCCGGAGTGGAGATGTTCCCAAACGGTGTGGTTCAAGGAATGCGGGCAGTTTGTGTCCACGGTACGCGACCACAAGTCAAAGCCTGTCCCTTTCCACCGAAGATATGACAGACGACAAGCAGTCGAGGGTATATTGGTATGTAGCTGAAGATATTCGTGGAAAGGCTAACACGTAGCGTATTGTGTTGCTGTTGGTCTAAATTGGAGGGCCGGCCCGCACAAGTTGATCAGACGGAGCCGGTCAGTCAAAGTATGTACGACTGATTGAACGTGGATAGGCAGGCAGGACTGGATGTCTGCTCGCGGAAAGTGACGGGAGGATTGCGCTGGGCAACGATAGTATCGAGCGATTATTGTTATATTGTGTTGTATCGGGGTGGGTGGAGTCGAGGCGAGGGATGCAGGTGGTGGAAGGGACTTGAGGGGGAACTTGTTAGCGTCGCTTCTTACAATAAAAAGGTCTGTGTCAACGAAAGAAGCACTCAAGCAGTGAAAGCCCAGGCACAAAATCAAGCAACAACTTCATCAGTCAAAACGCTTGTTCTCCAGGCATCTTGTTTATCAGAAGATTTTGAATTTGCAGACCTGTTGCCAGAATGCTTCTGCTCAGTCCAGGCACTGACTGGTGCAGGACTTCGCGAGACAGGCTATCACGCCCACACAGACCGGTATCGAATTCCACAGAAAGCGTCATGCACAAGAAAGCTCAACAGAATGGTTCTATAAAAACGTACCTTGACCTGTCGAAGTCCAAGAAGTGGCCGAAACTGTGCTTTCGTTGGGTCCTGAAACTTGTCTGGCGGGGCAGGTCATTCACTCACGAATCCTGCGACGGAACGGTGCGATGCGATGGATTGTGGAGTGCGTGCGTGCGTGCGATGTAGGCTGATATGGACGCTCGAAAGTAGATGGACAGATGCTTCTTGCTCTGACCGTCTTTTGTGTGAAGCAGTAAACTAGACAGAGTAGTGCTATGTTTATGTTGAGGGAATCTTGCTGTTTGTTTAGCCCAGCTGGCTTTGGATGGCCTGCTATTCGTTGGCAGCTCTTTGTGATTTGATACCCAATGGGCTGCTATGCACGCTGGCGTAATATGAATTCCGGCAAGATCGAGATTGGTTCAAGTAGGCGTAGATGCGGAAAGGCAATGCGCAATTTGACCTTCAGCGATTGAGCGGCTTTCTCTTATAGACCATGTGATAAGTCAAGTGGCGATGCTTCATAATGCGTTGATCGAGGGACGAAGAAACCTGTGATTTTTGGGCACGGATGTCAAGCTTGCTGCGGCCGCTGGGAGTCAAATTGTATATTGTAAATGTATGTAAGTTTGAATGCATATAAGGTAGGGATGAAAGTCTCTTAGCTGTCAGGTGTTCAGCCAGTTAAGGCTGTTGCCAACTACACATACCTACACATATATAGATACACGATGCATGTCGCGACGGAAGGCCTTGTTGTCACGAAGAGTCATCTCCCAAAGATGCCCGCTTTTCGGCGGCCAAGGAGCAGAAACCAGAGCCTCTCAACCCGTCAGTCTCCGTCACCGCTCCTTCTGGAATTTGGGTTGGGCACCGAATGATCCAGATCCCAATCCTCCCAGATGCACGCTATCTTTCATGATTGGCCAACCGACTTGTCCCAATCCAAGAATGCCACGACAAGCTGGTGGGCCCGCTTGAGGCTGCGACAATTTCACCATGCAGAAGTACGGAATTGGCTGCGTCGAGACTCGAAACAGCATACTAGCCCTTTAAAGCACTATTCTGGACCCTGCCACGATTACTCTGAAAATTGGCTTTCGAAATCCGCCAGGAGGGAATCACTTCTTTGAGGACTTCATCCACATCTCCTAGTCCATACTTCTCCGGGATATTTCAAATGATGTTCAGAAATGCCATGGTTGTCGGAATTCCTGCCAGAGGCTGAGTGCCGCGATGGTAGTGATTCTCAAGTCATGGTCGTAGAAGCTTGGTTCATACAACATGGTAGTATCCAATGTTGAAATGATAACTTAGATGAACATAATTTGATCTTAACAAGACGTGTTTTGGCGTTCGAGGAGGGTTCGTTATAGGTAGTAGTCGGTTCCCCTCTGTAAGTCTGCGGGCACTCGTAGTTGCCATGTGTTGCAGGAATGACCATATATATATATCTATAAATATGAACTTCACGAGATCCCAGGTTCCTTTCATCAACTCAGCAACCAACCTCCCTCATCGACATCATCATTGCGCTTCTTCTGCTCATACTCAAATAACTTGCCTCAAATCAACCCTCCGCCTACAGGGTAGAAGCAGAACATCAGTCGCGTTCCCCCACAGAAAGCTCGAGAAGAATGGAATTGCTAACACCCCCGATGAAGCCGACCTCGAAATTACAGCCCTCGAAGAGCTAGAAGCATACGAACGCCGTGATTATCCAAAAATTAAGATTCAAGACTTAGAACGGCGCGATTATCGGACCATAAGTACCACAGAGATTGAGACTATGAAGAATTTGGCACATACTTAGTTTATATAAAGACGCTGCGGTTTCTTAGGAATAGAGCTCATTTCAAACTTGTACATTTACTAATGTGTTATTCAAGGACCACTCCCCTGATAATATCATATGCTGTTAGCAGGAACTCTTTCATAACTGTACATCCTAAGTCACAGTGTCGATTAAGATGTTGCCTGTTCAGTGGGAGACGTTTGAACCCGATAGAAGTTCGGCACGTAGATGATTGACAAGTCGAACCCAAGGTTGACTTACATAGCAAATGTACCGTCAAGCTTGTCCTCATTGAGTGCAAGAAAACCCTTTCCCTTCTCATGCTCGAAGTCCCCGGACGGGAGCGGGATAATTGCTCCGGCAGAGAACACATAACGGACCAATTGTTGGGATGACCGTTCCCAAGAATTGCTTGAGAGATTGGAAATTCGGAGCCAGTGTTTGCCGCACTTCTCCACTTGCAGCTCAGCGAGTGATCTTGGCGGTTTCCGTTCCCAATAATGCTTTCGCAGCGATCACCTCAGCCTCGTCATATCCACCCCATCGGACTTCGCCTCCTGCGTTGCGTCGCACGATCTCGGAGAGTTTTGCCGTGGCTATCTCATTCAGGTGCTCGACGGTCTGGATATTTGGTGGTGGTAATCCAGTATCTCCTTTAGACTGCCGAGAAGTCTGGGATTGGTTGGCCAATAATCGATTGGTAGTCTTGTGATTCATCAGAACGTACTCGGCGTCCAGACTGGGGGCACACATACCATCTTTAGTCCATAGTAGCCGCGCAGATAATCATCGCACAGCTCAATGCTCCTGCAAAATCTTCGGAAAGCCTCGGCAAGATACTTGTCTGCTCCGGATTCTCCAGTGGTGGCTGCCATGTATTGAACCTCGCCAAGCCTCGCGTGGATCTATATTGGGGAATTAGGCTTTGTTTCATAATCTGGGTGGACAATTGTACTGACGTTCCACGCATAAGGCGTGACCAAGAGCACTTCCTCTAACGCAAAGATTGCTTGTTGGTACAGCCCCTGAGAAACGTATAGGTCTGACAACTCAGCCCAAGCTTCCGCATCGGTCGGGGACGAGTCAAGAAACTGGTTCAGCGCAATGATTGCCTCCGGGACCTTGTCAAGGGACTTCAGAAGTGCAATCTTTCGTTTCGAAACAGGCTGCTGACACTCAGCATAGCAAGATGGGATGGACACGTCGGCGACTTACCATGTTGCCAGGATTCTGTGCCAGAATGTTTTCGTACTCCTTCAGTATGTTTTTCAGGGCAGCATCGTCAGGTGCCCGAGCTTCTTGGAATACGCCTCTCAGTGCCATTAGTCTCTCGTTGTCCGCGCCAAATCGTTCAGTCAGCCTCTGAAGGCACTGTGACGCAGACAGCTCATCCCCGGTTCGCAGACATGAAAGCATAAGGTTTTCATAGGTTGTCCACAGCTCGGGGGTTTCTGCGGCAGACCATAGAGAGCTGACAGAGTAGTACGAAATTGCTGAAGGGATGCTCCGGAGCAGTGCTGGGGCTTGTTGGGACAGGCTGAGGGCGACAGAGGGTGGTAGATGCGCCGGTGGGTGGAGTAGTGACGAGGACATAGTGCTGTAGTTCGCAGCTCTTACTTGTAGCCGCGGATTGAGTGAGTGAGCGTTGTCTTCGAAGTGATGGTAGAATGCAAAGCTGCTTGTCATGAGGATAAGTGAAGTGAGGTCGGGAGCTCCATCTCTATCGAGCTCACTCGTATTCTTGGCGCCGCGCCGCTTTAATTTCACTCGTTGCCGCTCTTATCTTGACTTCTAGTGGGGGTGTTTGGTTTTGGTCGCGAGACAGCTTTCCATGCTACCCTCGAAGCTGTCTTCCAGTTCTTCTCTCGCCGCATGAATCTGACAACAAAAGTAGCCTTTTGAGTTCTCATGATGTCATGAATCCATTTCATGCCTTATACGTGCTGGCCTTCCCAGACTGACACTCGGACGAAGAACAACTTCCAAGATGTACCCATTGACCCTGTACTTCTCCATAATAGACTGTCCTGATTTCTCTTAGGTTCGAGAAATCCCTTTACGACCTCATACGGGGTCTGCGAAACCACAAAGGTAACGAGAAGGAATACATCCAGAACAGTCTCAAAGAATGCCGGGCCGAAATCAGGGGTCAGGATATGGGTCAGTTATTACCAACAGATGGCGGGGTCAATGTTGATGATTGTGGAACAGACTTGAAGGCAACGGCCCTACTGAAGCTGGTATATCTCGAAATGTTTGGTCACGATATGTCATGGGCATCTTTCCACGTACTCGAGGTCATGTCCTCTGCGAAATACCTTCAAAAACGAGTGGGTTATCTGGGGGCTGTTCAGAGCTTTCGACCTGATACGGAGGTTCTAATGCTTGCAACAAATCTGTTGAAGAAGGTAGAGGACCCTACGAAAGCTATTCAGGTCATATTCTGACATTGCATAAGGATCTAACTTCCACCGCTGTCACAACAATGTCGCTACCAATCATAACACTACCCCATGTCATAACTCCGTCGCTAGCATTATCTGTTCTGTCCGATCTTCTCCCACGATTGACCCATTCACATCCTACAGTTCGAAAGAAGACGATTGTGACACTATATAGACTAGCATTGGTATACCCGGAGACTCTACGGCCAGCGTGGCCAAAGATCAAAGACCGCTTGATGGATGAGGGAGAGGATCCAAGTGTAACAGCAGCAATCGTCAACGTTGTGTGCGAGTTAGGTTGGCGAAGGCCCCAAGACTTTCTCCCACTTGCTCCTAGGTTATTTGAGCTTCTGGTCGACAGTGGGAACAATTGGATGGCCATCAAGTTGATCAAGCTCGTAGGTGTCTTTCGTTTGTATACTTCTGATCGAATATTGATAACTTTCCAGTTTGCAATTTTGACCCCTCTAGAGCCACGTCTTGTCAAAAAGCTCTTACCTCCTCTAACTTCCCTCATCCGTACAACCCCTGCCATGTCGCTTCTGTACGAATGTATCAATGGCATTATTCAAGGCGGTATCTTGGAGAGCAGTGATGATGGCGGAGACGAAATTGCCACACTCTGCGTGGGTAAGTTGCGAGGTATGATTCAAATCGAGGATGATGCAAACCGTAAGTACTTGAGTCCTTACTTTTGCATAGCTTTAACATTCTATAGTCAAATACGTCGCTCTTTTGGCCTTCAACAGGATTGTTATGACCCATCCGTATCTGGTCGCCCAGCAAGAGGATGTCATTATGGAATGTATTGACAGTGCTGATATCTCGATCCGATTACGGGCTTTGGATTTGGTTGTTGGTATGGTCAACAGCGACAACTTGATGTCCATTGTTGGCCGTCTGATGAGGCAACTGAAGAATTCTCGATCTGCAACTGCTGAAGAACTTCATCCCCGTGCTATACCGATTGAACCAGCGGCAGACTCCGATGATGAAGCTCTAGAAGTTGCTATCAAAAACAACAGGGGCGACTCTGAGGCACCGCTGCTTCCAGATGACTATAAGATCGACGTTATTTCAAGGATTCTGGAAATGTGTTCTGTCAATAACTATGGAAACCTTGTAGATTTCGATTGGTACATCGATATCTTGATCCAACTGGTCAGGAATGCCCCTATTCACACTACGAATCTATCCGCTGGAGATGCAGAATATGGCCTCAGACAAGGTAAAGATGTCTCTGAGCTTATTGGGCATGAACTACGAACAGTCGCGGTTAAGGTAAAGGCCGTCCGGACTCAGGCTACGAGAGCAGCAGAAGCCATTCTCATCTCGACCTTTAACGACCCTTCATCTCCACTGAACGCAGCTAGTGGGGTTCTTCGACCAATTACATGGGTATGTGGGGAGTACGCCTTGTCCTTGGCGTCCCCTGATGATGCGCTCACGGCTCTTTTGCAGCTCACTAAGGGCTCAACTGCAGCCGAAGGACTTGCTGTGTACTTACAGGCATTGCCCAAGGTATTCTCCCTGATTGCTGGTGATGACCAGTCACTGTGGACACCAGAGCGAAAGACCATGATTTCTCTTTTGATGGCCCGAATCATTCACGCCCTAGAACCTCTTGCAATGCATCCAGATCTGGAAGTGCAGGAGAGAGCTGTAGAGTTTTCGGAACTTTTGAAATTAGCGGCCGAAGCCTCCTCTGGACAGCAAACATCATCTGACCCTGCCACCCAATCGGATCCGCCTCTGCTTCTCACACAGGCAATACCGTCTTTATTTACAGGCCTGGAGCTGAATTCTGTAGCTGCAGAGGCGCAGAAAAACGTGCCTGTGCCGTCGAATTTGGATTTGGATCAGCCTATAAATCCAAATCTAAGTAATCTATTGAGAGCCGTCGAGTCGGCAGCATTCGATGCAGGGGATGACGATGAATTCGAGGCCTACTATCACCAAGCGCCACCGCAAACTCACTTCACTCAAAAAGAGAACGAGCCGGCGATATCTCGTCTGGGTGGCACTGACGAGGTTGTGCAGTCTTACCAGCAAGGCAGCGAAGAGAGCTATCTCGATCCCGATATTGTGGCTCGAAGACGAGCTGAGCGACTGGAGAGGAACAAAGACGACCCATTCTACATTCCCCCAAGCGAAGACAAATCTGGACGATCAACACCTCTCCATAACATCATACAGAGCAACAACGGGCCAGATTTGGATATAGATGCGATACCAATTATGCAACTGGATCTTGGGAAAACCAGCATCGTCCCCGCACAGCCGTCGCCAAGAAGGCCAAAGCCTCGTCAGAGAATACAGGTCGCGGCTGACGAGACTATTCGTACCAGCGGCACTTCATCACCACGAAACGACGACTCTGAGAACAGTCTTGATGGGCCTCAGAAGCTGAAACCTAAAGGGAAGCATTCCCTACTTCAGGTTGATTCTAGTCACATCGGAACCTTCTCGCTCGAAGGAGAAAGCGCTGGTCCTATTGACTATGAGCGCCAACAAAGAGAGGATGCTGAGATGGCTCAAGCAATGCATGAAGTTGAGAAGCTTAGATTAGAGATGCAGAGGGCAAATGAAAGAATTCAGGCCGCCCAAGGTGTTGAAGGGACAGTGATCAAGAAGAAGAAGAAGAAGACAAAGAGACCCGAGGCTAATTTGGGCGATGAGGGTACCACAAGTGTGGTAAAGAAAAAGAAGAAAGCACGGAATGTTGAGGAGGCGCCCACTTTGGCAGGAGAAAGTACGGGAGATGCTTGCAAGCCGAAGAAAACCAAGAAGAAGGCGAAGATCGATGAAGATACTATTGGTCAAGAAGGGACTGTGGATTCACGAGCATAGCAAGAGCATATACATGGCGTTTGGAGCAATTCGGATGGGCTGGCCAGGATTTTGATTTATCATTAGTTCTGAAGCTGCGGCATACATATATGGACATAGAAGGAGCTCGAGGCCTAGATTTTGGTCACCAGGAGATCTTCGGATGTGATTGGAACAGCTACGAGCCGTGTATGCACATACATTCGAGGTCAATATCCTTAAAGTAATGTGAATTTTATGTGAAAGTCACCTCCATCATCGAAGATTCGAAGCCAAATGCAACATTGTCGTCTGGAAAAAAGACTACAGATGTGCTTCGCAGCTTCGAATCTGAATATCCCATACATATTCAAATTTCTAGTTTGGAAATACATATTGAAGTAGCTGCCTACTATGAGCATCGATTTGTTATGACTTTTGCCATCACATTCGTATATTATTTATTCAATTGACGCTAATCTAAATGTAGTTAGAGCATAGGTACCTAGTCTTTGTTGATAAGATAAGGCGGCTTAGGTAAGTTTCAAAAATTATTCGTTCCCATGCAAAGGTTAACGGCACATGTAATACTGTAATAACGAGAAACTTGGACAGGCAGGTCGCAAACATGGATGCGAATTACATCCCCCTTGGGGTGAAGATGGAGGAGCAACCTCAATCGAGATCATTTGGGCCAAAGGTGATCGGACAGACGCCAGGTACATTCCCAGCCCAAAAAGTCGCAATTCTCCCAAACAGCTTGGGTTCAGAACCTCATAGCTAACCTTTTCCAATTAGAGGAGAGAAAAGCGATTGCACGCGAAATTAGACTGGCGCAGCGGAAAGAAAAGAAGAGAGTCAAGTCCGAGGCCAAACAACAGCGCAAACTGAACGATCTACTGCACAGGAAATTGGTAAGTTATGTTCTCACTTGAACAAAGCATTCATTCAGCAACTGACGTCAATAGAATCGTAATACGGAGAAATACAGCAAGAATAAGGACCGGAACAAACAGCGTGCCATTGATCTCGAGAGGCAGAAAATCAGAACCGATGCAGTCAAGCAAGCCGAGCGCCTCGCTGCCATTCATGACCCGAGCGGTAAGATGTTTAACGTGGGCGAAATAATCATGCTTCCTGGAGGAATTGTCAAGTCGAAAGAAGGGATACGAAAAGCGGCAGAAGCCAAAGACAAGAAAGATAGAGATGAAGCAGAGCGAAAGGCTGCTGAGAAACGCTACAAAGATGCTGAGCAGGCTGCCAAATTTGAAGCCGAGGAAGCTCAGCGGGCTGTTGATCAGGGACTACCAGCTCCAACATTCTGGCCAGCAAAGGAAACACTGAGAAATATGCAGCGTCCTGAGAGGATAAGTAAGAAGCAATTGCAGCGACAAGAACAGTTGAAGCCTCAACCCATTCCCCCGAAACCAGTCATACCCGAGGGAATCAGCTTGCCTGAAGGAGAGGAGGATCTTCTTGCGCTATGGGATATCACAGATGAACAAATTACAAAGCGACTGGCGAATAAGAAGAGAGAAAAGGCCGAATCCAGGAAACAGCTTATCAAGATCCAGCAAGAAAACAAGAAGCTTAATAAAGCCTTGAAAGTTAGAAAGAGAGAAGCTGAAAACGCTGGAATCATTTTTGACAAGGAGAAAGCCAGGAGGGATATCCTAGCTGCGATGACCAAATCTGCTGACCTCACATCTAAGTCAGACTCAGACCCGGATTCCGGCTCCAGCTCGGATTCGGATTCGGAACTAGAGGACGAAAATGTCGAGGTGGCCAGTGGAAAGAAGCTAAAGGCAGCTCCGGCTCCAAAACTCAATCTCGAGCTTATTGAAAAAGCTGCTGAAATCGAGAGAGCTCGTAAGGAGAAGAAACAAGCGGCAAAGACTAATAGGCGCCAGGAACGGAAGCAGAAAGCCGCAAAGGAAATGGCAAGACTTGAAGCTGAAAATCTAGCTGAGATTGAGGCAGTAGAGGAAGGTCACACGGCTGATGAGGCTAAGCAGTCGAGAAGGGATAAAAAAGCTGCCAAAGCAGCAAAGAAGCTTGCTAAGATTGCCAGCGGAGACTCGACTTCGCAAAAGCGGAAACGAACCGAGGATGAAGACGTAGCTTCTCACGATGAACCTAAGCAGGACAAGTCTCACAAGAAGAAGAAATCCAAGTCGGAGACCGAGATTGCCGAAGTCAACAAGCCCGCTAAAAAGGTTAAGAGGGTGGAGGAGGGATGTGACAAGAGGGTAGACAGAGCTATTGCTGAGCGAGAAGCGAAGATGGTTGCGGAAGCAGAGGTTGAAAATGATCTTCCTACACATGGCGCCGAGCAGTGGAACCCAGATGCTCTGACTGGAGATGCGGCCCGGAAAGATAAATTCCTTCGCTTACTTGGTGCTGGGAAGGGGTCGAGCAAGGGAGTCGAGAAGAGCCAGAAGAAAAAGGATACTGGTGTTGACATTGTCAGAATCCAAGAAGAACTCGAGCGCCAATTCGAAGCAGGCGTGAAGATGAAGCATGATGGAGGATCTAAGAAGCGTGGACTTGGCGCATAAGGGCTCATGGGTAGATAATTGAATTACTGCATTACTTGGCCGATTGATTTGGAGCAGTTTGTACTTGAGTTCCCCTTTGCGTCTGCACTACTAACATCTGAAATGGTGAGTCTTCCTCGGTCGGAATGCAATGGTATTTGCTCCCAGAAATCAAAATAGATAAGCTCAGAAGCAGGCCCCAAAACTCCAACCAAATCCTCCCTTCCCTGGACGAGAGGACAACTTTTATGACGTAAATCTCCTCCATGGTAACCAGTATACATATCCATGCAAGCTTCGACCATACAACCCATACAACCCTCGAGTATGTCTACTGGAGGCGTTTGGTCCCCAACATACAGCCTTTCCTCGATGTTCCGAACTAGTCGCCATCTCCCTACACCCCAGATTCATTCTCTCACCGGAGGAAGAACCTGCTGAGCAATTCGAATATCAGACCACCGAAGACAACAAATCCGAGAACTCCTAAACACAACACCAAGTATCAGTATACGCTCTCCCAATGCAATGCAATACAATACAATGTTCAGGTCGGCAAGGCGAGGGAGGGTAATACCAAGAACTACCGGGCTAACAGGGCTCTTAAACTCCTGTTTCTTCTTCAATTCCTGCGCTGGCTTTCCACGCTTTGCATTCTGCTCCTTAGTAAACTTGGCGTTGCGCTTGCGTTGTTCTGGTGTTTGCGCCTGTTGTCCAATTCATCAGCCTTGCTCTCGTGCTTCTGTGGCCACGCTCCAAACATGTTCGCAGGAATAGAACTTACCATGGTGTGGGCTTGAGGTTGAGGGAGCTTTATTAGAAGAGTATTTTGTTTGTGGAAGTATGCAAAATCCTCGTGGGAGTAGAATTACGGGTGAGGTGACGTAAAGACAGCACGAAGGAGTGAAGTGAGTAGGTGATGATAGCTCTATGTAATCTGTCCCAAGCGCAGTCCCCAGTACTCGTAGCGTACTCGTACCTCCGTAAGTAGGTAGGTAGGTATTGGCCAATGGCCAGAGTGCATTGTGGGGCGGCTGATGCCGAGGGACGGGCTGGATGCAGCGTCGTCTGCTGGTGTGGCGCTGGCGGGAAAGCTGTTTGTATTCACTTGACGATTAGAGCTCCTCCATTCTTCTCTGCTTCGTTTGGGAGCCTTTTGCACATCACCACGATCCGCTTCAAATCGCCCATAACGACCGCGAGCCCGTTCTCGAAGATCGCTATGTACTCAATCTCCAGATTGCGCGGGGAAGCAGCTCTCCGGGCAGGAAAGCAAGTCCGCTTCATGACAACAGAAGCCCGTCAGAAACCAGTTTCTCCTCATGTAAGTCTGCGCCGGAAGAGCACTATCACAAGTACCCGGTACACAAATATAAGTATTGATACGTGCAGGACAGATTGGATTCTACAAGACATTCACGAGACCTATTGCGAAAGTTCTTCTGATGGCCACATTCACATACCAATTTGTATACTGGGGATGGGTATATCTTGAGAAGGACGAGATCAAAAAACAGAAGAGTGGTGAGTAATCAGGCACGGTAAGAGCGACAATTGTAAACTTTGTTGACGGGTAATTTTATGTACAGCAGAAGTCGAAGTGTTGGAAAGGAAATTGGCCGAGTTGACGCAGATGAAAGGGAAGAAGCCCTGAAGTTGCAGAAGGATGTGAGTGAAAAGGATGCACTTCATCCCCTACGCAGATATCCAAGCTATCGAGCCGCGGGGTGTTATCGGTGATATGGAGTCTTGCGGCGGAAAGAGACTCGTTGGCAATGGCCTGGTGAAAGGAAGGGTGGTGAAAGATATGCATAGGTATGGCAGAAGGCAGACACAACTGAAATAGCCCTTGCGGCTCCAACTCACCAGAGAAGCCTTTCGGTCCTGGTCGATTGCTGTACTATGGGATTCGATGGCACTGGTTGGGACCCTTATCCAACTCTGATACTTCCGACGAGATGTTTCCATTTCTCAATTAATTTGGCACTTTTCGAGTGCTGCTTATCTGCTCTTGCTTGTGTTGCCGCGTTTTGCATTGTACGGTGCGTCTTTCTTTTTTGTACTTGTATCCACCACTTTCCAGTACCGAACAGAAACATTCGCATTGTTTCCTGGCCTCGGGTTCACGTAGCTAATGTGCTACGCATCTTTTGTGCCGCCACAAGAGAGCTGGGAGTCACTGATCAGTGATCCTGTATTTGAGATACATGTCATGTGAGGTGGCTGCCGTAACCTTCTGCAACAGCAACTACCTAGGTACCTATTCTGTTGGAATTCCGGCTTCACGAGCTGTAGCTTTCCACCTGGGTAGGATCTCTACATCTACTCTCCAATGCGCCTCATCTGATTCACAGATTGCACTTTACCCTTTGCTTCAAGGCTGCTTCTAAGCTCTCCCACAGCCTGGGCACCGTACGATACTTTCGTGCTTCGTGCGAACCTCGCATGTGCCATTCCTCAACAATATGTCTTCTTCAGGTAGGCTTTACTGACCCAGGCCGAGGCGTTCGGAATGTTTACGCTGTCCACTTTGTTTCACTTTGTTCCATCCTCCCGTTACCTGTTTCGCTCTCAACACTTCTTTTATACTTCCACTGTTGGCTTAGCTTTCGTTTATTGTATCCGACCAATTGCCTTGGAATGTCGTATTTGAGCTCTGAGATATGGGTTTCGGGACTTCTGTAATCACCAACCGCACCGGCTGTGTGAAGCCCCCACTGATGACAGGTCAGTATTTCAGCATAACCGAGAAGTTATAGATTGCATTCAAACATATATGGAGTGCTCTCTTTTACTTCCTCCACGCTAATCTCGCTATTTCGTTTATTCAAACGATTAATTGGGGGCTTCTCATCTACTTGCTAGGCCCATCAACTTTTTTGATCATGAATAATTGTGGGATAGACAATACAAATCTCTCATAAGACTTTATAGCAAACAAATGCGCCCAGTCTTCGCCTCGCTTATGTGTTCACCTTCTTTCTCAAACAGCCAACTTCCTTGAGAGCGTTCTCATCTTGACCAGTATCACGCAACTGGTGTAGTTCTACAGGTGTAGGCATTTTCTTTGACCTTTTGAATGCTTTCCCGTCGATCCTCTGAGGCAGTGAAGGGGGAACGTCTCGCGAATCAACAGGGCTTGATTGACTGTCGGCTTCCTCCAGCGTAGATGCAGCATCATGACTTAATTAGTCGGACATTTAGAAGTAGCAACTATCCAAAGCATTCTGAGCAAAGAGTTACGTGTGTGGCCGTCCAGATTCAGAAGATCTGGCCGTCCTTAAGAGCCATCCTTAATTCACGTATGTCGCGAAGAAGCTTGCTGCGAGGACGAGCTTCAGTAGCGGTGCAACGCTAAAAGTCGGTAGAAACGCAGACTTACGTAGGTACAGACTGCAAAGTGGGGGTCTTCAGAGGTCCTTTTGAGATAGTAGCTTGCCCGCAAAACTACCTGTCACGATTGTCATCCTTGCTCTCTCATTGCTCGCCCCTTCATTCTTCACCGCTCTCATCGACAATACAGGTGCGCCTTAACAGCTTCTGCGATCGATATTTGCGACCAGTTCTCGATTCTTCATCCTCAACTGTCTTGTAGCTCACACCTCTAACATCGAGTTATGCTCATGAACAATATCCACATCTGAAGAGGGACTATCTTGGTTGTCCGATTTTATTCCAGTCTGTTGCATAACGGTGTTATTATTACTGTCAGCTACGAACTCAGCTGATTTGTACTTGGTCGATTATATTTTCGTAAGCCGTCGCTTCTTTGACAATCGCTTACTCTCCGCATCTTTGCTGTCAGTATTGCCCTTCTTCCCAGGTATATTTTTGGTCTCCTTTTACCTTTCGTCTTAGGTGCTTTGCGCTTCCTTTCGATTTATGTGCCAGTCTCCCATTGACTTCCGGCGCTTGACCTGATCGATGACCTACTGAGGACTAACCGGACTTCCCCCTCACTTGAGGAGCTACGTGAGAAGGCTCGAACCACCCAAGGTCCGATTTTGGACAATGGGCTGCTGAAATACAGGGACACGCTTGTAGTCGCTGACGAGAAACTGATAAGGACCCACCTTATCGCTGAAGCCCATTGCTAAGTATCCACCGCCTACCCGGGAAAGAAGAAGACTCGGAAACTGATTGCAGACCGTTACTACTGCCCTGGGTGGTCACTATATGTTAACCGGTACGTACGCAATTGCAATGATCGTCGAGTATCCTCCATCTCAGGAGACAAGATCCATGGACTTCTCAACCCTCTCCCGGTACCAGACCGCCCTTGGCAGCACAAATCAATGGTTCTCCACGGAGTACCGAGAGACCGTACTGGGAATAATATGGTCCTAGTAATCATTGACCGTTTTGGGATAAAAACACACTCTATTCCTTGCAAAGAAACCATCGACGCCCCGAAGGCTGCCTCGTTATTCATCCATTACGTGTACCGTATATATGGTGCTCCAGATACTATTGTGTCAGGAGGGAGGTCCTCAATTCATCTCGGCCTTTTGGTAAGAGTTTGCCAGGGTCCTGTGGATCAAGCTCAAGCTCTCTACGACATATCGTCCACAAACTGACGGACACGCGGAAATCATGAATCAGTATTTAGACCTGAGACTCTGGCCCTCCGTTAGTTACTTTCAGGACAATTGGTCGAGTTACTCCCTCTAATGGACTATGCTAAGGCAACAGTCCCTCGAGACTCCTTAGGCTTCGCTCCTATCCAGATCGGAATGACATACCTGATACGCATTAGCATTGACTGGGATCACCCGAAAGAACCTCTCACACTCTGGGAAAAGCTCCCGGGGAAAGAGGCCCAGGAGTTCGTTAAAAGACTGGCAAAGGTCGGGTCCGGGGAGATAATATCAAAAAGGCACAGTAATCAATGACAGCACAAGCGAATACGCACCGACGAATCCCCGACTTCGGGGTTGGCGACTTCGTGTGGGTTTAAACTGAGAACTGGAAAACAGAACGGCCTAGCCACAAGTTGGACTACCAGATGGCCGGCCCGTATGAGATCCTAGAACAGGTTGGAAACTCGTACAGGGTGAAATTGCCGGACAGTGTTAAAGTTCACCCTGTGTTCTCGCCAGACCGTCTCCGGAAAGCCGCTAACGATCCTCTCCCTGGCAAAACGAACGAACCACCATTGCCGATCGAGGTCGATGGTGAAGCCGAATAGGAGGTTGAAGAGATATTGGACGGTAAACTCGTCCGCGGGGCCCTGAAATATCGGGTGCGGTGGAAAAGCTATGATCTGGATCCAGACTGGTACCCCGCCTGGAATCTTGTTGGTTGCCACGTAGACTGAAGGAGATTCATAGACGCTTTATTGACAAGCCAGGACTAGGGCTGATGTTTGAATATTTTGAAGTCGAATCGAGCTCGAGACCTTTCGAATTGAATGAAGATAATGCCAATAAGATCTTCATCTTCATCGAATCAAATAAAAAAAAGCCTTCATTTGCTTCATTCAGGATGACTTTGAAGGCCGGACTAGTACTGGTCCGCGTCACGTGTTTGCTATGTTTTGGTAGTGTTGTCGGCTTGCCGAACGTCAACCGAACGAATGTATTTTTGATGGCGTGCGAATGGAGTGTTACATCCTGGACAAACCACGATCAGTATTTAGTCATAGAGATAGATGAACTCTTGAGCACAGAAAACTTACCTTTCGACGGGATTTAGTCCTAACAATAACATTCCGCAAGAGATTGTTTGCCTGGCAGCTTCGTAGAGAGCGGCACGGGCGGTAGTCGTGGCCATGCCTTCCGGGGCTCCCAAAACCCTCAGAACGTCGTAACTAGAACTCAGCTGGTGAGTAAGGCGGAAGAGATAAGTGAGAATTGTGGTAGGCTCGAGAGTCTTGAAGGTATGACCCACGACATCTGGGTACTGAGCCAAAAGTCTTATTAAGCCAATTGCATGGGGCTCGCTCAGCAAGGAATAGTCGGCTTGCAGAAGTTGATCATGACTGAGGGCGACTTTTCGTTGGATAGAACAGAGTCGAGCATGGGCATACTGTAGATAAGGTCCTGTGTCACCTTCGAACGAAGTCATCCGTTCAATGTTGAATGGGTAGTTGTTGATACGTTTCCCAGACATATCCTGTACCATAACAGCAGATATCCCTAAGATATCTGCAATTTTCTCGGGCTCATCGACCTGCTGGTATTTGTTCTCATTGCGGCGCATAACATCGTGCATAGCTTCACCGACGTCAATGAGGATATCGTCGAGAAACTTGACATTGCCCCGACGCGTAGACATTCCCATGACCTAAGCGTATTAGCAATTGGCAAATCCGCTCTAGATCTCAAAATTTCAGACGAACCTTTCCAAAGGTCACATGTTGCATCTTCTTACCCAAAGCCGCATATTCTCCGCCCATCAAGTCTAATATCTTAAAAAGTCGTTGCAAATGCGCTTCCTGCTCACTCATGACAACATAAATCATCTTGTCCATATCATATGTCTGCTGTCTTTGGATAGCCGCCCCAATATCGCGCAGTAGATAGTTAGAGGTGCCGTTCCGATTTCGAATCAATGCAACATCCAACTTCTTTGCACCATGCTTTTTGAAATCGATTAGGACGGCACCATTGTCTCGTTCGGCAATTCCCCTTTCAAGCAAAATGCGTTCTGCCATTTCCATGGTCTCCCTTCTAACAGTGGACTCCCCAGAGTAATCCGTGAAATGGATACCAAGGCGCGCGTATGTCGTTTTGTACTTCTCGACACTGATTTCTCTGAATTTTCTCCACAGTGCTAGCGCCTCCTCATCGCCGTCCTCCATGCGCTTGAAATATGCCTTGGCTTCTCCAAGTAAGCCTTGACTCTCCAACACAGCTGTATCCTCCCCACGCTTTCCAGCAGCCTTAAACTCATCCTCTTCCGGCTTGAAATCTGCGCTGATCTTAACGTACACGTCGAAGAGATGTGCAATTGGATCGGTATCAAAAGCCTTCTGGTCCCCATACTTCTTCCAGCCCACTGCAAGAAGACCATATTGCCTCCCCCAATCACCTAGGTAATTCATCCTAATTGTTTCCCAACCGGCGCCTTCATAAAGATTCGACAGAAATCCTCCGATGATTGTGCTTCGAAGATGGCCTGCATGGAATTGCTTCGCTATATTCGGACTTGAGAATTCAACCACAACCTTCTTTCTGGTTGCGGGAGCTGTGGAGGAAGATAATTTGAGACTGTTCGTGTCGTTGAGGCCATAGCGGGGACCAAGCTTCAGAATAAGAGGAACGACGATTTTCGGAAGGATTTCGGGGTTGTAATCGAAGCGCAGATATGTGCCAGTGACAACAGGAGGCTTGATCAGCGGGCTCGATGGAAACTGTTATTGTACTTAGTAGTGCATGCATTTAGAGGAAATTGAATCAACCTGCTTACCGCGGCTGCCCAACTCGCAGCTTTCTCCGCAGGCGATCCTTTCACTCGTAGTCGAGGAACTGCAAGCAGTAGGTCACCTTTATCAAGCGTATTTGTCCACTCAAGTGCAGGGTAAATGAAACTAGGGTCTAGCTCAGTGATCTTCGCAAGCTCCTTGGTGATAACACATCGAAAAATGTCGACAGGATTAATAGAGGGAGAGGCGCCACTATAGGCCGGCAGTGGGTTCTCTACTCTGAGATCAGCCAAGAGGCCGGCGAGTTCAGCGTCTGCTTTGGGCGCTGCCATTTTTCCCCCCTTCCTTCTTTGGCTCTTGATTTATCTTATCTTGATTTTTGCTGTCTTGCGCTGCGTTGTCTATTTTTGTGTTGCACTGCAAAGATTGTTATAACTATTATGACTCCTCGATAAAATACTCTACCCCGCGTTTGCGCTAATTCTAAATTGAACTAGCTAGAACAGAAGCGATTGGTTATCAAGGCAGCCTTATGGAGAGCCTAAGGCAGCCTTTGCTTTCTATTGTCGCTTGCTACCTACCCTGCTACCTTAGAGGAAAATACAAAGGCAAGTGAACTATCCCTAGACGATTCTAGGATAATTCCTTACAAAAATAGTCTTTTCTTAAAAAAAATAGTCCTAAGATCACCCTAAGATAGTTTTTTTTACTTAGAGATAGTTCTAGATAATATATATATAACTACTTAAATATCTTATATTTAAGTAAAAAGCCTAAACTTAACTATTACTTTTAAATTATCTTTTACTTTAACTTATATATTAATTTTATAAAGTATACTTTTCTTATTTTAATTGATTTTACTACTTTTAAAAACTATAAGTAAAAGTTAATCTTATATAAGAGGTGTTAAGTATTTAATTAAAATAAAGAAAAATTAACTATTATTCTTTTATTTAAAAATAAAATAAAAGTGCTTTTACTTTAAAAGTAAAGACTTTAAAAGTAAAGATAAGAACTATCTTTAAGAAAATAACTATTTTAAAATAGTCTAAAAAACGTTTATAAAAGAGAACGCTTTTTTTTTTAAAAAAAAGAACTATCTATAAATAATCTTAGGACTATTCTTTTTACTTTTATAATATTTGCTTTATAAAGGGCTGATATAATATAGTAATAATAGTCTTATATATTAATAATATCAAGTGAAGGTAATTAAAAATCTCTTAGTATAATAGTATAATATATTAAAAGGTATAGCCTACTATATAGCATATTCATAGGGCTAAGTGAGAAAGACTAGACAATAGTAGGTAAGACTATTTATATTAGATAGTAGAGCTAACTATAGTTAACTTCTCTACTTTATTATAAGTTTTCACCTCTAGGAAGTATATCTATTAAGTTATATAAAACTATTTACAGAAGAAGCTATAGTATATAAAAGGTTAAGTGCCCTTAATTAAGCTATCTTTAGCTTAGTAATATATATAATATCTAGCTTAAATCCCTTTATATTCTAATACTCTCTCTTAAGGCAGATTACGCCTATTATAAGTCCTTCTTAATACTTAATCCTAGATTATAAGTCTTTCTTAGCGCGCTTAACTCTAGTAACCTCCTTAGCTAATTCTATCTGACTTTTAAATCATTTAAATATAACTTATTCTAATAGTTTTATTATATTATTAGTAACTATTTTAGCTATAAGAATATAGTTAACTTTTAGCTTCCTTTATTCTACGAGATTATAAATATAGTAATACGCGATATTAATATACTTAAACTATTTATTTAAGTAAATATTCTTTATTAGTATAATAGCTCCCTAGTTATCTCTAAGTATCTATACTAGCTTTAGGTTTCTTTTAATAAGCTTAAAGTAACTTAAGTCACAGAAGACTTAAGTAAACTATTAACTATACTTAGCGTAGTTTATAAGTACTATATACTTAGATTTATAGCTTAATATAGAAACTAATTATTACTTCTTACTTAATTAAGATATTAAGCTACTATAGAATATAATTATACTTCCTAAAATACTTTTCCTATTAACTTTATTACTTACTTAATCTATATTAGAGTAGAGTATAATAATACTATACTCTTCCTTTAGTTTATATTAGATTCGCGTCTTAATAATTAACTTTAAGTACTTAATGTCGTGCACCTGGCGCACCTGAGGCACTCTCTAAGGCGCTCTAGCTAACCAGAGGATACTTATATAACTAGAACTCCTAGAGCTTCCCCTTATAAGGGAGCTCTAGAATACTTTAATAAATTAAGACTTTTATACTATATAAAGCTCCTCCTTATAATACACGATAGTTAAGAGCTATATTCGCTTGTTTAAGCTACTATACGAGTATACTATATAGTATAGGTAGAGTTACAGGTAGTATTAAGAGATACTTATACTACTACTTAAAGAACTCCTTTAAATACCTCCCTGAACTTCCTAAAATACTCTTAATACTATTAGTTCTATAGAAAGCTTCTTAGATATATTAATATACCTTTAAGATAAGTTAATTAAATACGAGAGTAATACTCTCGATTAGAGAAAGTAGTAGCCCTAGTAGTAAACGACCTTCTAGTACTATACTAAACTTAAAGAAATCTAGAGATTTATTAACTCTAACGCTAATAATATTAGAAATATTATTAAGTAATAACTAAATCTCTTAAGTATTAACGATTTTATATAAGAGGAGATAAATAGTCGCCTTAGTAAGTAGATAGTATTATTAATATAAGCTAACTTAGATTTACTAGTGAAATAGAACACTACTACTACTAAGGAAAGAGAAAGTATAATAGAACCGCCGGCGTTTATAAGTAAGCCCTTAGAAGCTAAGTTTAAAGATATTAAGGTACTCTAGGAAGCTCGAATAAGAGAGTACTCGAATAAGCTAGCTAAATAAATAGCGCTTAATAACTATATTTAGAACCTCTTTAACTAAGTAAATAGTACTATTAGCTAGTCTATTCTAACTAACGTAATTAATAATAACACTACTAAGGGCGCTATAAGACTATAAGTGCTAGTTAGGTCTATTAAGTATAATATAGTACCTTTAGATATAGTAGTACTAACTTTTATTATTTCAGATTATACTAACACACTTAGCCTACTAACACATTAAGATAAGAAGTCGTGAATTAAACCTTATATATAGTATAAGCTATAGTAAAAGAACTTCTATCTTATAAGAACATATAATATTCCTAATATATAAGGAGTATATAGTATATAAGCTTTCCTAAATATAGTATTAGTTTAGTTAAAGACTTAGGCTACTTAAGTACTCGCTGATATTATAAGAGATAATACTCTAGGATATTAGTATAGTATAATACTAGAGGAGTATAGTCTAGCGTTTATAGTAAATATAAAGGAGCACTACCGGAATAGAGGTAAGGGAGCTAATAGTTTCTATACTATACTAATACTAGGTAGTTATTCTAATTCAGGAAGCTTATAAGATTATTCCGGAAGCTCTTAGAATTACTCCTATTTAAATTAAGGAGATAAGAAGATTAACTACCCCTACGGAATCAGATACTAGTATCCTCTAATTAAGTACTAAAAGCTCTATTTCACCTATAATAGTTTTTAAGCTAATAGTATAAGATTCCGTTTAAATAATAAATAAATCAAGAGGATTCATAAGGTAGCCTAAACGCCTAAGTATATAGAACTATACTAAGAGATCTTAAAGGAAAGTTAAGCTACTATCCCAGTTATATAAATCACTAGAAAGAAGTCTAGTAAAGACTAAGACTTATTATCTTAGTATACTAAAAGGAAGTACCCCGGAAATATTAATATAACTACTATTAATTTAAAGCTCTTAGACCTTAAAGAGATACTTAGAATCTATACCGCGGACTTTATTAATATCTCTTATATACTATTAGAGAGTACCTTAGTAAATAACTACAGCGCTTAGTACCTAGTAAACTATAAGAGTAAGCTAGTTCCAGGCTCCTTTAAGCGATCTACTAATAATAACTACATAGAAGCTAGTATATAATAAATTCTAGTTATTAGCAAGGGAAAGTAAGTATTTAAGAACTTACTAGCTAAGCTAAATAGTCTGAATACTTAAGACCTATTACTTAATAATATTACTATAATCTATAATTTCTATATTAATATTATCTTAGAAGTATTACTAAAAGACACTAGGCTATAGTACTTAAGGAAAGATACTACCTTATAATATAAGGAAGTTTAGATAAGTATAGTTATTAGATAGCTAGTTCAAAAGTTCAACTTAACTTTCTTTAAATATAAGCTTTTTAGATACTCTTATCGCTTTTATAGCTTAGTAACCTTAATATACACGCCTATTATAATATACCCGACTCTAAGTCGTAGCTTAAATAAGTAAGGTTTCCAATTATTATATTAACTACTTAAGGAGTATTCCGTAACTTAGTAACTATAGTACTTATATACTAGCTATTTAAAAGAGAGTACTTTATAGGTGCTACTTAAAGCAGGGAGAGGTATATAATTTAATAGAGTATTAAGAATCTAGTATAAAGACTATATTATTATATACACTAGAAATATTACGTTAAGATAAGAGTTAGAGAATAAAGTAGCTAAGCTATTCTACTAAATCCTCTAGGACTTATTCGACTTTAATATAGGTTATAATAATACTTACTAGCTACTTATTATTAAGGATAAGTATAATAGGAAGCTCTTTAGCTATATATTACTAAGTAAGTTAGCTAGCTATATTATACTAGTCTTAGAGAACTTTAAGCGTTAGACTAAGTATTAATATAGACTATTAGTCTATATTATTTAGTATAATAATAATACCTTAGTTATAGCTATTTAAGGTATATTAAAGTATAAGGAATAGACTATAAGAGAAGAGATAGAGGTAGAGAATCCCTTACTATATACTAAAGAACTTATAAGCGACGTGAAGTATATAAGATAAGAGATTATTACTAAATCTATTAAGATATATATTTAAGTGAACCTACCGGAGAAGCTTTACTTAGAGGTATATTATATAGTAATCTACTTTTATAATATAAGTTCTCTTATACGCTAAGGGATAAGGAGTTTAAATTAAGTACTTTAGGAATAGTTTCAGAACTATTTTTAGTAGTATAATTTACTAATAGTAAAGAAGCTCTTAACTGATTTAAGACCTAACTAAAGTGGAGTATATATATTTAAGGCGTGTATATATCTAGTTATAACTAATAGAGAAGCCGGAAAGAGTTATAAAGGCTTTAAAGTTAGCCCTAGGGCGTATATTAGATACTTAGTTAGTTATATTACTTCTAACTTATATAGGATCTAAGTGCCCTAGCTATACTATATAGTAATTACGCGTAATATCCGGTTTAATAAGATAATATTCTATTCCCCTAAGGAAGAGA